ACCTTTCACTGGCGATACGACATTCTGGTAATATTTCGTTTAATTGTCCAGTAGTCTTGCTTCTACAAAACCAGAATCAGGTCTTCGATTCGATTATGCATGCGTGTCAACGTGATTCCAAGTGCAACCTTATAGAATATTAAATGGACTGCGTGGACGTTCGAACTTAGAAATTTGATATTTCTCTATTTCGTATATGCTTTAGCCCTTGAAAATTACAAATGCGTTTGTCATTGAATCGTCAGATTGTACTATCTTTAGATATGTACTTATCGCTTATATTTATCAGCAGCTACTGAAGAAACTGAATAAAAGGCGTTATTTGACAGTGTCTTTTGTTTTCGCCTCTTTCTTTTGTTATTTTCCTTCAATAACACCATTTGTGAATCGAGACATAATCTGTAGTCATTTTACGTAATTGTAATTAATTGCGCACTTAGCAGTAGTATCAGTTAATATTTTCCTATGTTGATTTTACGTTTGTTCCGCGTTACGTAATGTGATAAATCGTTGCCACTTGACATTGAAGTAATGAATATAGTTAAATTACGTTGATGGAATTAACGAAATTGCAAAATCAAGATAATCAAGATTATTTCATTAAACGACAAAGCCTTAATGATATCTTAATGAATGCATTAATGCTATTTACGTAATTCTATCATTACTACGATATATCTTGCTTGGGTTGTTAGTAGGCACGATACGCCACAGACACAATATTTAAACGCCACAAACAATCTAGACTACTATAGACATTCTAATGTAATTTTTCATACTGGCCATTTACGAATTACGAATCTGTAGTAAATACGCTGCACTCTCTTTGACACATACGTTGCCATTACGCGTAACACGCACGCCTCTAGCATTTAAACCAATGACTCGTCGCCGCAGTCAATGCCACTTGTTAATAACTTTCGCTTTGAACAACGCTATTATAATTACACCTGCCGTATCTAACACTTGTGATTATTAACTATGTACATTGCGTTACAACCATTAAACCTCAAAAAAATGTAACGTAGTATGCTTCGTCAAGCGGCAAGGATATGCAATAAGCCGGTTGAACTTTCGCAAACTAGATTCCTGTTATAACGGGTATAAATCGATTTATACAAGAAAAACCTTTTTATAAGACAGGACGGACAAGCATGGGGTTCTTTATGGAAGATACTATACGTTAACGTTACAAAAGAAATAGCTTTTAAGATGCGCTACTTTACTTCGCGACCTTATTCGGGCCTTATTAAAAAAAGCTTTTTATTACCTTCAAATATTTACAAATATTTTAAGTATTTAATTTTGCATATTCTTTTCAATTTAAAAGGCATAATATTAAGCAAAATTAAAGTTCCCGCGTATCCCAAGATATGACATTTCATGCCTGACGCAACGTCAAAATGGGAAAAAAAGATGGCCGTTTTGACGTGTAAAACCTAAAATAGTGTGATTTATAGAAGTAAGATATTTTTATTGTTTTAAAAATTTATTTAATATATAATAACAGAGTATATAATAACTTTCAGGTATTTATTTATATACTATAAAATAAATAAAAAATAAAGTAACTTAGATTGTATAAATTAATAAGTCTACTTCACATTCACAACAATTCGCGCAACACGGTCACGACTTAAACCGGCGTCTACAGCGTTTATAGTATTCTTTGTTTATTTATATACATATTCCTTCTTCCTGTTCTCATTTTAATTTTTCTCATTGTACATTTAAATATATTGTACAGATAACATCGAATAATCGCTTTTCCTCAAATAATTGTACATGCGTTTTCCTCTTTTGGTATTTGTACGTAACGGGTAACTAAAAATAATAATTGTTATATGTACTAAATTATACTTTAAATAATAAAATTAAAGGTTCCCGTTCGCCAATCCGTTGATTGTTTCCCGACTCAACGTACTTAATAAACTTTTTGTCGCTACTATATTTTATTGTTTAATTGATATATATTTATTAAATAACTCGTAAACTTGAAAATAATTACCAGAACCAGTTGTGCAACACTACAATCACCAGAAATGACCATGAACCTCATATATGTATACTTGAAACTGAAAGATTACGTCAAAGATTGACTAAAGCTAGTAAAATACTTGGGACATGCTAATGATTTTTTGACATTTAAATTAAACAGGTTATATAAACAGACAGACGACCCATCTATACTAATATTATAAAGTTGAAGAGTTTGTTGCAAAGCGCTAATCTCAGGAAATACGGTATCGAATTGGTAAATTATTTTTGTGGTGGATGGTCATTTTATCGATGAAGAAGATATATATTATACCGAGCTGCGACAAAACGGTGGAAAACGGGAAAAATCATTCCATAATTATTATTTTGAGGGCTTTCGTTGCTTGTCTGTCTTTCTTTTAAGTTGAACTCTCAAGAACCGTTTTCAATGGTAATCAATTTTTGAAAGTTCGAAAAACTTGTCTGTAGAAAGAAAATAGTAAAACGGACACAGAAATGTGGCTACTCCATGCTTAAAGGAAATGGTATTTACGCTATATAATACTCCGGCAGAACACGTCAGACTAGTTCTAGCAGTCTTCGGTGCGTATGCTATCAATACCTCTAAAGTTGGTCAAGCGACCACTACCTCTAACACTAGTGACGCAGAGGTAACAGTTATCGTGTCAAAGTCATTCGCTGACTTTCACTGGCATTTGCAGTCGGCCAAGTTTCGCCATCGGATCGAGCAATTGTGCAATGCTTGTCACTTTTTTTACATAACCCACCGACTGCTCTAGCTGCTCGATTTGAAAAGCTAAGTCAGCGTATCATTTTTAATTTAACTAAGAACCAGTTCCGTTATAAGTGAATTTGGTCTGCGGTTAAAAGAAACGTAATTAAACCTCTTTTACGGTAAAGGTCGGACGCACATTTGCTAGTAGGTGAAATATCTCATATAACATCTAAACAAATTGCGCTGTCGACCTATTTTGGCTTTGGATATTCGGAAGTCCACTAACTGTAACCGAAACTTGTCGGCATTTTCCTCTCGTTCGTGACCCAGATGGAATTTCTAGATGTCCAGGTGAAGTCAAATATGTTTCAAAAGAATTATAAATCGATTAGAAACATGTCGGGCCCGGTGGTGATTTAAACCATGACCCGTTGATTATGACCCGGTTATTAGCCATACATTGCTTCTATCAACGAGCCCGTTATAAACTTGATGCGCTAGACAATTCTGTTTTATACACGCATACAAAAATTAAGAATTCCATTTATTATTCCGTATTATTAATATACAAAACGCATTATTCATTTGTTGCTCCGCTACCCGAGTTCCGGCATAATATACATACTTGATGGAATTATATTAAAAAATGTTCACAAAAACACAGATTGGCAAATTAGAGGTCGCTCCGCGGGTACAAATTCATTAAAAAGTGAAAGTGAGAACGGCATTCACTTAATGTCCGGGTTGAAAAAAATACGAATCTATTCACAGCGGCCATTTTTAAATATGATTTTGTAATTCTCTGCATAATGGTGACGCTTTTAAATGTCACTTTTGACATGGGACATACGGTCTGTAGTTGACGCGAGTAGTACGCATTTAAATTAAACACTTTAACGGTTTAAAAGGCGATATATTAGTAAAACTTATTTGAAAATGATTTTTAACTCCGGCCCGACGTTTCCGATGCTTTGCAGCAGCCGTGGTCACGGACTAAAGATGGAGGATGTCTGTGACGTCAACGTAAAAAACTGCTACGCTAGCGCCATCTGCTCCGTCGAAGTTGGTATTTAGGGAAACTGGCCGGGTCAAGAATTGATTAACGGTGTCTTCGCGTTGCTAGAGTTTGCGAAATCTAGAGTTTTAATATGGGATCCCAGGTGTTTCATAAGTTCAGGCCGCCCTATTGCTATATAACTAATTTATATCGCGTTTTAAACCGTTAGTGTTTCATTTAAATGTTATACGATTTAGCTTCTCAATACGTCGATAAGTCAATGTCATTTTGTTCTATCCATTACTAACTTGACTATAACCACAGATAATAGTCGAGAAGGCATCTTTTCAATTAGAATTTCAGGCTAATTGTCCTTAACAGTATATTTACGTAAATCGAGGTTAAACGCAATGCTCAACTGTCCACTTAACCTCATTCGGATACCGTTTTACGCAGTGGAAAGAACAAAACTTCGAAATTTACGTGGCATAATAAGGGAAATCGATTCCGTTTCCTTATAAAACGATGAGGTAAAGGAAGGATAACCTTCCAATGACGTGCAAGAGCTTCCCAATAAGAGGAAAACACTGACGCAATTTTTAAAGTGACTCATAATAAAATGCACATAAGATATAACAATTAACACAGATAACCTCACCGATGTGCAAAAGAAACGCCGATAAAAACCAGTTGCGCACGCGCAGCGTCAAAGAAACAATCTAGAAGGAGGAAGCTTAAGGCTAAAAATCAATGTCAACGAGTACATTTCAATATTATTAAAGGTTAACACACGCATTACTCGAATCACTGTTGATAGTATTTTTATGCGTCATTGAATCCAAATATGGTTTTGTAGAAATGTTACTTGATATGAGGTACTTGCGTAATAGGAAACATAAGTCACATTTTATTATTACTTACAATTTTTTTTTAATGGTAGAGGAGGACAGACTGACGAAAAAATCGTCATACCATTTATAAAACGCGCCACCCCTCATTGATCAGGTTATATAAGAACAAAGTTTGTGACACGGAACAGATCTCGCTCCACTTCCAAGTTCCGTGCTAGGTCATGACGTCACGTCCGACGCGAACGAAGGTCGACATATTGATCACACACACCTAGTTTTTGAACGGCTTGAACACGTTTTATGCAAGCTGCATAATAATTACATCGTATTAATTTCAAAGAGAACTTATTAATGATAGAGGGAACAGACTATTATTAGCTGTACATTGCTACTATTACACCAACCGTTGAATCTAAATTGAGAATTTCGCTTGTTACAGGTGCCAATAGAACTCAAGAAGAGGCTGGATGAGATAAGACTTTTGGAGTCTCGTAAATCTGCAAGGTTAGCTGATGTCGACACTGATTTTGCAAGGCTCGCCGACATGGCAGGAGACCGCCGCCGCGCCTCTGCTACTATTGAAGTACCCGCACATCACATGCAAGGGTAAATACCAAACTACTATCTATACTCTATACTTAATATATAAGGAAGACTTTGTTTGTTTAAACGCGCAGGAAATAGTGGTTCGAACTTTAAAAATATTGAAGGCAGGAGCATTTATTGAGAAAGGCTTTTGGCTTTAAAGCATGGCTGCGACAAAAAGGAGTGGAGAAACAGGGGGAAATGTGGAAAAAACAGGGAAAGTTATTTATATTTGAGCGTTTCCGTTGCGCTACGGAAACGGTTCAAGAAACCCAAAAATATGTAGAGAATAATTCTTTAAATGATTAAATATTTTACAGAGCAGGTATCTATATTTTTAAAACAAACCACAGGAACCGTTTTTATGGTAATTGAGTATGATTTAGAACAAAACCTATTTCTGAACTGAACAATGAAATTTTAAAAGGTCTTAAGTATAGAAATAAAACAATTAATAGATTTTTATGTTAATTCAGGCCTGGCACCTTTCACAAAAAAATTTACATGAAACAAGTAGGAATATCATATCTATGCATATGTATATGCATGTGATGAACTTAATTGGGCATGCTTCTCTACTACTAGGTACATACTCTCACATACAGAGGATCATTAACAAAAATTAATTCCGAAGCGTTACCTTGGATTAGCGGCTCACCTCGGTAACAACGAGAAGGCCGTTTCATTTCTATTGCAAGCGATTTAACCTTGCTGTGTTTCCCTTATCTTTTTCGCGTGTTGTATTCAATTATCATCTAGGTGCACCATCTACCTTTGTTGCTTAAGCGGAAGTGAAGAAGAAGGTCAAATATTTAGGCCGCAAAACTGATGCAGCCAGTGCAGATTGGAATCTTTTGAAAGCGTACTAACTATTTTAATAAAACGGGAAAGATACTTATTTACTTACTTACGATCTTTCGGTTGTTCTGCATCAGCTGTGCGAACGTGGGGCTATAGTTAAAATAATTTTAACCGTTAAAATTTGTACTACTCGCGTACAGATGAAGCAAGCTTAACGTGTAACCTAGAACTAATTATCTACAATTTAGACTTGAACAAACGTTTTTTAGGCCTTGTAATACCTAATCATGCACTCGATTTTATTAGTGTTAGAATAATCGCAATTGTGCATCGTCTAGGAGAGAGGTGAGCTAGAGCCGCGCGGGTAGTTGCGAAATCGGCACCAAGCACATTAGAAACTGGATGGAAGTGTTAGCTTAGCGGAGTACGGGCGTGTCCTTGTCACACTTGCCTACATTCTATAGCTACCTCCCGCGGACCGCACCCCCTCCGCAGAGTGGGACAGACAATGCAACAGTGAGAACTATTAAAAAATTCCAAACGTTTGATGAAACTTGGGAATGGTAAAGTCGAAATTGTACTTGTTAAAGAGCATTGTTTCACTGCGATGCCATTAAATTGATGTAATGTACTGTTACTTTATAATATAACGCTCTAGAACCGGAACAAACGGCTGTAAATGGTTGTCGACGTGACGATCGTCTGTGGCGAAGTTTCACTTTTCATCATGTCGGTGAGAGGTAGAACTACCGTTGGACCAAATTTCACAAGATTGCCGAAAAAGAAACAAGATTCGGATTGTTAGAGAGTATAATACGCTGCTATTATATTGCTTTGTAGTGCAATAATAAATTAACTAGTCATTATGGAGCTTTTATGCTATATAATATTACACTTTTATTTCTGAATGAATTAATTACGTAAAGTTTATTTTAAAGACCTGTTTTTAGTTCATATAGAATATTATTTTACACACACAAAGTCATCTAATATAACCTTAAGAATACGACTAAGTTATTTGTTTTATCAGGGATTAATAAATAAAAATGAAAGGATTTATATGCTTCGTGATTCAAGCTTTCACAAACACGCCCCACAGATAAGCTATGGTGAAAGTATTTTTTGTACATGACTTTGAAGATTCTTTAAAATTGATATGGCATATACTTGACATTGACGGATTCCAAATAAAAGAAGATTAAAAATTGTTTAGCTATATACTTATGTAACAGATACAGCTAGATCCGTGAAATATTGCACAGATGAAATATTTAAAGATGGCGCACCAATCGCACTGCTGCGACCGCCATGACACACTGACCTAGTTTCAAAATGGAACGTAGCGACTAGCGACATAGTAGGAAAGCCGCGTGAATACATCCAATGAGAATAAATTACAATTTAACGGATTAGTTATTTACTTTTAAACGTATTAACGGAAACTACATAACTGGAAAATAAAGGAAATTGTTGCGCTTCGCACTATTTGTTATTAAGTCAAATTATTAAGAATTTTTATCTACTATTCATTAAAATAAAACACTTTTAAGGGCTTAAAACGCGAACTGTACTAGTTAAACTTATTAACAAATTATAATAACTACGGCTGCTGCAAATGAATAATTTTGTTCGCGATTTAAACCGTTAAAATTGTTTAATTGAAAATATTTAAAAAAGGAAAGATATTCTCTCACTCAATGATAAGTTATCACTTATGCGTGATTTTTACAACGTTTTCTTGTCGAAAAATCTCCATTTAATTAAAAGCCAACATAACATAGACTATATTATATTATGTATAACACATTTTAAAAGCATATAAAAACACAGAGGACTAAGATAAAACATGGCCTTCACTCAATCGAAGCCTTAAAATTCAATATTTAATATATAAACGGTTTCTATTCGTCGCTATTATACCATAGAGCCTTAAACTTTGTCAATGCAGCATTCCTCAACGTCTATGCAAGTATCGTCCTAAGTTGGCCAGTAGTTAGTGGGCCAGTTGTACAACGCGCATTTTGATGTCGCAAGCGAGACTCGTACCGCTATCTACGTCCTTCGCACCTAATTCCATTTCAATGGATTAATCTCTTTATATCAGCTACAACACATCTGCGCTCGCCAAGCGACCTATTAACAGAGTGCTTTTGTTGACTTGGGTTCTTTATATTTTCATAGTTTAAAAATTGTAATCTGCAAGAGCAAATCGATCGAAAATTGTTAACTTAATTTTTACACAAATAATAATACAAATTCGTTTTCGCCTAAGTTAATTGCGCATTGTTATTTTCCTCCTTATTAAAAAATCATGTTTTTTGTAATAAGACCACTCTAGCAGCCTCATAAGTATAATACAAAACTATCGTTATGATCTACTGAGCCCTTTCTACTAAATCCAAATTAATACAACTTTAAAAGTATCGACACTGCTTTTTAACGATATTCGTTCCTCATTACAAATTTATTATTCCACTTATATTTATTGTAAATGCTCAGATTGCACTTAAATTGCCTCTACGTATACAAGCTATAATCCTTCGTTATGCATTATTCATTGTGCACGAGAAATAACGTACAAATGGATTTGAAGGTTTTCCGTTTTACGCAACAGTTAGCGTAGCCTCAGACAGGCTATCGGCTGAAAAATGGCCGTCACATTTACATATATAAGTTTTCACAGATTGTAACACAAACTGTAATAGTGCGTGGTGGCTTTCTTCATCACCGTTTTATCTTTAACAGTTTCTACTACTCACTACTGAAAATGTCCTCTTAGGCACGTTTTAAAGCCATAAATGCTCCAAAACGTGTCGGATTTTGTAAACATGCATTTTTATAACGTTGATTGCATAGGAGCCCGAGTTCCACCTGTAGAAACTACTAAAGGTACTATAATGATCGTAGGTTGACACCGCTATCTATACAATAAGTACATATATAAGAAAGCAGAAAAAAGCTTGTGGCGTTTTCTTGATGGCCCGTGTGCGGAGACCCCAAAGAAGTGCAGAGAAGGGAATGTAATAGAGCCACTTTCTCACTGGCCACACGCTTGCTTTCGTTCATGTTGTGAGAACCGTTACCTCATTTAACAGGTGGGTACGCCATCGGAGTACTAGAGAAAGTGTTTTACAAACAATAATTACACAAAAAAATTTACACAAAACCAGTCGACACACAAAAGACTCGTTAAAATAATTTAGGAATGTTTCCTTCTTAAATTTACTAATTCCTGTAAGCAATTAGCTTTAAAATGCTATGATAATGAACTCGAATATTATAAGCGATAAGTCATCAAGGGTATTCAACTTTGTACTGACTTTCCAGCGACCTACCTATAGGTTATTCCACTTTTTGCAGGAACAAAAAGTCTGACGTGTAATCATGTAATTATTCTCCGAATCTGGACAAAAGCGAATCTTAGTAACGAGTTTCAGCCGGGTTTTTGTGTGAACAAAATCACTGCTGTATCGAAGTTCCATCTAAATGTGGGTAATATTGAATATCGTAATAGCTTAAAATTGAATTCTAGTGTTTCATTTAGCCTATAATTTCATTATAGACATATACAAAGGCTGCAGTGGCTATTGCAGGTTGTTGGCATACCCAAGGTTACTGTACCCTTAACGTCCGGACAATGCTACGATAAAATATGATTCTGCGAAAATCTTTTAAGAATCTTTTTTCGAAAATCTAATTAATCTTTTCTTGCAACATCCGTCATTTTGACAATTTCAAAGTAACTTCTCAAATTAAATTCCAAATTTGAATTAGGAACGGCCGGTCTTACGTAATCGCTACGTCGATACAACGTAGGTTAGCTACAGTTGAAACCTAGACCTACCGCATTAGTTCACGCGTTTTTTATGCCTAAAATCGTATCGCAACCTGACTCAACTAATACCTATTTGTGGCGAACGACCGAACAATGTTGGCTCATTTTTGCGAACACACGCGATATTCGTAAAGTTGTGACTGTATAGAAATCTCGTAAGAATGAACTTATCGTTACATAATCGTAAATGTACTTGAAGAATGTCATCTCATACCAAAAACGGCTGGAGCTATTGAATGTGAATTTTATAAATGGGTTTGTACGATAAGCAACAATGGATTTAATTATATTGATTATCCTACGCCAATAAACACCGTGTCTTAATTTAAAATATCGAATAATTATAAAACAAAGAGACAAACGTAAAATTAAATTAAAACCAAAACTTTTTAAGCCTTCAATCTGCAATGATAAAGTATTTGGTTGTAAATTAAACTTTAAAATAAGTAGCTTTTTTGCATCACTAACTACAAAGTATTAGAAAAAACCAATAAATAACCAAAACTATGTAACAAGCTTTATCAGTTTAAAGTAAAAGTATAGACGATATTTAAAAGAAAGTAGTTAGATATAATTATAAATAAATACGCGAGTAGTCCACATTTAAATAAAACACCTTAACGGTTTAAAACGCGATATATATTGACAGCAGCCCAGAGACAGTCTCCCCGTGACCACGGCACCTGCTAAGCATTCGAAACTTCGGGCCGAAGCTAAAATAATTTTCAAATAAGTTTAACTAATATATATCGCGTTTTAACCTGTTAAAGTGGTTTATTTTAAGATTGTGAATAGTTATATGTCAGACCGTCGCATAATTATAACTAGTTAAACGAAAGCCCGGCTCAGCAACAGGCGGCAAGGTCGCCCTGAATGTTACGTATGCCCACGTACAGTACGTCACACTCGCGAAGTACTGGCGCAGAGGTAAATATTATCGTATGTGCACAGCCGGCCGGCAACCGGCGACCGGCTCCGTACTATTAAAATATAATCAACGATTTACATAAGATGTAAAAACCTTGCTCCCGAGGTCGCTCGTTTTAATTTCAAACTTGTTTCATGTGTTTCTAGTCGGCTCACGTTTTTAATTTTGTTTTTCTGGTATTCGCTTACTGTTTTGTTGTGATTGTTATGACGTCACTATTAATAATAGCGTTACATAACTTACATATTATTATTTAATTTAACAATCCTTGTGGGCTAAACACACATTGTTCTTTTATCAGAAAAATAAAACATCATTTTTCTGTCTAGTAGGCCTAAATAATATTATAATGGGGGAGGATAGGAGCATAGGATTACCTTGATGGAAAGTAAAATAGCCAAACACGATGCGCTGTCGCCCTTTTTTGAATTTAGACAGGCGTAAACAGACTGTAACCGAAACGCAAATACACTTTAGTGGTGGTTGATCATCGGGACGGAATTTCAATATTTGTACCTAATTAACCTTTACTGTTTTGGGGAATTTTAAATTAGTGGAATTTAATTTTTCAAAGGTATTTTTGTGGGTATGAAACTCACGACCTACATTTAAACCATTAGCCTACCGTGTCTCACTAATAAAAGCGCTATCATGTTACATCTTCAACAATTTTAAAATCTTAACTAAGGTCGAAAGAGCGATCTTCTATTTCTAATCCGACTGTTTCTCAACCATAGAAACGTGAAGGGACGTTACATCATCAACTATTTTTAACGTGTAGTAGACTTGGAGTCCGCTGTCTAGAAAATGATGAAAAAGTATCAATAACTCTACTTAATTACTCGCCATGATCGTCTAAGTTGAATAACCAGTGAAGGTCGCTCCCCGGCTGGGTGAATACCCTAGGGCAGGTAACAGGTCACACAATAAGCGCTAAATACAATTACTAGTTTTTAAAATAGAGGAGGACAGACAAGCATGTATACTTAGTAGGTGAAATACCAACCGCATAATATATAACAAGATGCGCGATCGACCTATCTTCGACTTTGGATATTCGGATCACCCAGACTGAAGCCGAAACGAGATTAAACTTCACTTTTCATTTTAAACTTATGTTCAGATATAAATGATTATTGTCCACATTTTTGTGCTTAAAATATTTTGACTACAGCACAGCGTTTCGGGTGCTCTGCAGTAGCCGGAGTGGTCTGCAGCATATTTATAAGTTAACTAGTACATTTCGCGTTTTAAACCGTTAAAAGTGTTTTATTTATATGTGTACTTCTCGCGTGCTTATGATGTTAAGGCTTTGACTTTCTACCTTCTACCAAGTGTACTTCTTAATTATCTGTCCCCCTCTATCAGATTTTTTTCATCTTATTCTGCTAAAGCCTACATCTATTTATAAACACAGCTTTCTGCTTCTACGGTCATCGGTCCCCACATAGATCAGTGCTCTCTATGTGGTAGAGTCAACGCACCTAGCTTAACAGTTATGTGGATGACTTTTATCATACTTCGATGATATCTGCGTAATCGTAATGAAATCCGACTAATAAACAAAAGTATGCGTATTTTGTTTCCCTTTACGCTGCAACGGCTCGACCGATATTGATAAAATTTGGCATCCACGTACCGGGTACATTGCAAAATATAATTGTAACCAATTTTTATTAAGTCTGGTCATTCATTTCACTTTAAAACTTTCTTTTACAGGTGGCCAGTAATATATTAATAATTATTATGTAAATTAAAAATCGAAAATAAATTGAAAAAATTTACGATTTGGGCGGCACTTGAACCGGCATCCACAAACCAATTAAGCTACCGAGTTCTACACGTCCTCGTCGATTTTTTTCAATCTATTGATATTCATGCACCTCTCGCTCAATTATTAATTATTATGTTTCAATGTATTTAAACTAATATAATATTACAATAGATAATTACAATATTACAATAATTTTGGCAAATTTGCTTTGACACGTAGTGATGACGTTCTCATTGTATGTATTTTGCGTCATTTTCAAATGCAATGTAGTTATTTCGACGAACTCATTAGCAGAATACAGTAATATCTCCCTAATAAACCACGGATTCAGAATGTATGTAGTACTAATTTTAATTCGTTTAACACGTATATCAACGTCTGGAAAATTTAGAATGTAAATTCTGCATCATTCACCACCATCCATGGATCGAATAGCCAAAAGTGTAAATTCGCAATTTCAATTTAAAAGTCAACAGGTTGACAGGCCATCTTGACTAGATGTCGTAGTTTTGAAATTTTTACCTACAACCAAGTGACCACCACGCCTGTCTCGACCCTTCAATAGAAAATAATAAACTGTGAAAGTCTGTTTAGATTTTTAAAATACGAAAAATTATGGGCTTGAATTTTAGCTACCGTGTCGTAGCTTATGTAGTTGTAGCAGCACGGAACGCTATGGATGGTGGTTCGAGTGCCGCCCGTTTCGTATTTTTTTTTTCTAAATAGATGTTTTTGAATGCAAAAAATATCAAAGTAAAAAAATATATGAAATTCATTACGCTTTCCTCGAACTACTTTTAGACCGTATTATCATTACGACCTTCCCGATTACGTTCAAACAAATGCACTTACAAAATTGTTCTTATCAGTCAAAACAAAAGGTAGCAGGTTATCAAAATACAACGCATGAACACAGTTACAATGTACACAATTGGACAAATACCTTGTTTATTTGTGGATTTAATTATTTTTATCGCCGAGTTTATTGACTTCGGAAGACACGCGAATTTTCTTGACCTACCCTACCTCGAACTCTATGAACTTGAGTTAGCGGGGTGATCGGCCAGACGCGTCGGGCCTCGTCCTCACTCCTTATGTAATCCAAATGCCTAATACTCCAGACGGGACAAGCGACTGAACTGGTGAACTCACTCAGAGTTCATGGAGGAATCGAATTTTCGCGAACGTTCAACTCTATTCAATTTGTAGGCGCCGTAGAAAATTCGTCATTGATGCTGAAAACATACGTTCGATAAAAAGCAAAAGTATAAAAGTAAAGTAGTTTTTTAAAAAGAAACACCGTTTTACATACATATATTACCAATAACTGTGTGTAGTTTACGCGTGTAGGTAGTACACATTTAAATACAATATTTTAACGGTTTAAAACACGATATATTTTAAATTAACTTATTTGAAAGTTATTTTTCCGTCGTTTTTCAGCCGTGGTCACGGGGAGACTTGATCCGTCCCGGCTTCGCTCGGGTAATCGTTGTATATAAAAGCTTTCCTCTTGAATCATTCTATCTATTATTATAAAAAAACCGCGTCAAAATACGTTGCATAGTTTTAAAGATTTAAGCGTACATATGGACAGAAAAAGAGTTTTGCTTTACTATGGAGTGATTAAGTAGAAAGCTACTATGCTGTTATTTTTCTTTTATTCTATTTTGTATCTGTATTGAAGTTTTGAAACTAATCTCAAATCTTCGTCAGAATCCCACCAGCTCTCCAGCATTTTTGAACCATTATCGAAATTTTCTTACCAGCCTCCAAAACTCTGGTCTTTAAATGGGTTGCTGGAGAAAGTGTATATCAAGCAAATATATATTTAAAAGTCTAAATTCGTATGTCCTTTGTTTCAGGTCTCGCAAACGTGGTCCAAGTAGCTCCTACGATTTGGGCTATGGGGAGCGGGACGACCAGATGAACGAGTGTAATGCTGCTCTTGTGCTCATGTCGCTTAGCTGCTCCCCAAATTCACCAAGACCAAGTAAGGTTCCTTAAAAGTTAACAAAAAAATAGCGTAGCCCCATTACTCACCCGCAACATGTGAAAAGCGTAGATATTCAAGTAAGCTCTGTGTTGACGCGAATAGTCAAAACCTCGTTCTTAAATTAAATTCTATATATGTAATTTTAGGACTATGTTTCGCGTTTCAAACCGTAAAAAATGTATTATTTTTTACGGTTTTGAGTTACCTAAATTAAACGATTAATTTGACGAGAACGACGAACGAAAGATTTTTGGTAACCAAACCGCTATAGCTTGAATTGAAATTTTGACAAACTATGCATTTGTGTGGCTAGTACAAAAAAATACTATAATATTAATAAATACATTTTAAAGAAAGTTACCATATAACAAATGTGATTTTTAGTTTTAAAGAAACAAGCTATCTTTCATTATTAAACTATGAACAATCGAACTTGAACTAATAAAAAAAAACACATTACAATATAGATTTGTTGTTATCTAGTGTATGGTATGACAACTTCAACAACCCGAGTCAAATTCCCACTATACCGTTTTTAATTTTCAATAAGCCGTTACACAAATTATTCGGCGATGTCCACCGATTAACTAGTTATGCAAGCGAGATTGTACCAGGCCGAATAGTTACGCGTTATAGACGTTGCGTTACATAAACTAACATTACTAGCTCAGTTACTGGCACAGCTTTCCACTTTCATATCTAGCAAGCAAATTACGGATTCCACTCGTAGAATATTCTAGATTCTCTTATACGTAACGCTTTGTGAATATTATGAAACGTGTTAGAATAGAAATATTTAATTCGCAGATAACTTAGTTTAATGTAAAATCTACAAAACGATGATAACGTCTAGACCGAAGTCTAGACTTAGTCTAGACAGGTATTCGGTGGAGCTCTTGTGTATTGAGATCTAACCAAAATTGTGCTAAAGAATTGTGTTATTACTCGAGCAATCTTGGACAAAAGCAAAGGGATTTTAGCATCAAGCAGCGGGGGGGAGGGGTATTATTGTTGTATTTCGTGAGAACAAACAAACTCAAAGGCTTTAGCTACCAGTGTAAGCTATCTAACGTCTTCTTTGAACTTAAGGGTAAAGGATATATAATTTATTATATTATAAAGATATAACTTTGGAGGTTTATATTGTTTCAAGCTACACGGAAAGAGGGGATGTTCCGATTATTTTTTTATAACCAATTAATCTCACTAGCTAGGTTATATTAAACATTGTTTTGACAAAATCGATTCCGCAATTAAGTCTGACTGAACTGAAGTATGACTGACTTCGTTTGGAAAACTTACATATTGCATTGATGGTAGGTATTTTTAAACTCCTTCATCTTCCACAGATAAAAAAGATATGAAGTCTGTATAAAGCGCTTCCGTATTAATCTGTCGATTTCCAATATCCAAAACTAGATTGATCAGCAGATCATGTTTCGGTGATATAGACTTAGTTATCTCCTCTTCCATTTCGTCCACTACTACAATAGTCTAGCTTGTCCTACTCTCATCATCATCATCATTATCAGCCCGTTTAGGTCAACTGCTGGACGTAGGCCTCTCCCAAAGCAAGGCCCTCTCTTGAGCTCTATTTATCCATTCGCTGCCGGCTACTTTAGGTCATCAGCCCACCGTGCTACTGGTCGTCCTATATTGTCATGAAACTTGCATAATGCCCGTAAATTAAGTCAAAAAACAATACCAATACGTAATTAATAACTCAATGGTTAGTGCGAATCGTAAAACTTTACGATGCATCTCCAAGTCAGCGTCGATGTATGTGTGCCGCGAGAAAATAGACGTGCTTTCGAGTGAAAGTGGCTACGGATTGACTTCCGTTATACTTTTATGTCGCTAATGATTGTGATTCGGTACTTTTAGCTTAGTTTGCAAGGAAAAAGTGTTATTTAATTGCCATCATAATTTCTTACATTACTTAAATAGTCGCAATTAAATTTTACTTGAGATAAAACACTACTCGAGCGAAGGCCTTGGATGGCAAAAAGTGCGCTACACTGATTTTTAGGTTGCTTGTTGGCTGTTGACGTATGACGCGATAAATATAGGTAGTATGTATATGTATGCATATTATGTACTAAGTAAATTAATATATTTACTTATAAATTGACGTAAATATAATTAATGATTACGTTATATATATATATATATATATATATATATATATATAAATTACAATATTATTAATTTTCTTTTTCGTTTATTTTCTTATTCAGCACACTGAAGAATCACAAGAATACAGATGATACTACAATTTTATTTTTTATATTTGACGTTTATGCTTTTAACAATTTTTCTGGTACAGCATTCTCTCTGATTATTTAAGTTGCTTATATAAGCGAGTTCTAATAAATATATAACTTTTGTGGTTTTTTTAGGTGCATGGGGAGGCCGTTCATCGGTATCACCTGGTGCAAGCAGCAGTTCCGGTTCATCATGGCGCTCCGGCACACCCTCACCGCCACCAGTGTCTTCCTCCTTCAGTGACGAGGGTATAGCCATGGACTACGAAGACCATCATCCAAGGAAGAGGAGGGTTAGTATCTATCTCTTTTGGTTGCTCTCGTTCTACCTTCGTTTACAGGTAGGACATTAGCTAAGTTACGTTTTATTTCGTTCCCAGGTGGATATGGCGAGAGTGATTTCGGGGACAAAGCATGCGTTTATATAATACATAACATACCTAGTAGATACACGAACGGTAAGAATAAAAAAAAGAATTACTGCCCGACTTGGGGTATAAGGTAAACACATTGCTATGTCCGTTACTATTTTGTATTTGTAGACAAGCAGGCCGAAACTATATTAGGTATTTATAGTGTAATGTTTCCCTGGACTTGAACCCAGTACTTTAACCGTTGAGCCACGTCGGCGAAGAACGGTAAGAAAGAATATTTAAGACTACAATTTTTAACCTCCTAATGTTACAATTACGTTATTTTGAGATCTCCTTCAATTAGACCGTGACACGAATCGAGCTCGCTTTCATATAACCAAGTGGATATTATGTACAACCGCAAATTAAGTGGCTTTATGCGTACGCGTAGCTATGTCACACCTAAAGGATCATTCATTTTGTATATGTAGGACTACATTCAAAAATTGTGTTTTGAGATTCTCTAGGGCCTTAAAATAAATATCTAATCATAGTTATACAATTACATATTTAATTTACTTACAAAAAACCATGTACTAATAAAAAAAAGGCGAAATACGTCGCCAGCGCATCGTATTGAGATGTTATATGGCTCGGATTTTTAGACTTCCATCAAGTGAATCCCGTGCTTGTCTATCCTCCTTTATCATTAAAAAAACGTTAGTAAGCCATGGTTTTTAAATTATCACGTATAAATATAGATGCAGAAATATATCGTATATGCCAGACTATAGTTTTATGACGCATGACGATATGACAGATATAAATTCCAAGTCTTTTGTTCTAGTCTGTGGCGTCTTGATTGGCGTAGCGTTATGTTCCTTTGTGTAGCCAATGCGTCTAACATCTGTAATACGACCTTTGCATACAGAACTTTCACTATGTTAACCACGACACCTGTTCAAGCTGGTCCCCGCTAGAGGATATTAAATCAAATTCTACAAGAGCCTCTTATACCTTGTATATATAAGGTAAAATTTGAACAAATTTCAATCAGTGTCAATGTTGGTTTTGGGTTCAAATCTTGCCTATGTATTTTTTTTTCAATAATTTCAAACATATCGTTTATCAGTATTCGGTCTCAAAAGCATTGTGTATGTGGAAATTTATCATTTTTAATTTATCTAGGCCAAAGACTATAATGACATCAACATCACGTTCATATAAAAAAACACAGTTACCGGTTTGAAATTATCTAAAATATTTTGTTCTTCAAGCAGATTATTTCTTGGTGTAAACCACAGACTATATTAAAAGTTGTTTAGTTTTGACAAAATGTCAAATGTCACATATTAAATGAGCCGTACATTATCTGTGAAGTACATATTACTTACTGCGTTTACGTTTAACATAAAATGTGGTGAGATTAACTTACACGCGCTCACACAAAAGTGTTTAAACATTATATAATACTGAAAGCATAATATATACCTATAATGATTAACGATACACGTGGCTGTGTCGTACAATGTCAAGGTGCAGCTCTGCGGCGCTGCATTATGCAACGCCATTGTAAAATTGTCGTTAAATATATACACATATATTATTATGTACAGATCCGTAACTCACTTTACGTATCTACTCTAGTGTGTAAAGCACGAGAGGTGCTGGGTTTGAATCCCATGGAAACAGTATTTAATTGTCTGGCAGGGTACAAAATCCGATCAGCTAATTCTCTGTAAAAAAAACAGTAGAAGAGACATAGTTATATGTCCTTTATTTTCACTTGTTTTACAAATACTGATATCGTTAGTCAACCGCTAGATCCAATTCTCAATATGTTTCTAAATTATTTTATATCTTTCTAAATAATCGTTAAAGTTAGTCATTAAATATGACACTGAAAAATCACGGATGATTGTTCAAAAACATAAATCCGCGATGCGGTTTCAATCTGTAGACCTCCGAGCGTCCATAGTCAATATAGATCGACAACGCATCTTATGAATTGCCTTTAAATGACAATAATTTTCTCTGACCTTAATTCTTTAAAAAAATCTGTGATAATTTCAGATATTAACGGGACGTACAGACAGTATTTTAATACGTTTTATATAATCCGCACATTTTTAACAATTCTTCCTCTAACTAAAATTTTTAATTGGGTCTCCTACTTCGGACTATTTATTTCGCCACCTCAAAGTACGTAAAATCTTATTTAGCATTCACACACGTACCATTCATGAATCAATGACGCGAAGTGAAAAATAGACGTCCACCGGCTGCAGTACAAAACGCGCCAAACATTTCATGACTTCAGTCCCACGCTCAGCTAACCTTGTATCTACGCCAAAATAACGTGGGCTCATCTCACTATTATAGTTGCGTAACTAGTATTTACACAAACGCCGTGCAAGCGTGATAAAATGATGTACAAGAACATCTTCACGAATATAATAATGACCTTTTACAGTAACAAGTTTAATACAAGTTATAATTAACTTATTTAATTGCCTCCCTAATCTAGTGGTCATTTTACTGAAAATCACTAGGTGCTAGATTCGAATAATGGATGCGAATCTTAGTTTAGGTTTTTCTAAGAAACAATCGAGTATTAAATAACGGTAACGGTTTAAACGGCGATATATATCAGTTAAATTTATTTGAAAGTAATTTTAACTCCATCCATATTTTAAATCCAGCCCGACTTCGGATGCTTTGCAAAACATACGTTTTACGCCGTTTAAATATTTCATTTAAATGTGTACTACTCGCGTATACAGATAGTATTAAATTCTAATACCATTAGGGTAATGTGTACTACGTTAGGTTACAATTAGCAATTTGGTTAAAGTATTCGTTAAAGCCTGCCTGTTCGTTACCATTGTGATTAGTTTACTTTAATAAAAATTTGGTTAGTAAATTACAAATCTACTTTGTAGGACTTGTTACAGTCGCCGCCAAATTAATCACACGACGCCCGGCAACTGTGCATTGAATGTCACGTTATTGAAAATTGCTCTTTAGAAATGGGATAATGATGATAGCAAAGCAAGAAAATACATTAGGGTTCGCTGACACCTTTATTGCTTCGCGCCTATGCCAACATATTTCTTTTCCGAATTACACCGTTACTTTATTTATTATTCGGAAAACAAGATAATGCGTTATACAAGAAGAACAATCACTATGTTTTATTCGATGTATTAACTTAATTTGTAATTATTAATTCTTCTTCTTCTTATTTGATGGCTTTCCATTCTAAATGCATTCTGCCATTGTCATGTCTCTATGGATAGAACGACAGCGCATGATAATATAAACTAAAATATGAAATTCAGTTTTCTAAAATCAAATTGACGATTGACAAAGTAGCATAAAAATATTTTACAGATAATAAATAATTATACAATAAACATAGACAAGTAGGTAACTACAGGAATACAGTAAATGCCAATACTTGGATGGAAAGAAGAAAGGATTGTAGGGTATTATTATGATAAGAAAAATACATTGCACTTATAAGTACAAACGAACCCGGTCGTAGAATTGTGTAGTATCTTTTTAACTAGTTTGAAATAGTTTTATTATATGTAACTTTAACTATAGATATAAGAAAATATAGTTACCGATAAGGTCGCGTTCAACGCCGGCTGGCTGAAACGTAAGACGGATTGATTAGGAGAACTTTCCGCCTGATTAGCGCCAAAAGTAACCCAAGAGCAAATACATTTTTCTCGATATCACTCTGGGATAATCGGAGTGGGAGGTCAGCGAACTCACGCATCGCCCGACACGTCATGTGAACTGGGAACCAGTTCTTGTGCACCACTTACCCCACAACCACTATCCATGGCGGGAAACGAGCATCAATTCATACTAATTTTGCGGTACTTTGTGGCTACGAGGACTTATTTGCAATGTTGAAATGCATTAGCCATTACATTTCCTAATTGGCATGGCAACCAAGTTGTGAAAGTCCAGAGATACGGAAGAAATTTTAATAAATTGTTTCTCTTCAGTTTTGTGTCATATATGTGTATCAGTAATTTATAAGTGTTTAAATATTATGAGAATTAGCAGCGCAAACATTTGTTTGAATTTACAAATTATAACAGTAAAATGTGTCTATATGAGCATCGGTCAAACATTCTTTAATTTTTCTACATTTGTGTTAAGACTAACATGTTCACTACAGGTAGCTCAAACTTCATATCTGACTTGCTTTACCGAATGCATCTACTACATATTATATATATAATTGGCTTAGCATCCCAAGCAAAAAAGCGTCTTAGTCTTAGTGCACACGATTTTGCCCATTGTATGCTGACGTCATGCGCGCGCGTCATATTTGCATCACGACAATACTTTATATCGTGTCAAATCGTTACATCATTGCCAGCTGTATTGAGAGAATTAATCATTAATAAAATAATATTACGTTGAATAACTTCTTTTTACATACAGTTGCTTATAAGGCATCATAAGGTAATTGCAGTAAAAAAGATATTATATATCAGTCAATTCAGTTTGTTATCCACTGGATGTATTACTAATAAAATAAAACTTAATATAAATGATTACAGTTCATTTGCAAATTAAAAAAATAAGTTAATAACACACAGAAATTACGTTTTGTAATTAATTTGATTTTTTTTAAATGTTTATTTCAGTCGTGACATTAAACCTTTTACTTAACGTCTTACGAAAGATTAAAAAAATCATGTGTAAATAAATCAAAATATACATTTTAATCTGTACTTGTCTGAAATCGATAAAATAATGATTTTAATTTATGTATATAACTGGGACAGCCCGAAGGGCTCTCTACAACTTACCAACTCTCGGCTAGTGAAAAATGACAGGAAAAATCCAAATAGCGAACTGACATGGTGCCCAATACTGATTTTGATCAGCCATCAAATAAAACTATAGGCAAATAAAAGAGTTACGGAATAAATCGAAGGAAAATATTTGCAATAAGAAAGCACGAGTAATACGCGATAACTCTACACACGTGTAGATTTTAATGTAACCTCGAAAGCATAAAAATCGATAAAACAAACGTATCTACACGCGCCTAATATTTATGTACGTAATAGAACAAAGGTTGCCTTTCAACCGCAAAATAAATGGGTCAGATAAACATTGTAGAAATGTGTAAGCACTGTATTGTATATCAACAAAATAATTACCTCCAATATCCTTCATAAGTAGATCGTCCACAGATGTAAGTCACTAAATAGTTCAAATTTAAATAGTTGAAAAGTGTTTTATTCAACACAACAATGTTAAGGTTAAGGCCGGCAATGTAGCTAATTCTAGACTAGGCTACGCAACAAACACAGATTATGTAACTGATAGACCTAACGTAATAACGTAAAACAATTTATCTACGTAAATGTGTAGTATGGAGGGGCAGGCCAAAACGATGTGTAATGATTTCCCGGCTATATTCTTTTTTTTTTGATCGAGGAGGATCGACAAGCTTCGCGTTCATTTGATAGAAGATAAATATAGCTATATAACACCTCGCAAAATTACGAAATTAAGTCTATCGAGTGAATTTGGCCCTGGACATTCGGAAAGCCACAGACTAAAAGCACAACGCGATTAAACTTCACGGCTTTTTCATCTGTGGACGATAAAATTCCTTCTATTCATTTATAATCCAGATATCCGGACGGATCCAACATGTTTTAGGAAAATTATAAATTGATTAAATACATGTTGGACCCATTGATTATAAGTCGTAGAGTGTTACTATTAGACCAATGAGAATGAAAAATCGCGAAACAGAGCTCTAGTTTGTATGTCGTGGTCTACAGTTAAAAGATAAAATTATAGCGCAGAAAATACAGACTATATTATATTCATTCATAGATATTAAATATGACAGAATTTAAAGTTGTGTTGTCGGCTTTCCACGTACGGCTACGTATTGCTGGTGGGTTATAGTTATAAACGCTTAATTTGAAACTACTGAGACGACACAATTTTCAAACGTACATAATGTCACGAGGTCCAAGGCAACTACGTCAACGAAGAGGTACGTACGTGTTGCGAAGGTCGCTTTATCGTTGAGCAATGATAAAATAAGCCAATTGTTATCTGGAGAGGTGGCGGGCGCAACTTCCGCGTGTGTTCACGGCCGAAGCAATTATACTTAGATAATTATTAGAATCGCAAATCATCTTGGCGCGAAGAAGAATTTTTACGGGTTCCCCATATTTCTTGTAAGTTTATTACTCGTAATTTCGGTATAACTGTTGTAGTGAATAAAATAAATAAGCTTTAACTGCAATTAAAAAACTAGTAGGCAGGTTATACGCAAATTATAAAAAAAATAAAGCGTTATTGTTTAAAAACGTGTTTATATGGTGAGGTATGCCTGTAGCAGATAAAACAATTAATTCACGAAAAAAAATATAAATTTTTCATTTATTGTTTTTCATTTTTACCCTTAAAAAAACGCTTGAAAAGAAAAAAAGCGGGAATGACCACAATTACTTAAACGCAATCCGCAATTAAAATAGTAATTTACAGATACAAAATGTTTCGATTTTTCTACAGACAACGCAACTAAATCTGTATTACAACACCGACTTCGATGACCCAAAACACTATCTCACCGCTCCATTTTAGGATTGCGTGTTAAAAATTGCGCAGAAGTTTCGTATTGTTGCTTCGGGTATAAATTTAACACTGTCCCAAAAAATCCGTTACAATCTATCAAGTAGCAGACAAAAAATATGTCATTTGCTTTTGACGTCTTTTCAAGGTTATATAACGTTATTGTGTATTTCACCACAGATAAAGCAACGGCCTTCGAGATCTATATTTAAGACGCGGAAGACATTGCGCGCGTATTATTCCTCGCTAGTTGGTAAACAGTTAGGCGTATAAAAGGCAACTGGTCACGTTAGTACTTTAGCTTTGAACACACTTCTCGAGTCTCATACTTAAACTTAGCGAGTAGCATCTCAAAGTGTCAATAAAATTAATTTACAAGAATCTTTCATAAAAGAAAACAATTACGTAACGAATTTATAATTAAGTGTATATACACTGCTTTAAAAATGCAATTTAACATGTAATTTTGGAATTTAAAGATGCATTTACAATACTGTAGTTTTAGATATTTACTGTTTATACTGAAGATTTTTACTGTACATCAACGGAGCTTGTGAAATCCCGTTTTCCTTTGTGGAACATAAGACAGCTGTGACTTGTTTTAAAATTATTATTTATTTATTTATCTATTAACTTAAGGACTGCCGACGTTTTATTATAATTACTAACATATATAGTATAACTCAATTTTAAATGGGTAGAAGAAAAATGTGTAAAGCAGTTATTGATAGACACAACATGTAAATTACTGCTTCACGATTAAAACTTAAGACCATCGCGCTTACTAAGCCACGGAGGCGTTCCACTAAATATTCTATGAAACTGTAAATGCGTTTTCCCGACCACTATTTTCCACGAAAACCACTCACACAATGGCGATATGACCATTAGCTATTCTAAAAACTACCACGCCATAAGTCGCTCTGTACTTTTTTCGATAATTGCCTCTATATCGATCAGAATTGCCAGTACATCAACCAGAACAGCTAAGTACATGTGAGACTGCGTTGTGCAATCGCGAAATAGGTTACATCCATATAAGCGACCTAGATACACGCTTACATTACTTCACCGAGTCCTTTGTGTCGAACTGACTGGCTGCACTATCAAATAAGGTCAGATATTTCAATATTTATGCTCGGGACTAAAAGGTAAACATAGTGGTTTCATAAAATTCTCTTTGTTTTCCGGGTGACGTCACTGACGCTAACTTAGATATGGCGTTATAAAGGTACGCACGAACTTCATTTTTGTTGTCTCTCCGTCCCGCTCTTCGGGTCATCGGCCGACACACCACGCAACTCCCTTGTTCTAATAACCCTCGACGTATCAGTAGCTTGATACATCGCCGTTCTGTTGAATCACAAATATGTCTTTTGACATTCCAACTAACAGTACTGACCGCTCGCCTAACTACATGGCAGTTATCTAAATGTACGGATTCTCCTAACTCTATTTACCTGTTTTCGTTGTTCGCGACAGATACACATAGAATAAAACAAATTTAAACAGTTTCAAATGCGAACTTTATAAGCATTTTTAGATGCTGGAAATCCTAACTACAGCGTTTAATTTCAATAACTATTACATACATAAACAAACCTTAAAATAACTATTAATTAATACTTACTTAAAACATTGATCCTAAAGTTTAGTGTGCAGTTAACCATCTAAGAATTAACGTTTTACCTGAATTAGTTCTACTCTTGCGCACTGTCGGTACAAAAAATTTGCCATGCCAAATTTTGCGTGCTATCACCATGTGGGTGGTGTCATTCACGTTTGATTTTGGCTACAGATTAAGCATATCCTAATTCTCACATTTTATACAGCATATAGATAAAAAAATATTGTTTTTTTTCTATGCGTGTAAATGCACCAGCCAGCAATGTCATCGGGTAGGTGGCGATACGTTTTTTTACCGGCACCGTCGGGGCAATGACTCCAAGAACGGAGCACTGCCCGTTCTTGACAGTTCAAATGTTTACATCTCACAGGATCACTTAATACTCCAATCGACGGTTTACCTCGGTGACTAATAGTCAATTATTAATTTGAATGCGACTATTGTTCTATTATTTGGGACTATACGCGACGTGATACTTCGAAAATTAGTAATGTATAAGTACCCAATATATAATAATGAGTAAGTAGGCATAAAATTAGTTTTTTTTGTTGTTTTTATTTGTGCTTACTCTGTCCAAAAGGTTACTAAGTAACGTCTAAGTAGGTTTTAAGCGAATATTTAGGTTTGCTTTGCTTCTGTAAATTTTGGAGGCCTAATTAAAAAAATAAGGAGTTAGTCATGTGGTGGTGACAGCGGGAACAATAAGTACGGCGAGTTCAGCAGACGTGATAATGACTGGTCCCGCGGGTTCAACGAACTCCCTATTTTGCAAGTAAAATAAGCTCGATTCGACATCGAATCTGTACCAAATTCCATCAGTTGAATGTCCACTATAAATCGCGTAGTCTTGTGGCGGTGCCAAAACGCGACAACACATTCGTTTCACATTGAACGAGATCGGCGAGATTCAGAGTTTGAGGGCTGAAAGATGTTGTTAGAAAAAGTGAAATTGTAACAAGTCGGAACCAGTTGAGGTCGGTGACCAGCGAGGCGTCTATACCTCGATTGGCAACTACAACGACCGACTGATTCATCATCGCTGCTTTGCCACCTTCGCCGGCCGGCATCAGATTCTGACTCATTTGATACACCCATTTCAGAACTGCAATTAAAGCTACAAATATTCACACCGAGTTTACAAAAACCCGACTAGACATATAAATTTTAACGCCTCCATATTTATTTAGAAATCTGAACTTTAATTTCGCGCCATTTTTACTTTTGACAATGCACCATTTGACACATCATTCGTTATAATCGGTTCAATTTTAATCTGTAGTTTGACAAAATCTCGCTTTGTCTGGGTTACCTGTGATAATCGCCGACTATTCTTCAACAAAAACTCGGCATCTCCAATAACTAATAAGTATTATAACCTATGTGTATCGAAGTGGTTGTACGTGTGTGGTTTAAGGATTCTAACAAAAAAACTTCGAGGGTTAACCGTCTGAGGGCGAATGCGGGGTAAATGCCCTGCTCGGTTTTCGACAGCATGAAAGAGAAATTCCACCTGTGGAATTTTGATTTTGAATTCATTCATCTACATTTAATCATTAATTCTAGCTATGAAGGTCTTTTAGTCTATCTCATCATTACTATATATTTTAATCTATGTGTAGTTTCCCTTATCTTATTAAATAGGTATTAACGCGAAATATTAATTAATATATGAATCAAATTTGTTTATTATTTAAAACTAATTAAAAATCATTAGAATGTACACAAAGCAGTTAGATAATAAACATTCTTGTGTTTTCGCATTTAATAAATTCTTAAAATCGATTTACCAAAACAGGTACAACACAATAGCCAAGTGAGAAAAAATATGATTACTGCTCCTTACGATATAAAAGAATCATTTCAGTGCATTGACCTGATGCATCTATTCCCCCCCAGCTGAAGGGAGCGGGTATATTCCGCAAAATAATAACCTTTTTCACCCTTTGTTGTACTCGGCTTCTCTGCTCAAAAACCATAAGTAATTTTTAACCTAAGTACAAAGTATGTTTAATAAACATTGTCGCCATTTTTAGACAAAGCCGACCACGTGATTTTGCACCATATGAGACACGTGACAGCTACAGTTTTACAAAGGATTCAGTGAAACTTTGTTACTTTAACACTTTACTTACTTAAATTATAAATAAAAAAATAACCGTTTAAAAGGTCGAGTTGTATTTAAAAGTTAAATATAAGTAATTCGCTTTGTAAACCATAAAGTATTTTATTTAAATGTGTTCTACACGTGTACTAAGACAGTAATGACTTAAATTCAATCATCTTAAATAATAAACTACTTAGTAACAATTTATTATTGTAGATTGCGCATTATGTTAGTTAGGAAAATGAAGCCGCTAAACTGCAGATCTTTCAAAGTATCTTCCACAGCGGTCGGTTATACAGTTAGAACGAGATGACATCAAAACAATTTATCTAGCCCCGATACGTGAAGTAAATAAACGGAAGGTCACTCGTGCGCGATAAAAATATACCGAGTGCATAAGTTAGAAAGAGATGCAATGAAAACAAATCAATAAGTCATCTCGCCACAGCGTTCTTACGTAGAAAGAGATGGCGCAACAACAAACCGGCATTTTATCCGGCATATATTACTTCCTAGGTTCAAACGAAAATGGACCTTATGCCATTTTAAATAGTTCTTGAAATTGAAAACTTATTTAATTCTATACCTACTTCGTTGTCCCAGAAATGTTCATTACTGGATTAAAGCGATTTTTAATGAGAGACATAATTATTATATCAAGTCACGTGAGTTCTTTTGTGTTTCGAAAAGTGTGAAAACTATGTTTTGACGTCTGTATTGCCAACAAAGAATTCCACAGAGTATATTAGGTATATATATTTTACAGATAAAAAATCTATGCATTTTCAAACATCTGTCAAAATTAAAGTAACCTTAATCCGCTTCACAAATGATATTCCCCTTGTATTCTTGGCCATATCTCGGCCAACTCGAATTAAATCATCACCGAGTGCACACTAATAGCTCTAATATACTGCATAGTGCATACAACTGCGACTCAACACACAGACAAAAGTTCCGGCACGTGTAACGCGTACAGATAGCACACAGCTACAGTATTCAGGGACGCGTCTTTACATAAGTTTTAAAGTCTGTTGCATTTAATATGCAATGTTGTATTAACTATTACAGCTGAAATTATGATTTACGTATTTCTAAAAGTCTAAATCAAACTTAAACATTATTCTTTGTGAGTCAGTCATACTTATGTGCCATGCTAGACTGAAATAATTTTTGCTTGAAATCGAATCGTGTATCAATTGCGTTTGAAACAATGCTAGGCAATGCGTTTAACCTTTATGCCACGCAAGCGTTTGAAATACAAAGGGAAATCATAATATTTTTGCTATGTGCTATAGTCTATGGTATGTATACTCGAGGCATTATCGAGGGGATAAACTAGGTCAGTAGTGCAACGAGGGTTGGGGAATGGTCCTTCCTGAAATTGACTGTACAGTCCACTTTTACACTATTACAGGACTCGGAGTTTTGTTATGAATCTATGGTAACACGTAAGATTAAAAGTATATAAACTTTTTCAATTAAAAGATTGATATCAACAAGTGCAAAGGGCACAGTTATTGACACTAGCCGGCAGTTGATTCATTTCCTATTTTATGACGTCACAAGCCTGTATTACGAATCACAGATTATATATTAAAGACTCGTTAACACAAAAGATGAGCGCAACCTTCGACCACCACCCTTGGCCGTGGTGCGCGACCCAGTTCGCAGTCCCCCCACCCGCCTGTGACCTAACCTAGTTTTAAATGCACTTGATTTAGCTTCAGCTAACCGCCGTTATTGTCGCTCCGATAGCAACCCAATTCGCGTCCCTGACATATCACAAGTCTGACGTCAGGCTCTAGGCAATAACCCAACTGCTACGGAATTATATAACGCTTCTTTACAACAGAGTCCCAATTCTGCTATTTACATGTCGCTAGCATTGTACCATACCAGTGTCGCGACACTGGCCTACATGCGATTATCGTTAGGTAGAATAGTCTTTATTGCAATGGCGATGAGTTGCCCTGTAGCTGGCGCGACACTTGAAAGCAACGGATCCATGAGGAGGGGCTTGAGCTGGTTCCAGGACTTATTGAAGATATACATAATTTTATCTCGTATCGATAAAATTATAAGTTCTTGAATTGACCTCGACTGTGCGAACTCCTGGCAATAAAACTGGGTCCACCTTTGTTTGTAATCTTAATTTTCGTAGATCTATACCAAAGCAAATCTTATTTGAAAGCTTAACGAACTGTTAAGTTATGAAAACTAAGCGTTATTCTGTATCAAAGATGAATTCTAGAGGGCGTGGCCCGCAATATTGCACAAGTCTGAACGCTCGCTGCCCGTATTAACACATCAGCGAGGCCATGGCCTAGAACTGAATCTATGTACTCGTCACCTTAATAAGAACAATTAGACATTAGAATATTTCCTACTGTGCTAATGTTAACTATACTCACTAAGTTTTCCTTCGCTCCAGGTAAACAGCGTCGTCTTCGAGTGCACCTGGAGGGGCTGTGGATTCATCACAAACACCTGTTTCTCCATAGAAGCTCACATTAGGCAAACACACTTGGGGTATGTATTGCTTCCCTGATTCATATGTGCAGCTTAAAATAGAATCTCGAATTATTCCCCTAATGGAGGGGGCTGGGGGGCAGGAGGAAGTTTCTACTGATGGGTGTGCATTCTTTAACAGATGGTATTTTCTCGAAGTGATGTTGTGCCTACCCGGAAACAACAACGTTTCGCGACAAGGCTGATCGCAACAGCTATATAATATTGATACACCCGGTACACGTTTAGCCGGCACAAGGCCGCTGAGTGCTCCCGCTTATGTAATTGCACTTGCAACAGATATTTTTATCCACATTGTCTTATTATATCATGCAATGGAAATAATTGAGACTATTGAATTACTTTTTCACGCCGATCACAATTAAAACTACGCATTTTAATTTAATTCACTTACTAATCGCCATTTTCCTTCAATTACATAGTTTTTCAATAAAATAAAATGAAAAATTACTAATGTTTTTGCCATATGAAATATTTTCACGACATTTGTTTACCATATAGAAAAACAAGTCGCGAGGCCCGGACATTTTATTAAATCATGCATATTTTTTAATTTAAGCAGCGTATGCAATGAGAATCCACAAAGATGAATAAGTTTCCCCGTTTTGCCACTTCTCCACTTTTCCCTTTATTTCTACGATCGTGTTGGTCGCAGCTTGACGTTTTATAGCCTTTCTCGATAAATGCTCAAACCAACGCAACATTAATTATACAATTCGAAATAGTAGTCCCTGAGATAAGCGTCTACAAACAAACAAACTCATCACAAGCTTTATATATTAGTAGTTAGTATAGTTAAATGTGGGATACTTATAATAATTTCTAATAAATTGTTGCAGACCAAAGAAGGAAGGCGAAAGTGATCATGAAGAAGAGTTCTATTACACGGAACGCGAGGTATCTGCGCCGGCGCCTCCTCCGACCCTATCCCACCGAGACATGTGTCGGCCACCACATGAAGATCCTGATTACCAGCGACAAATCGTTGGATCCTACAGGTACCACAACATACCACATTACATATCTAATATGCATTACGTAGTCTTCGCTATATTTTCATTTTCTTAGTCTCTAAGAGTTGTAGCTAATATTTTTCTTGGTATTTTCCAGGCAAGGGTTGCTATCAACGATGCAAAATATATCTGCGAGGTCCATAAGCATTCCCGTAACGCATTCCTGGTCAAACTCACAATCACCGGTATGTTTGCTTCCAGAGTTTATTTAGACCTAATCTTAGTAGGAATTATAATGATGAACTCATTAAGATTATTATATGAAGTGTCGCTTTTCTCAAATTGCAAACGATTGATATAAAAGTATTTAAATCATCAACTGTCGCTTTTTGGACCGTTAAAAGTGTTTTATGTAACTGCGACTACCCACGTAATTTACAGGCAATTGATGTAAACATTGTTTCCAGAAACACATGAAAATATCAGCAACGGGCGGTTCACCGGGCAGCCCTGGGCGCAGAGCTCGCTCCGACAACAAGAAATGCCGTAAAGTGTACGGCATGGACCAGCGCGACCAATGGTGTACTCAGTGCAAATGGAAGAAGGCCTGCACCAGATTTGGTGATTAGCGATTACGCTCTGCTTTAGCGCCATCTGTGGTGCTGAATGCGAACTAATTCTCAGGGCAGCCATCGCCCGGCCGCGAGTGACGCCGCTGATATTATGAACTGTACCCCAAATGAAATCCACTATGATAAAATTTTACTTATAGATTTTAGAATACAACATATTCTGTTCTATGTTACAATAATGTAATTAACGGAGACATATTTTTCCCTTCCAAATGTGGCTCATATTTTGACTGCAACATGGAAATTGCCCACGTATTTTTGTAGAGCAGTAGAAATGCCTGCACACACAGACGTGTGTCGCTCTCGAACGGAGACTGTGGATATTATAGAGATAAGTTTAGACTTTCAATTAGACTGACTTTCGCTAAGTGTGAAAACATTTGCACATAACGAGTTTATTATTCTACGCCGATTTCCTAACTTGACGATTTGGTACACGCAGAAAGCACTATTTTATGACTATTTATCGATTTCTTTTATCAGCCGAGACATCCGTAGAATTACAAAATATATTTTTAATAAACATTATTCATTTGGTAATATATATACATTCGTATTTTGGATGAATCGGAAAAGCCTCATTTCAAATATTACATATTTAGTTATGTTATTAAAATCCGTCCAGGTTCTCAAAGTGCGCTTCTATGTGAATGTTTCCACACTGCGAATAGAAAATCGATTATAATTCGATTGTTATCGACTTACCACCCTCAGTCGAATCGAGGTGAATGTATCACTGCTTATTTATATGCATTGACTGAATAATTAGAAAAGAATAATTATATACTTAACGTAAGTTTTCTCAGGTTTGACTAAAAGACTAAACAAATTTAGATGGAACTTTATAAACATATCTGTACGTATACATTTGGTCCTACCGGAGTTTAAGACAATACTCAGCGGTGTGTTATGCTTTGGCGAGCCTGTCAATATGCTAGACGTAATGAAATATTGCTTGTAACGTGTTCAAAACAACTATCGTGCTTCAAACAAATATGGCTGATACGCACAACTATTTGACGTTCATAATAATAATCTTAATGGTATTCTAACTAGTACTACGGCATCGATATATTTCAATGACAGTTAGTTGAGCATAAACCGGATCGTTCAATTGACAGATTATATTTTGACAATTGACTTGGGAAAAAACGGGTCGTGGAATGAAAAAGGACAGTATAGGTTGCGAGATGCAATATTATATAATAAGTATTATCACATTAATTGTAAATATAAAAAAGGAAAATTATATTATTAGCTGTAAGGGAATAAACAGAAAGCAATGTTTGTAAATGTACCTACGTGTAATATATTTATATTGATAGTTATTAATATTGTTACTTAATGTGATTGTTAAAATCGATAATTTTTATAGAGACATGACGTGTTATATTTACGTTAATAGTTATATCTAGACTTTATATTGACGATGTAATTATCTTTTACATCTTGCGCGGTATATCCATACCTACTCCAGAGTTACCAGCATACATCGATTTTTCTTCTCTCCTTAGTTTAATAGAAGTTATATACAACTTCTGCATATTTAAAGTAACTGTGCCAATACTTCTTAAAGCATATCGTAGATGAAACATTGTTGCCCGGAATTTAACGAAACGTGTTCAATAAGAAATACATATTTAATTGTTGGTGCTTTAACAATAAACGCACATGTCAGATTTACGTGTCCAATAAAAATAAGAACTTGACATGTAAAATTCACACCCAGATTAGGTACAGTACGATGAAATGCTTGAAGTTAAAGAACGCAGTGCTACCGTAACGGGTTGTCACGAGTTAGGCGATCCATAAAAATAGCTCATGAATTTTTCTTGCCAAGCGTTAAGGCCTACAGACTCAGCACTGACATGCGCAAGCGACGTAGTAGGCAAACACTGCAGTTACATTTCAAAACAAAAAGTACCTGCATTCTTACCAAATATATATCATTTTACTTTCGTTCGCTGTATAAAGGTTGTGATAAAAATACTGTAATGGAAATTACGACGATTTTGCTTCACAAATAAATCCGCGCTAAAAGAAACCAAATGATAACTTTTAGAATAAGGCAACAACTCAGCTAGCGTTTTAACAACTGCCATAATATAAGGATCTAGTACCTAAATGTGGTTGATAAAGAGTATCATAGTTTAAGAAGTTAATATAAGTCGAAGTCATGATGTAGTATTTACTATTTAAAAGTATAAGTACAATTTACTCTTTCACAAATGCATAACATAGTTATATATACTTCTATTTTTCTAATATTGTCAATCTACTTAACTTTTTAGAGGATTGCAAAGACATCAAATCACTTATTTGCTGAGTATCTAAAAGTGGATAATATATATTTTCATGAAATTTAAATACATATTTTTAAGCCCTGGAAATTTTGAAGGCTAACTGCCCCCCCGGTGCTCGAGTTAGCGCTTGTTCATTTATAAATCATACACCGATCTCAATTTTTTTGAAGCTATTAGATTTATATTTACACAAATTTTTAAGATGTCCCTATTTTTATTTTGTGCTAGGATTTAACAATGATTTCTATCACATATTAGTAAAATTTTATTATTTTAATAGATTCTAATTTATTTAGCCAAATTTGCTCAATGTTGTATACACTCGACACCAAAGTCATAATAAGAAATGAAATCGAGCAGTACAAAGCGATCATGATAAAATACATTTTATTAAGGTTGTGGTCTTATATAAACGATGCAGGTCACGTATAGAATATGAAAGCATATTAAAATATCTATATGTCGTAAATAACTGCGGCGCTGCTGTACGCGACTTACTGCGTTTATAGCAGACCACAGCATTCTCGGTTATGGAGACTTGCGTTCATTATTGAGAGTTTTATTTATTTTGCAGGTGTGAAACAATTATAATGTACCAACTAGATGAATTTAATTTTAGAGAATTATACGCGAACGCTAGTCCGGACCTAAGTCTTATCTTGAATTGTTTGCTGGAATATTTTTAATTTCAAGAGTGTTGCATCCTTATTAATTATCGCTACTAGGTTTTATTTTAAACGTATTTTAGTTTAATGATATTATACCGTCTATGTTTTAGTTATAGTTTCAATCTTAGCTATTACCGATTTCAAACAATGCCTCGATACCGTACTTAGTCCACTGTACACTTTTAACGTATTTATGTTTTGGACAATTTTACTCACACATTTTTTTTGCGAAATTGTATTTTCTTGCTTGCCATTCTCTCTCTCTTCTTATCTTACCCATTACTGGTTCTAAAATCGGAGGACTATTGAAATTTGAAAATTCAAAATTAGAATATCATTTAATACTTATGTGAACTACTGTGCCTCTTCTCTCATTGATATGGTAAAAATTCGGTCGAATATTTAGGTTATAATATATAGGTGTACATAAGTAAATTCATCTTTCCTAGAGGGTAAAGGGTAAATTAGACAGGAAACATTTCTGTTTCCTGTCTAATTTACCCTTTACGAAGACCACTGCCTTTTCCCTTTGGATTATTATTTGTTCATTTCGTATAAATATGCTATCTTCGACTCTTATTTTAGTATTGACTAATGTGTGTAAAATACGTAATGTATCATAGTTTTCATTTTTCTGTGGATATCAAAATTCTTCCAATACCTGGCTATTTTTTTTTTGTTTCATATGCCTTGCTCGTTAACCTATTGTAATTAAAACGATTTATTGACTAGTTAGCTTTTAACATTATATATATTATCTGAATTCCAAGTTTTAATACTGTTATTGTTGTGGGCAATAGTTTTATGAAAATATGTCTCCTGAATGTATATATAAGTGAAATGTACCTATTGTACATATGTGTGGTTTTATCGATTAGAGAGCAGACTCGTTTCCTCGAGAAGAGAAAAATCTAATAATTTACATGAAGTGAAAACGATATGATACAAGTGTTTAAAAAATTTACTCTATCCTTATCTGTTCACGTTAAATGATTTTATATTAATTTTCTTTCTTATAAAAATGTACAGGCTTAGTAATTACTTCATTTAGTTTGGCTACTTGTTTTCTTACAAATTATGATTATATATTTTTCTTCTATCTCTAGCTCTGTACGGGCATAACCCGCCAACGTATTATAATTATATTCAAGATGGTTACCAGTAGATTTAAGATTTTTCTGTCGTATCAATATTGTGTATTGAAGGATATTATTGTTTCATACGTTTTGCTCTCGGATAAGTAGGCATATTTCCATATAATAATAGTTGTTATTGTCGATATCACAGAAGTTTTTACCGTTGTCTACTGTCAGCATTAGTTAGATGAGAAAAACAGTGATGCATTGTTCTAAATTTAAATAATTATTTTTTTTGTTTTTACTTAACTTAAAACACGAATATGTTCACATAAAAACAAAACACAATATAAAGGAAATAAGTCCGACAGAGCTATTTTATTTTTCACGTTTCTTTAAACTATAGAAATGCTGGCAGTTGATCTCCTGTGATATTTATAATTTAATAATATATATTCATAATCAATTGAATAGTTACATACTCTTTAGGTTACTTTTATTTATAATGATACCATTTTATGTTATGAATGTGTATAAGATTGTTTTAACTTAGTAAAATACCCATTGTGTGTTCCAAAATTATCGATCGATACACATTGTTTTTATATATGTAAGCTCTGTTTCGTGCCTAAATTTGTATAGAATATCCAGTAGCTTCGTATGTGTTTTGGAACAAAAAGTGTGCAAATTCCATTTGAAGTTTTATATATTTATTTGTTATTGTAATAAAACTAATTTTCAACATATATTCGTGTGCGATACTCCAAGCTCTCTAGTACCAATAAGTTTGTTATTAAGAAATAATAATTTGCATTTTGACCAGAATTTATCTGCTCAATTCATAACCATTTTATTATTGATTGATTGGTTCATTTCCACGATTTGATCCAGCAATAACAAAACTTACCTGTATTTTTATACAATTATTTCTTGAGAATAAATAGAAGTTATATTATTTGAAAGTGCCCAATTATGCATGTCATATTCTTGTTTTGAAATGTAAAATTGCGCTTTTCGCTAAAAATCTGTAATTAATAATTACCCACATACATAGGTATGTGCGTGAACAATTTTTCAATACATGAGATTTTTTTGTAACAAAAATTTAAACTGTGTGTAATAAGTAATAATTAAATGATAGATCTTATAATTTATTTTATATGTTACAATTTATATAATATTATTATACCTATATTTATTATTACAAATATAAATTTAGAAGATAATTTTACTCGTGTTTGAATTTACTTTTGCATCCTTTTTATGTAATAATGTTGTACTGCTACTATGATCCGCAAACAAAAAAATATATCTTGTATATAATTATGCTATATACATGGTGGATATTAAGAGAATCCATTGAGGGTTCTCTTAGTACACGGAGTATCTAATTACTTAAGTAAATTTAAATTACTTATGAATCCCGTTGCCTTATTTAGAAAAAAACAAAAAAGTTCAATTTATAAAACAAAATATACGAAATAAGTAATGAGAGTAAACCATAACCGTCACCAGCATGGAGTCTGAAATTCTATCTTTTTTTCAAGAATATTAAAAGGAAACCCATAGACTTGAGATGAATCATAAAAAAAAGGGTTGAGAAAATTAATAAAATTGTTTTTTCACAGACTTACGTCGAATTAAAGACGTATATTATCGTAGTCACTATCGCGTCTTTTATAATATGTAGACTGGACAAATCAATATGGCAATAATAAACTGTATTAATATTGTTTAAATCATAATACATTATGGCAAAGAGAAGTGTGTTTAATTTTTCTAGAAAGGCGAACTAAGTTCTTTGGGCAGACTTAACAAGTTTTCTTAACATGCAACACTGTCTGTCAGGCGAAGAACTAAATAAATCCTGACTCATTGAATCATTAGAATGATTTGGTTCGTTTAACCCGTTCAAACGAATGGTCGAGCAGTGTAGCCAACTTCTGAGTTTTTTCCATTAATATGGAGAGTAACAACTAATTAATAATAACACTTTTTAAAGGAGTATAAACTAGTAAATAAAGATACACTGCATAAGCAGTAAGTACAGCCTTTGACTATATTTAAGATACATATACAAAGTTATTTAATACCATGGTTTTTTTTTATAATTTAATTTTCGCTCGTTGTAGTAACACATTATACTAAAAAGTAAAGGTACGAAATACTTAAAAATTATTTTAATTCAGAAGAAAATTAAGTCAAAAAGTTAAAGAATATAAAATTTAAAGAAAGATTATTTTAGAAAGAATAATATTACATAGTTATCTTTATTGTTAGATTTTATTTATAATAAAAACATTAAAATATATACACATTTAATACTATTAGAATATTATTGAATCTATTTTTAAGGTGACTTAAGCTTTTTAGCTTGTTCTAGGGGGAACATACAGTTGGAGTTGGCATCACTGATATAAGAATTAAAATTTGTTTTGCTTTCAACTGTGTTTTTGAGCTCCGTAGTGTTCTATAATTACATCCTTGTTTGAAAATTTTAACACAACCAGGGTGCTGTTTGTTCATTGTTGGAGCCTAGTTTCGCCTTTATGCTAAAGGGAAATCGACTTTAATCCCGAAAATGGGCGCCGTTCTGGGCCTTTGTTCCGCAGCACAGGTAGGTCATCAATCGATTAATTCAACTTAACCATTTTCTTAATATTTGTTTCTAGTTTTAAATTATTTGAACATAAGTGTATTTACGATCTATACGAAGTAGGAACAATGTTTTTTAGAAAATTTATGCGGATATAATATGCCCTGATATTGTTTTACATTTCCTGTAAAATTATTTCTCAATATTACAGTTGGCGTGCTGCTGCGGAAGTGCTGCATGCTCCCTATGCTGTTCAGCATGTCCATCATGTGCCAACTCTACATCAACACGGCTTATGTATACACTTATGCTGTTACTGATGACCGTGGTTGCCTGTATTACACTTGCTCCTGGCTTACACAATGTGATGAAAAAGGTGTGTTTAACTACTATAAGACTAATGCTATATAAAATATGATGTCTTTGTTAAATTGTAATGTTTGTATAGACATATAAATAATACTTTCAGCTGATAAGCCACAGTTCTTAATCAACATCTTAAAATGTCTAATGTATGATCACACTCACCCTACTGTTGTATTTCAGGTACCATTTTGTGAAAATTCCACAGGGTTAATTCCGGGTAACATTAAATTTGACTGTGACCAAGCAGTAGGTTACTTAGCAGTTTATAGGTATGGATATTATTGAGCAAATATATTTTCTAAGTCTTAGGATTTTTTAATTAATGGTATTATTGTTCCAGGATTTGTTTTGCTACATGTCTGTTCTTTGTGTTAATGGCACTTTTAACCATAGGGGTCAGATCATCTAAAGATCCTCGAGCTGGAATACAAAATGGGTGAATAGAAAATCTTAATTTTTTGTTTGTAGTTTACAAAAGCATATATTATTTACTCTTTAAAACTCAAAGTCATGGTGGACTATAGATGTTGGGAGTTCCTTATTTCAAATACCTACCTCAATACCTAAGTACAATAATTTAAAATAAATATGTATTTTTCTAGTTTCTGGGGCATAAAATACCTTGTTGTGATTGGCGGAGTTATCGGTGCATTTTTCATACCAGAAGGCCAGTTTGCATCAACATGGATGGTTTTTGGAATGATTGGAGGATTCTGTTTCATTATAATTCAACTCATACTTATTATTGACTTTGCTCATTCTTGGGCGGAGAGATGGGTTTGTAAGTAAAGACAAATTGTGTCAATTATATATATTATATTATTTTAATACATAAAGTCTAATATGTTACTATTTTTTAGCAAATTATGAAGAATCACAGTCTCGTGGCTGGTATGCAGCATTGCTTCTCGGCATGCTGACCTGTTATGCACTTGCTATTACTGGAATTACACTGCTCTTTATTTTCTACACCAAGGTAATGAGGCAATGATCATAAAAAAACATATGATTAAGATTGTGATGATGACCACAACCAAATTCAAGGGCTTTTAAGAGTAAATTTTATAAATAAGCACTGAAAATAGAACTATTGTAAATTTCTTTAGATTGCTGACATATTACTGGTGTTGGTCTGTATATTATATCTATATAATGATGTCTATACAACCAAATCGCTATTCCTGTTTCCAATTACATAGTTCAGATAATCATGTTCTACTAAAACACTTAATGGATTACTTTTCTATTCTATTATATATTAACAACTATATGCAGTCTATAGTTTACGCGAGTAGTACACATTTAAATAAAACACTAACGGTTTAAAACGCGATATAGTCGTTTTATTTCAATATTAACATTTATCTGAAAATAAAATTATAATAATAAAATAATCCTTTTCTTTACAGCCTGATGGGTGTGACCTATCAAAGTTCTTCATTTCATTCAATCTCATCCTGGTTGTAATTGCAAGTGCTATATCAATTCTACCATCTGTCCAAGAACATCAACCCCGTTCTGGTCTACTTCAGTCGTCAGTAGTATCTCTTTATGTTATGTATCTGACCTGGTCGGCTCTGTCCAACTCGGCAGGAGAATGCAATGCTAGTATCTCCAAAACTAATGAGGTAAGAAAATGATTATCATATTGTACAAGATAGTACTGTGATGTAAAAAGCTATTTAAATTAAAGCTTCTTGGGTGTTTAACTGTTCTAAGATTTGTTAAAAAAAGCGACTCAAGATGGTGAATCGTCAAGAACCACTTCCTCTCTTATGACGACTGAACAATTTGAAAACCCAATTAGCTTTGCAAAATGGCGGCGAAATCTTTATACTATTTATAACTTTTTTTATGGTGACGTAATGGTAATTTAATTTAATATGGCAATACCAGGAGCCAAAAGAAGAAGTGTATTGGGTATGTACAATACAGATGGTCATGTAATTGATTTTATTCACATAAAAAAACATCTCACTGTATTTTTATTTTCATAAGACATTTTTTATTATATTCAGTCACTATATCCCCGAGTTTCGAATGAGTAGCTATAATTTAAACATGGCATGTAAGTTTTTTAATATTTGAATTGTTCAACCACCTTTTCTCACAATTTTATGATAATCCATTAGACACTATATATGAGGCCGCTAGAGACAAGCTAACTGCAATTTTATGACTTGAGTCATATTTTCATATTGTAAAAATGGTAATCTGCAACAACACAGTGACTGAAAATTTATTAATAGGCCACTCTGTCTCTAGCGGCCTCGTATGTTGGATGTATTTATCTGAATGTCGTTGTCATAAATTTTGCTGTACGCTATGTAACCCACATTGAGGCATAAATGTAATGTATTTTTTTATATTTTTTAGACATCATTCGACAAGGAATCCATCATTGGCTTGATTATATGGGTGTGCAGCGTCCTCTACTCGTGTGTCAGAACAGCCTCCTCATCTTCCAAGATCACCATGTCTGAACATATTTTGGCCAAAACCGGAGAAGGTATGTTATTTGCTTACCCTTGGATATGTTGAAATTCTAAAATAAATGAGGTTTGATTTAAACCCTTATAATTTTCACTGGTTAAAGCACACAAGAACAAGACAAAGTACTTTAGAATAAAAGAATCGATAACACAGGCAAGACTAGAACCAGGCACCGTGATGTTGCTCTGTTCGTCGTCGAATTGAGCTTTTAATGGCATATCTGGCATTATAAAAATTCTAAATATTTTTTTCTTTTCAAGTGAAAAGCATTGGTTATTGGACTTCCATTACGACAGACAACTAATCCATATAATCAGTTCGTGAAATGGTTGGAGCAATCCACACGGTTTTGGCACCCGCCTGTATTATCGTTGCTTCACTCTTCAATACTTTGTTCAATTAATGTTTTTTATATAAAACGCACATCAACTGCCTTATTTTTAATTTTATTAACTCAATATGTATTAACAATTTACGCATATCGCGCCACCTCGACCTGGCTGTAAGGAAATGGAGGTCTTATTGATAACGAAGGTAATGTTGTAGTACCTTGGAACTAGATACTGGTGGTGGCGTAGCTTATTTGTTTTTCAACTCATAGCTTAGAAATATTTGACGGCCTTGTTTGTCTAAGCAATGTATGGGCTCAATCCCCATCGGGACCAACATGTTTCAAATTAACGTATAAGTTTTCTAAAACACGTTACCCTTCTGTAGTTTACGCGAGTAGTACACATTTAAATAAAACGCGATAAGTATATCTGGATATTGAGTGAAATTCAGAATTTCCGTCCGGATCACCAACCAAAGATGTAATACCGTGAAGTTTGAAATCGCGCTTCGGTTTCAGTCTGTAGTTCTTCACTAATAGGTCGGCAGCATATCTTATTAAATGTTATGGCTGGGGTATTTCGCCTTCCATCAAGTGCTATATATATATGCTTCTCTTCTCCTCTATCATAAAAAATTGAAAATTCTCATTTACATTGGGACCATCAACGAATGACGTCATCAAATTTCATAGACATAGACCTTAGCAGTTTCCAATAGCAATAAAAATTTGCTTGTAAATGCTAATAGTTGCATGTCGGTCCGCTCACTGAGCGCAGGTTATGATTCTCTAGAGGGCGATGGAGGCGAGGCCGGGCAGAGCGAGGAGACCAAGGTCTTCGATAATGAAGCAGAGAGCACCGCTTATTCCTGGAGCTTCTTCCACGTTGTCTTTGCGATGGCGACGCTGTACGTGATGATGACACTGACTAACTGGTATAAGTGAGTACCTTTTAAAATTATTTATTTCATTCTGCTATTATGTAGAGTTTAAAATTTAAGAAAGTGACTTCTTCAGTCAATAAGCTTTGATATCATGATTTATATCGGCAATATCTTACTAATTTATAATAATTTAATATTTATTAAAATAATTTTACCATTCATAGACAGGACTTGAACCATCATCCACAACGTTCTGTGCTCTTGCTCTAAGCAATGGATCTACCATGTCCTACGCGTTATCTTTACAAATCTAATATAATTTTCCATAAATTATAATTTCTAGTTTGAAAAACTCGACGACGACGTGTAGGGTACGGAACGCTATAGAAGACGGTTCAGGTCCTGACCGTGTCTTTTTTTTTTCAATTTATAATTGATTTTTAATCTATATATCAATATATTTACAAATATCTTAAGATGTATTCTGAAGGAATTCCTTCAGAATACATCTTGTCTCTGTCTAGACTAATATAACAGCACAACAAACTGTTGGTTGTGGGTTCGAGTTCCATCAATGCTATTTTCATCCGTAATAAAATGCCTTTATTTTCCAGTCCAAGCTCCCAACTATCTAAGGAGAACGTGGCGTCAATGTGGATCAAGATCACCTCGTCGTGGCTGTGTGTAGGCCTCTACGTGTGGACCCTGGTCGCACCCGCCATCTTCCCCGATAGAGACTTCAATTAAATTTATTATCTTACGCTTAGCGTGTCCCGCATAAATATTAAATAATGTCATAACCCTAATTACACCGAAAATCTCTGCTAGTATAAATCCTGACATTAGTTCTGCCATTTAAAGGACTAGTCTGATAAAACAAAAAAACAATTCCAATATAACTGCTGTACTTTCGTTTGCATTTTACAAAAAGCGGTTAATTTTAATATTAAAATAAAACTACTTAACTTCTTCCGTATAATATTAACTTCTTCTGTATAATATTATCTTCTTCTTATAGTTCTTAAGCCATAAAGTAGCTAGTTACCCATTATTGTAGAAGTCAGAACAAATGCCTTATAACTTTTGATCTCATAAGAAATCTTTATGTACTGAATTTATGTTGATTATTCTCAAATACTACATGCATGCTTTAAAATTATAATTATGTTACACTTGTCAAATAAATATTGAGATTCAAAGGAAAATTTGTTATCTAATTTTGCCATAACCATAGATAAAGTCCATAGCAATTGAAGGGTTAAACACGCTCGAAGGGTTGGAGGTCCTGGGTACGAATGACAGGACACAGAAGTCCTATCAACTATTTACCCATGTTTGTTGGAGGAGCAATGGAGATTCACTTATATACATAATCCAACTTCATCTATATTCTAAGAAGATCTTCACTCTTGACCACCTCATACTTCAGGAGTTTAGCATACTTCTTCAACAACTTTCTCCAATAACAAATAATATCTTTTTCCTTCAAATTGTCCCAAATATGTTGAAAACCTCTGTCTGCAATTTCCTTTGCTAATGAATCATTGTTTTTGAAAAAAATTATATAGTTAAGTATATCTTCTTGTGTAGCCTTCGAGTTTATTGGGATGTAATGTATCCAAGGCTTAAGAGATGGATAAAAGAATTCCAGCCAATCCTCGCCTACATGAAACACTAAGGATTTGCATAGAAATAAGTGTTTTAATCTAAAACTTGCTGCCACACCTCGGTAGTTAAATAGATATTTATATTTGCAATGGTCTTCAAATGAAACTTCTTTTGCTGGTTCGGCAAACAAAGTATCCTGTAAAATAAAATAACAATATAATATAATATTATGTTTAACTGAAAATAAGGAGCTCATGACTCATACTCACAGCATCTGATTTCCATGCCTGGTTTTTCGTATACCTAGCATCTACAAGATCTGGTTGAGATCGAGATAGCAATATCAATGCATCTCTTTCTTCACTAGTTCTTGAACCTCTAAAAAATGCTTGGGCCACCTTTTTCTCCCATGGCACCCTAAAAATTATATAATATTGAATACATTTTTAAGGCAATTGGTAAATATATGGGTTTATATTCAGTTTACCCAGAACAATTATATAATTAATGTTCATACTTATCAGCGACTGCAGTTATTGATCGTCTATGTTGATCCCAGCGGCCAATCCCAGTAGGGTACAATGATATTGCAGGCCCGCCTTCCCAAAAGCTCCAAGCTGGATACATTATATCCGAGTAATCTTTAGTCTGTAATATTAAGTCCTCACACCAATGGGATTCTCTTATAACAAATCTAATACATATATTTTTATGAAATGTACCTTACTAAATGAAAATACAGGTACATTTTTATGGCCCCATTGGGGATTCACTTGTGGCCAATCTCTTGTATTGACTGATAGCTCTATGTTTGGCATCTTGGCTGATAACTCCTTTAAGTAGTGCTCAACTCCAGCACACCTAGCTGGGAAATGGCAATCTATTTGTCTATAAAGCTTTTTATCTATTATCTAAAACAAAAAATATTATTTCAATAGCTTTCTTATGATTTGGGAATGTGATTAAACTAAGAAATTACCTGATACTTAGTGCCTTTGGAAAAAGCGCTTGCTACCATCTCTTTAGTTATGCCTGTTTTAAATGGTGCTAGATCATCATCTATGACTTTAGAGTGGCAGGAACAATTTACAGATTTGCATGGTACGTACTGAATCTCCGCGAGTTCAATTGATCTTTTGATTTTTGAAGTCCATTCATTACTTTCTGCAATTTAATTGTTATTTAAGAAACTATTACTTTCGATGTAACATATTCTATTTTATGAAGTGATTCGTTAAGTACGTTAGTTTATTTACTAACGTACTTAACGAATGTAAGTCTACTAATTGTTAGAGTATATTAATTACCTTTAGAATATTTATTTGTGTCTGATAATTTTTCAGTACACGAATTTTCACTAGAACATGTCTCGGTATTAGACTCTGTTTTAGGAAAGTTATTTTGAATTAACAATACTAAAAACGTACAACATGAGGCCCTCATTTTTCAGCTTTTTCATGGACTTATCTGTTATCATTCTATATCACTGATGTACATTCAGAAAAGCTTGTAAACAAAAGCAAGAGTCATAGACCAAAACGCCACAGATAATGTTATGAGACTCTGTTGACAGTTCTATTTTCATCACAGATTATTAACTAAATTTATATTTAAAGATATGTTTGTTCCACAGATTATCTCTGGAAACAAAGATCCAATAGACTTAGATGAAAACAAAAATGATAACTCTGCTCACCCGGGTGAGCTTCCGTCCAGCTCTTCAAGCTCTCACCCGTTTGCGGGAGTCCAAGCCGAGGTCGACGCCCCTCTCGGGGCACCCTCGGCCTAGCCGCAAACACGGCGATAGTCCCCGGGCTCAATACATTATAATCACTATCAAAAAAAAATTGATAAGAATGTATAAGGAAAACAAGAAAAATTAATTACTAAATTCAACTTAAGAAATCTTGTAAGTTTTTCTTTTGTCATTGTTAGCAATTATTAAAAAAGTAATACATACTTGGAAAACAATAATACCCATATTATAATTCGATAATTGAACCGGCGTATAAATCTAATATTATCATTTTAATTGCAATTACGCACACAATCTAGTCGTTTCTATTTTGTTAACGTCACGTTAATAAGGTTCAAATGAATATTGTGATAAAATTTCAAATGCAACTAATACGTAAACTTACTGGCTCAATAAGTTGGCAAAGAAACTATAATTTTTGAAGGTAATAAAAAAAACATGTCAATTGTAAGTTTCTGATTTAAATAAAAATAAACGGTTAAAATACATATCGTATATTTAGTGATGTTCCGAGAAGCATCATTCTTCCCTCATAACATGCTTAAAATTATATAGTTATAAAATTTTGATAAAGACTTAAAAATAATGTCTGATTTCATTAACAGTATATTTTGCTTAGATTACTTAGATAATTTGTGTTCAAGTTGATCAGCGATAGCCTGTAAGAAGTCTTCAGTGTGCAAGTACATTCCTTCTTTCGTGTTAGCTACGCCGTGAATGCATATAACCAAGTCCTTGGTCATCTTGCCGCTATCAATGCATTCGACGCACGCCTGAAATTGATAATGCGATCAATTATAATAATTTATTCACCTAATGACTTGCGAATGATAAATTAATAGCACATAATTATTTTTATCAACAAATAAATCCTTGGAAAATTATGGGCAAATCTTGTATTACGTAATTTTGATATTGTTGTGATTATATAGTGCGATAACATAGGCTGGCGGTGACTGGCTTGTATTGGAATTAACTTCGGAATGCATTTACTGTAAAATGTATATTTTGGTGGTAATTTTAAGATAAGAAAATTTCGTAATAATTTTTTTTGAAGCCATGCCTTATTTGGAGATATGCCCAATGGACACAGAAATGTCCCCCTTATAAAACTCCATTGAGGGGTGTTATATAAGGGGTCACTGTTTTTGGATATTTATATATATGTGGGAGGTGAAATACTTCAGCCATGTAACATCTAAGCGAGATGCGCTGGCGATTGATTAAACATTATATATACCTCCTCAAGAGCTAACGCAAAACGTTCAAGATCGGGTGTGCCATCCAACTTCGCCCGATGTAAAAGCCCTCTAGTCCAGGCGTAGATAGAGGCAACCGGATTGGTGGAAGTAGGTTTGCCTTGCTGATGCATTCGGTAGTGTCGCGTCACCGTACCATGGGCTGCCTCAGATTCTACAGTTTTTCCGTCCGGACACATAAGGACTGAAGTCATCATACCCAGAGATCCATAACCCTTGAAATTTATTTATAAACATCAAGTATCACATTCATGTATTCACTATTACGACGACAAAACAGATGGCGCTAATGTAACAGATTTGATTTTGACATTCGGGACACCATCGATGACCATAGCTGCTGCAAAGCAACCAAAACGTCGGACCATAGATCAAATATGTTAAATCTTTTATTTAAGTTTTTCTTCAACTCTTGTAAACAAACAGAGCTTTGACTCTATATCTTAATATTCTATTTTTATGGATACCTGTGCTACGACGTCAGACTGCACGTCACCGTCATAGTTCTTGCAGGCCCACACAAATCCACCAGCGCCCTTAATAGCCTGCGCCACCATGTCATCGATCAACCGATGCTCATACCAGATTTTGGCATCTTCAAACTGCTTCTTGTAGTCGCTGTTAACAAAGGATTTTTTGAATGAACTTACGGATTAAGTAAAAACTTCTAACTGTTATAGCAAAAAAGAAAATACCTGTCATAAATTTCTTGGAAGATGTCCTTAAAACGACCGTCGTAGCGCTTAAGTATTGTATTCTTTGTTGATAAATATAGCGGCCATTTCTTTTGTATAGCTACCTGTAAAGCGAAACGTATAGAAATTGGTTTGTTGAAATTTTTTATTGGTACTTATTTAAACATAAAAACAAATGACAAAAGATTAACTTCCCCTACATTTATTATTATCGCCATGTTTGGAATCGCTAACTACTGTATTGTATGTATATTTATTATCTTTTGGATCGTGTTTGTAATGTAAAATAAACCCGATTTAAACAGTTAAATTACCTTACCTGAAAACTAGAGTGCGCAAAAGAACGTATAGACTCGTCAGTGTTGTACATTCCCATTGCAACTCCGGGTACTTTGAAATCGTAGAGCAGTTGTTTTTCTACTGTACCATCTTCTGCTGTGTATACTAACTCCACCTGGACAAACAGCATTGTCTTTATTTACACAATTGTTATTAAAAACGAAATTGTGCTATGAATTATAATTTGAACACTGATATTTATCACATATTATTGCATAAAATGGCATTACAATAAAAAATAATTGATATTGTAAGTAATACGTAGGTAATAATGGCAGTAACGATTGAAATTACGTTGCGCAAGAGTTGCTTGTACTATTAGATTGAAGTGATTCAACGATTGAAGACAAGCTCATTGTTTAAAGCAGCAGCACGGAACGCTGTTGATGTCGGTGACTGCTAGTGTCGTACAAAATTATTTTTAAAGATTTTTTTTAAATAATGCGCTATAATTTGGCGAAAGGTATTAATTTATTTTAACGTTTCTCAAATTAAATGTTACATTTTGCAATATAACATTATTAATTTAATATACCTTTTACACGTATTCACAAAAGCATCTAACTAAATAATAACTTGGAAGTTATAATGTATCCGTTTTTAATAAATAGACTTGGAAATCTAGTTTTTTCACATCCGCGAAAGTTACCGCATAATGAAACAAATATTTGTAATATATACGTTAACCACATCGTGTAATCACTTGTCATATTATATTGTCTCCGGAACTATATTAATAATCTATACGTAACCTTGTAGTTACACGTGTAGGTAGTTTACATAATGTTTCCAGCCATGTATAGGCAGTTATTTCCGAAAAAAAAACATCAATGCGTCTACCCTTAGTTTTGTTTTCTTTTGTCAAGATTTAAATTGAGAACTACCTTCTTTGTAGTGAGCAAACATCATGTAATACTGTAGACTGAAGTTATAAACGCTATACCGAAAATGGTTAAATGTATCTTTGAAATAAAACACTTTAACGGTTTAAAACGCGATATATATAATTTTCAGTCGGCCCGATGCTGCAAAGTTTCGGATGCTTTGCAGCATCAGCCCCACGGCTGGGGGACGATAAATTAAATAAAAATTAATTAAAGAGTTTAACTAATATACATTGCGTTTTAAACCGTTAAAGTGTTTTATTTAAATGTGTACTCCTCGCGTAAACTACAGTCGGTATTTATGTGTATCTTTCCAAAAGAACATGTATGCATCATTTATTGTCAGGCCTATAGATTTGTTTCATACTAACCTTTCCTGGCTTCGAAACTAGGAAGTCCTGGGCCTTGTACTGGTCTCCATGTGCGTGACGACCAATTACCATGGGCTTAGTCCAGCCAGGTACAACTCTAGGTATACTTTTGCATAGGATTGGCTCACGGAAGACTGTTCCACCCAAGATATTACGAATGGTGCCATTAGGACTCAGCCACATCTTCTTCAACTTGAACTCTGTAATACGATTCTATATTTTTGTAGAGTTTTTAGCTATGATAGTAAAAAGCATTAATTCTAGTCTAATCACCTCATAATAAAAAAAAACTTTTTATTAACAAAATCTTAACGCTTTTTATTTTTTATGTAAACAGGCATACAGGGTGGCTGACGTAGACCCCGTGAGTCTCCGATTGTTTGGCCCATATTCGATATGAAAAGGCAAACATTTTTACAGCAGTATACTAAATAATATATTAATATAACTAAACTTGGGGGTAAACGATACTACTTGTATGTATAATCTAGAATCGGCAAGATCTATTTATCAACAAGGAAACAAAAAACATCGCAAATGATGTGTTTCATTAAATTAATAGCGTAATAATTGTGATTTTGTGTCAGCCGCGCCTCGCAATTACCGGATTAAAACACATTTAAAGAACTGTAAATGAAATCAATATGTTCAATTAGTGGTTCACCTTAGTTCTGGAACCAGCTCCCCCCACCCTGAATCCGCCGTCGCCACGAAGTTTTTCGAAAATTCCATAATATACGTAATTTCTTACCCTCTACTCTCTGCTCATCTGGTGTGATCGTAGCGCACTTGATGCCAACATTGTGTTTGAGGATGGCATGGGCAGCATCTATCGTCACTTGATCGTTCGTCGCGTCACGATGAGGCAAACCCAAGTCGTAGTACAGACAATCGAGCTGTAGGGAAATGAAACATTTTAGTTCCAATATTTTAGAATATAAATTCTTCAGTATTGGTAGCAATGTATAACTGAAAATTAACAGTCGAGTTCGATCCCGACGATTCGGATGCTTTGTCTCCCCGTGACCACGGCCGCTACAAAGCATTCGAAACGTCTGGCCGTAGTTAAAATAATTCTCAAACAAGTTTAACTAATATATATCGGGTTTTAAGCCGTCAGTGTTTTATTTTAATGTGTTCGACTCGCGTATACTACAGATGTAGTTTACTAGATGAATACATGATTTTGTATTTTTATCATGTTTTGTTATTGGTTTTATTTCGGGAATCGAACCCACAAATTTTTATTATCGTATAGATGATATATTTCTACCATTCGAATGAGCTCGGCGAATTATAATAATGTTGCATATTGTAATGTTGTATTGCAGTAGTAACGCAACATTTTAAAGTTGTGAGTGCTAAATAAATAATAATTATAGTTCCAAGTATCTATGATATTATTATTAAAATTTTGTAGATATAACAAGTTCAAACATTTGTCCCAGTAAGATATGGAGTGCAGTACGTAATGCCATTTGATAAAGAGCAATTAATGATAACAACGGGAATTACTTGATAGTGATAACGAATGTATACGAAAATAATTGTGAATAAAAGCTACGTAAATAAGTCTAATAATTTGACTTCTGTTATCGTATTGTGTAATTTTTTATGTAATTTACTATGTATTATTTTTTATGAACTTATTTACATTTACTTTGTGTGTTTGTGTCAGTGTTTACGACGCATTTAAGTTTTTTTTGTCTCTGTTAATAAATCACCCTCTTCCATTTCTCCTACGTGGGGTTAGGCCCTATTTGGGTCCACTATCGATTTTTAAAATTGTTCTGTTCTAGGTTCGAACCTAGAACAGAACTTCACAAGTCTCAAGGCAATGTAAATCTGAATAAAGTTAAACTACCTACTGTAATATTATAATCATTTGTCCGCTTCGTATTTCTTGCAAGTTAATCTTGAAAAAGGAATCATTCTTTCAAACTTATTTTGGGTATCTTGAACCGTTTTCGCAACTTACGCAACGTAAGGCCACAAAGATGAATAATTTTCCCCGTTTTTTCTACAGAGAACAGATGAACGGAACGGATAAAGGGAAATGATGATGAGAAACGGTAAGAAATGTATTTCTCACCGTTTCTTTGCTACTATTGGTCGCTTAAAAACACCTCTAAAGCGTTCCTAGATAAATAATCTAACCAACACAAAATAAGTTTTTCAATTCGTATCAATAGTTCCTGAGATTAGCGCGTTCAAACAAACAAAAGACTTCAGTATTGTAATATTAAACTATAAAATCTAAATTATTTTATCTATACTAATATTAATACGTTACTTATTAGATTTTTATATCTATTTTTAATGTCACTATTTTTACTGTCATGTTATGTTAACAACTTAAATGTAAAATTTGTAGAATACGAATTAAATATACATTGTGTACAATTTTATAGACCGATATTCTGAGAATAAAGAAAATGGGAACAGTAAGACAGTGGCACTATTTTTCTTAAGTTACACCATAATTATTAAAGGCATTCTTATAAAATCGCAAATGTGAACCAGTCTAGAGGCATATTCAGAAAACAAGTTTCAAGTTCCACATGACAATAAAACCGTTAATTCCACATATATCTTGTATACATTCATATATACAAACTCAATTTCAGAGTTTAATGCCCTTGAGGGTATTGGAAACCATAAAGTAATGACCTCGTTTTATTTCACAAACAGGACTTAATTGGCAATTTATTACCACAGATAAAAATGTATCATGTACAATGCATACAGATTAAACTTGAGACTATAGATTTGATAACCCATATGACCAAAATAGAAAAAAATTAAGAATAGAATATTTTTTTTACTTATTTAAAATGGCCTGGTATCTATACATAAACAACACTTCCAGCCATGAACCAGTCATGAGATCAATTAACTTTAAATGACTTCAATTAACTAGGTTATTTAGTTTATACTATCACAAATAGAATATACATTGCTATAGTAATCTGAATGTTGCAGTAATTTCAACAATTAGGGAGTCTCTTATTTAGTGCTCAAAATAAAGAATTTAAAACTTACCTTCACATAGGGAAAAATTAATTTCTCTTTAATTTTCTCCCAAATAATTCGTGTCATCTCGTCTCCATCCATTTCAACGACAGGGTTTGTAGCAGCAACTCTTTTAGCAGTTCCATCTAAAACAGTTTTTATTATAACAAGTCATTTAAATAATGTTCAATAATTAAACTCATATAAAAAAGAAACATTAAAACCTATTAAATTGTTTTTAGGTATAATGTATAATTTTATGTTTAGAATTGTTTGTTTATCTTATAGTATTAAAATAAAAATATTTTTAACAAAACATGACAAACTTTCATACTTACAGTTTCTTACACAGTGAATTGTTTCATCTGACAGTAGTTTGAGCAATCTTTTGCTATTGTTTAGAGCCATTATATAGGAATACTTTGAAATATAAGTATCTTTCTTTTAGGTATTACGTAAATTAAAAATGCCTAAAATATGTGCTAGATTCTAATCAGTCTTAACGCACACCTCGTGTGCTGTACTGCTCTGAAGTTGGGCACAATCAGCTAAAACCGTACACGTCTGCGTACTTTATTAACGAGTTGTATGTTAGGCTATATCATTGTCAAAGATAAGTTATGTATATTAAAAATGAAGGAACGATTTATCATATATTTATAAACATAAACTTCACTCGCTGTTAACAATAAATATATCTAAACAAATAATGTGTTATAAGATTACTTATGTATAAAGTTAATACATGTTTAATTTAAATTTATTTTAAATGATTGCAATATGTCTGTATTTTTATTCTTTGACCAATGTGAGAGCGTTGATCGCGTATTGCCTGCCAACCGCACGGCGCGCTTTGGAGCGCCCCGCAGCCCCCACCGGGCACCGGCCGGCGAGACGAGAGTCGAGCGGCGACAACAAAATTATTTTCAACGGGTGTGCAGCTTCGACCGCCGAACTCGTTTCGTTAAAAGTTTTTTAATAACCTAGTGCACATGTTAATTGATGCAGCTAAAATTGAACTCGTAAGATAAGGCTTTTCGACGTTTAAATTGTATTATGAGTTTCAAACAATTAACAGAGCGTTATTTATAAAATAGGTGAGTGTTTTCAAATTATTATTAACAAAAAAGTATTGTTTTATCTATAGTCCAATGTACATAATTATGAGGTCGGTGTGAAAATTAGAAAAGTTACCCCCCAGTGGTTTAGATATTTGCATGTTGCGGCGGAGAAAACAAATTTGTGTAAATACGAAACATTTTAGGTGTGCTTTTCAAAATGGGCTGTCTAAGAATCTTACGAGTCGGTAAGCCCATACCTCAGTCATGGCAGAGAAGGTTATTTAGTTCATCATCTACACCTCCTAAAGTTGAAGGAGTTCCGTATACAAAACTTAGCATTGGTGTTCCTAAAGAAATATGGGAAAATGAAAGAAGGTTAGTTTATATTGAATTACTATTTAAAAAGTATAAAGAGCCTTGGTAAGTTTTAGTTATTAATGTTTTAGAGTCGCAGTTGTACCAGCTGTTGTCAATAAGTTAGTTAAAAAAGGTTTTACTGTAAATCTAGAAGAGAATGCTGGAGTTTTAGCAAATTTCCCTAACAAAACATTTGAAGAGGCAGGTGCAAAGGTTACAAATCTAAAAGATGCTTATCAATCAGGTAAGAAAGACATTTAATATTCCATTTGAAGGATGAAAAAGAAGTATGTTTGTTGATATATTAAAACTTTTTTCAGATATAATTTTAAAAGTTCGTCCAGTAACAAATAGTGAGGTCAGAAATCTAAGGGATGAAGGAACGCTAATATCATTTTTATATCCTGCACAAAACCAAGATTTAATCAAAGAGTTGGCAGCTAAGAGGATTAATGCTTTTGGTAAATACTGATCTTAATTTTTACAATTAAATATGCAAATTAAATTACATAATATATAAATGAATAGGATGGCAAGTCATGACTCATGAGTCATAAAGTCCCTTTTGGGACATTTTTTTATATTTTGTCTAATAACTGAATATTATCTTCTGATATATATGTATATTACAAGTTATATAAGATAGATTCAAAAGCAATTTGAAAGATCTAGGGTACAAATTCCAGGCAAATAAAATTAATAATCAAGATATCATAAGAAAACATCAAAACCGTGAATATAGCATGGGAATCCACATACTCATCGTCATCATATAATAATTCATCCAAAAATACTTCCTCATTTAAAGATCTGGTATTTTTTAGCAATGGACTGTATTCCACGGATAAGTCGAGCCCAAGTATTTGATGCCTTGAGCTCAATGGCTAACACGGCTGGGTACAGAGCGGTTATAGAGGCAGCAGCTCATTTTCCAAGATTTTTCTCAGGTAAATTTTTATTTATCCTTAAGATTTTAATAATTATTATCTATTTTCATAGTTGTGTGCATCTGATATGATAAGACTTTAGAATTGCATTTAATTAAATGATAAAAAAGCAAATAACATTAATTCTTGACATACTTTTGGGTAGATAAATGTTTGGAAGTAAATGTAATAATAAAAATTAATGGAAATGTAAGTATTACTACTAAACAGTCTAGTTGACTCCTGTCAACAAATTATTATATAAGGCTGCTAGAGGCAGAGTGGCCTAATAACAAAAACATGATTTTCCATGAGGGGGAAAATAAAAATACGCAATTAACATAGGCGAAAATGAATTAGTACTATTATTTGCGTAAGAATTATGTTAATTTAAAAATCGAAAATCGATCAGCGTTCCGTGCTGTTGCTCTGACGATGCTGGTTCTAGTCCTGCCCGAGTCGAAAATTCTTTCAATTTATTTTCGATTTTTAAATTATATAGTGCCTTCATGTGCAACACAAAACATGTAAAAAAACATGAAAGTTTTCAAAGGAATTATGTTAACAATTTTCGGTCACTGTGCATGCAGATTAAACATTTTTAGACTAAGAAGATTTAATTAAAAACTCAAGTCATAAAATTGTAGTTAGGCTACTCTGCCTCTAGCGGCCTCGTTTTACATTTGCAAAATACATTTTGATCAAATAAGCTGTTCATCTGCAGGTCAAATGACAGCAGCAGGACGAGTGCCCCCGTGTCGGGTGTTGGTCGTCGGTGGAGGCGTGGCTGGCTTAGCAGCGGCTGCACAAGCTCGCTGCATGGGTGCTGCTGTCAGAGCTTTCGACACGCGCCCCGCAGTACGGGAACAGATAGAAAGTCTTGGAGCACAATTCATTACTATGGATATTAAGGTAATTTATTGTTGAGGTCGACGTTACTGCCTCGCAAGAGGTCCTAGATTCGAATTCTTAGAATTTCTATTACAACTCATAAGAATGTAAGTTTCCGTTTTCCACCATGGGGCATGGGGCGAACACATTTTTGCCTTTCCTGATCGGTTTTGTGTACAGGCAAGACTTGACAGAATTTATTGTTTCATGTAGGCAATTCGGCGATGGTAATCATTATACTACAATATTTTAAACATGTAGCTACATCTTTTTGACCCGGTAATTTATATTTTTTATAGAATTACCACAGAGCACTTCTCCTATATAAAATTGTATTGACATTCGTCTACTTATCTACCTAATGTTTATTATTGTTTAGTTATCTATGTCTTTCCCTTGTCTCGGAACCAAAAGTAATTTTAAGCCACTTAATTGATTAATGAGTAGACGGGATCGTGTAGGAATATAGAAAATATCTCTGAACCATGAGAATCCGTCCACAGATGAAGAAGCCGTTAAGTTTAATTGCGTTTCGGTTTGAGTCTGTGGATTTCCTAATGTCCAAAGCCGCATAGATCGACAGCGCATAGCGTTAAATGTTACATGGCTGCGGTATTTCACGTGAACCCCCCCCATGTCCTCTTCTACTTTAAAAAAAGTTAACAGAAATATTATTCTATCTTAGTGTTAGTATAATACTTCTGTTAACTATAACTAATACTACTTTCCCCTTATTAATCGATGATTTTCTATGAATAAGCTCTCACATTCGTTTATCATCCACGTTTAAGCGGTATTAAGGTCAAGCTGATTAAAGTTAATTCTCGTTAAATACAACATTTAAAGCGGCTGATAGTGTTGCAAAAATACGATATGAGAATGATTGTGGGTCACAATCTTTGCGTTACCTGAATTACGTCAAAGTAGTTCATAATGTTAATTGAAGTTATCACTGTACCAGAAATATCCAAATATTGTTATCAGAATAACTTTGGGTTCGTATTATCTTTTGAATGCAAAGTTGGTTATTGCATTTCTTTAGTTTGTCTCCGTGGCAAATGGGTTAAACGCCTGGGCTCGAATCTCGGGAAAACATAGTTTCATAGGCATATAATAGTGCTATTTTTTATTTGACTTTTCACGTAATTTATTAATTACAGATTATTATTTTTACGTATGTTTACTATAACGTTATTTTTTTATTTTTCTTATTTTTTTTCTTATAAATCTAATATATAAAATTCTCGTGTCACAGTTTTCGTCTCCTCCGAAACGGCTTGACCGATTTTGATGAAATTTTTTGTGCTTGTCCGGTATCTATGAGAATCGGCCAACATCTATTTTTCACCCCCCTAAATGTTAGGGGTAGTCCACCCCTATTTTTTTTTTACATTTTAGACAAAATTTTTAATTTTCATTTTTTACGATACAACATACAATCTACATTTTTACTCTTCTACGATCAACCCTTATTTTTTAATAGCCATTAAGTAATTTAATAATTGTTCCTCTCCTAAAATTATTTATATGCCAAAACAGCGTTTGCCGGGTCAGCTTGTATATATTTTTATTAACATTATGTAACTGAGAAAAAAATTAGTTAAGGTTTACTTAACAGTCGGGTCGTATTATTTATATTAAATAACTACGTTTTAACTCAACACTGTCTGTAATTTACTCGACTAATACACATTTGAATAAAACACTTTAACGGTTTAAAATTTCTCCCCGTTACCACGACCAGCGAAGCATCCGAAACGTCGGGCCGTAGTTAATATAATTTATAAATAAGTTTAAAATATTTTGCGTTTTAAACCGTTAAAGTGTTTTATTTAAATACGTTTTAACTCGTTTAAATTCGATTACTATTGATACAAATACCATGTTTACATTGTTTTTAAAGTGCTAAATGGTCACTGAAGAGAATATATATTTACAAGCAGTGATAATAATACGCGAAACACGTAATCACGAACTTGATACAGCTGCATTCATTGTTTGCTTGTTATGTAAACTGTACAAAGATATATATTTAATCTTTATGTCGCCTTTCGAGGCTCACTGGTGGGAACGAGTGTTTGGACTCGTTGGTCTAATGGTAACAATGTAAGGCTACTAATCTACTGGTCGGGAGTTCGATTCCCACCGGGTCCATCAAGCTTCTAATTTTTCTGAAATATGTTGGGCTTCGTCTTGAAATCTGGATATAAAATGGGTGGTACGAATATAGAAATTACGCACGGGTTACGAACCACCGTCCACAGATAAAAAAGCCGATGGATTGTGTGTATTTTCGAATATGCAAAGCCAAAATAGGTCGACAGTAGGACAGTAGTCCCTATGCTTGTCAGTCGTTAAAAAAGGGTTTCATAGAATGAGTTCTGTAGCTTATACACCGCGCTGCTAAACTGCAGATACGGAACCTACCTTTCAGAGACAGGAGGTGACGCGTTCCAAATTTAAAATTTTAAGCTGGTACTTTTGTGAAACTTTCACAAGAACCTGTGTTTTCACTCTCGATCTCTGAAGTTACAGTATATCGTATAAATCAGTAGATCAAGTCAAGAGACAGTCATTGTTTCGTGCTATGTTGCTTCTTGTTGCAAAATTGATTATTCTTTCCAGAAACGAAAGTAACCAAAATTGGCAGTGGCGCGCCCGCTTGGCGTATGGCCAATGGTAAAAAAGTACTAATGTAAAGTAGTTACATACGTAATCCATAGTTTTGCATGCCTAAGTATATAGACTCATAATCATTTACTTTTTTGCTATCCTATATTATATTCTCATCTATTCTAACTATGAAGTTTATATCAATTGTTTTCCTATTATTTCTTACAAATGCTATGCTTGTCCTTGTTAATTTAGTTTATTTTCAACTTAACTATTATTAACTTTTATCTTATCACGTATTTTTATATTCATAATATTGTTTGATACACGTTCAAGTTTGTTAGTAAACATTAGGATGTTATAGTGTAATACATTTTATGACACCAAGATAATGTGGACAAATAATTTCAAAGTTTGGAAACTTTAATATTTTCCACATGATGTAAAGTGAAAGCCCGTTTCCCCCTCGTGGGGCATGGAGCGAACACATTTCTGTGTCCGTTTCACTGATCAGTTGTTTTAATGGGCAAATAGTTGATCAGACTTCTGTGCCCTGCCCGACCGAAATAATTGTTTTTTGTTTCCCTGGGATTCGAACCCAGGACCTCTCGCGCTCAACGCAATGCTTGGCAATACGTTTAACCGTTTGGCTACAGCGGCGGTCACATTCCACATGATGGCATTATATTAATTATATCGATTTTAGATAAAGCAAGAATTATGATTAAATTACGTGACGCGAAAGGTGCATGTATCAATAGGTTTAAAAAAGATCGACGATGATGTTTTCGACATGGTAGCTCGATTGGTTAGAGCAACAGCACGAGCAGAGCTGTATACGCGGGTTCAAGTCCAGCCTTTGTCGTCATTTTAATCTTCAATTTTTTTTTAATTATTTTAGTCTTTTAAACTCTTGCAAATATTTATAACAGCAATATTACGGTTCACAGGAGGAAGGCGCTGGCGAAGGTGGATATGCGAAAGAGATGAGCGAGGAGTTTTTGAGAGCGGAACGGGCGCTGCTGGGCAAGGAAGCGAGGACGTCCGATGTTGTTATTAGTACTGCATTAATCCCAGGAAAACCTGCACCTATTCTCATATTAGAGGTAAACAAGATATCTATAGCCGAAATAGGTTGACAACACATCTTGTTGAGATGTTAAATGGCTGGGAATTCGTGAATCTGAATTTGAACGCGCTAATTTCTGTATCTTTCGTATTGAAAAATTATTTTTGTGTTGCTCGAACCATTTTTCTATGTTATTTATTTTAAAAGAGTGGACCGTCAGGCCGTAGTTAAATTAAATTAAAAATAAGTTAACTAATACATATATTTTTAAATTTTTAACCCGTTAATATTGTTTTATATAAACGTATGTACTTTAACAAAGACTGGGATAAATACAGTTTCAATTGTCGATTTTATTTCCAGGCAAGTTGTTGACCAGAATTCAGTGCCTTTTTATAAAACACTGGCTGTTCTATAAAAAAGTAATGTTACAATTGTTTTATGTAAACGTGTACTACTCGCGTAAACTACAGACAATATTTACGCCTATACGATAACTTTTGCAGGATGCAGTCCGCGACATGGCTCCCGGCAGTGTTATAGTCGACCTAGCAGCTGAAATGGGAGGAAACGTAGAAACAACGAAAAAAGGAGAGATCGTTAAAGTCCATGACGTTACACACGTCGGTCTGACGGACTTGCCTAGTCGTATGCCCGCGCACGCTTCCACTTTATACGCCAACAACATATCGGCGTTCTTATTCAGTTTAGGTACGTAGTTCATTTATCATACACAAGTATTTTTAATAGCACTTTATCTGTAAATATTATTGAAGGTAAATTCATTTTTTTTAATATGTGCTATTTTTACATTTTATTTATAATTTTAAAAATTATATAAAACGAATACGATGAAAAACTAACTGTTATTGTATTTGTGTTTTGTCCATAACTAATGAGAAAAAATTAATAATATTAATTGAAATAGGGTTCCTATTGCGCGCTCGTTGGATAAGTTTGACAGCTGCAGATAGCATAGATATTATACAATTTAATTCTTCCATCCGACGAAGTCCAACATGTTTCAGAAACATTATGAAATTATTAAAAACGACACGTTGATTATTAGCCATCCATTTCTACCATTACGCTAACGCACCTGTCATGTATATAATTTGAATGTTGTCAAATGTTGCAGGAACGAATGATCATTTCAATATCGACCTAGAAGATGAAGTGACTCGAGGAGCGATAGTACTTAAATCGGGCGAGTTGCTCTGGCCAGCGCCACCGCCGCCAAGCATGGCGCCTGCGCAGGCTGCAGTAAAACCCACTGCAATGGCTAAACCAGACCCACCCAATCCCTTTAACGAAACATTGAAAGATGCCTTTATGTATTCCACAGGTATGATTTTGACCCAAATTCCACAATTTAACATAACTATATATGAAGCTGCTAAAAAGAAAGGGGCCAAAAAAACTTAATTTTAACACGGACGTTAAATAAAAACATGTTTAGACTATGAAAATATAAATAACTCAAGTTCAAATTCCAGTTAGACTACTCTGCCTCTAGGGGCCTCATATGTAAATAGTTTATTCGAATTAATATAAAAATATTTGAAACTAATTACAACGCAATTTTTTTGTTATTGAATTGAACTACATATCGATCTTGTACAGCCGTCAAATGGGACCCGATGCATCAAGTCCCATTTGAGTGAAAAGTTGGACAACCTTTTGACGTAAAGTGAAATTACCTAGGTCTTACTTATGTAAGACTCTTTCCATCTCTTTTTAATTGCTCATCTAGTCAATAAGGATCGAGTTTTAGCTAAGTTTAATGTCTTAAGCGTAACAATGCTAGAACAGCAATTTATAAAGAGTTATTTTTACAGGAATGGCTAGCTTGATCGGTTTGGGTATCGCATCGCCGAATCCAGCATTCACCACGATGACTACAACTTTAGCACTATCAGGTAATTAATAATATGAAATTAATACAATAAAACAACTATTGTGTTGAAGAGATCCCGTATTTGAAGCAGCTCCACAGCGATCCTTGCTGATTCTCTGACCAATTGAGCTAGTGTGTCTCGTCCGACCTTCTAATTTTCATTCTTAAGTTGATTTTTGCAACCCTATTTAAATAAAACACTTTTAACGGTTTAAATCGTGAAATGTATTAGTTCATCTTATTTTCTATTTATTTTAACATGCACCCCGTGGTCACGGGGAGGTTTGTGCATAAGTTTAATTAATAAATTTTGTGTTTTAAAGCCTTAGGGTTTTATAAATTGTACTACTCGCGTAAAGTACGGACCGTACTTAAGTATAACAATTTTAATAATAAATTTAGTATTAATTAACTTATATTGAATTCTTAATGTTATTTATTGTATACGTAAAATTTGTTTTTGGCTATTATCGCTTTTCGAGACATTTATTTTAATCGCCTTTTTATAGGTGTGGTCGGCTATCACACTGTATGGGGCGTTGTTCCCGCTCTCCACTCCCCCCTTATGTCCGTCACTAATGCTGTGTCGGGAATCACCGCTGTTGGAGGTCTCCTGCTTATGGGGGGAGGTTATGTCCCTGAGACACCTGTGCAGGTAATTTGCTAAACAGCTTTTATGTTGTATAAACAAAATGCTATCTTTTAAATAAAACACTCAACGTGGCCACGCCTGCTGCAGATCATCCAAAACCCCGGGCCGTTGTTAAAATAAATTCAAAATAAGTTATCTTTCGCGTTTTAAACTGTTTAAAGGTTTTATTTAAATGTGAATTACTCGCGTAAACTACAGTCAGTTCTTAAGAGAATATTATTTTCTATTGAAGTTACTCTGTTTTATATCAGTTTTGTATATTTGATTTGTTTTTTCATCGTTCTGATATTTATGTCAATTGACAGTGGCTCGCAAGCACTGCGGCTCTGATCTCATTCGTCAACGTCTTTGGTGGCTTCTTGGTCACCCAGAGAATGTTGGACATGTTCAAAAGGTATGACCGCGTTATTTATATGAAGCAGTTATCCCACCGCAGACAATGAACTTAAGAAATTTAGCCTAGAAAAAGCTATTGTACAATTTTCATAAGTTAATCTCTGGTTCTAGAGCTAGAAGTTTGCATATAGAAGACGGGCTCCTTAAGTTCGATTTTCCATGCCCCTAAAATGTATAATGAATCTGGAAATTGTTAGACCTTGTCTGGAAAACCTATTAGATGATTGGTCAATATCGACATTCGGGCGGTACGCAACATCCACAGATGGAAAAGACAACAAGTTATTAAACAAATGTGTTATATCTGGGTGTGGGACAACTGCTTACTGGAACTCTGTTTTTTTATTAATGTCAAACACGGGTAAACGACTTAAGGTTTATATTTATAAATTCAATTGTTAATTCTAGGCCTGGAGACCCACCAGAATATGGTTATTTGTATGGAATTCCTGCGACTGCCTTGCTCGCTGGTTACATTGCTACTGCCATGCAGGTATCTAGTTTATTCATTTTGAGGGTCAATTTTCACTGATAATAACTAGTTAAAAGATAACATAGTTAGGATGATAGTATGTATTTCCCTTCCAAGATACCATCCGAAACCTCTTCCTTAGATCAATTAAATTGTGAACACGTTAACTATAATATTTCTTATAGATCAATTAGGGTCGTTATTATTGTGAAGTCGTAAAGTTCGCAAAACTAAAAATATATATATATAGAGTTCTAATAAATTTAATAGGAGTTTTTTGTAATGTGTAAGCTAAGGATATCTTAACATAACCATTGTTATTACAGGGATACCCTGAGGTACACCAAATGGCCTATCTAGCGTCTTCCCTATGCTGCGTTGGCGCCCTTGCAGGTCTGAGTTCACAAACTACAGCCAGAAAGGGAAACTACCTCGGAATGGTGTGTAACACTCTTATGACGTAAAAATCTTCAGTCCTCAAAATTGCGACCTATGATTAGAAAAGGCATCCATAAAGAAAAAGACGCAGCTAAAGACTCAACCCAAGCTTGGCCCGCTCATTGTAATCTTGATGACATTAGTCTCGATCTATTGATCATTGTAAAGGCATTGAGACATTATGACTGTATGAAGGTTATTCCTATATCTTTAGCAATTTAATATATTTATTTTTTAATTTTGTAAAGCTTATTATGTATAGTAGTAATCTTCTGGTCGCTATTACAGTAGTTTTTTTGTTGGTTGTCTTGAAGTTTAGGCGATCAATGTTACTGTAATTGCACTGTTCTTAACGAGGCAACTCGGGTGCAGCTCGTCGAAGTTTTGATGATTCTTTAGTAATATGAGGTTGTAAATCAAGGATAAAATCCAGGTGGAAGTATTTTTTGTAGATTCTACATTAGATCTATTGCATAGATTGGAGTGGCTGGTGGGATAGCTGCCACCCTGGGTGCTTTAACACCTAGTGCGGAGGTCCTGGCGCAAATGCTGGGAGTGGCGGGTATAGGTGGTGCTCTAGGAAGTGTGATTGCCAAGAAAATTGAAATAACCGATCTACCGCAACTGGTGGCTGGCTTCCACAGGTAGAGATTTAAATTATCAAAATAATTAACCTTTCGTGTTTTATGACGTGGGCGGGACTCGGTAAGTTCAGATCTCGCACGATCGAGTTTTTGCAATATTTAAAGATATCATGTGCATGTAAACTTATTTTAAAAGTAATGTGTTAAGAATATGATATAAAATAAGATTTTTATATGATATATTTATAATAAACTAGTTCTATCAAATGTGGGTAGTTATGTAACTTTAAAATACTTTTATCAACTATGAGAATACAAATAGAAATCTGAACTGAGTCCACATTACAACCCATTTCTCCATAACACCGCCACTTGAGAAGATCATCTGACTAAAAATGGTAACCTTATAATCATTATTATATTCTAATATCCAAATTTTATAGTCTGGTGGGTATGGCAGCCGTACTTACGTGCATAGCAACCTACATGCACGATTTCCCAGCGATGGCCTTGGATCCGACAGCCGCTACCTTGAAGACTTCACTATTCCTTGGTACATACATCGGAGGGATTACATTCACGTAAGTATATTTGAACCTCATGCTCAGTGGTTCTAAAACGTTCTGCTATTTTAAAACTACCTTTTTTTTATTAAGTCATTGCACATTTACATAACAATCAGGGAAGAAGGATGCTTAATTGGGTAGTCCATTCTTTACTAAATGGTCTCTAAAACTGATTTGGAGTGATAATATTAAAGGTAAAAACAAATTGGCTTGTTACGTAATGCGTTACGCTGCCAGTTTGACTTTTCTTTTTTTTTCATGTGGGTGGAAGGCATGACCTATTTGATGTTGAAATAAAACTCTTAATATGGAATTAACGAGCTTAAGATGCAGACGTATTTTTAAACATAGGGACCCATTTCAAAGATTTTTTTTTATATTCTTAGGGGATCGTTAGTAGCATACGGAAAACTGCAAGGTTCTCTATCATCTGCGCCCTTAATGCTGCCGGGGCGCCATGCCATCAACGCGGGTCTTCTGGCCGGGTCATTGGGTTGTGGTGGTGCATTGATCGCTATGCCAGATGCCCCAGGTCTCCCCCTACTATCTGCTGCCGCAGTACTTAGTGGTATACAGGGACTTACCCTCACTGCTGCAATAGGAGGTGAGATATATTTTATTAACTTTATTAAGTTGTACTTGTTCTCAAGTAATATGTTAATTGTATAATCTGGATTCTAATTTGGAAAAACATTGTAACTGTTACTTAATTTTTTTCGGTTTGGTTGGGCACAAAATGATTACAGAACTATAATATTCTAATAATGAGTATTATATTCATCTTTCATATATAGACATCTATCGTCATATGGGTCCAATTTTTAGGAACTAATTTTGCTAGGACGAAGTATTTGTACTTTAGATAATTTTAACATATTAAAATACCATACATTTGTTTGCGACACCTGGCATGTCCTGGTGGCACATTTTGAAACTATAAACAACAATAAGTAGATACAGCACCGCGTATTAAAAGTTTTGTGTCTTCTACATCATTGTTTTTCTTTAAAGGTGCTGACATGCCTGTCGTGATAACGGTTCTTAACAGCTACTCAGGATGGGCCCTATGCGCTGAAGGGTTCATGCTCAATAACTCCCTCATGACCATCGTAGGGGCACTCATTGGTAGTTCTGGAGCTATCCTTTCTTACATCATGTGTAAGGTACAGCATACAGTCTGAATATGTTTCTTAAAACCGAAATCATGTTTATAAACCACTTTTATATTTGAATTAGACAGTTTACCCTATACCCTTTGCGTTATTTTTGTCCTAATTACAATTTTAATGAAATTAAAACAAAGATAGATTATTCTCAAAATATTAAAATAAAACATGTTTAACTGTTCAAAATGCAAAACATATATTACTCAACTAGGATCTTGTGTATATCGTTTATTAATATTATGTACTCTGCCCGCACTTCGCTGGAAGGTGCTTAGGGTAATTTCAATTATACTATTTATTAATTTATGTAATTGTGCTACTTTACCGCAACACTCACCTCACATCACTCATTCTCTAACAGACTAGGAATGAGTGTGGGAGTTAGAGCAGAGGTGTGAGGTGAGAGTGTTGCTGCAAAATAGCACTTACAAAATAGATTGGCTGCCTTAAATGCGCCCTTAAATAAATTAATAAACAAACATTCACTTTTCCACGTGGACGAAGTCACGGGCAAAGCTAGTATATAATATGTCGCATTTTTAACCAACCATTCAAAAACTCACCTATTAAACAAGATTGACTAATTAACTTCTGGTTCAATATATATATTTCTTATATAATAGTTCTTAAACTGCAAAGCTTTCAAAGCTTTGTATGATCTACAATAAACTGTAACAGTAAAGTATAGTCTAGTTTACGTGAGTAGTACACATTTAATTACAACACTTAACGGTTTAAATCTTGAAATTTATCAGTGACCATGACTGTTGCAAGTCATCCGAACCGTTAGACTGTAGTTAAAATAAATTAACTAATACGTTTTGCGTTTTAAACAGTTAAAAATGTTTTATTTAAACGAATTAACAATCATGCATCAGGCTATGAACCGATCTCTTCCAAACGTAATTTTGGGAGGCTACGGCATCACAACGGGTGGATCAGCGAAGCCCGCTGGCGCTACCCACACCGAGATGAATGTAGATACTGTTGCCGACCTGATACATCGGGCTTCGAACATTATTATTACACCGGGTGAGTTTTAATAGAGGAGAAGCAACAAGCACGGGGTTCAAATGATGGTGGGGGAAATATCCCACCAATATACCATCTAAAAAAGATGTGTTGTCGACTTATTTTGGTTTTACATATTTTGATGGCTTTTTCGTCTGTGGACAATGGTTCATGACCACAGATTAAATTTGGATGGAATTTCAAGTTTCATTCCATGTTTCAAAAAAAAAAAAATTGATTAGAATAGATCCCCTGTTGGGATCGAACTCGCGACCCGTCCAATATTACCATCCATTGTTCCTGTTTTGCGTTTTAAACCGTTACAATTGTATTATTTATATTTAGTGGCCAATTTGGAGGATCTAGGGCAATTGTGTCATATACAGTAGAGCGTCGATTATCCGAATTAATTAGGGGACATGGGTGTTCGGAGAACCGGTATTTTCGGATAATTTAACTACCTATATGTATATTGATTCAGACATACATATTTACGTACAGGTAAATGAAAACCATGTTTACATTTACGTATATCTTTAATGAAATATGAAATATGGAAATAATTATAAAAAAATATAGTACAGATATGTAATCTTAAAGTAAAACATTTAACTTTTTTTTTTTTTTTTTCCTTTTTTTTTAGCATATCTATTATTTGGGTCGGGCGGGGACCGTTCACCCCGTGCGTTATTACTGTTCGGATAAGCGGTCATTCGGATTCGGTTAAGCGACGTTCGGATAATCAATGCTCCACTGTATATGGTTTCACTAATATTTTCTGTCGCTTTTAGGTTATGGTCTATGTGTGGCGAAAGCTCAGTACCCAATTGCTGAGCTTGTGAGCATTCTCAAAAATATTGGCAAGAAAGTGCGTTTTGCCATCCATCCAGTAGCAGGTAATTATTTTATTTATTATTATATATTTTGTATATTATATACATTTCGGACGTAATTATTAATATACGTCAGAATACTATATATTTGTACTACTTATATGATTAAACGTGTTGCCTAGCATTGCCAAAGTGCGAGAAGTCTGGTTAAACAATAAATTGTTTCGGTCGAGTAGGGCACAGATATCAGACCAACAACTGTTCTGTAAAAGAAAAGGTTAGCTATGCCCCACGAGGAGGGAGAAGGGGGTGTACGGGATTTTACTTTTTGTTCAAAAATAGTAATACTTCATACATAAGCAATATAACCAAAGAACTCTTTTATAAAACATTCTTCTACTTTTCAGGACGCATGCCAGGTCAACTGAATGTGTTACTTGCCGAAGCAGGAGTTCCGTATGACGACGTTCTCGAAATGGAAGAGATTAACGATGAGTTCCCTGAGACAGATCTCGTTCTCGTTATTGGTAAGAAAAATACCACAGACTACTATTTTTCTTATCTGTAAAACCTGAAAATAATCGTCCTTTTTGCGTAGGAGCGAATGATACAGTGAATAGTGCCGCTGAGGATGATCCCAACTCGCCCATCGCAGGCATGCCAGTACTTAAAGTGTGGAAGGCGGATCAGGTGAGTGTACAAAAAACAGCCAACTGTGAAACTGTCTTAATAAAATCGCCTAAAATACCGATTGATGTGGTGAAAGGCCACAATTTTTTTTAAAATTCTAATAAGAAATCTAGATTTAGTTAGTACATATAATGTTGTCCAGTCGCTTCTAAGTTTTGTACAAAAAAGGGGACCTTAATAACTAACTTATATATACATGAAATTAGTCTTTTGTGATGCATAAAATAGTATGTTTGTATATGTATGTAAATTACATATAAATAACATGAAGGACAGAGAGACAACTGATTTTGGAAAAAAACATTATTCAAAACTATTAATAAATCAATGTAATCTTGTTTAATCCAGGTGGTAGTCATGAAAAGGTCAATGGGAGTCGGTTATGCTGCTGTAGACAATCCCATATTCTATAATCCGAACACGGCCATGTTGCTTGGCGACGCCAAGAAAACCTGTGACGCATTACTTGACAAAATAAAGCATCTCACTGCTTAAACGATATGTATACACAAGGTACGCGTATAGTATGGCTAGATATTTTATTATACAGAAATGATCAGAAAACAGCAATATAGTCGGATCTTATCTTTTGTCCTTCTCAACAAATTAAATATTTAATAAGATTTATTTACGGTATTTAAATATTATGCGGAAAATATAATAGAATCTTACGTTAAGGTTTTCCTTTTTAAACATTTAGTAGTGTTTTAAATTTAATATTACTTCTTCTAACTAAGCAATTGGTTCGCTTATTGCGCCTTTTATAAATACTAATTATATTTTAGTTATTAAGTAGAATTTATATATTTTTTATATCCTATAAAAGTTTTAAACTTTGTAAATACCTATTTGTATTGTGCCATCATTGCATTATTACAATGATTGTAAAGTATATGTTTTACATGAAATTAAAAATCCACATTGTTATATAATGTTGTGGGAATGTGCCTTATTGCATTATTGTATATATTTTATGTATTAAGATGAATCTTTTTGTAAAGACTGAAATACAAAGTGTTATAAGTATATATATCTATGATATGTTACAAAAACACAATTATTTTAAATTTTATAAAAGTTATCATTATCTACACACATTTTATCAATAAATAACGTGAAAATTTTTTTATGAGATTGTATTACATTCCATTTTCAAGCTTTTTTCGTTAGGTAATACGATAATCATAAAATATATTGTAAGACATACTTTATAAATGTATAAATATTTTGGACTGCAATTGTTTTAAATACTTTTAAAATAAATATATAAAAAACGCTTGTTGCATCATTTTGAAATAACGTGTCCTTAAGTAAACTGTATTTTTGTATTGTTATTAAAGAGGTTTCTTTTAAATATCTTCACATTTTCCAGATGTGCATACTTGGTATAATTTTAAATCAGAACAAAAAAATGTCAAAAATTCCGAACATTATTGACAGTGACAGCCAATCATAAGAAGTTTGATTTGACAATTTCTTATTACATCTGTGACATAACCATCCTTATCTGTCAGTTTGATAAAAAATTGTGAGTGTTGTGTCGTGTGTTTTGAATATAGTTATTGAATAAATAAGGCGTTTGGAACAAAAGCAAATCGTTAAATTATGAAATAAAGAATAAATGTAGGAAAGTTTTAAAATTATAAAGCCGTTTAAAAATTAAAACATGGTAAGTTAGGAATATCAAAAATTTCAAGTAGCCGACACTATAAATAAAGGTGACACAGCCTGCATCTGAGCAAAATATAGATTACTGTGTCCAATTATGTATCTAAATAAGATGAAGTCTATTAGAATAAATACTGATATGTTATTTTTAATCACAAAAAATATTATTAAAAAGGTTAAAAATAATTTAGGTACAATTGGTAAAAAAGCGACTGCTTTGCAGGTTGTATGTATTTCCATTTATGACTAAATATTAATAAACTGAGGGAGAAGTCTTAAAGGAATTTCAGGGAAATATATCAGTAAGTTCATTAACTTTGTCCCGTACAATTTCTTTACCTTTTAGAAGTTAGCAGTTTGGAAATTAATAGTAGAAGCTGTTTCTAGGAGTTTGTAATTAAAGTAGAGGGTTCAATAATAAGGATAAAATATTTCACAGGCTAGCAATATGTCAGAAAATAGCAAGTTTGCTTTGCCTGTGAACAACGATGGTGAAACAAATGTTCTGTCTATGATCTACAGATTTTTTAAAAAGGTAAGTGTTCCTTAGAAATAATATTACATTCTCCTATATACTATAAAAAAAAAAACTAAATAATTTAATTTCTTAAGAATGTTTTATTTTGGTACACTATGCTTAACAGCCAATCTACATGTTGTTAGTAAATATTTAGATACATTGATATGATGTCATACTTTTCAAATTCAAATATATTACTCATACCAGAATTCTACTTGGCACTATACACTTTATAATTATTTAAATAAAGGTTCATGTTGCCTTATTCATCCTATGCAAGTTGACTCACAGTTTGACCTTGAAGTTATATTGTACCAATACTAATTCATTAGGTAGGCAGTTAACCTTCTCTTTCCTATAATGATGGGTACTGGTGATAACAAGCAACATATACCAATTCAAACAATTAACAGTCAAATTCACTTATCATAATATGTGCAATTAAATAAACAAAGTATGCCTAATTACAGACATGTATTGCTTTAATGATCATTAAACAATTGAGATAAATGTAGACAAATTATTTGTATGTAATAATTGCCAATTGCCCATTTCCATGAATAGGATATTTATGGTTTAATCTTATCAAAGTGATTATTTCCTTAAATGTATATTGAGTTTATTTAGTTTATTGATATTTATAGAAACACTATTATATTGATAAGATAAGTTGTAAATTTTAAAAAAAAAAAGATTTTCCTATGTGGTTTTGGGGTGAAACACTTTTTCGTCTATTTTACTGATTTAACAGTCTTTTTTAAAGGGCAAATAAATATAAACCCCGATTAAAACTTTTTTTGAATTCAATATGTTGTTACATGAGTGTCCTAATAAAAAAAAACATGATTTTCAATAAACAGAAAAATAAAAATGGACAAGTAACTTGGCGAAAATGAATTTGTACTATTATTTGTGTAAGAATTATGTAACCAATTATTTTTGGTCACTGTCCTCTTTTAGATTAAGATTTTAAGTTCAATTTGCTCTCATCATATTTGCAGTTAGATTTTATAATTTTAATTCTAATAAATAGTCCTAAACTTTGTGGTTTACAAAAACTTTAACGGTTTAACACACGGATATTTTCGTTAAAATTGTTTGTAGCAGCCGTGGATACAATCCAACTGACCAACGTCGGGCCTAGTTAAAAATAATTTTCAAACAAGTTTAACTAAAATACATCGCGTTTTAAACCGTTAAAGTGTTTTATTTGAATTAACTGTCGAAACTACAACTATTTTGTGGTTATTTTATGCAGGTGTCCATAGTTGGCGCAGTATACCTAGTTGGTTATATGCAATGGAGTGTCGCCTGGCTTATTGGTCCTGTGATATTGTCTGTGATGAGAGACCAGTGGCGTAAGGAGAATGAGTACAGGCGAAATATTGCTAAAATCGCAGCCGTTTCCTCTGAGAAGGATGTAGTACTTGCGCGGCTTGACGACCTTCCAGCCTGGGTATGTTACCTAGTCGACCTGCTAACGTTCTTTTACCATATGAAATATTTCGGGGAAGTTTGATTCTCACAGAAACGATTCTTGTGAGATCTGATAGATAACCGGAGGATGGAAATGGGAGGAAAGGAATGTTTTATTCTATGACATATACCATGACAGACTACAATACGACCAGGTCAAATGAAACAATGACGCAAGTGCAGTGATGAACAGGTGGAAGATTTGATTCCTTGCCCAAAAAAATTTCAAAAAAATTAATAAATATTTTTTTAAACATGTTACACTTCGTCTCTTATTCGGAAATTAAAGGGGCAGTAGGAATATCGAAGTTTAATCGGGCTATGAACCTGCGACCGCATATGAAAATTCCACTTCCCAACATTATCGTTTGTCATTTGTGATAAAAATGTATGGTTTTGTGGTTCTTGAAAATAATGATTAAAACATGACAATAATTCACGTAGTTGAGGATCACAATTAAGAAAAATTGACACATTTAAATAAAACACTTAAACGGTTTAAAACGCGATATTAGTTAAACTCAGTAAAGTTATGTAAAAAAAACTACTAATAACTAATATACATGGCGACTTAAACCGTTATCTTTTTAATGGACAGTCTCAACTCAGCATTGAGAGTTATTGTTATTTTAGAATATTTTTAGAATTAATAATACAATTTTTTTTTCAGGTTTTCTTTCCCGACGTTGAACGCGCTGAGTGGTTGAACAGAGTGAGAATAAATTTTTTTCATGTTTCAGTCAATTAAACTTGTACGACTTATCTTATTTTCTTTATATAGTGTATACATATATAAACGTAACTCCGACCCCAAACACTTTATAGATTTATGCTATTGCCCACGACGTCCGTCTCGTCCCATGACGCGGTCATTTTTACATTTAAAGGGGAATCATTCTGTCATACATAGTTTTGCAGTGAGATGTTATCGCCTATGCCCTTCCTCGATTAATGTCCAACGAAAAAAAAATTGCTTAATTCAAACCAGTTCCTGAGATTAGCGCGTTCCAAGAAACAAACTCTTCGGCTTTATAATATACAAATAAGAATAGATTTAATAATATTTTTATCGTTTAAAACTGTTTTTTTTTTAGATACTCCTTCAAGTATGGCCCAACGTAAATCATTTCGCGAAGACGCTGTTGAAAGATTTAATTGAACCCGCCGTGGCTGAAAGTTTGTCTAACTACAAACTAAATGGGTTCAAATTCGAGCGCATGATTCTCGGTACTATTGTGAGTATAAAATTTTATCTAAGACCGTGGATAAGGTGCGGATTGATAAGATCATGTGTAAATAGAACTGGATATAGAATTTTTCAGAATTCGTTTGATAAAAATGATATGGTTTTTTCTGGTAGATTAAGACAGACTAGCACGGAGTTCACTTGATGGTAGGTACCCGAGCTATATAACATCTAAAGCAGGTGCGATGTCGACCTATTTTGGCTTTGGATATTCAAAATCCACAGATGGAACCTGAAAAGCGATTCAACTAAACGGCTTTTCCATCTGTGGACGGTGGTGGTCCGGACGGAGTTTTAATATTCCCACCACCCATTTATTGTCCAGATTTCCGGTGAGGGTCGAACTCATGAACCGTTTATTAACCAACGTATGGTTACCATTACTTACATTTTATAACGTGTTTCCTCGAAGCTGTTGTGTTATATATTTTCTTATTACAATTCGTTCTAGGACTGGACTGTAAATTATTAGTGAAAATTTTAATTTGAAAGCATGTCGCGAGATTTTGAATGATTTTCCTTGTATATTCCTTCTCCATGTCATTGAGACTTTTCCGTTTCATTCCTTCGGCAGCAAAATTCTCTGTCGGGTACGGCATAGCTATCTGATCGACTATTTAAAAAACATTATCAGTGATTTTACCTAAGACCATATAGCTTGGGCGTACCAAATAAAGCCCTTACATTATTTTTTTTATTACTTGAATAGTGCATATTAAGAAACACTGGCTATGTAAGCGACTTCGCGTGCGTTAGTGGGCATCACAATTTGTTTTTTCAATTCCTTATCTTATACAAAATAGAGCTGTTACCAGCGACGTTGGTGGCGTCCTGTGGTTCTTGCAAGTGATTTTATTCCCTATTTGTTCCACATTTCTGTTTCTTGACTCCTATTCAACGCATCGTAATATTTAATCCAAGTCCAAGGCCTTCCTCGATAAATGGTCTAACTAACACAAAAAATATAACTCAATTTAACTAGTAGTTCCCTAGATCAGTGCATTCAAACTAACCAACACTTGAGTTTTAATTAGTATAGATTAAAACAAATCGCATTCCTTTGTTTTTTAACGATTTGGAATTTTTAAATTGTATAATCTTGTCTAGCGTTTTCAACTAATTGGTATTCTTATTAATTTCAAAATTATTGTAGGCTCCGAGGGTTGGAGGGGTGAAGGTCTACGATAAGAATCTTTCTAGAAATGAAATCATTATGGACATCGATCTATTGTAAGTTATATCGTTATGTACACTATGAATAATGTTCAACCGTCACGCCTTTGATAACGGTGACGAGTTTTTAAATAGAAGTCTACTTGTACTTACGTATACAATATCGTACTAGTACACTACAAGTACTAAAGGCGACTCTTAAATGTCACTTACACCCTTTACCTGAATAGCATGTCCCATCTGATAATAGTTATTTTGTAATGTATTTTTTCATGTATATAAATAAATAAATACTAATTTAAAGTAATAAATCGTATGTCACTGCGCATCTTAATTAAAATCTAACAAGATACATGTCTTTACCGCCGTGTATCGGAATTAATTTTATAGCACGATTGGGAATCAAACTCCCGACCTCACAAACGTAGGACCACTAGATCAACGTGGCTTTCCTTAGTGCTCTGAGAGTAGTTTACGCGAGTATAAAACACTCTTAAGGGTTCCTTACGCGATATGTAATATGTAGTTCACTAATTTACAATTACATTACACTACAGCCACCGACGTTTCAGACGTCACGGGGGTGTTCCCGTTTTTAGCCGTTAAAAGTGTTTTATTTAAATAACTTGTGATCGCGTTATATTCTTCACATGTTAATGCACACGATGGCAGTATATAAACAAATTTTATCCTTGGCCTTGAACCGGTGTCCACGGCGTTTCTTGCTGCCCATAGAGCTACCGAGTATGGCTATCCTAACTTTTTTGATCAATCCATATATTTCCACAGCTACGCTGGCGATTGCGACATTTCATTCGTTCTTCAACGTATTAGGGCAGGGATCAAGGACCTTCAGGTATGAAACTTATATTTGCAATTTTCGGTTCCACATTGGAAAAAAAATGCTTTAAACCGTTTTAAACGGTATAACTAAATTTATATAAAAATAAATATTAATAAAAAGGCGTTTTGATACGTTCAAACCGCTTCTGTAGCTGAAAGATTAAACGCAATGCTAGGCTTACGTAATTGCGGAGGTACTAGGTTCGAATCCTGGGCAAAGAATTGATTGTTTCTATCGGTCATCCCTGACCGAAGTCTGATCAACTACTTGCCTGTAAATAAAACTGATCAGTAAGACACTGAAATGGGTTCTCCCCATGCCCCATGAGATGAAACAGGATTTCAAACACAGCGTTCCTTCTAGATCCACGGAATGTTGCGTGTTATAATGAAACCGTTGATCACCAAAATGCCGCTTGTGGGAGGTCTTCAGGTCTTTTTCCTCAATAACCCGTCTATTGATTTCAACTTGGTTGGAGCTGCAGATATCCTGGATATGCCCGGATTTAGGTAAGTCCTTTAATACTAGTCTATTTTGAAATAAGTACCCTTTTTTATATTTATCTATGAGGATGTTTGTTACTCTTTACACTTTAATCGTTTGTTCGTTTTATTAGAATTTATTTATTCCTTAATATAAAGGAGAATTAATATTATTTTCTGTAGCTAGTTAACTATTAGTATTGTAATACTTATATACTCTTAATATAATTATAATAGTTTTAATTATAAAAAAAATGATGACATTAATTTATTGTCAGCAATTTATAATTTTCCTGAACCACGTTGGACTATGTCAACCTGAATAGTAAACGGTTACGTTGATACTTAAACCACCATGGACATATAAAAAGCCGAGAAAGTCAATCAATTCGATTTCGGTTCCAGTCTGGATTTCCGAATATGCATAACCAAATAGGTTATCAACACATCTTGTATAGGTGTTATAGCTATATAAGAGGTGTTTCACCTACATTCAAATGAAGCCTATGTGTTTCTGTCCTATAAATCTTAAAATCTGTGTACCGATATAAATAATTCGTATTACAGTGACATCTTGCGTCGTTGTATCGTGGAGCAAGTCGCGAACATGATGGTGTTGCCAAATAAATTGCCCATCAAGCTGAGCGATGAAATCCCAACCGTGGACTTGCGTTTGCCTGACCCTGAGGTAGCTATAACATACCATGACAATAAATGTGTAGACGAGAATCGAACACATTCTTTATAGCTCTAAACAATTGCTATAAACCTATCGTGGCCATATAGGTAATGGTTTGTTATGTACAAAGAGCGCACAAAGTAGAGTAAAAAAAATGTATCTACACCAAACGTGCGGTACGTATTAAATAAATACTCCTAACAGTTTAAAACGCGAACTTTATGTGTTGATTATTATAAACTACTTTGGGTGCTTTTAACTAAAACAAATTTACTTAGCGTTTTAAGTAACTGAGTGTTTTCTCCTATTTTGCAGGGCGTACTGCGAATTCATTTGGTGCAAGCTCAAAACCTTATGAAAAAAGACGTTTCTATGATCGGTAATTGTACTTAATTCCTTACACTTTTACAATAATACACTTTAAAACTTGATATATATTATTTAAATTTATTTGAAAAATTTTAAAACATCCGAAACGTCGGGCCGTAGTTAAAATAAATTTCAAACAAGTTTAACTAATATATATCGATATGATAATGTATGTTTGATTCGGTTTAACTGTTAACTGCATGGACTGATGTTTTTTTTTCGTAATACTTTTTGTTGTATAATAGGACTGTGTACCCGCGAATTGTACTATGTATAGATACCTAGAGTAAATATAGATCGGCTATAATAACCAATGGGTCGTGGGTTCGATCCTCACCGTGTCCAACATATTTCTAATTTTTCAATTTGTTCTGAACAATATTGGACGTCGTCTGGAAATCTAGTTATTAGATGGGTGATAGGTATGTCGGAACGGCCGTCAAATTTAATCGCGTTTCGGTATCAGTCTGTCGATTTCCGAATCTCCAGAGCTAAAATGGCTAGACAGCGCATTTTGTTGAGATTTTATATGGCTGGCGTATTTCACCACCCATCAGAAAAATAGCGTATTTTGTATCTGTATTTCTTACTAATTACATTTATCTTACATACATCATATTTGGTTGCAACTTGCGTTAGAAGTATAGCGTTCATCTTTTGTTTTTCACAGGGAAGGGTAAGTCCGACCCGTACGCGGTGATAACCGTGGGCGCCCAGCAGTGGAAAACGAAGCACATAGACAATGACATCAACCCACGTTGGGAGTATTGGTGCGAGGTGAGTTATCATACATCAGTCGCCTGAAGATTGTGAGCACCGTCAGATTATAAACTATCAGGGGAAGTTGTAAACCGTCACATATTGTCGCACACACGCGTTTTGGCAAAGAGCATTTTAAAATGTTGCACTTCGATTTATTCTTATTAGATTTTTAATGACAAGTAATAGAAGAACAACATTTTATATAGATTAGATTAGATTTAGATTTTTAAAAAATATGCCGGGACGGGACTTGAACCGCTATCCACAGCGTTTCGTGTTGCTGCTGTTACCTATTGAGCTACCGTCATTATTGTTATTTGTCTAAAAGTAGGATAAACATAATAAATTTCATATAAATACTGTCAGTAGTTTACGCGAGTAGTACACATTAAAATACAACGCTTAAACGGTTTAAAACGGTATATCTTAGTTAAACTTGTTTGAAAATTATTTTTATTACGGCCCGACGTTTCGGATACTTTGTAGCAGTTTAACTAATATATATCGCGTTTTAAACGGTTAAAGTTTTTTTTAATGAAATAAAAAATTAATTTCAATAAAAAATTCTATCTGTAGTTTACAAACTAACGGCACTTTCAATGTAACGGTGACATATTTAATTTTTCTACTCTGGCACTTTCTGGTTATGGATAGTACACCTATGTATAATTACCTCTTTACAATATGGGATGCTTTGATTATTTGGTTCTGTCGGTAAGTAAGGTATGTTTGACTTCTTCATAAAAGTTTTGGATGTGAAATAGCTGGACTGCTTTTTATTCTCGTTTGACTGACGTCCTTTAAGTGATTTCTGTTTTTGAGTTAAATGACTAATAAAGGCATGTATTTTTTTTACTTTGGACAACACTATTTCTTTGCATTGAGCCATATTATATTACTATGAATCTTTTCTATATTTTTATATAATACAACTAGATAACCGTAAAAAGATTGTACTTTAAAGTACCCTTTTGTAGAACTACATGTTCCTTAACCTAACCATACTTGACAATAACTCAACTTGTAACTTGGTTTTTTTTATTGCTCATGTGAAATGCCATACCTATTTGAAAGTAATGTCGAACGGTATATTAAGAAAGTGTGAATTGAGTTATATCTAAATATATGAGAAATTATTTGAATTGAGTATCAAATTATGATTTTTTAAATTTCTTTACATCCATTCAAATATTGAAGTGTCTTTTTGGGAGCTTCACTCTAGTTGTATTATTGAAAAAAAGCATAGCTTTTGGATGCTAGGTTCCCATTTTCAAAATGGGCATACCTTAAAACTGCGCTCACTTCACGACTCAATGTCGACCGTGAATATTATGATTTTGTTCTCGTATGTAAAGGCTCGTGTATTACAATCGTTGGGTCAAGCGTTGGAAATTGAAGTTTTCGACAAGGATGACGGCAACAATGACGACAAATTGGGCAGGTGAGTGGTGGCGGTAGGTGCGCACGCGCATAACCTACTACGCTAGTGGGTGGGTAGTTTAATCAATATGGAATGTCGGTTGAGAAATATCGCTGAATTTTCTATAATATATTGAAGTTCTGCACGAAATTATATCTCCAAAATATATTTAGATCGACATTATCGTTCCTACTTAAATAAAGCACTTTAACGGTTTAAAATGCGTAATTTATTAAACTTATTTACAAATTATTTTAACTATGGGCCGTTGTTTCGAATGCTTTGCGGCATCCATGGTCACAACGTATTAAACCCTGTATTAAACCGTTAAAGTGGTTTATGTAAATGTGTATCAGTCGCGTTTGCAGACTATTTAATTGTTGTTTCTAAATTGTATGCATTTTAAGGTTTTTTAACATAATTTATTATGTATAAGGTTCAGCGACGTTTCGAGAAGCATGCTTTGCCTGCAATAGTATACTTTTGCTTAAAAGAGGGTTATGTTTACTGAAAGAGGGATCCCCACAAACCACGTTTGGGGGACCAAAATTGTATAGGTTTGCGGTATTTCTTAAAATACATATTATAACTATATTGCGCTAATATTTTATTAATTAGCCTTTTACGTACGTTTATGGTCTAAAATGGGAATTCCTTTTCACTTTACACATTCCCCTCATGGACGCTTGAAAATCTACCTTAAGCAATAAAGGGATGTCATCGGTTTTAATTGATATTTAAAATATAGACCTTTTTCGAGTTCCTAGTGTAGAAACATTCCTATATTTCTTAAAAAGCTTGATCTTACTACTTTCGGCCTCAAAAATTATCTTTTCTTAATTCTTTAAATTAATTATAAAAAATACACATCCTTCTTCATTTCTAAATATTTTATCTATTATTATAGGAATCACTGAACAAAAATCTTATACCAACTGTTAGAGGGACGCCTAGTAATTATATTTCCAAATTGTAAGCTATCTAAACTCGATCTAAGTACTCCCTTCGTATGTATCAAGAAACATGGGCTAATGACTATCCAATTATTTTTCAAAGGCGATAATAAGCTCGAGAAAGAGCCAGGTGCTGCAGTGCGAGGTGTGGGACTGGGATCCGGGGATGGGAATTCAGCACGATGATTATCTTGGCAGGTCCGTCCTCAAATTTAGATGTGCTCCCTTTTTGGCCGAATTTCGCTCTTAGTATCCTCATCTTTTTGCTATTAAGACTATTTGCAAGAAGGTGCCATTAAATTAGAGATGCACAGACGGAATACTGGTGGCCACCTACAGCAAAAATAATGCTGAAAATAATTACGGTCTATTTTAACTGCTTCGTTATATTTTGAAAACTCAATTTATTGGTCTGATGTAACTAGATCATTAGACTTAGTGACATTAAACAGACATCCTTCTTGCAAGTAAGTGTATTCGTTTTAATTGCAAAACAAGATGGCCGCTGCTAAGATCAAGTCGAATGGTTTTTGCTCATTTGGTTTTGCTATTTCCGTGTGGCGTTTTTTGTGTTAGACTAGTCTCGAGACACAATGCGTTCCAAACCACGCAATGGGTGTAATAATCTAACTTATTTGTTGGCTTGTGTGAAATTTTTGTGTACGATGACAGTCGATCCTACGAGACGTGGCGACGCGGTTCACGGTTCAACTATACGACTGGGATCGAGCCGGAAAGGACGAGAACCTCGGCAGGTCGGTCGCTGATGCTGTATGGAAAGTGTCATGGGATATTGCAATATATTTAGACTATGCATTGAATGAATGAACTTTGCAGCAGAGGCACTCTAGGAGCATCGTGCAAAAGTCATTGTGCATCGACACAGAACGCCCCTTTTCATCAATCAAGTTTTAGCAATCAAAAATGATTATGAATGAAATATAAACGCAAATAGACAATTGTATTCTTCTTAACTAGTGTCTCTAGCTGGCTTATTTAATTGGTGTACATAAGATCAGATCTATTGCAAGCTTACTATTATCACAGCACTTACAGCCTTCACAAATACAGTGTAAACTCCATATAACGTCACTCGATATAACGACTAACGAAATTGTTGTCCATGAAACAATGGCGAACATGCATAATTATTTTGATACGGTATGTTATATAAATTTTATATTTCGTAGTCAATCTGTAAAGGTTCTATATCAAATTGAGTTATGTGGAAATATGTTTAATTTCCGAGTGGGGGGGAGGGGAGACTTATCTTTATCATCCATCTCAATTACGCCCCTCCGATTCAATTATAGGTAGAACGAAGCTCAGAAAATTAAAAAGACGTGCACCGAAACGCTTCAAAATGTAAATATATTAAGTAATAACAAATTTAACAGAATTAAATAGATAATAGAATATATAACTTCAGAGGATTTTTCGGAAGTCATTTTTCGTCGTTATAAAGTTTACACTGTGTGCTGTCTTGCAGCTTGTGTATAAAATTCCGTGATTATAAAAATGATAAGTGTGCGATGAGCCTAACCTTTATCTACTAATGCCAACCACGTTGCACTCATGCAAAATCCTTTAGCCATATTAACAATTAACCGCCTTATTTTACTTTAATGCTCTCGTATCTGTTATAAAATTGATTATTTTCAGGTGTTCCCTGGATATTGCTCAAGTTGTTCGTGGCGGGCGTGTTGATACTGTAAGTTTTAACAAGATGTACTTTAGAGACTAAAGAAGTAGTTTATAGCGTCACTACTTGCAGTTCATTTTTAAACGGATCGAATCCAACATGTTCCGTTGGAACTTGGATAATTTCGATATTGGCATAATGGTAGCAATAATTATCAAGTCATGGTTGCGATCCGGGTCCAATATTTTTTTAGTTAATTTTCTATTTCTTCTGAAACACACTGTTGGGCTGCGTCTAGAAATCTGGATATTACGTAACTGGTAAAATATCAAAATTTCGTCTAGGTCACGAACCAATGTCTATGAACAATAAATCCGTGTAGTTTAATCGCGTTTCGGTTAGTCTGTAGTTTTCATAATATCAAAAGACAAAATAGAACGACAACGCTTCTTGTTTAGATGTTATATGGCTGGGGTTCTACCTGTCAAGTGCATGACCTCCTCTATCATAAAAAAATAGTTGGTACGAATATCGTAATTCCAAACACGTCAGGAACCAACCCACGTCTACAGGTGAAAAAAAATAGAGCGCTATCACAACTCGTTTTTGTTATGGTGGTACTTCACTTTACATCATGTAAACCCGATACTATCCTCTTCAGTAAAAAATGCACGCCAATAAATACAGCTTAAATACACATAACTATATTTTTACTTCAGTGGCAAACTCTACAACAAGCGAAACATGGAAAGGTCCACTTACGCTTGTCTTGGCATCGACTGTCTTCAGAACTGTCTGATCTGAATCGAGTAAGTATTTCTATTAAAAAAAAATCTGTTTCTAAATAAACATTTGTTCTTAATTATTAATTTTTTGCAGGCTATCCTTGAAACACAACTCGTTAAAAATTCAGAGCTGAGTTCCGCTGTTCTGTCAGTATACATTGACTCCTGTAAGAATTTACCAGTAAGTATTTTTCGTAGGTTTTAAACGTTAAAAAAACGGATTAAGCACTTAAAAGAGCTTTTAAACCATTGATTTTTTTATATAGTTTGGGTTTCTTATAAAAAAAATTCAGAACAAAACAACCAAACCAAAAAAAAAATCATTTTATTTTTCTAGAATGCGCGTGCGCAATCAAAGCCCGATCCATATCTCCAAATCACAGTTGGAAAGAAGACCCAGAATTCAGCTGTTCAAATGAGAACGGATCGACCCGTGTACGAGATAGGACATTCCTTCCTTGTCCACAATCCCAATGTCGACACGTTGGAGATAAAGGTACTTTTATCACGTGTGCATTTGGACGAATATAAAATATTTTTATTATAATAGAAGTTTTGTATATAAAAGATATGCTGATACCTCTTACTTTAATAACTAAAGTAAATAAATTAGTTTTTGTTTCAGTTAATTATTTTTTTATGTTTGTTTAAAGTTGGTCGACGTTAACTATAGATGTCAGTGACATGACGGTGTCATCACAGTGAGAGCACACCGTAAATATTGGGGTATTAAATTCTGTTCTAGGTGGTGGACCAGAAAACCGGCAGTCAGCTGGGTATTTTGACGTATTCCATAGCGGCTTTGCTGAAACAGAACGAACTTACCTTACTTACGCAACCGATCAATTTGCAAAAATCCGGGCCTGAATCGAAGATCATTTTGGCTCTGCAGCTAAAGGTAAGCTGGACTCAATTTAAAATAGTAAGTACCAGTAGTAGTAGTACCTTTTTTACGATCGATTTTATTTACAACCAAATCGTTAATCAAAATTTTGTGCCTGCATACTCGAAATCGACTGGGACCTCTCGGTCTTAACGCATAGGAGGCTTCGAAACGTCATATACGACCCTGAAGGCGATTTACACACCGAAGCGAAGACGATGTACTTTGCTCCGTGTACCTCTTACTCGGGTGAAAATCCGTCCAGCTCTTACAGCTTCGACACATTGCGATGTTCCAAGCCGATGCTTTCCTCGGAGCACGCGCCAGAATAGTAACATAGATTGAGGTTTAAAATTCACGTGTTCCGTCAGAAAAACCATTGAGCAAAATTATTGTATCGTCTTATATGACACATAAGAAGAAAATAAACGAATGTACGTAGGGAGACGTGAACCAGTAACAAACTGCACGATAACGTAATGTGTGTGTAAGCGGCTTTGAATTGTATTCAATATATAATAAAGTACTTGAATACTTATTTTCAACAAGCCCTTGAATTGTTAAAGTTTAAACTTTTATTTTTCCAGATATTAAAAGAAGCAATAAAGGAAGAGGATTACGAAGAAGAAGGTCAACCTCAGACCCCGCCCCCTGCGCCCGAGTCTCCTCCCGCTGCCCCTGCTGTCGCACCAAATGCAGACAGCACCGATGCGGCACCACCAACCAGTAAGTTTTCTACCCTAACACTAGCGTTTTGGTTCAAAACGTTTTGAAAGCAAACTTTTGTTAAATCCCAGCTTTTATAAACTCGGGGATGCAGCAAACGATATTTTGTTGTTCAAAAGATTTATATCGCTATGTTGATACCACTCTAATACATTAAGAATCTTTGCCAATATTATAAACCTGATAAGTTTGTTTGTTTGAACGCACTAATCGCGTGAACTACTGGTTCGAAGTGTCAACCTTAAAAAATAGACATATACTGTCCTCGACATTTTTTTAGATCATATATTGAAGAATGTGTATTCGTATATATTTTTTGGGTATCTTAAATCTTCGCAGCGCACGCAATGGAAACCCTCAATGGCGAATAACGTTCTTTCCACATTTCCTATCGTTTTTTCACTCCTCTAAGACGCTCGATTAATGCTTCAATCATTTTTTTTTTGTAATTTGGACTTTATAATATATTGTGATTGTGTATGGATTTCGTGGCCATTTTCCGGTTTCAGTTATTATCCGAAATATTGATTTTAGATACGGCGCCTTCCGCTGAATTGAAAAATATTGATGAAAATACAGACAACGGTTCGGGCAAATCTGTTCCTGTGGAGGAAATTGTGAGAGAAGTCAGTAAGTATTAACACATTTTTTCATTCATTGACCTTGTTATGTTTTTTAGTGAAACACATTTACCTGTTTTAAGGGGTGTTGACTATTTTTGACAGTGTTTTAAATTATCGATAGGTTATAAAAAAAATCTTTTTTAAACCTTTGAAAAGCCCCAAAACAATGTTTTAAAATGCCCGGAAACATCGTTACGTGCACTAATGACCGCTTCTTCAGATTGAGTTGACTGTTGGTGGAGTTAAAAAATACATGAGCTCTAAGTTTTTATAAGTGCCTCTATGTTAGAGCAATACGGAGAAATCATCTGTAAAGTTATTTTCTATGTTCCTCGTTTGGTAAAATTATCTTTTGAATATTACGAAAATAATATTAGATAAAATTAGGGACGATTCTCTAATGCTTCCTTCTCTATCGCCTTATTACTGATTTGTTTTTTGGAAACATTTTCAGGTAGCCCACAAGAAAGCCAACCTCACGAGTCTGACACTCCTAAACTTGTCCATAGAGTATCTTCTTTAACTACGTAAGTATAATCTTAACACGTGTAAAATGGTAATGCCCACTCGTCATAACGACCTAGGCCCAAAATCGACATGAGGTCTCTTCTGAGTTTTTGAGCGTTATGAAATAGAATTAATTGCATATCACTAATAATGATTATTAGAGAGTATTGGTTTAGTTGCTTAAGTAGACTTAATTTCTAGAGTTCGCGTCTTGACCAATACTAAAATTACTTATTATAATACTTAGTGTATAAACGTACTTATTCTTGAAGGAAAAGCTTTGTGTGGTAAAGGGGATTCTATAAAAAAATATCGTGTCCCCGATGTGGGAATATTGGAATGGTATGTTATTCTGGACATTTCTGGATAAAGTATTTTCTATTTACTCTATTATTAGCTCTAAGCCTCAGATGGTCGATTTACTTTTGATATTTTAACAATCATACTATCTTCAAATATTAACTAATTCTTTAACTACAGCTCTGCAGGTGAAGCGGGATTAGGTCGCATTTTGCTTTCCCTACGCTACAGCGTTCTAAATCAAACACTCTATGTAGTTGTTCACAAGATTATGTAAGTATCAATATATTATGACCTCCATGATTTTTAAATAAAATACTCTTAACGGTTTAAAATGCGATATATATATATATATGATTACTTTTGTAGGAACATACCTCTCAAGGATCCAACGAATGTGCCAGACCCTTATGTTAAATTGTACTTACTGCCCGGGCGAGCCAAAGATTCGAAGCGCAAAACCATAGTAAGATTTTGTTCCTTCTTTTTTAGTAAATTTTAACTTTTTTACAAAATTAAACCTTTCTTTGCTTTAACTTTGCCTTTACTTGATTATCAATTAGAATACGTTTCAAAGGAATTATGTATTTCTGGAGCATTCTAAAAGTTGCTTAAATGAAATCAAAAGTATGATTCCTAGTATCACCAAAACGAGTTAATAAGAAAACCTTTGTGTCCTTGTTATATGTATAGGAATGGGGGAAAGAGATAGTGCTCTATTAATTCGTTTCGGCGATTAGTATAGCTATAGCTTGGTAGCGTACCTTTGTACTTTTAAATAAAATAATAATGCGTTTATTAGCACAAAGTACAATTTTAACTTTATGCTAAGAGACATACGACTCAGCTAATGTTCAGCGCGGCTGGCGCTGACTTTCAGTCTCTCCCTTTTTAGATAACAAGTACCTTAACAGATAATACTTTATAATTATGACATTTTTACGATAAGCCTAATAGCTGAATTATTAACTTTATTTTATTCCAGGTGGTGAAAGATAGCTGCATGCCCGAGTACGATGAATCATTCGAGTGGGTTATTCCCCTTGCTGAACTACATTCGCGCCAGTTGGAGGTGACTGTGGCAACACACAAAGGCTTCTTGGGCGGTAGTCCTGTTATTGGACAGGTATTGTTTATGGTCATTTCATTACTAGTACTGGTTATCTAATTCGTTAGGATTTTTGGTCTAGTGTTGAGTTGGAGTTGTATGACTTGTTACCTAACAAATTGTGACTTAGATTATACTCCATTCTTACGTGATAAAGAAATATTTATATAATGCTAGTTGTGCCTGCGACTTCGTCCGCGTCCCAGCTGCTTGCAAATTAATCTTAAAAGATAGATATATGTATAAATATTGTCGCGGTCATTCTTTTTAGATCACTTAGAAAGGAATCATGCTTTGATACATAGTTTATAGGTATCTTGAACCGTCAACGCACGCAGCCGAAACCCACAAAGATATATGCTTCACTCTTATTGCACACAGCGCGATGTTTTGTAGCCTAAAGCCTTCCTCGATATAGGCTCTAACGTGGAGTTCCTTAGATTAGCGCGTTCAAACAAACATTTCATCCGCTTTACAATATTAGTATAGTCGATGTTGTTTATATATATGAGTCAAATTAAACTTAAAAATGTAACCTCGAATTTCGAATCGATGAGGGTGTTCAATAAATAGTTCTACCAGGAGACACAATAATATGGTATTTACTATTCATACACTACCAACTACATAAGGACTTGACAACTTTGTGTTTTGCCTGTACTTGTCTTAATGTACTTTTTTTTCTTTCTAGGTTGTTGTCCATCTTAATCAGTACGATTTTAGGGAAGCAAAGACTCTGTGGTTAGACTTACTACCTGAGATGACTCCTAGAGATTAATGATGATATATACATCTTTTAAGATCAACCTATGCTTTTTTATTAAAAACTTAATTTTGTTTTATTTAATGTAATTTTTTTGCTTTATTCTTTTAAAACTGAGATTGCATTTATTTAGAGTGGATTTAAAAAATTGTTAACCTTCTATATTGTAATAAATTATATAATTGTTGTTATATTCTCTGAACAATGTTCTTATGAAATGCTAAAACTTTGATGTCCAAAACTGCTCTTATATTGTAAGCTTTTATGAAGAAATAAATAGATGTTTAAATATATATGTTTTTGAATATAAAATGTCTTTAATTATAATTGATTACCCAATGAATAAATCAATTATTTACAGAGATGATGTGTGTTATTATTTGAGAAGGACATTGAACTTCTAGGCTAAGGCTAACGGGGTTACAGTTACCCATAGTATTTTTTTATAATACATTTCTTGTTTAAAGTTTTGCTAATATGTTAATGAAGTTTACAAAATTAGATTATTGATGTGTCAATTAAGTTATACAGGGCAGCGGACTAATGAGGTTAAGCATGTATGTGGAAAAGTAATTTTAAGTAAATGTAAATGGAAGTAATTAATTAAAATATTTTTAAGAAATAACTGCTGGAACTTAACTTTATTAGCCTTATATATGAGGCTCCAAAATGCTGCAAGCTTTTATGCTAACTAAGATTTATATATTGTTACGCTACTTATGCAAACAAGCTGTTTTACTATAATTTTCAATTTCTATGTAATATGCTATGTGATAACTCCCATAAAAAAAACAGACTTAAGTAAAAATATTGGTGTATTAATTTATTGTTTTCACTCAAATACTTAATAGCTTAATTAGATTTATACAGTCTTTCACAGTTAAAGAACTCGGAAATCACTCAACGTTCCAAGGTGTTTGGGGTTACTTTTTGGGCAATAATCTTTCCATAACCACCACGCCCACCATCATAGTCTGTTCGATATTCATCACGAACCTGGAAGTTCCATTGAACATTAGCATACAGTGTAGAATTGTAGTACACATTCTTTTTAAGCAAATAACGTTTACCTGTCCACCAGTCTTTCCTCTACCATATTGTCGACCTTCTATAAAACCAGCATCCCAATCACATCTTATAATTCTATCATCTAATCGTGTACCATTTATATACCTGCAGAAAATATGGGTTAGGGAATTAAGAAGAATAACTATTCAAAAGTTTAATAAAATGTGCTTTGATTTTACTCTGTAGCTTACCAAATGTTCAAACTAAAAATAGGTCAACAGTGCCTTCTGTTTTGTTATATATAAATTGGGTATTTCACCAATGCTAGTCTGTCTTTCTCTGTTAAAAAAAAATTACCTCATACAATTTTCAGAGTCGGGCCTCGCATAATATTCCACAAAGCAAAAACCACAAGGCGTCTTTTTATATTTATCTAATCCCATTATAACTCTACGTATGTCACCGCATTTCGAAAATAGTTCATAAATTTGTTCTTCAGTGGTATAAAAGGACAAATTTCCAATATAAAGAGTGGATGATAATTTCAATAGCTTTTCTTGTTCACCTCGAGAACCCTAAAAAACAAAGCAATTGAAGGTTAGTAGAAACGATTGGTCTACGTTTAGTAGAATTTTCTATCGAATATATTTGAATTACCTTGAAATGTTGATCGCGGTAAGAGCTTATTTCAATTGACGAGCTCATAGAATCATAGGTACGTTTCATTTTGCTTCTAGTACTCTCCAAGTATGAACACTACGGCAGGCGCCTAAAGTTTACAATAGACTTAGCACTTTTCTCTGTTTCTACATAAACTCTATATACATATCAGTTATATTTAATTTGAAAATACCTACAGACTCAGCTCTGAATGTAAATAATCCAACAACTTTAATACTTATTAACACTCATTACTTCACACGCACACAAAATAGTGATTCGATAACTTTCCCATTCTGAATGGATTCTGTCAGTGAAGTCGCATGTCCAATGAAGAATGACGTTTGACAGTATAAATTATTATTGTTATTTTTATTTTATTTCGTTGTTTACCAATGGTATTAAGAAAAATCACGGTGTTGAAAATTATGTAGGTATGTATTTAATAAGAAGTGTTCGTATTTGGATGAAGTTACAAAAATACTTAAAATATAGACATACAATATTTTGTGACAGATGACACAGATGATAATACAAAAGTTAGAATACTTAATACACTAAAATCAAAGTTTAATATTATATTAGAGTGAATAAAATACTTGAAACTTTGAAGTAGGATACTAGACTACTATTCCCACTTTAAAAATTTAGAGGCGTCAGTATAAAAAATGTGCCTTTCCTTCCATGACTCTAAAAACACCACAATGTAACAAATTAGGCGGAGTGAAGACTAATGCCTGATAAGAAGTTAAGAATAAAGGATTTATGTAGTCGTAGGTATGCCCCCTACCTAAATCTCTTGCCACTTTCCTTTTTTGTTTAGGTCGCCATTTTTCTATTAATAAAAGTTGAAGCAAGGCAGACAAAAATTAATTAAATTTCGTTTGAAGAGGCTGCTAAACAGATTCCACACTCGCGCAGATCATTTCAAGTCACTTTATCAGGCATTTCGGGTCCACAAATTAGCGTCACTTTATGTAGCAAATCTGTTGCCAAGGTTCCTCGTGACACTTCTTGGCAAATCATAATATGATGTTGAAGCACATAATTACCCAAACTCCTTATTCGACTCTTCCTAACGGTTGCGCAATTTCTTCTACTACGTCTCTAATCGTGATTTAATTAAACTCTGCCTTGATTTTCTCGAAAACATTATTTATAATTCTCCTCTCAATTTACCGTCCCACGTTGCCCAAAGATTCTCAGAAATACCCTCTAAATTAAATAATGAATCGGATAAAAATACCATTTCTTCTTCTTCTAACGTTTTGATTATGAAATGTAGTCTGAACAAGAAATTATGATACGATATATATGTAGATTTTGTTAAACACATTAAAAAAACAATGTTGTAACAAAAAATATTTTTATTGATTAGTTGTTAAAATTTTTGTAAAATTTACATAAATATTTGATAATTTAAAGTATTAATTAATTGTATAAGTACATCGAAATACAGGTGTCTCATACATCGATCTTGGCATTATATAATATGTCTCATACACAATCTCAAGTAATATGAACCACGTCTCTTAATGGCTAGCACTAGTTGTATCTCATAATTTATGAGAGACTTTAGTGTCACTATTTATAATATCATCAGACACTACAGAAAAGCAAGCATGTTCTATGACTAATAATTATACAATGTTAATACTAAGTGTCTTTTTATGCGAATGGAATATAATGGAACATATTTAATTCTAACGGTTTTAAGTGCGAAATATATTATCCCATTGATTTTGAACTGCAATCAACATTCCCCATGCTATTCTGCTTCGACTATTTTTCGCGTTTTTAACCGTTAGAAGCGTTTTGTAATATGGTAATCGTACGTTAAAAGGATTGTTATGTGTCTATTAAAAGAATCTAAATAACAATAAGAATACATGTATTTTCGGTTGGTTTAATAAATATTTAGGTCAATTTTAAGTAGATTTTAATCTCTATTCGGCTTTGGCACATTCTACGGTGTAAGAATTATTCCTTATTGTAAATAAAACTTATTTTCAAAGGCCTCGGAATGAATAATGGAGATCTAGGTGTTGTCGTGTACTGAAGAAAGAGTACCTTCTATACCTATTTAAGAATACGATTCGGCATCTCAAAGAAATTGACAATTTCTCTTCGTGACTGGTTTCTTTCGCATTGCCGCGCGAACGGCTTCCTCGAACACCTCGTGCATGTTGACTCTTTCTAAAGCTGAGCATTCGACCAATTGAGCGGCTCTGAAACGTTTAATTCACATTTAAAACATATGAACATTAGTAAATATGAATAAGGACACTGTCTATAGTTTACGCGTAGTACACATTTAAATAAAACACTTTAACGGTTTAAAACACGATATATTAGTTAAACTTATTTGAAAATGATTTTTAACTTCGGCCCGACGTTTCGGATGCTGCCACTTATATAAGTGGCAGCGCGAATGTAAAACTATTGCGTAAGTAAAGGAAAACTAAAGAGAATAAAAGATATTTTCAATGAATTTCATTTTGAATTTTCGACAAAAAATATAGGAAGTCCGTGCGCCTTTTTGATAATATTCGCTGTAAAGTACAATTCAGTGGCTGTTTAAAGCGATCTAACGTTATCTGTGAGCGATAAATATGTCGATAGTGCAGCTGCCGACATTCGTCTCTGATAATAATTTATAACGTTATGTTACATTTTGAACAACGTTTAAACGGCCATGTTTTTAACGGTTTTAAACGTCCCGATTATTCCCACAGTTTGACAACTAAGCATTTGAAAACTTTAATATTTTTTTTTACATGTTATTGCATATACTATATAATTTAAAAATCGAAAATAAATGAAATTTTTTTTTTTTTGGGGGACTCGGTAGAGACGATGCCGATTCAAGTCCTGCCTGAGTCGAAAATTTTTTCAATTTATTTTTGATTTTTAAACTAAGCATTTGTCAATTAAATCTAAAGAAAAAACTGACTGCAGTTTACGCGAGTAAAACACATTTAAATAAATTTTTTTAACGATTTAAAGCGCGATATATATTAGTTAAACTTATTTGAACGGCTGCTGCAAAACATCTGAAACGTCGGGCCGTAGTTAAAATATTTTTAACTAAGTTTAATTACTATAAATCGCGTTTTAAACCGTTAAAGTATTTGATTTAAATAACGAAGTAATAAAAACAAGAGAAGTGATAATTTAAACTACCCTAAATTGAACTATTAGGCGAATACCATAATATAATAACTAACCGTATTTTCCTTTTCAGCTGTTTTCCCTCCTGTGTCGTAATAACGGCTTTTCCTGCCTCACGCAAATCTGTTTTTGTTGCTGAAATAATAAACAATGTTACTTAGAATGTATTCAAATTCGATATCGTCCTTAGTTTACAAGAGAGTAGTTTTACTACTCTTGTAAACTTTAAACATTTGCAGTTTAAAACGCGAAATTTATTAGTTAAACTGATTTAGAAATTAATTTAGTCTACTGTGCTAAATTATGATTTAAAAAAATACTTTTTTTTGTAACTAAATATGTCTTTTATTTAAACAATTAAAAAAAAATGGTTAAAAGCGAAACTCGGGACCCTATTAATTTGGCTTTAGTTTAATATTTGTTTCAAATGCATACACTCATTTGCATGTATAAATTACATTCATTCAAATATTTATTTATTATTGCGTTATTATTTATAAAACACACCACAGAAAATACATATAAATGAGGAAAAATCTTACGTGCTAACTTATAAATAAAAGGTCATATCGCTAAGTAGCGATCTCTTCTAGGCAACCTGAAGTACAGGAGAAAAGAAATAGAAAATATTTTTTTTAGTGGATAGGTGTAATGAATATCAAAGGTACACGGTGAAAGTACACACAACGAATAGGAGAGAAACTAACTTTTATATTATTTTATATTACAATTTTAACTAATTAATACTAATAAGACTAAACACTAAAATTGGGTTCATCCTCATTATCAAACTGAACTAGCCATTCTCTATTCACCTTTGAGAAATAATGAATGAAATTTGTCTGGCTCGTGGGTCTATTGGTAGTATGCCAATGTATGCCTAATAATCAACGGGTCATGGATTCGTTCGCCATCGGGTCTAATATGTGTATAATGTTTCAATTTGTAATTTAATTATTTCTGAAATATGATGGACTTCATCTGGAAATTGGTATATGGTGGTGGTGGTCGGTCACCCACCACCCATTTAATCCCAATTAATAAATGTATCGAAAACTCCGTTCGAGTCACAAACCACCGTCCACAGATGAAAAAACCGTGAAGATTTATCGTGTTTTTGTTTTAATCGGATTTCCATAATCCAAAATAGCACATCTGTGTAAATATTATAGGGCTAGAGTTTTTCACCTACCATCAAATAAACCGTGTCTCTGTCTCTCTCCCCTATCACAAAAAATAAATCAGTTTATTCCAGTACAGTCATTTTTTGTCCATACAAGTCCAGTGTGCACTGGGATGGAATAGAAGCTGACTAAAGAAGGAGATAGCGTCTATCTCATTCAGTCATTTAATTACTTTTTGCGAGTGAGGAAGACAATCTTATGCAAAAAAAACAAAGCTGGATTGGTTATCTATATTATTTCAGTTGCGCTTGTATGGCCGTGTTGAATTCAAAAATGTACCCCTAAACCAGCTTTTCAGTAGTCGTTTAGGTTATTCCAGTACCAATCCAGCACTGGACAAAGTTAATGCAATACAACCATTATAACATATATATAATAATGACAACATATTTTATCTTCAATAATCAATACCAATATTCCTTGAAACTTATTCTTATCGTTTATGAGTAACATTGCGTTATGATGATCTCAACCTTTTTTCCACATTAAAAGTAAGTATAACATAGATTTAGTATCGTAAACAAAAGTAACACCCCGTTTCCTCTACGAGGCGCAAGATAGGACCGTGTCGAATAGTTGATCGATATTATATTTTCTATAACAGAGGACAAACAAGTACGGGGTAAAATTGATAAAAAGTGATACCCGAGACATATAATTATTTGGGCTTTCGGAAATCCACAGATTTTTCAGAGTTTCAGACGACGAGCAACATAAATAAAAAATATTATAAATGGATAAAATTGAAAATACATTGATTATTAAAAATACATTCCTACCATAAGATACAAGCCCGTGTTTACTCAAAAATATCTTTCACAATAAGAAGACGCAGGGGGTCGAGATGGCATGGTAGAAATACTTGAGTCTGATTTAACTGATGTTTTATTTACAGACAAGCAGACATTATGTACACTTGGTTATGTCATCTAGGAAAACGGAGGAGTCGCGGCGAGTTTAATGCCAGTTCTTATCGTTCGTTCTACTCCCTTGATTTGAGAACTGGCAATAAATGTAAAGTTAGATTCTATAGTTTTGTGATGTAGTTACCTACATGAATAAATGACTTTTGACTTTGACTTTAAAACTTACCAACGAGAACTATTGGAACGGACGAGCTAAAATGTTTCAATTCAGGGTACCACTTGTGAATCACATTTTCATATGATGCTCGACTGCCAACTGAGTAACAGACTAGGAAGCAGTTCGTCTGAAACATTAAAAAAAAAAAATATTCTAGTTATACACTTAATAACAATAATATTGGTGTATGTAGAAATACAACCTTTATATTCTATTATATCAATAATATGCATGCATATCAAAATGATTCGGTTTTAATTACCATTATTTAAAAATTGTAAAAACATCATTTACAAGTCAGAGGAGAGACTAGTTTGGGGTTTACTTAATGAAAGCTAAACTGCCGACACACAATATCTAAACATGCTTTATGCCCCTCGACCTTATTTCGACCACGAATACTGCACAGCATCCAAAGGGTCGAATCGCAGTTAAAATGAATAAAAAATAAGTTTTCATAACGGTTTAAATTTTATTGTGCATTTAATAATACTCGCGTAAACTACAGACAATAATATGCAGGATGTGTAGATTAAGTATTGTTATTATTTTTTAGATTTTTCTAAATGTATGAAACTAAACGTCTGGGTGGGAATCAAACCCACGACCCGATAAGTACATATTGCTACGACTGGATCGATGAGCCCGTGTTAGAATCGACACATAAAACCAAAAATGTTACAATTAAGCTAATTTATTATCTATGACCGCCTCTTTAGCAAATGGTTAAACGTATTGCCTAGCATTGCGTTAAGTGCGAGAGGTCCTGGGTTCGAATCCCAGGGAAACATAATGTTGTCGGGCAGGACACAGAAGTCTGATCAACAACTTGCCCGTTAAAAGAACGGATCAGTGAAACGGACACAGAAATGTGTTAGCCCCATGCCCCACGAGGGAAAACAAAAGGAAAAAAAATATCTATGTACTTACATTATTATATGACAAAGGCCTTAGCCTTTCGTAGTCTTCCTGTCCCGCCGTATCCCACAGAGCCATCTCCACTTCCTCGCCATCTACAGTTATGTGTCCCACAAAGTTATCGAATCTAGAAAAACAGAAACATTTAAGATTGTCTTGAATCTATATTAATATTTTTAAGCTGAAAAGTTTATTTGTTTGTTTGAACGTGCTAATCTCAGAAACTATTGATTTGAATAGAAACAATATTTTTGGTTTTAGGTTTCCGTTGCGTGCGCGGTTCAAAAAAAGGTCCAAATAAGTACAAAAGAATTAAGTAATTAAAAGAAAGAATTCCTAAATGAATAAAAAATATATCTTTAAAGATTAACTCACACAGCACCGTTTTTATAGTAATCAAATTTCGTAACTAATATATAATTGTTAATGTTTTCGGAGTTGTTTGTATCAAAAACTACAATAGGATAAAGAAGATTAAAAATACAATAACAACAAGAGATATACTTAGGTGTTATAAAATTACAGTATGTAAATGATCACTTTGCGGTTTATATTAAAAATAGCTTGCTACGTCGTGTGACAATGTTAATCGTTAATCGAGTGCGAAGTTTCGGAAATCGGTGGCAGACTTATGTGTCTGTTCAACGAATAGCCTGTTAATAAAATCGACAAGCGAAACGATCACTGAAATAGGTCTTCACCACATAGAGGAAACAGGATTCTCCTAACAGTAATATTGTTTTGTAAATCAGCTCGTTGCCACGGCAGCTGCAAAACATTTAAAAAATCGGATTTTATTAAAAAAAATGGCTCGTATACATCGCGTTTTAAAGGCCTAGCCTGTTTTTATTTTATTCATATGTAAAATGAAAATAAATAAAAAATATACTTTTTTCTCGTTAATATTTTACAAATTATTTAGATTCGTCAAAAAATGTTTCTGTCTGTCGTGATTCTACGGAGTTGTTTGTATGTTATACAACTTTCTGTGTTTAAAAAAAAACACTTTTAACGGTTAAAAACGCTAAATGTATTAGTTAACTTATTACAGTTTTCGGATGCTTTGCAGGTCACGAGGTATTTAGTCCCAACCAGCACACGCCGGACTGTAGTTAAAATAAAACATAAGTTTACTAATATATTTCACGTTTTAAACCGTTTAAAGAATTTTCTTTAAATGTGTCCTACTCGCGTAGATAATGCTTAACTTTTGTGTTTATGTGTGTTTGGTTGTATTTTGAATTTATTCAAGGTTACCATCTTGTGTAATGTTCAAATGCCAATCGGCTACGGTCATTGACTACAAAATGCGTAGGACCTTCAAGAATGTGATACAGAGATGGGTAGCAAGGAAGTGTATAAGTATTGTTAAGTAGGCAGACTTGTGTGTTTCTTAAAGAGGAAGTCAGAGGCACAGACAATACACAATGGAGTACATTTGACTTTATAAATAGTGCAAATGTAAAATATAACATAAAAACGAGAATAACTTTCGTACATTCATAAAGTTTTTAAATATATCATTAGTATTATTCGAAAAACATCGTTAATGATTTCTGTAACAATGCCTTACTATTTTAAATTACTCAAGGCAGCCATTGCATAATATTTAACTCAATAATTAACTGTAATTATAAGAAAGTCAAATTATAATCACTTTAATAAATACAGGTCAAAGATATTAAAGCCTTTATGTTACCTAGATTAAAATAATAATTCGCTTCGTACTGTTTACTTCTAAAGCTACAAAAATACGCGAATAAGTATACCAAGTTGTTTTTGCGGAATCCTCAAGAACAGAGGGACAGTGTAAGTTGGCCATCGAACTTAGCACAAGAACTGGTGACAAATCCTAGATTTAAGATATACCACTTTTTCTCTTAATCGAAAAAAGTGCAATGCGCTAAGATAAGAAGATTAGGTCCAATGCCATTTCCAATGTTAATTCCTAAGACACCAATAAAGTCTACATTTCTAGACTGGCTAGACGACCGCTAATAATTCCCAGTCAAGTTCGAAAACCAATCGAAAGTATACTTGTTTCACTTTCGCCTCTACTGCTTTAGTAAACATAAAGACATATATACACATAATATTATGCGGACCGGATAACTTATCAGAAGCGACCGCGCGCCGAACATTTATAGTTTTTTACAAATTGTTCATAGAACGAAATATCTACAATGTACCTTATGACTCTAACGATTAATACTACGCATGACTCATCGATATTGATAAATCCTAATAACGGAGACGTCATAAGGAAAATAAAACATTTACGCATCACGGACAACTGGAAATGTCGCTTTTAAAACTTCAAGAAGTACTTGGTATTGGTGATAACTAACTGAAATTGAAACCACCTGCTGATTTAGACACGCACGGAACGCATCAACCGATTGACCTATACCAATCTATTAGACTATAGAAAAAGGTTGGCATCAATCCGCTAAGACGCCAGTACGGATGTACTTACACCGTCGGTACATATTCCTTTGGAAATTCATTCCTAGTGTAAACGTATAGCAGACAAGTCTTGCCCACCATTCCATCTCCGACCACCGTTATCTTCAGTCTCCTCGCGGTCCCCATGTCCCCTACATTCGCATTCACTATTAACAATAATTCACTTGATTTTAACAGTAACGTTATCTAACACTGTAGCATGTCGAATTTAACTGATAACTCGTTCCATCGGTAAGACAAATCGCACCTTAGCACTTCTTATCATAAATGATGTAATGATCTTATCACACTTGTAGAATATTTACGATAACACAGCAATGTTAATTGTGACGCGCGCGCGCACTGTTTCGCGGGTGAATGCAAAGTGTTCATAAATAGTATAGTTTGAAATTCGAATGATTCAACTACGATTTGTCACAGCGGCGAACGCGCCAAACACGCATTAAAGTAGATTGCTACTGGCCAACGCTGACCGCGTAACGTAAGTACTTCCATAACAATAATTATTCTCTGAACGTTCTCTGACCAAACTTTACTAACAAATGAAATAACGTCAAACGATTGTTCCATTTAACATCATTACAGACAAAAGGCGTCAACACATCGCACATTATATCATTTGACTTGCATCTAAGTCGCTGCCTAGGTTCTAAAGTGATAAATTAATTCATAATTTAAGCCAATTAAAAAATAATAAACGCTTGAGTATTTCTAATATTATTTAATGTATTAGTAACAAACCTATTGATACAATAATCTTATTCCTAATTGTCATCTAAAACAAGTGTAATTAACTTGAGGGTAGTTTCACTATTTGTTACTCCACTTTTTTGTGTCTATTAACAGTGCATATAACAACTTATTAAACTCCTTAAAGACAGGTCAAATTACCTTAAGATAAATAGCAACAATAAAAGATCACTGATATACTTAATGCTATACAGATAATCATTACTAAAAGCAAAGACAAAAATTACTGCATAAGATTATTTAGTCGAAACAGGTACAAACAATTTTTAAAATCTATTAATACTGCATCTTAAAGCAAGATATTATTCTTAAGCGGCAGATTACACAAAATTTTACTTAAGGCCTATATCATTTAAACCAGCTAAAATAAGTTCTTCCTTCATTGAGAGCACTTCATTTAGCAGTTCTTGATTGTTGGCTTGAAGTTGTGCTATTATGGACCTTTGTTTCCTATTTCTTTCCTTCAATTGAGTTAGAGTTGCATCACAAGAGTCAGCATGCGATATAAACGTGTCTGCAAAAACATATTAGTTAAGACAAGGTATCTATAAATAAGCACATTATTTGCTTTTTTACAGATACCTTCCGAGCATCAAGTATAAGACTGTGAACAATATCTTGGTAAAAACTTACTAGATTTTCCTCGTAGTCTATCTGTTAATTTTTCATTTTCCATTGTCAGTTTGGCTATTTTATTCTGGAGGGACTTTTCATTAGCTTCCTTTTGTTTAACAGTTTGAAGTAGCTTGGCTCGAGTTTCTATAAGCTTTTGATACAAATCATTAGAATGATCAGAAACTCGTTGAGCAGAAGCAACGCAAGCTCTTGATTCATTTTTTTCTGTGCTCAATTTATCCTTTAATTTGCCTAAACAGCCCTTTATGTAGTGGAATAAACATATAAAGATAATACATTAAAAAAATTTGAAAAAATAATGTAAAATATTGAACCTTATATAATTTAAAATTTCACATGCAAGATATCATATTATATTTAGAAGAACTTAAAGACAAGAAAAAAGCATAAAACATTATAAATACATACGTTTAACTGTTTATTGGTCTGTTCAAGAATAAAATTTTGCTCCTGTAAACTACTTGATTTCTCTAACGAATTTTTATAATGATGTAGAAGAGTCCAAACAGAATTAATAAGTTTTACTAGAGCATTTAAATTTAATGTGTTGTTTTCAACATCTATGTGTGGATTAAATATGTAACTAAAATTGTGAAGATTTAGCTCCTGAAAAAATGTGAACAAAAGTAAAGTAAATTTTGACTTTAAGTTATTTGTAATATAAAAAATTAAAAGAAGTGATACCTCGGAAAGCCCAATCAAACATTCTTTGTAATTCTTTTGAGTACATGGTTCGTATATCGTAGCCTTTTTATCTTTATAATTTTCTAAAAGTTCTCTTATTTCTTCATCGAGGCTTTCAGGAAGATGTGACATTTTTAGATAAATATGCAATAAAAGTTTAAACAAATTTCCGTCACTTTTATACATTAACAAGTTTAGATAGAAAGTAAACTTCGTTACTTTGCAAAATTTACTTTGTTTTGAATTTTCGAAAAACCATAGACTATATAGAGTAAATGATATTGTTCCACAGAACACCATTGACGGTTAACAGACTTCTAACCTCATATGAGTGATATAGACCATATTCAAAAATTAACATTGTTTGGACAACTTAGGTGCAAGACAAAAAAACAATAAATTCGGACATGCTGTAGGCCTAATGAGATTGAACTATTTACTTAGAACAATTGTCTCTTTTCCCATATTCATGTAGTACTCTACGAATTAATAATTTTGTATGTTTTCCTGAAACTTCTTTCGTATGGATTTATGGATTTCATTTATATACACGTTTTATAATAAATACGATTTGTTCCCAAAAGTTGCAGAAATAATTATAGGTATAAAAAAAACTTCATTGTAGTAGTTACTTGATTTATAATCTGTGAAATAAAATAAAATATTGTTAATCTCTAATTAAAAAAGGAATTCGAACAAAATAATCGTTAATTCATTGACGTCATGTGTTGCATTAGGTGGGGCATACAAAATTCAGATCTTAATAAGGGTCTCACTCCGACCAGCCACAACTGAGACCAATCCACTTGATACACAACAGTCCAGTGGTTGGTTCTATTGCTGTTTGTCACTTTTTCTTCATGTGGTCCAGAAGTTTGGTCTAAAAAAAGAACAACATTAGCATTATTTCGTTAGAATGTTAACATCAATAAAATACTATACACATATCTCATTAATTTTTTAATCTATACGAAAATTGGATTGTATTAGATCATAGACATAACTTTTGGTCAACAGTGATGGTTGATGCTACTGGAGAAAAAACAATTCTATCCTTACGCTTCACCCTATTAAACTTTTTCTATGCTGAAGTTGCGTATTTTTTTACATAGTCCCTATCAGTACATACCTAGCTTTCGGTAAAGTGTTTATAAAAAGCGGTATAACAAACACACCTTAGCAAGATGAAGTCCCATTTCGCTCAGTCGTTTGTGCTGATATGTTAAAGGTTCGTGTAACTTCGCGTCGCCGCGTTTGTAGAAGTCGCTGTAATCAAGACGGAACGCCAGCGTCTGCAGGGAAACCTCCGTGTGGAGAGCGAGCTTCAGTATCAGCGTTGTTACGTGGCCTCTGAAAGTATGGTCTTCATGTAACCTTATTCCTTTTCCTTGAAGGATAGAATAGCTGGCAAACATCTTGAACATATTAAGGTGCGTTTGGCGGAACGAACGGGTCGCAGAGGGAGGGGGAGGGGGAGTCGATGGGGGGGGGTATCGAGCGCGCTTTCGTTATTGGTAAATCTTAGGCAATTATCGTTTTATGAATGTCTATTATATTTTTTTTTAAACTTCCAAAAAAAAAAATACTTAAATTATTTTGTTCGCAAGTGGACTAGACCGAATTTGCTCCCACGACGCCACTTTTCGTTCAAGTGTTTTGCCAGCTTGCATTGCATCTGACTGTACCTGTATGTCCGCGCCCAAACATTGAGATCGGCTTTCCTGCTCGCGAGAAACTGGTTGAATATCTTTCGTCTCTCTTTGTCCTGGACTTCATCGGCTGCTGTGATGGCATATTCATCTGAAATAGGGTAAGGGTTTTTAGAATTGAACTGGTATGTTTCATCACCTTGCGAACAAGACATAGAGTTTAACACCAGAACATTATTTTGATTTGAAGAGCAAAACATCAAGCAGAAATGCAGAAGGCCTGAAAGTAACATTCACCTTTGCGAGACATATGTAAATCTCAGATATTTATTAAATTTAATGAAATTAACGGTTTCAAACATTGTTGGTTGAGTTGATCGCAACCATGATTATTATAATCAAGCATCCGGAACGTCGGGTAGTAATAAACAAATATAACTACGATCTGTCACGTTTTAAACCGTTAAAAGTGTTTATTTATTATACTTAATGAATATATAGTTACGTCTAGCAGCTCGTTCGATCTTCAAGGCTTCGTAGCGCTCTCGCCGCTCCAGCTCAGCGTTTATCCCGGTGTGGAGGGTAGTCTCAAAACTCCGTAACGCCAGAGTCTCATTCAGAACGTTCCCAAGGTACGATTGCAACTCCTGAAATGGTCGGAAATGTAAAAAATATACAATTTACATATGTTAATACATATCAGCCGAATCAAATACGTACCTGTAATAAACTGATTTAAAAAAGTATCAAACCCCCAATTTTTTTTAAAAAATAAAACATATAACTAATTACTTGTTTAAACTAATTTAACAGAAGTAACTAAATAAAAAATTATTAATACATTTATTTCTACACAGAGATTTGTGCCCAAAGGTGGTACAAGATTGTTCGCAAGGATAGAGCGGGCCCTTCCCTGTGTGGTGTGATGAATCATAGCGTGTATAGAATGCCTGTCGAGGGCGTTATGATGTAGTTGGAGAAGTTTATCGAGGTGGTGCCCCTCGGCTGCAGCCGCCAATAGATCGGCCCAGGCAGGCTCGGCGCCTTCGCAGCTCGCGTCTTGCAAGGCGCCGCATAAGCGGAGCGCCTCCGCCCTCAGACACGACACCCGACGCATTAGGCTCCACACCTCTGTTGCATATTTATCAATATTTAAGAGCTGGGTAGAAATCCTCTTTTCCTAACACTCCTTAGCTATAATTATATACAGTTGTCGACTTCAAATTTAACATTTTACATACCCTTAAATACAATTTAAAAAACGAAAATAAGTTGAAAAAATTTTCGACTCGGGCAGGACTTTGAACCTGCAGCGTCAGCGTTCTGTGCTGTTGCTCTACCAATTGAGCTACCGAGTCCTACACCTGATCGTCGAATTTTTTCAACTTATTGATACATGCACCTCTCGCGCAATGTAATTTCAACCTTTGCAAAGCTTTGCAGCTTAAGAAATCATTGAAGATGAAATTACAAAGTTATAACGTTTGAAAACATGTTTATTATTTTTTACATGTGCCAAAGTTTTCAAATATCCTTAAATTATAATACAAGAACGCCCCGTACTAGAAATGGTAATCCCCAGAGGTCCTTCACGGGGAAACAAATGATTTATTAGATGACTTTATTTGATGTTGCGGTCATACAGAACAGAAGCAACATAAACTAAAATATACAAAGTAAAAACTTGTTTCCCCAATGGGACTTGGATCGAACCCATTGCTGAGGCCATTTCGCTGATGGGGTTCTTTCACAGCCAAGTAGTTGATCAGATCTGTTAAACTTACCGGGCATGCCCTTGAGTCGCTTCTGGAGGATGGTGTGGTCGCGCCAGGCGTCATGAAGAGCATACTCGATGCGTTTGACCCGCCACAACTGGGTGAATAGAGAGCGATATTGCGCTGCACATGTTGCTGGGAACAATGTACCGAGGGGTCCGTCCACCCGATACTGCAACGCGAACACGTCCCAACCGCTGTCTTCGCGACCGTCACCTGTTTTTAAAGATTCATCATTCATTGGCTCCACTGTAAACTTCTTCGTTAAAACAACGGTTTAAAACGCGATATATATGCTTTAAAGCATCTGAAACGTCGGGGCGTAGTTACTAGTTCCAAATGAGTTTAACTAATATATATAGCGTTTTAAGCCGTTAGTTTTAATTCAAAACAAGGATAAAAAGGGTTTTTAATTTATGCCATCGTGTGCAATGTTAATATTTTCCATATTAAGTTTTGAAATATGTTTAGTAAATCAGAATTCATTAAGTCAAGCTTATAAGATATTTTAATTATTTCTCCACCCTCGATCCCGTATCAGAAAACACTTTTTTGATATTATACAAGCGTGGAGTTAACTTGATTCAGGGTTTCTCTCCTTTTGACATGCTCGTTGGTCTAATGGTTGTAACCTAACCAATGGTAATAACCAATCCATGTTGGATTTCTAATATATCTTTATTTCTGAAACATTCTGGATATTAACGTGGAGGTGGAGGCAATATAAACGTCCGCTGTTTGGTTTCATTCTATAGATTTCAGAATACCAAAGCCAAAACGTGTCGACAGTGCGTCTTGTTCTAAACATATGACTGGACTGGACGTACCATCAAGATAACCTGAAGAAAAGGGGTGAATTGACTCTGTAATACTTATTAAGATGTGGTACAAGACATCGACCGTTGGCAAGCGTAAGAGATTCTAATACATAAATAAAAAACGATTTTAAAGACTAAATTCGGTCTTTGTTAATTTAAATGTCTTACAGTTAGGATAGAGGTTGACATGTAAGCGAGCGAGTACGTGCGGTGGTTCGTACTGGGCATTGGTCGCTCGGACAGCCGCTTCCAGGGTGCAAGTCAAGTTGTGGACGTACAGCGACGTTGCCGGTTTACTCAGTTCATCCCTATGCAGAAAGACTTAATTAAAAAAAGAATAGAGCAAAACCCTAAGTATAACATAGGGTAGCGACACACAATCCTAATGATTATCTTTGTAGGCCGATAAATTTCTCAATTAAAGCCTTGTTAATACGTTTCAGAAAACAGCTCAGAACTTAATTTCTCGTGGTACTTCATATTAGTAGATAAGACCGCGACTTCGTTCGCATTGAACAGTTATTTCGGGTTTTATAAATTGTTGTTGTTTGTTTTGTTGTTGTAAAGCTGTTACCCACGTTGTCCGTGTCCTGTCGTCCTTCTTATCGTCCGCGATTAAATTTTAAATGATAGAGTTGAATTGTCGCGGACATTTTCTTTAGATCATTTAAGGAAATATCATTCTTTTAATACATATTTTTTACTTTCTTGAGCAGTTTTCGCAACGCACGCTTCTTGAAAGATGATAAATAATTTTCCCCCCTCTTAGTCGCTATCTGATGGTATATAGTCTAACCAGTAAGTCCTGAAATAAGCGTGATTAAAAAGACACGGAAGCGCTATTGGTTATATCAGCAGCACGGATCGCTGTAGATACCGATTCAAGTACCCCCCCATGTCGTTTTATCAATCAAAACTAATTTATATATTTAACTTCTTCAATAAATTATTATAAGTTTAATAATTAATTGTAATATTACTGCAACAGTGTCATAAGATGGTGTACGAAGTCTCCCTGGGCTAGCAGCAGATAGCGTCGGTGCGCTGCAAGATGATCCAGGAGATGGTGGTGCGTGGTCAGGGCGGCTAAGAGACGCTGAGAGGCGACCGCGTGCGCCATCTCCAAACCCTCACGCAATCCCTCTGCCTCCCACCACGCTGGACCCGTTGACTCCTCTTCCATGCCGCCCCCACTTGCACCTACACATTATTTTACGTTACAAAGACAATGTTTAAAAATAATAATTCTAACTTTTTCCATGTCATTTTATTAAATGTACACTTTTATTTGGAATCGTATTAAAAAGAAACCTTGTAAATTTCTGTGTTTATATCTATGAATTGTAGAAATTAAAAAAACCTTCTTATTAAAACCGAGGGACCACAGAGACAGAATAAACACTACATTTTAAGTTGGCACGCTAATAGATATCTCCCAACAAATAATCATTGCATTTACAAGGTATTTTGAGGTGATATTCTGTTGACGATGTCATGAGTGACGGCGAAGCGTCGCTACTACAGTACTTTGAAAATAATTCTGTTTGAATAAAACATATTAACGGTTTAAAACGCGAAATTTATTAGTTACACTTCCTTGAAAATTATTTTAACTACATACATAATAATTTTCAAATAAGTCTAACTATTAAATTTAGCGTTTTGAACCGTTAAAGTATACTACTCGCGTATATTATCTCGCCAATATTGTACATCTTTTTATTCCACAACCCAAACCACAGATACAAAACACCAAAGAGTGTGTACACAGATACTACACTGGACTCACCATTCCTAGTGTGGGCTGCGAGCAACGTCTGCAGGTGTAGCGCATGGTCAGACTCTGAACCCGGCTCACCCTGTTCCGGGAGGTTGGCACATGCTTTCCGCATGAACACCACACTCTTGCCAGTTGCTAGAATCTGCGCTGCTTGCTCACGGCTCATGAAAGACGGTATCATCCAGTCTCTGGTGAAAATAATTGGCATTAAAATAGATGCTGATTCATGTAACATTTGAAAGGAACATAATAATAAAAATAGGACAGTCAGCACAAAAGATTCAAAGTACATATAAAAATATAATTATATTTAAAAAAAATTTTGGCTACAGATTAATAAATATTTATTCAATACTAGCTGTGCCAGCGACTTCGTCCGCGAGAAGAGTTATTTTGGGCATTCAAATTAGTTTTTTCAAATCCCGTCATCTTTATACACTTAAGCTGCTAGTCATGACGTCGATCACGTCTCTTCCCGTCGTTCTTGCAAGTTAATCTTAAAACATGGACATATAGCGTCGCACACTTTTTTTGACTTTTTATAGAAAAATCATTATTTAGGTATCTTAAACCATTTTCACAGCGTACGCATCTGAAACCCACACAGATGAAGAATTTCCCCCGTTTTGTTCACATTTTCCTGATCTTCGCTTCTATTAGTCACAGCGCGATGTTTTATAGCCTATAGCCGTCCTCGATAAATGCTCTAACCAACACAATAAGATTTTTCAATTCGAACCCGTAGTTCCTGAGATTAGTGCGTCCAAACAAACAAACAAACTCTTCAGCTTTATATATTATTATAGATTGCACATACGAAAAATACATCACTTACATTTTATATTATTTCCTATGTGTTTATTAATTCTTATAATAAATTTCCAAAAACAACATGATAATATAATTTATATGATTAAATTCGTACGTTTTTCTGTTATAAATGTAATGTCAATGGTATTGTCAATGCAGTGGCGTAACTATACCGTTCGAGGCCCGTGGCAAATTATGGGCCCTCCCACTTCCCCAATATAAAAAAGAAGCTGAACCAACAATTGCGATTTCCTCTGACCGGGGGCCCCTTCGGGCTGGGGGCCCGAGGCATTTTGCCGACTTGCCACCCTATAGTTTCGCCACTATAGCAATACAAAGTCAAAAACATCTTACCTAACTCGGTACTTGTCGTGCCACATTCTGTCGATTGACACTTTATTTCTTTTCTCAATAAGAAATTCGCCATATGGATCGTCGATTTCACCTGCGAATATAACAAATTAATAGATCATCATTGCTAAGTTTATTTGAGTTTATTAACAATTTTGGTATATATGCCTATACCGCCTTTAGTTTACCCGATTAATACACACTTAAATACAACACTTTAACGGTTTAAAACGCGATATATATTAGTTAAACTTATTAGAAAAATATTTTTATCTATGATCCGACGTTGCGGATGCTTTGCAGCAGCCGTGGTCAGGAGAGACCCCGAGGGGGCTTACTAACTAGGGGCACAACTACAATATTTTGTGTTTTAAACTGTTCAAGTGTGTTATTTAAATATATGTGTATAATAATGATTAACAAAAATTAAGTTACATGAATCTCCATTTATATATATTTTATTGAAAGGATATGTTATTATTAAGAAAGACCTATATAAACTCATTAGCCCATCAACAAACTGAAAAAATTAAACCCTTGACTGAAATAACTAACCGTGTAGCAGCCAGCGTGTTAGCATTAGCAGCAGAGGGTAGGTGAGGGCAGTCAGCAATCTTCGCGCCAGCGCCGCTATCCGTTCATCACCGTGATGAACAAACCTATGTACGCAAGATGCTAATGCACCACCTAAAAGTTAACATAAACTTAGTATGCAATTCTGTAGATTCGGTTTCGAATCGCGGGAAAAAAATGTTTCGACCTGGTAGAACAAAGAAATAACTATTTCCTTGTCGCCTAATGAAACGGATATACCAATGTGTCCATCCCATTCCACATAACGAGAAAATGGGATCTCACACACTAAAAAATATAATTCATTAATTTAAAATATTTTTAATATTACAAGATATTTGATGGTTTGAGCACTTCAATTTTTTTTACAAAGTCAGTATTGATTTCTTATTGACTATGTTATTCTTACAAAGAGCTTGTAAAGCGACAGTAAGTAAAATTGTGAGAAAAAAGAATAACACACGACTTAAAAGAACGACGAGAATGTACTCCTGTTTCTCAGTTTATGAGATTTTTTTTATAACAGAAGAGGATATACTAGTATGGCATTCAAGATGTGCTGTCAACGTATTTAGGATTTGGATATTATTGGATATCCGAAAAAACCACCCCAATTTGTAATAAGGTAGTGTGAAGATTACCTCTCTTATCTTGTACACTGTGTACAATAGTCGCCAGCCACGTCAACCTATGCAGTGGATCCTGGGCCCAAACACATACGCGACGAAGTGTACCGCCACTGCAGTCATTTTCACAAACCTGTACAATAAAATAATATATATAGGAAAATTCGCGTTAATGAAAAATCCAAACTGTAATGAAATAGGAAAAAATGGGCATCCCCTTTCCCCTCGTGGGGCATGGAGGCGAACACATTTCTGTGTCCTTTTCACTGATCGGTTTTACAGGCAAGTAGTTGATCAGACTTCTGTGCCCTGCCCGACCGAAACAATTGACTGTTTGTCCGGAATTCGAACTTAGGACCTCTCGCGCTTAACGCAATGCTAGGCAACACGTTTAACCAATGTAATAAAATAGTAGTAACATTTTCATGATTAAATAAGGGCTGTCCTGGATCACAAATAAATATATGTATACACATTGAATATATAAAAACATAGGAGATTGGTATTGAAGAAAAGTAATTCACATGTGAACAAACCTGTGATTGAAGTAACGCAACACTTCGATAATATTCTGTTAGTTCATCACGTACTGCGGCCACCAAGCCTTCAACCATTAGACCTGAAACAGGAACTCTTAAAATTAATTTAAAATTGAGGCTAATGGATGGATGGCCTATGTTGTAGCAGCTAAACTTTTTATAAAAAAAAAAACTGTAGAATTTATAATATATAAATATACTATAAATACAGTAGCTCAATTGGTTAGATCTACAGCACAAAACACTGTGGATGCCAAACGCTGCGCGTGTCGTAATTTTTTTCAATTTAAAATCTATATATACATACTGCCATTATGCGCAAAAACATGTGAAAAATATTAAAGATTTCCAAATAATTGTGTATTTTTCTACATATCAGTAATTAACAAAACAAAGAATAGATAAAATGGTACCTCGGGGAGTGAACACTGATGTAGGATCAATGAATTCCTTAAGTTTATCGTGAAGAAAGCCCAAATGTGCTATTCTGGAATATAGAATTTGGACAGGCCTGGACAAGGTGCATGAAGGTTTCGGCTTGACACCTGTTGCAGCTAGCACTGCATCTCTTACGCAAGCATTTTCGTTAACATGATCTGCAACAGAGATTATTAAAATTTATACTTACTGCTTATGAGGTGACTTATAACACAAAATAATAATCTATGACAAACATAATTAATATCTGTTTTTATATATGTATGATGCTTATTAATAATCTGTTTTTTTTTTCAGTTTTGTCAGTGTCGATAGGGTACCAAAGTAAATACTGCCTATAGTTTACGCAAGTAGTACACATTAAAAAAAAAACACTTTAACGGTTTAAAACGCGAAGTTAAAAATCATTTTCAAATAAGTATCGCGTTTTAAACCGTTAAAGTGTTTTATTTAAGGCTACCAAATTTCCAAACTACAGCTACTTAAACCATGAAGCTTTCTTAATTAACTTTTAATTATGGCATTTTTAAAGTATTGTATATTTATATATTATATGTATATTAATTGAGATATAAAAGTATATACTTACTGCAAGATTCAGTCATAATAGCCATATTACTATGGTTAGATGGAAGGCTCTGACTAGAGGCTTGTTGTTTTGGAGTATTTAAACCCCAACTTGTGCCCACTGTACTCTTGCTCGAGCTTGCTGTTCCAGTAAATCCCACTGCTGAACTCTATAAATTAAGATTAATGTAACAACAAAATATGTATTTTAAGTTAGTGCCAACACAAAAATTAAATTTATTTCACCCATCATTAAAAAAAGTTGAATATGTGTGATTTTTATAGCTTAGTCAAATTATCATCTATTGTAGTATTCAAATAAGTATAATGTTTCTCTCTCAAATTCCAATGATTATTATCATGGTGTTTAAAATGCAAAAGTAAACAAACTTACATCAACATTGAGATTTGGTAGTGGAAAGAGCTGCTGTGTTGAATTAGATGCTTGAGGTGATTCTGATAGGGCCAATAAAAGGGACAAAACGGCTACTGGCTGATTGAGAACAAACTAAAAACAGAAATAAAACAAGTATGAGTGAACTCTCATATTCTAGAAGTTCTAAAGTACCTGAACAAGAAAATTTTGTAATATAGTGCTAAATAATTATACTTACAGCATTTTTAAGCTTAGAAAAGCACTCATTAAACTTATCTGCATCCTTGCTAGATATATTACTCAGATGAGAATGAATCTTTTGACAAAGTATTTTTTCTTCAGCTAAAGGTCGCTCATTTATTGATGTCATATAAGATAGTGCCAATTCATAAGCTTCAGCTGCAATAACACATAAAAGGATGTACAAGAACCATATGAAGAAAAATAAAACAAAATAAATGACGTTACATACATATTTTAACTGAATAAAGTAAACTTTTAAGCACACTTTGAAAGTAGCTCATTTGATATTATTGTTTCAATGAAACAAATAAGAAATAAAAACAAATAATGTAAATTAAGGTTCGAAAATGGAAATTGTCTAGTTACCTGATTTGACTGATTCTTGTTTGGATGTCAATCTTTCACATAATTTATTTAAAAGCCCCGGAACATTGCTATTAGAATTATCCATTTGGGCTAGATGTAATTCTTAATTAATTAATAGAAGCTGATTTCGTGTTTTCAACACATTCAACTTATGTTATGTGAATCAGATCTCTTTAAAGTTTAAACGTTAGTTCTATTTGGTTCCCGCGAGTCTTAAGGTCGTCGAGAATTTGAAAAACTTAATAAAGATTATTTATTTTTTTTCATATTAATAACCATACACTATTTTAAATTATGTTATTTATGTATACAAATACAATTTATGATAATTTTGATAATTTGCATTTAGCAAATGGTTTTAAAATAACGTTCTCTGTGTTTCGCACAGACTGCTTTTATAATATATTGTTTTATTTATGGTAAGAATTGAGTACTATAATCTGTGACTAGTGATTCTAAAAATAACCACGTACTTATTTGATGTAATAAATAATTCAATCGCATTTAGATTGAAGGGATATTTAGAAGATTTCTGCCCGTTGTTGGCAACCATAAGAAAGATTATTAATCTCTAGGGAAATAATGGAGGTATAGCAACTATAACATAGACTGCACGAAACAAAATGGCCGATATGCCAAATTTAGTTCCAAAATATTCCGCGATACTTATTTCGAGAAATGGACTCTAGAATACTGTGACAACAACTATTTTGAGGTTGCAAGTTTCTAATTTGTTTACAGATTTTTCTTCAATGTCCTATGACTAATCAATCACTACAGTAATTTTTAGAAGATCATTCGTTGAGTAAATGACTTACAATGAGTTTTTCTATAGATGAAGTTAATTTTCTGGTATACCGTTACTTACAGGAATCTGGTAATTGTTGATTGTATACATACGTTTTGGAGAAGCCTATGACAAAATTAAACAATTATTTTGTTTTTAGGATTCCATCACTCAGCATACACCTTTGGTATAGAATCTCATATTTCACAAAGTAATATAAATGGCGCACTGGTTCCACCAGCGGCTCTTCTTAACATACTTCAAAAGGGTTTGCAATATACTGAAGCTGAAATAACGTTGGGAGACGATGGTAACTAACCTATGAATTTTAAGAAATGTATACAGTTGTATATACGTTTTAAGCAACAATTAATGACTATTATTCCCGTTTAGGTACCGAAATACGGCTAACAGAGACTTTAAGTTTAATTGATGCAGTTACACCAGATATAGTTGCAGCTCGTCAGAATGCTCACAATGCTCAAAAACAGGCTATCAAAGAAACTGGATCAGGAAGTGAGCAAAATGGTGGTGTGGAGGTTTGTTTAAGAACTTATACATGGTGAAAAAGTTATAAAAGAAATTATTTGAATTATTTTTATACAAATTTTGATAGTCTTAAAATACAATGTAAAATTTCTTCAGGCTCCGCCTGTCAGTGCTCCATCTGCAACAGGGGGAGCTGAAACGCCAATTGCACAAGAACCTATGGAGACTGACCAATCAATTGAAATCCCTCCAAGCAAAGCTACAGTACTTAGAGGACATGAGTCGGAGGTGTTTATTTGTGCCTGGAACCCTAGCACTGATTTATTAGCCAGTGGCTCTGGAGACAGTACAGCGAGGTTTGTTATAATTTATGTACTGTTAATTAACAGCCTTAGTGTCATTATTAAAAAATAATGAACATATTTTCAGGATTTGGGATATGTCCGACAACCCTACAAGTATACCAAATCAGTTAATTTTAAAACATTGTATTCAAAGAGGTGGAGCTGAAGTGCCAAGTAACAAGGATGTTACATCACTCGATTGGAATGTAGGTTCTCTTATAAAATTATTTCTTGCACTGCATATTTTAAGATAATCAAAAAGCAATTACAATCTGTATCAATTTCAGTGTGACGGTAACTTGTTAGCAACAGGGTCATATGATGGATATGCTCGTATTTGGACTACCGATGGAAAAATCGCATCGACACTAGGTCAACATAAAGGACCAATTTTTGCACTGAAGTGGAACAAAAGAGGAAACTATATACTTAGTGCTGGGGTAATCTTTTTATATGTATTTGATTCAAAAAGGCATATTAGAAGTTAAAATCATAGCAATATAGGACTTGAAACTGTATATATATCTTATATATGTTAGGTGCTATATGCTGATGTTAAATGTGCAATACAGTGTGTAAACTACCCTACATTTAGTAATGACCGACTAAAGAAATAATTAAAGAAGTTCTAAAGGAAATAATATAGTTACATACTAAACTATCATTGTTAGTAGTGTGTTAAAGAAGTGAAGGTGACAAAATGCAATGCAACAATGTAATTATTGTATATGTTGTTAATATATGTTACAGGTTTATTCAATATTAAAAATCTATATGAATTTATTTTAAAAGAAAAAAAAAATAGTTTTAAGGCCTAAAATGATTGTGTTTTATGTAACTTTCAATGCAGTAAATAAACATTCAATATTACAGGTGGACAAAACAACAATTATCTGGGATGCGGCTTCAGGACAATGCACTCAACAGTTTTCCTTTCACAAAGCTCCAGCTCTGGATGTTGATTGGCAGACTAATACATCTTTTGCCTCCTGTTCCACAGATCAAAGCATTCAAGTTTGCAAGTTACATGTTGACAAGCCCATAAAAAGCTTTTTAGGGCATACAGTAAGTAGAAACCTTAGTGTAAAATATTTATTTCTTTGACACATTTAAAATAAAAACGAACATAATCCAGCTCTCAGATAATGTCCCTAATAGATAATACATAATATATAAAACAAATTTTAGTCATATACTATTTTATTTATATATATTGCTTTTGTTGGTAAGCACTTCAAATATTATGTTTAATGGCTAAAAGTGGAAGCAAAAAAGGCAGTACATTGTTGGTTAGGAGTATTGCCCGTATTACCAATTATTTAAATAACTCAAACGCCCTTACTGTCTGTTCTTATTGTCGACTTAAACTCTATAACAACTTTTCTTCCAGAATGAAGTGAATGCTATCAAGTGGGATCCACAAGGGCAACTGCTTGCATCTTGCTCTGATGACATGACATTGAAAATTTGGTCTATGAAACAAGACACTTGTGTTCATGACCTCCAAGCGCATTCAAAAGAAATTTACACTATAAAATGGTCCCCAACAGGGCCAGGAACCCAAAATCCAAATATGAATTTAATCTTGGCTAGTGCATCGTTTGACTCCACTGTGCGTCTTTGGGATGTCGAGAAAGGAGCTTGTGTGCACACTCTAACGAAACATACAGAACCAGTATACAGTGTTGCCTTTTCTCCCGATGGGAAATTTTTAGCGAGTGGCTCATTTGACAAATGCGTTCATATATGGTCCACTCAATCAGGATCTCTTGTTCACTCATACAAAGGAACTGGTGGCATTTTCGAAGTCTGTTGGAATTCAAGAGGTACAAAAGTAGGTGCTAGTGCCAGTGATGGAAGTGTCTTTGTTTTAGACTTACGTAAATTATAGTTAATGCTTTAATTTGACATCCAATTGGAGCTTAATCGCTTACGCAAATAAAAGCTCATAATATGCATAAACAACATCAAAAAGTGCTTAAATTGAATTTTAAAAATCAGTTTAAGAACATCAGACAACTTGTGTATATGCTATTCCATGAGGTTGTACCAATTGAATATGAATAGGATAAAGAAGCAAGATGTGAGTGTTGTGTAATCATTATAGAAATAGTAAAGGTAATTGGAAAATATTATGAACCATAGTTTTCTGTAAGTGATATACTTGAGGTAACTTATCTATTAATATAGCCTTATATGAACACATTTTAAAAATAGACTGTAAGTTAGACATTTCCAAGTGCTGTTTTAAGTTATGTACCTACCAGCATTATATTGTTGGTTAAATATATTTTTATGACCTTATTTTTCTTTTTATGTGCAAAAAATAGATACATTTTAAATTATGATTATAATTATTGAGGGTAGATGTTTTTATACACATATAACACTGGTTTTACATAAAATTGGATAGTAAGAGAAAGTTTGTAGATATGTTTGAGATTACGATTGTAACATTGAAAGAAATTGACATTGCAACTTGTAAGAATACCTTGTATGGTCTTCAAAGACTCAATTGTACATTTTACAGTATTTTAACTATATAATAAATAGGTAGAAATACTTCTGTACATTATTTAAAATGTCAAAAGCTAAGTGGATGTGATGTACAAAGAGTGGCAGAATAAAAAACATATTCAATTAATTTATTTACAGTCTTATCTAGGCAATGTCATCAATGGTCAACTGCAATATCAATTTTGTTTGAAAGAAATAAAAAAAAAACACTGTGTTAACAACCATATCTATAAAACAAAATGTTTATGTATTTACACCTCCATAGGTCTTTGATAGGCTAACAAATCTTCATGCTTATAAAGACAATGTAATTTTTCATACATGAATTTAAAAAAGTAGAGTAAGTTGTCATATTCACCAATGTAAGGCCTACACTGAATGTGGCCATTTTTTTCATGGACAGGCCAATTAGTTGTAAGTGGGGTAACATATATTTCATCACAACCCCAAGCACAGATATGTAACTCTATCAAAAATTGATGTAATGCTTCAATTGTAGATAAATACCATCTTGGACTGCCCTTCTGGTGACGCCAAAATTGAGATAATCGATGCTGTAGAACCACTTTCTGTAAATTCTGTAATCGAATATCAGCAAAAATGCCTCTACTTTGATTCCAAGTGCTATCAATAATAACAAGTCTGTCTATGGGCAATTCTTCAACATGGTAAATTTTATTCCCTTTGTCATCATTGTCATATACTTTTCTCATCAATGTACCGACATTATAACCATGAGGTAGTTCTGCTAATAATTTCTCTGAATATGTCTGTGATTTGTTTCTGCCGCTATATAGTTCTTGAACAGTGTAAGCATCTGCTCCAGGATATAATAGAACAACTCTTTCATTTTTATCATATTGAGGTATTTCAGGATATGTAAAAACTCTTACATCGTTTGGAGCTAGTACTGCAGCATGTGCAGATGTGCTCTTGCCGTCTATTTCATGTTTGTGTTTAATTATGTCAACTTTAATAGGCAACTGCAACACAAAATAAGATTTTTATTGGACAAATTAATAATGTTGAAACTTAAATGACTAAATATCTTACATCACATGAGGGTATTTTACCCTGTAATGGAGGAACCGGTAGATAACATGTATAACAAAAATACATGCGCGACTTGTGGCAGCGGGAGCACGCGTTACGAGTTTTCAAGTTTAATAATGCTTCTGAGCTGGTTATATTTAAACCTTCAAAAGGATTTTCATTTCGATTTCTCGCCTCAGAGCTTTTAGGATTCATTGTGACTGGTGAGACCTACTAGTGTGGTCCTTACTAAAATACTAAATAATATTATTTATAGTTCTTAAATCTTAACATATAATGGGAACCACATAAAAATTAAAGTAAATAGTAGAATTGTGTAAAATAGAAAACAATATGTTTAATGTTTATTTCAGCCACAGATGTGCAACAAACTACAGGTTCAATATGGCAAAATCGAGAAAGTGAATAATCATACAAAGAGAAGAGTCAAGCATTTTTTTGTTTAATAAAATTGTAATGATTAATTAACCATATTATTAATATTGTAATTAGCTTATTGAGCTATTAAATTGTAAGAAGCACGTTTATATAAGTAAAATAAATGTTCCAAACTATATAACGTTTATAATTATTAGTCTGTCGACGTTATCTATTTTCGTCTATGACCTATCAAAATTTTTGCTATTAACTCGTTACGTCAAAAATTGTAGGTAGGTGCCTACTAAATGAAATTGTGTTTTTTAGTTACAGTGCAGTGTTAAAAATAAAAATTGAAGGTAAGTTTAATTTTTCTATACTTTAAATATTTTTTTTGTTACTATTTGCTTGGAAATGTCACATAAAAATGTATGTAAATAAGATTTTTGAGCATGACGCCATTTTGTCGCGCCGGCTGATCGGAATTTTATTATTTTTTTAGCGTATTTAACATTAAAATTTGCTGTTGATTATCATCAAGTGTGTCTTTTTATAATTAGACATGATTAAGAATTAAGTCTAATTCTTTGTGTAACATTCCCGGTTATTGGTATGACCGTATCGATTAAATATTTTTCTGACGCAAATGTATGTATCTACTTGAATACTTTTATCTATATTTATGATATATTTACATTCAATATATATCTAATTTCTTGTGGGCGGGAAAGCCTATAATCTAAGAATATATTTAAAATGATTGTAACTGTGTATTTGACTAAGAACATTCACTACTAATATAATATCTTTATATGTAAACAGATAGATCAGATTAGTCACTAATACCTGTTAGGAGTTTTTTCCTTTTGACATCTCATTATTCGTTCTAATAATTCACAGAAAGAAATGATTATAGTTATGACATAAGAATGACAATATCAATGAAGGAACAAGAGCCAGTGCCTGGGGAGGCAAGTATACTACATAAATTTTGATTATTGTTTTCCTATGGGCGAGAGAGAAATAATAACTTACTTTATAGATGACATTTCCCGAGGCAAAATTGAAAGTGTTAGAAGATAAAATATCTAATCCTCGTTGGGTGGTGCCAGTTCTACCGGAACAAGAATTAGAGGCTTTACTAAATGCTGCTACAGAATTGGCAGCAAGAGGTATTTTTATAATTGATATATTTCAAGAATTAATAATAATTGATAAGAATATCACTGTTATGGCTTGTTAAAATTTTACTTTTATACCTATTTCAACAATTGTTTAGAAACCAGTTTTATGATACAATAATTGCACCTAATAATTAAAAATTACCAGTCTTATTACATATGGCCTCACTATCATAAAATATCTGTGCTTAGAAGAATATCATTTCAGCCTTTTTTGTACTAAACCACCATTTATTTGGCTTGTACTATTTACTACTAAATGATATTTTATTTACAGGTGAAGATGTCAGTAATCCAAGTTGCCAGCGCTTTTACAATGATGCTCTTACATTATCATTTACAAAGATTCTTACCGATGATGCAGTTTCATCATGGAAGCTTAACATCCAACAATGTGTGCGTTCCAACTGTGAAAAACTTGTTAAATTATGTGCCATGAAATTAGATGACCCACGATTTCTGAATCTTCTGTCTATGGCGTTTAATCCCAATAATAAGTAAGTGATCTTTGTTTTTTTTTTTTTTGTAAATATATTTACTATTTCACAAATAATGTATCAAAATAGCATCATATTTTCACTTGGTTGACGTATTTGCATTCTTTACTTGTAGATTTCATACATTCAATGCAGGGAGAACATGTGAAGGTCTTACAGTTTCAACTGTATCTGCTACGGGGCAAGGCTCCACCCAGGAGCCAGAAGTCTATGCAAAATCACAGGACCACAGGACACCGAGGGGATGGCTTGTTCATCTTATTAATGTGTATGTTCTACAGATTCAATTCAAAACAAGATAATAAAGAAGTTTAAATTTGATTTTAAATTTACCTTCATTATAATACATTAATAACTATAAGATATATTTTCCTTATTGTAATGATGTATGCATATGTATTAATTGCTATTGTATTTTCTATTTTGTAGATTTGGCCAGGCAGGTGGCTTTGTTAAGATAAGAGAAAGGTTTGAAATCATCATGGGTTTTAAAAAGTCTGACCTTACTACATCAGTCAATTGTGAAGAAAAAGTAATCAATGAAATTATTGAAAAAGAAAGTGAAGAGCAGAAAGTTGATGCAACTGATAGTTTAATAAGCAGTACTGACAATATGGAGGTATGTTTGTGTTGTGTATGGGTGCTGTTAATGTGATTGTGAAAGACTATTAGGCTATAGGCTTTTAGTGTAAGAGGACCTCTAAGAAAACATTATAAATTACTTTGGTTGTTAAGGACCAGAAATCTAATCATCTGTTTACCAGTATGTACTACTCAATCAGTTAAATGGACACAGTGTGCCTTACTTAAGGGAAAGGAGATATTTTACCATTTTATTTTATTTGGTAACTAGAAAGTCTTAATATAATAACTTATAAGATTTTATTTCATTTTAGGGTTCTGTATCGTCTCGGTCTGAACAACCATCCTCATTAGAAATGTCAACGTCTGGCGAAACTCGGGTTGCGGCTGTTTGGCAGTTGTTAAGACCGCTTGGGCTGTGTCATGATCTTCTCACACCACACACTGTCACTGTATATCTCCTACCAGTTTTGGTGAGCAATTAATTTTCTAATTTAATGTATTTGAATACTTTTTTTACAAACGTCGTGTCAAGCGTTCTTCTCGCTGATCAGTGAACAAAGACAAAATGTTCAAAATGGTTGTAACTATGACTATATTGTCTTTATGATATGCCTATATTGCTTTACATTTGTAATCTAAAATGTAATTAAAGAAACTAAGGTAAAATATCTTTTATCAACATTAAATCCGGACGGCTCGATAATTCGAAAGCGGTATTGTTTTTGCAACTCCTGTTTAACAAGGCCCTACTGTAATCATCATGGGAACCCAACGTTCTTTGCCGAGCACTCATTTCCAAGTCCATTTCAAGTCTTTTGAATAAGCAATTGTTATTCTTCTACTAATAGTTTAATGTAAATATATTTGTTACATTTTTACATCTCAATCACATCTTCAATGACAGTTTGATCAGTAGATCAAATTTGCTCTCTGTAGTTGGTAAAATAAATAAGAAACACTGTGTGTAGCTTACGTGAGTAGTTATTTAAATAAAACACTTTTAACGGTTTAAACCGCGAAATGTATTCCAACTTTGATAGAGTTGTCTGTGCAACTTTAGTGCCGTAATTAAAATAATTTCTAAATAAATTTAAAACGTTTAAAAGTGTTTTAAAACTAAATATAATTTAGGCGATGTCGCGGCCGATCTAATATATAACATTATACTTCTATTCTTATTCTATATGGGTGTAATAACCGAAGTAGCTTTTCAAAATGGCCTTTCTACATTTAATTATATTTTGCTTTTACAGGAATGTATTCCGACACTACTAGAAAGCTTGACTGATGACGAACTGAAACGTGAAGCGCGCGGAAGTGAAAATAAGACTGACACAGTATCGTGTTTGATAAGAGCGTGCAAATGTGTCTCTATTCGGACACCGCATCATCACAGCTTACTCAAATGTGAGTTACATCTTTTTGTTTACCCTATAGGGAGAAAGGAAAACCTTTAAAAACCTTTACTAAGTATACTTCGTATTTCTTAAAGCTTAAGTTAATAAGATCCAATAGGATTTAGTTATTCTTTTCTTTAAATGTCTGAGTTGTTGGAATTAGACATGTTGGAATTGATGAGGATCGAATCCACGTCCAGGTTCTTATTAGGCCGCAAAAAAGTTAAAGCTTATTTGTAATTATTTATATAGTTTTTGTTGGTGGGTTTATCTTATATTCCTTTAGTTAGCAGTTGTTTTACTATTGGGCCACCAAGAAAGAAAATCTTCGAGGCTAGGTAAATACTGGAGGCAGCTGAGGTTTCCACATGGTCCAGGCTAGGTTGATTGCCTACCCTGTAGCTGCTTAGGGGCGCTGTTGTATTCCGCTCCTAAACTGCTACATTGTATGTTATCGTACCTACTACAACTTTTCACAAGGGGCTTGGAAGACTTCCAAAAAGCTCATTATATATTAGTTGTGTGTCTACAAAATACTGTTATAAATATTATGCTCACTACCGATTTTTCTTCCAGCACTGGAATTATTTCGACTAAAAATGATATTGCGGCTATTACAAATGTCATCGTTTAATGGAAAAATGTCGGCTTTAAACGAAATAAATCAACTTATAAGCACTATATCCCAGCAACCTAAACCGGAGTGGCTTACACCTGCAGTGATAACGGTTAGTGTGTGACCGGACTTTATATAGGCCGGCCGCTAGAGGCAGAGTAGCCTAACTGCAATTTTATGACTCGACTTATTTATATTTTCATAGTCGAATAATGTTAATCGTCAAGAGCTAAATTGTTAACACAATTCTTCTTTTAAAATAATAGTACAAAAATCATTTTCGCCTATGTTAATTGTGTATTTTTATTTTCCCACTCATGAAAAAGCATGTTTTTGTTATTAGGCCACTCTGCCTCTAGCAGTCTTATATATATGCAATGCTTTATAAGCTTAGACAAAACTTGAAATATGCGCATCATTTGGTAGAATGTTCTACGTTTAAAAACTTTAATATTTTTCACATATTAAATCCTAACTAATCGACACGGTCGCTCAGTTGGTTAGAGCAACAGCGCGGGACGCTGTGGATTTCGGTTCAATTCCTGCCCGTGTCTTCAAATGTTTTAAATTTATAATCGACTAGCTTTGCCCGCGACTTCGTCCGCGTGGAATAGTAACTTGGGGTGGAATTTTTAATTATTTTAAAATGTTTAGTAATTTATGTAAGGGCGCATTTAAGGCAGCCAATCTATGTTGTAAGTGCTACTTTGCCGCAACACTCACCTCACATCACACCTACTCTAACTCCCACTTCCACTCCTATTTCCAAAATGCCAAAGAAGAAAGTCATTGTTCTAGCTTCAAAAACCACGAATTTCCATACAAACTTACATCCCCTTTTTCAACGTCTATCAACCCTTTTTTGGCATTAAGTAGCCTATGTCCTTTCTCAGGCTCTAAAATATCTGTGTACCAAATGTCATTTAAAACAGTTCAGTAGTTTCGGAGTTAAAGCCGGATAGACAGACAGAGTTATTCGAAGAGTCGCATTAATAATATTAGTATAGGTTTTTAATTTATCCAGTGCCACAGTGCAATTACATTTGAAAAATATTAAAGTTTTAAAATCCTTTGGATATCTTAGGAATGCAAAAGTAGTAGGCAATTAATAAAAATACTGGTATGTTTTAGACGTGGATAAGAGAAAACGGCGTGGTGGATATTGTGTTACGCGACTCTCTGCATCAGCCTCAGTATGTTGAGAGATTAGAGAAAATGTTAAGGTTTATGATTAAGGAAAACTCTCTGACCCGAGAAGACCTGGACGCCATTTGGAAGGCGCAGCATGGGAAACACGAGGCGATCGTCAAAAATCTTCACGATCTATTGGCAAAACTAGCATGGGACTTCACACCGGATCAGTTGGATCATCTTTTTGACTGTTTTAAGGTACTTTTTGACACTATAACGAGCGTTTATTGTTGTTATTATGTATTGTTTATGCGCTTTGAATGTGAATTTTCCATATATGTTATTTCATTTATTAACTCTTTATCTGTCTCTAGTTTACGCACGTAGTACACATTAAAAAAAACCACTTTAACGGTTTAAAACGCGATATATTTTAGTTAAACTTTTTTGAGAATTACTTTTAACTACGGCCCGACGTTTCGGATGCTTTGCAGCAGCCGTGGTAACGGGGAGACTCCTCGAAAAAATTTTTTTAACTAAAATTATCGCGTTTTAAACCGTTCTTTTGTTTTATTTAAAAACATACAAATGTATCTCAAAAATTGTGAACAATTACTAGAGATAAAGTTTAAAAAAGTAATAGGCGGCCTTATCGTAATCGAGCGGTCTCTCCTAGGAAACCCTTGTTTGAAAATAAAATAAGATATATATCATGGGAACGAGCGGGGCATGCAAAGCTCAAGGATAAAATAAAAATAAGTAACATTGCAAATCATTTTCCATTTGTTTATCAGGCCAGTTGGTCTACATCAAGTAAGAAACAAAGTGACAAGCTGTTAGAAGTAATTAGGAGACTCGCTGAAGATGACAAAGACGGCGTCATGGCCAATAAAGTGAGTTATCTTTTAATAGGTATCACTAGTGTATTATTCATATGCTCTTAAACAATTTAATTTTCTAGGTATTAGTGTTATTTTGGAATTTGGCGCATTCGGACGACGTTTGCACTGAAATATTGGACTCGACGTTGGCGAATTTCATCAAAATACTCGACTATAGCTGTAGTCAAGACCGCGATGCACAGAAAACGCATTGGTTAGATAAGTAAGTAAATATTCTATATAAGTAATTAATTGATAGTAAACGAAATTAAGCTGCAAGGTCTACTAATTCAAAGACTGTTTTGTTACAATGTTTATGAGCCATTAAGAGCTTTAGGCAGGCTTGTTGATCTAATTGTAGCAATATTTGGGTAATGGGTCGTGGGTTTAATCCCCACCAGATTCAACATGTTTGTAATTTTTCCGTACCATGCTATAGATTTTGTCTGGAAACCTGGATATTAAATGGGTGGTAGGAATATAGAAATTCTGGCCGGGTAACGAACCACCGTCCACACGTGAAAACGCCGTTAAGTTTAATGGCGTTTCAGTTTTAGTCTGTGGATTTCCGACCATCCAAATCCAAATGTTTAGATGCTATAGGCTGGGTTATATCACCTGTGAACCCCGTGCCATGTCAAAACAGTTAACGGTATAAAAAGCGAAATAATATTATCTTATTTATATACATATATTATAACTACGACCCGACGTTTCGCATGATTTGTCCACGTGGTATCGAGGCGGCATATCGCAATTTAATCCGGTGTAAATACAACTCTCATACAATACATTGAACTACATTTTCAATGATTTTCTTTTTTTTTAATTCCATATTTTTTACATTCCTAGGTGCGTAGAAGAATTAAAGAACAACGAGAAATGGGTGTTGCCAGCATTGAAAATGATGCGTGATATATGTTGTTTGTACGAGTCGGGCGGTACGGCGGGAGTGCGACCTCACGTGACGCGACAGGAGCTCATTGACCGATTACAGACTCAACACTCCTTAGTTATCCTCGTCACGGACTCTCTTACGAATTATATGGACACTGTGCGAGAGAAGTTGACAGGTAAAGTTGGCAGCTGTTGTAAAATTCCTTGAGATTTACTGAACGGAAATAGAATGACAGGAGTAGAAACGCTTTTGAGTTTTGACACCTGTAAAAATTCCACTTTGTTACTATTTTTACGTTTACGCTTACGTATACGCATATTTATTTTCCCTACTTTGACGCAAATACACTTCTATAGTCTATAAACCGAATCGATTTAAGAAGAAAACTAGACGATAGAAACAAAATTCGTTCCGCTAAATAAGTTTTATTTATTTATACATCAACAGTAATGTACATATAATATATTTTAATAAAAATCATAATAAACACCTGTGTAAGGCCTAATTACTGATGTACACAAGCATTGCCAATTTAATATTAGTATTTATAATATAAAACTGAATAAATCGAATCAGATTATAATAAGTATCTATCGTCGCAATACTTTGTTTTTGAAACGGTTAAACATAGTTTTATTGACTATTTGAGCTCCTGTCCTTTGTAGTGTCCTCCTGTCCTGTTTGTGATCTTAAGAGAACCATCTATTAACAGTAGAAGAGAAAATGTAGAATATTCTAATCTTAGTAAATCTCTTTCCAGTAGAGAATGAAATAGATTGGGACAATTGGTTGCCCGATGGCCGATATCCGCACGCCGCTCAAGTACACGAGAGACTCAGTTTTTTACGATTTCTCTTGAAGGACGGACAACTGTGGCTCTGTGCCGAACAGGTATTATACTAACTTGCTTTCATATTTAATATTATTAACTAGTTCTCCTGGCACACGTTCTTTTGCCATATGAAGCATTTCGACGAAAATTTGATTACCACATCTTAAAAGTTATACTGTATATACTGTCACGGACGTTTGTTTAGATTGATTGAAAAATTTTTTTACATGTTTTTTTTTTTGCCTTCAAAGATGACAAAATTTGTTCGTTTTTTTCACTATTCCCCAACACTCGCTATATTTCGCCTGTTTGTCGCAGCCTCTAAATTACATTTATTATATCTGTTTTGTAGCCTTCTAAATAGTTCAACCAATACAAAAAAAAAACTCCCAACTAATACTTCCTGGGATTAGCGCGTTTTAACAAACTCTTTAGCTATATATTATTGGTATTTATTGACATTCTTAAGCCATGTGTAATTATTGGCAATATTGTATTAAATTATCCTTTCTTGTTTTCAGGCCAAACAAATTTGGGTCTGTCTTGCTGAAAATCCAGCTCATATAGGAGATCGTGAAGCGTGTTTTCGTTGGTTCAGTAAACTAATGGGGGAAGAACCAGATCTAGATCCTAATATTAACTTACATTTTTTTCGACAAAACATTATGACGCTTCTACCGAACCTTTTAACACATTCGGGAATCAAATGTTTTGAGAGGTAATAAATTCAAAAGTAACATTTTATCTGTATGATATACGTTGATATTAAAACATTTATAATTTATTGGTTTTAGATTTTTCAAAGCTGTTAACTCAAAGGAGGGCAAGTTAAAAGTTAAGCGGCGTGGCTTTCTTCTGAACGACCCTGATCTCATAGGATTAGATTATTTATGGAGAGTAAGTAGTTATGAATTAACTTCTTTTTCGTCATTTGTTTCTAATATAACAAGTCATACAACCTACAAGGGTTCACTTCTTCGATACATAAATGTTTATGCCTGTGGTTAAACGTTGTTTATTTAATATTCCACATTTTTATTAGGTGATAACAGAATGCGAAGACGAGATATCGGCGCGGGGTATCGAGTTGCTCCGTGAGACGTGCACTTGCACTGGACCAGCTCTTACGCCTGCGCATCAGCACGAAGCGTTCCTCACGCAGTGCTGCGCACGAACACAACGCCTTCAGAAGGAGATGGATGAGGAACAAGGTTCGTGTTACCATTTCTTGACCTTCTCTCCCATTTTACTTATAACATAATAAATTATACGTACTATAGGCTTAATCCATTCTCTGGATCTGTCATTCGCCGGAATTTCGATATTGCTACCGTAATATCCAGATTTTCAGACGATGTCCAACATGTTTCAGAAATACTGTCTATAGTTTACGCGAGTAGTACACATTTAAATAAAACACTTTAACGGTTTAAAACGCGATATATTAGTTAAACTTATTTGAAAATGATTTTTAACTTCGGCCCGACGTTTCTCCCCGTGACCACGGCTGCTGCAAAGCATCCGAAACGTCGGACCGAAGTTAAAAATCATTTTCAAATAAGTTTAACTAATATAACGCGTTTTAAACCGTTAAAGTGTTTTATTTAAATGTTTCGGAAAACTTATAAAATAATACTATTAATAACATGCATGTAAAATGTTAATATTAATGTTTCTTGTAGATGCGGTGAAAAATTGTACAAAGATGTGTAGAGTAATTCGTGCCATACAAGAATATATAAACGAATGTGATAGAAAGTTCTCCGCGGACCGTCAGATCTTGCCGATCTATAGGTCGGGCAGAGGACGACAGTGCACCGTTATAGTGAGGTTCAATTTTCAAACTGGCCAAAGACAAATCGACGATGTCGAACTCTTTTCTCATTCTAATGAAACTCTTCATTCTCTTCGTGTGGCTGTGCAAAGACGGTAAATACCTATTCGATTTTCATTTATAATTCTCATTAAGTGCACAAAAATACATTACAATATTATTTCAGGTTGAAGTGTTCGTCTGAAAGCAGTATAAAGTTAGAAATGTATATAAATAAGCTGGAGTTATATGTAAATGGGGAACTACTCGACTCGAGTCATGATAGAAAAATACTTTCACAGATACCATTAAGGGACAAGACTATTTTAGTTGCTAAGGTAACAGGTCACATTTGAAATATCATTGTATAAATATTGTGTGCGACCACTTATTGAAGTAAAACACGTTTAAAATGCGAAATGCGAATTGTGGTGGGGGGGGGGGGAGGGTTTGTGCTGGTCTAAAGATTGAGGGTGCTACAATGCATTTCGCGTGTAAAACTGTCAAGGGTTTTATTTAAATTTGAATTGGCGCTATACTTCTACATACTTCTTCTTCTTCTTCTTTTTTGTCGATACACTTAAAGTTTCTTTACCCAGGTATATGACGGGCAAGTATGTGGCAGTGGCGGTTGTGGGTCATCTAATGAGTCTAGTAGTGACAGTAGCGCCACCTCGCCACCGGTACCTCCAACTCCAGAACACGCGTTACCTGGTGTAGTGAGTATTAAACTCTGTTAAAGCATTTGAAGATGTTTAGAGAAATACAATTTTACTTTTTCAGGGTATAATAGTGGAATATCGAATCCATTTATTACATATGTACACAAAGAAATTAAAAAAAACGTCTTCATAAGTCACCTCTGAATGTGGGTTATACGTTTGAGTCACGTAGTATTATAGTTATAAAAAAAATAAATGAAATCCTCCGTGGGACATGGGCCGGACACATTTCTGTGTACGTTTCACTTATCGGTTTTATTTACAGGCAAGTAGTCGATTAGATTTCTGTACCGTGCCCGAGCGAAAGAATCTTATCGTCTTCCCGGGATTCATACTCAGGGCCATTCGCGTTTAACGCAATATATATATATACCATTTGGCTACAAAACCGGTATAGTGGTAGACATTTTAATAACTTTCTTAACTTTAACGCTAGTCAACTCTCTCAAAGTACCTGAGCTTTTCAAAAAACAGATACCAGTAGTAAGTAGAATTGTATAACTAAATTATTATTTTCAGCTATTTGCACAAGGTTCATGGTACATACCGTTCATTTTGGAACTGGAACATGTTGGCATCACCAAAGGCCACGCCCCGTTGACTGAAGCTGCACATTTACTGTCACAAATATGTCCACCTCACAAACTTACAGTAAGTTAAATGTCCTACTTTTTAAACATAGCTTTTTAAATATGTTTGCGTAAATAAAACACATTTATCGGTTTAAAATGCCAAACGTATTAGTTAAACTTATTACTATTTATTTTAAATATGGTCAGATGTTTCTGATGCTTTCCAGCAGTCGCGGTCGCGGGGGGACTGAAGATATAGGATGTCCTTAATTAAACCGTTAAAAGTGTTTTATTTAAACTACGAATAGTCCTTAAGTATGTTTAGGAAAAACTTCGAAAGAAATTTTAATTATGCTCAAATTTTTTCAGGTAGAAAAATTGACAGAAGCGCTATTATGTAGAGACGAATCAAAGTTAAAAGATATTTTATATGGTCCTGCACCGCCCACCGTTGCTTATAACATAGAGGTGAGTTTTAATTATCTCAGTTGTTGCCTTTCCTGGGGGTCTAGCTTCAAAACATCGTGTTGGCAGATAAGACGTGCCAAACCTTCACCAGAGAACATGTGTCAGAATGTAACTACGATAAGATCGGCACATTCCGTGGATCGAAATTTTTATTGGATGTAATATAAGAATAAATGCACAAATAATGTATATTAACAAGTGTTAAATACTATCTATAGTTTACGCGAGTAGTACACATTTAAACAAAACACTTTAACGGTTTAAAGCGCGATATATTAGTTAAACTTATTTGAAACTGATTTATAACTTCGGCCCGACGTTTCAAATAAGTTTAACTAATATATCGCGTTTTAAACCGTTAAAGTGTTTTATTTCAATTAATAAGTGTTATTAAATGGATGGTATCGAAATTTCGTCCGGCTCTCCAACCGTGGTCCACAGGTGGAAAGTCAAGTTTAATAGCATTTCGGTTTCAATCTGTGGAGTTCCGAATATCCAAAGCCAAAATAGATTGACGTTAGCGCATTGTGTTAAGATGGTATATGGCTGGGATGTTTCACATAACATCTAGCGTACATACCACTAGAACGCCCCTTAAAACAATGTTCTTACATGTTTCAATATGAATTTTCTTACAGGTTTTATACAGTATGGTAATGCCTTCATCCGATACAAAACTTGAGCGGAATCGTAGTTTCCAACTTGCGTGCGTAAAGAAGGCACCGCTGTTAGTCAAATGCTTATCGGACAGTGAGTTTCTGAAGGGAGCAGCGCCGCACACTAGAAGGTAGATTTAGCAAACACTATTTACAATATTGCTTGCTACAAGAACACAGGCAGGAGTCAAACCCACGATAAAGTCGTCCTATGCTTTGTTTTAAACGCTGTGTTAAAGAGTCTTATACACTACGTGTGTTTATACTAGTGGCTGACGTACAACATACGTTTGATAATTAAAAAAACTTTACGTAATAATATTCAATCTGGTTAAAATATATTATCCGTTCGTTCGTTAGCTTTGGTGTTCTTTATGTACTTAAAAATAAGAAATTTTATTATATCATATTCAAAAATGAAAACGATATGTTTTTTTTATAGAGTGGGATATTTGGCGCTAGTAAGACTGGCTAAATTAGCCCTATACACTTTAGGATATCTTTTTGAAATTCTCGCTCCAGACGGGACAGACGCTACACTAGACAAAGAATTCAGGTGAGCAAGAACTTTTCAGTTATAGTTAAATTTTTAATCTGTGATTTTAACGACAAAGTGCTTTCAGAATGGACGTGACAATATTACGAGAAGCACTGCAGTCTGTACCCAATCAGAACTGTGAGATCATCGTTAAAGCTATAGCTGAGAAATTAGCGAACGCTCTTGCCGAGCAGGTTAGCCTGTTAATTTAAATATGGAACTTCTTTAATTGTGTTCTGAAAGTCTTCAATTTTTAAAAGTTCTTATATTTTATGTTAAGGTGGTGACGAGTGGTGAAGACAGTGATTCAGTATCCTCATTAGTATGGTGGCGCGTTCCTACAGCTGCTACAGTGCGTGCCCTCTATGCCCTTACCTACTCAGTGGCTCAGCCCACGGAAATGACTGGCTTGGTGCATTCAGATGACGTCACGTGTAAGTTTTTAATAATCTGTGCCAACGTCCAACTTTAGTTATTCGCAAATAATAAGAAATGTGTGCATAATCTATTTTTCTTTTATGGATAGTGGTACGGGAGTGTATGGAAGTCGTGACGATTTGTATGGCGCTTGGTGGAGGTCATCTCGAAGACCTGCTGCACGAGTCTTGGTGGCAGGACACGGCATTATATTTGATGATTGACTGTCCAAGTGCTCAGGTAAAAAGTTCTAAATCATTAATCATGATTAACACATTTGTGTATATATATTTTATTATTAAACAAAAATTTTCAATTTTTTTTATTATTAATAATATAATAAAACACTATGGTTTTATTTTATCGAATCCTAAGGGATGCATATTAAGAAATTTTGTCTATAGGTAAGAGTCTCGTGCGCCGAACAGTTACTGGCTATGTGTGGATGGGGTGGTGGGGGCGGTGCTCGGTGCGCGTTGACAGCGCTAGGAGGCGCTGGGGGCGCTGCCACGTTGCCACGCCTCAACCGGCACTCGCGCAACGCACACCAATTCCTGCAACTGCTCTGTCGCCTTGTTGCACTTGCGGGACCTACTGCAAAGACGCTGGAAGATCTTGCTACTGAGGTATATCACTTTTATTGTTGAATCCTACCATTCCAACTTTCAAATGTATTATTTTCTATAACAATCGGCTACTTTCCCCCATTTCAGGTATCATGGTTGCGTGCGCTGCGCGACAACCCAGAAGTACTGGACGACACATTACTCGAGGGACATTTGAATCTCACAAAGGAACTATTTACGCATGTGCCCGCGCAGGTTAAATTCCAATACGGCGCCCACCCCGACCATAAAGATTCCGGTCTTATAAAGGTACTTATTTATTAATATGTACCTACTACAGGCTGTAGTATCTAAGTCAAATGACCTCTTTGTCACAGTGAATTAAACTTCTACTCCCTGCCCCATCATAACTATTATGTTTTCCGGGGACTGAACCCCAGAATCTCCCATCTTATGCAATTTGTGAACCACGGATGTACTCAGATAAAAATAGAAATGCCTTTTATTTATCTTTATTTGTTACGCCATACTTCTATAAATTGATTTGGATGGTATATTGTAATTATTTCCAGTATTTAAAGATACACTTTTTTTACAGGAGGTAGCAACAGAATTTCTATGGCCATACTCCTGGGTGTGGTGCCATATGACAGAGTGTGATCGCGGTGAAGGCTGCGACGAAGAGATTCCATCGCCGTTGTGCCGCACTGCTGGGTCGGTGGCTGCAGCGACAGATTTGCTGCTAGCACTCGTTCATGGGTGTGTTCCCAATATGGCGGCGTTAGCAAACCTCCTACATATGATGTTCTATAGTGGTACGTACATATTTATACATTTGAATCGATTTTATTCGCCTGCTTAGCTAAATAGTTAAACATATTGCCTAGCATTACGTTGAGAAGGTTCGAATTCCGGGTGAACAAGAAATATTTCGGTCGGACAGGGCACAGAAGTCAAATATACTACTACTGGTCTGCAAATAAAATCGATTAGTGAGATAGATAGAAAATGTGATCCTATAAACCACAATGGAAACAAAAACAAAGTTAAAACATTTTCCCCGCGTTTCACACATTTACCAATATTTATTCGTCCCTATTCGTCGCAGCGGAGTTTTATAAAACCTCCCTCTATAATGGCCTATCCAATACAAAAGGAACTTTTCAATTCAAACCAGAGATTAGCGCGTCAAACATATAAAGAAACTCTTCCGATTTAAAATATAAGTATCGATTATTTATTTTTATAGTAACAAATTAACTGTTATTGTATTATGTCTTTGATTTTCATGCTTAGATAGGAACATGCCGCTTGCTGAGTGGGAGTACATGCCGTGCGTTGGTCCCCGCCCTCCCGCTGGTCTCGTTGGACTGAAGAACGCTGGCGCCACCTGTTACATGAACTCGGTTCTGCAACAGCTCTACTGCGTGCGCGCTGTCAGAGACCCCCTGTTGATTGTACAAGGTATTATTTGTTGTTTATACTAGAAGCAATTATTTATTTGAACGATGGAGGAAAAACAATTAGTTCATACCTAGTTCTAGTTTATTTATTTAAGAGTACAGGAAATAAACCGCCTCTACAGCCAACTGGTTAAACGAATCCGCGAGAGTTCGTGGGTTCGAATCCCAGGGAAACAAAAAATTGTTTCGGTCGGGCATTGCACAGAAGTCTGATACTTGCCCCTGAAAAGAACGGGTCAGTGAAACGGACACAGAAATGTTCGCCCATGTCCCACGAGGGGGAGACAGGATTCCACTTACAGGAAATAAACAAAAAAAAATCACACTGATATATGTAATAGGAAAAAAGGTACAGATATAATCTTACGATACGTACTAAAGTACCAAAAAGTGAAACATTAGTAATATGTACTTTGTATTCTAAGCGGTAACTCAATAAAAATATGGCCTGTTTCCTAACTTTATTTTTAATTCTTTAAAAAGAAAATATACTCTTATCCATTATAGGCACACAACTTAAATAAAATTTTAATAATCTCACTAATGTTAAATGATTGTAAACTTCAGGTGCCGCAACGGATCCAAATGAAGATTTCTCTGGTGAATTACATCTTAACGTCATGGAAAACAACATTGAGGTAAGAGACATTTTGATTTAAATAAAACACTTTAACAGTTTAAAACGCGTTATATTAGTTAAACTTATTTGAAAATGATTTTTAACTTCGGCCCGACGTTTCTCCCCGTGACCACGGCTGCTGCAAAGCATCCGAAACGTCGGGCCTAAGTTAAAAATAATTTTCAAATAAGTTTAACTAATATAACGCGTTTTAAACCGTTAAAGTGTTTTATTTAAATGTGTACTACTCGCGTAATCTATAGACAGTATTTGACATTTTGATTTATTTTTATGACACAGAATGGCAGGTAAACGTGGGATCTAATAGGTGAAAAGGTGACATATACAGTGGATAATTTTTCACAAACTATGGATATTCGGTAATTCACAGACTGAAAATGAAACGTGACTAAACTTTACGGCCTTTTAACTGCGAAATATCCATAGCAGTATCGTAACCTTTTTAATATATAACCTGGTGGGAATTTTATCCACGACACGTTGATGATTATTATTTCGTTATTTTCATTGAACTATTTGAAAATTCAATATAAAACACAAAGCTTTCTTTAACCAGAATAGCGCCGACTACAACATCACGATATTGAAACAAGTGCAGGCGATATTTGCGCATTTGCACTACAGCAAACTCCAGTATTATGTTCCTCGCGGTCTGTGGGCTCACTTCAGGTAAGACCTGTATTAAATTTTATCAAAATACCTTAATTTTTTTTGTACAGTATAATATTATAAGGTTAACCTTTCTGTTCTTTACTGTGCTGTTTTATATGCCCTGTGGCTTTTTGGCTTCCGTTAAAAAATGTAAACGACACGTTATCCTTAAACTCCGCTATCCATTTCTCTGCCCGACCGGGATCATGAACCACGATAGTGGCAGTTCAAAATTACACGCTTGAAGTATTTCTCTTGCCGCCGTTACAATCCCACGAGCAATCCCCCCCCCCCAAATAAACATTATTGGTTTAGATTAAAAATCGAAAATATTTTTTTTTTATTGTTTGACGCGAGCAGGACTTGAACCGGCATCGTCAGCGTTCCGTGCTGTTGCTCTAACCAATTGAGCTACTGAGACCCACATCGTCGAATTTTTTCAACTTATTAAACAATGCACCTCTTGCGCAACGTTAATATTTATAATAGAAATATATATTTTCCATTTTTAATCTGTTAGTGCCATCATGTGCATATCTAAAAAATGTTAAAGTTTTCAAACATTATTGGTTTAATTTTGGCTCGTCTATCTCATTCCAGGTTACAAGGTGAACCGGTAAACTTACGCGAACAACAGGATGCGGTCGAGTTTTTTATGTCACTAGTCGAGTCCTTGGATGAGGCTCTGAAGTCGTTAGGCCAAGAACAATTGATGGCAAAAACAATGGGTGGGACCTTTTCAGACCAGAAGATTTGTAGAGGCTGTCCTCATAGGTAAATCAATCATTTAACTAGCCTCTAAGCTAAATAGTTAAAAGTATCGCCTTGCCTTGAGAACGTGTCGTCCTGGGTTCGAATGCCGGGAAAACCTTTGAGATATATCACAAAAGTATCATGAACATCTGCCTGTAAAAATATGAACAGTCCAAAACGCAGAATGTATTAGTTAAATGGTTTGCAATGTATTTTAAGTACGGTTTTTCTTCCTTGTCTCGACCCGTAAATGTGTTTAGCTCACGTCCTGTAGCTAATTTACTTATTCGCAGATATGCGCCGGCGCATACAATGCATTTCACAGTATCGCTTCAACCACTAAAGTCGATTTTAGTAAATTATTTGCATGTGGGTTAGTTGGTTAAATCATTTTTTCTATTTAAGGTACTGCAAAGAAGAACCGTTTAGTGTGGTCTCCTTGGATATTAGGAATATGTCGCGGTTACAAGAATCGTTAGAGGCGTATGTTCGCGGCGAGTTGTTGGAAGGCGCCGACGCGTATTACTGTGATAAGTGTAGCAAGAAGGTTAGTTTATTTAAACTACAACTAGATCAAGCCTCAAGAAGCTCTCACTGCCTCCAAAAAGAATATTACAAAACATTTTAAAATATCTAAAAATACATACATAGAGTTTACCACGCCTCGTTTATTTTGCTAAAGAAATTATGCATTTCTTTATTGATTATATATAAATAATACAAATAATGTATGTATCATACAGATACCACATATTATATGATCATTTTCATCCAAATGTGTTGTCACTTGATATATCAATTGATAACAAATTAGCACTAAACGTCGGGTCGTAGTTATCATTTAACTAACACTTTCCAGATTGAAACAGTTCAAAATATGTGTGTTTTTCTTTTTTCAGGTGGTAACTGTAAAAAGATTATGCTTAAACAAACTGCCTCCAGTTCTAGTCATACAACTTAAAAGATTTGAATACGATTTCGAAAGAGTGTGCGCTATCAAGTTCAACGACTATTTCGAATTCCCACGAGATCTGGATGTTGAGCCCTATACAGGTGATTTCAATATTTATGTAATAAAAATTTATACCTAAATGTCTATATTTTAAAATTAATTTACAAAAGCGACTGTGGATCGTGGAAATCTGGTATATTTTATATGGATAAAGAGGAGGTTTGCATAAAATTTTGACGCCCACTATAACTACTCAACTCGGACAAATTCGGCTAGTGTTAAATATTTTTATGATTATATTAAATATATTATAAGTTACATCTTTTAAATAAAACACTTTAACGGTTTAAAACGCGATATATTAGTTAAACTTATTTGAAAATGATTTTTAACTTCGGCCCGACGTTTCGGATGCTTTGCAGCAGTCGTGGTCACGGGGAGACTTTTTCAAATAAGTTTAACTAATATATCGCGTTTTAAACCGTTAAAGTGTTTTATTTAAATGTGTACTACTCGCGTAAACTATAGACAGTCTTTAAGTTACATCTTTTTTTTCAGCTTGGGGTCTTGCACGAGCTGAAGGCGAGACGTTGTGGGAAGGTAGCGAGGACTGCGAGAAGGACCCACGTTACACTCAGTACGAACTGAGCGGTATCGTCGTGCACTCGGGACAGGCTTCGGGGGGACACTATTTTTCATATGTCCTTTTAAGGTAACGTTTAAGTTAAATTAAATTTTTAAATATTCTTTAGAAACAAATTGTCGTGCGTCATGCCGTGAGTGTATGTTTTGTGTATATCTTAATGTAAATATGTAGATGGCAAAAATCACGTTTCTCCTGTATAGGCAGATATACACACACTATTTTTACTCATTCTTTTTAGATTTTATATAGACTAGTTGATCCGATTACTGCGCCCGACACAATCGGCATTATATTGGCATTCAATATTGGGACTTACGGCGCTTAACGCAACTTTAGGTCATGCATTCACTCAGTCTCTGATTGGATAAATATGACCCTATAAGTAACTAGGATAACAATTAGTGGCAATTGACTGTAATTATTTTATATAAGGTGTATTTGCATACAAAATATTTACGCTACATTTGATATATTTATACTTAAAATATGTTAATCTTTTTTTTTTAATAATAGGGACACAGGTTCCGGAGGTCGATGGGTGAAGCTGGACGACGGCGAAGTGTCCGAATGCGCGATGCATGACGATGATGAGATGAAGGCCCAATGCTTTGGCGGGGAATATATGGGAGAGGTAAATTTTTCAGGATTGTAACTATGTCGTATTATACCATGATATACTTTTTCTGTTCTGCTTAATAAAGTTTGCAGGCAGTTTTAATTACAAATATGTACGCATAAAAAATATAAAATTGAAGTCATATTGAATAAGACTTATCCAAAGCTACATGGTTTTTGAGCTGTTTGACTTTCTACGTCGGACAATGTCGTCCACAAATGACGGCGATGGAGTCTCAGTTACGATAGACGAAACTCGAAAACACAAGTAGTTTTAAATCCATGATTCTTAATACTTAAGGCGTAAATTAATCGAACGCTTACGGCTAGACGAAGGATGATCCATGAGGTAGTAAATTTCTCCTTTTTTTTGCAGGTATTTGACTCGACGATCAAGCGAATATCGTACAAACGGCAGAAACGATGGTGGAATGCTTACATGTTGTTCTACACGAGGAAGGATACGATTGACACAAGTCTCGAACAAACAATGAAAAGCATGACGCTAAAGTAAGATTTTAAGACCTAATCTATGCTTGAAAAAGTGGGCTTAGTTGATATATGACTTATTTGACCTTTTTATGTGGCGACTAATTAAGATTTCCATTTTACTAAAATATAATGAAGATTCATTGCAGTTCTAATATATTAATTGTTACTTCTTGTCAAGGTATCACGTTTAAATACATTTTTTTTGCCTTTTTTTTTTCAGAGAAAGTTCCGTACCCAAACCCATTTGGAATTCAGTTCGCCGTAGCAACATCGCCTTTTGCCACAACCAGGACCAATTTAGCTTGGAACACTTCAATTTCATGAAGAAGCTATGCTGTATGCGACTCCAACTTCATCCCGGCTCACAGAGTGCTGTTTGGGTAACAACTCTACTATATACTGTTTGTAGCATACGCTAGTATGTCCATTTGAATAAAACTCAAACGGTTTAAAACGCGTCGCGTTTATAAAATTTTAGTTAAACTTATTTTAACTACGGCCCGCTACTGTTTTGCGTTGCATAATTTTGTAAGTTTAACTAATATATTTCGCGTTTTAAACTTTGATTTTAATCTTTAGTCTGCGTTATAATTCATTTTAACCTATTAATGTCCCACTGCTGGTTATAGATCTCTGTACTGACTGCTTTAGTGCGGGTTAGTACCCGGTAAGCTTTATGGACTACCACTACTAAATTATTACTAGTGACCGGGACCGACGGGTTAACGTGCTTGTCGAGACAAGGGTATCAATGTCAAACTGATGAAATGAGACTCACGAAGCAGTTATTAGTGAGAAATATTATCGTCGACAACTCTACAATATGACGTCATCTTTGCAAATTTCCGTACAGTGTGTACAGATTTAGGCGGTCGGAAGTGCTCAGAATATGTATGAAATTCTTAAATTCATTTTTCACAGGGCCCAGAACACGAAGAAATGTCAATGTTAGCAGTGCAAATGGCGACGAAGTTTCTATTCCAAATTGGATTTCATACGAAAAAAACGTTACGGGGTCCGGCTACAGACTGGTAATTTGTTGTATATTTATTTTAGTCAATTATTTATATATTATATATATATAGTCTTTAATAAACCAATTTCTGATAAAGGTTCAAAGCGAATGTTAGTTTATAATTTTTAAGTATGACTCGAGATCACGTGACACTAAAAATGTTGAGCGTTCTTACTGGTCATAAGTCAAAACTGCTCGTGTAGCTCCATCTGTATTATACGTGAACAGCTGGCTCTTTAGTTTCTATTTTATAACATTTATTGTATTATTATTGCTTTGTTTAAATGCTTACAATATATAATTGTATTTTTGGCAGGCACGACATCCTATGTCAGCACTTAAGATGTTCACAGACTGTGAGGGCCTGGTTCGCGTCAGATCTTTTTAAGCATCTGCACAGGTAAGGGTACACACTACCTTAATTTGATTTTATTGAATTATATCAATATCTTAATTCAAACTGAAAAACTTATACATCTTTCAGATTAGGAGATTATTTACTGTCGTGTCCAACGGGTGATGTCAGAATAGTGTTCATGAAGATTATCGTGTTCTTGGCGCACTTCTCTGTCCAAGATCCACCAGGTAATTTTTAGTTAATTTTTTATGTTATAGAAAGACAGACAAACTTGAAGCTTGGAATTCGAGCTATTTTAAAAGTTGTATGTTCGGGAATCCATAGGCTGAAAAACTGAAGTCGGCTTTTTAGGTTCCTACATTACATATATTTAAACTTTTTCTTATTTTAAATGAACTGTTAACCAATTAATAATTATAGACTATAAGCAATTTTTAGTAATATATTGAACGACGAAAATAACACGCATTTTGTTTAAATGCTGCTATTTGTGTCTAGATCTATCGGTTATCTCTAGGCATCCCTAAAATGTATGTTTTGACTGAATGTATTAAAGAAAAGATTGTAATTACTTTTTATTTAAATCTATATTTTCAATTAAATACAGTGAACAACGGCTACGGTTCATGGTGCAGCCGCGAGGAAGCGACGTGCCTATCTGACCAAGTGCTCTGCAGTGCGCGTGCGCTGGCTGCTCCAGACTCACACACGCATCGGCTTCCACCGCATCTGCCTCTACTGTTTAACTTCTTTCACGCGTACGCTATGCTAGGTGTGCACGAGAAGTACCAGTTACTAAGGGTATGTGTATTTTTTTTTAATTTTTAACTTATATTATGTCAAAATAGGTGGTGACATTGAGACAATAAACATTTTTTATAGTGACGCGGTAGTATGTATCCGTAAGGGTTGCAAAATTATTCAGAAAACAATCACATAAAGGGTACATTCCATTGTTTTTTTTTCTAATTAAAAACAAATATGTTTTTTCATTAAATAACTATGGAGAGAAAAATATCAATTTTTATGAATATATTAAATATTAAACCTTCATCTTAATTTTTTTGTACCGCATAAATTTTACATCTAACACAATTTTATTTTATTTTTTTATTATTATAGTGTATTGTATTGATTAGGTACACTGTGATTTAAAGTACACTGTACTTAAAAATGCAATAATCGTATCGTATTAATGTTTATAGGCAGGTTTTCCGGCATTTAAAGCTAAGTTCTCTCGTCTAACAATACAAAATACTATAATCTGGTTTCATTGTTGCAGCTCAAAATTTTGGATATTGTTCTATCCGTATGCATGGATGACTCATACTCGTCTCTCGGGAAGTATCAGTATCCAGAATCGGCAAAAGTACATCAGGTATTTGACTTTTAGGTATTTCTATGATGGTTAGACAATTGAATTGTTGCATATTTAAAGTTTAAGTTAATTGTAAGAACTATTGTGTGTGTATATAGTTTAATGTGTGCTTCCCCATTTTTTATATTCTTTTAAAAATAGGAAAAGATAGATATTCCATAAAAGTATTCGGAGGTTTTTGTGGCCATTTTGCATAGGTACTGGGTTCTTCGAGGTGTTGGGACCTCGTATTTGTGAAACGGTTTGATGATATTAAAAAAAAAAGATACGTCTTTGCTTAGTCGAGAAACGCCCGACGTCTGATGATGTGGTCGACTTGTTGTGACGAGACGTCGAGAATCATTGTCCTATTACAATGCCCGAATGACGCTCGACAACGTAGGATTAAATTGTCCGTATTAACCTAAACTGCTGTCATTTACATAATTATAACGTTCAAAGGTGGTCTGCGCGTTAGTTCGCTGCTGTGACGTAAGCGCACGGTGCCAGTCGGCGGCCGCCGCTGATGGTGCGTTGCCTCTGCCGAATCCGTATGCGGAGCCCCCGCCCCCTTCGCCGCACTCTCGCCCCACCCTCTCCACTACTGCCGCCGATATACTCTATAATAAGACTGGGTAAAACATTTATCTACTTTTTACTACTAATCCTATATTATACTATTATATTACTATAATATAGGTCTAGTAAGGTGTCATTGTTATTTTTTATTATAGAAATTTTCATTTTTGCGAATTCATTTGCAGGGAATTCACCAAAAAGTAGTATCTAATTTACATTACCTGCCAGTTCTTAAGAGCGTAGAACTTAGGCGGTCAACCAGCGAATAATGACATAAATTTTTCTTTCTACTATGTAAACTGGAAATTATTTTTTCTGAATACGTATGAATGTACATAAAACGTCGGGACGTAGTTTAATTTAAATATGTGTCGAAATAAGACAAACAATTTTTTAAAAATGTCGCAAAATAAGTTACTACTCCTACTTTGCTTGTACCCTAAAATTTTTAAAGGCAGGTGCAGATTTGTATGTGTGGTGTATTAAAGAGAATATACAACGAATGATAGTAGAAACAAAGTTGAAATTGCATATAACGTACTTTCTTCTATCTAATTTAGTTAACACACGAATAGAGTAAAAAACAATAATTAAATGAATTGATTTTATGAAATAGCCTGCTATTATAACATTTTTTGCTATTTCCATGTGTCTAAGATATTTTTGTAACTTAGAAATTATTGTTCTATAATGTGTATAATGCTAAGTACTAATATATAAAAAGCATAATAAAACACTTTAACGGTTTAAAACGCGATATATTAGTTAAACTTTATTAGTTAAAGTGTTTTATTTAAATGTGCACTACTGGCGTAAACTATAGACGGTGTGTATAAAGCAGTTAATTGTTACCTTTAGAAATAGGTAGTATAAATTTAAATTACATGGTTTGCCGTTTTAAAATAAACGTTTTATAATTATATAACTGTTCCAGTATCTATATGAAAAAACTGACGGAAGAATGTTGCGGATGTGAGGAGGGGATACGACTGATTCAATTCCTATGTTGGGAGCACGCAGGCTGGTCGCGCACCGCGCTCTCAGAGTTGCTCTGGCAGATGGCCTGCGCGTACTGTCACGAACTGCGACGGCATTGCGACGCGCTGTCCGCGCTGTTGCTGATGGAGGACAGCTGGCAGCAACATCGTATACACAATGCTATTAAGGTAACTAAGCGAATAGACTGATCAATGCACTTACTCTCCAGGTTTTCTCTCTCATAAAGAAGGTTTTACGCCCTACCTGTCCTGTACTCTACTATGAATCAGCTCAAAAAACTCAATCCTCAGACATTTGAAAGTTTTGACTTTTGACTGAAAGATTTGAAAAGGTCGAGGATCCCTAGTGCGTCCAACCTGTTTGTCAATTTATAATTTTTCTGAAACATGTTGGACTCCGCCTGGATATTTGGATATTTTTTAGGTGGTAGGAATATCAAAATCCCGCCCGGGTCATGAACGACCGACACAGATGAAAACTATACCATGAAATGCTTGTCTACCCTCTTGTATCATAAAAAGTCTACAAAATGAAAATCGTATTTTAAATTAACATTGTGCGAGAGATGCATGGATTTCGTCCGAGTCAAATAGATTGAATATCGACTGAAATATTACTTAATTGTAGACCTAAATTATAACTGTGACTTTAAGGGTGTATCAGAGGAAAGACAAGGTTTATTGGAGACTGGCCTGCGCGCGCGCGGGCACTATCAGAAACGGACGTACGCGTGCGTGAAGCTATTAGTTGGCGTGATGTGTCGTACGCCCCTCGCTGTACGTGCTGTCCACGCCCCACCGGAGGCACGACGCCGCTGGAGGCAGTTACTCTCCTGGCTACAAGATGAACTGGACCGCGTATGTATCATTGTAATAAAACTGTTGGACTTCGTCTGGGAAGTGGGTCGTTAAAACTTTATTCGATTCGTGTCTGCATATTTACAAATTTTAAGATGAGAATGAGAATGTCTGTCATAATAGCTTAGTTCTGCAAATTTACAAATAAAATAAGAAATGAATTATGTTAGTCGCCACCGGTGGTTGCAAAAAAACTCATTTACTTAATAACTAACAGCACTATCAGCACTTTCCCCGTAGTGGCACAGCTTAGGGCTGTCGCCTAATAAACTGCAGCTTAGGACCGGCACATAACAAATGCAAAAATATAAATATTTAAAGATGTCCAATATTATTTATATTAACTTGAATTTGCAGTATGGTTCTGGATACGGATCTTACGGGACGTGGTCGCCGCCGGGAACATCGAATGAGACATCCAGTGGTTACTTCTTGGAACGTAGTAATTCAGCGCGGAAGACGTTAGAGAAGTGAGTATAGATTTGTATACTTGGTACTATTTACCAGAAAAAAAAAACCTTAATGTCCAAGTATTAAGGTTGAAAATACATTGCGCTAAAGGTGCTTGTTGTGGGTGTTGAGGTTGAAAAATTCGACGATCACGTGTACGATACGGTAGCTCAATTGGTTAGCGCAGCATGGAAAGCTGTGGATGCCGGTTAAAGTTCTGCCCGTATCGTGTTTTTTTTTATTTATATATTTAATGCGCAAAGTGACCATATCGCTTATAAGCGAACTCTTCTAGACCAGCTAAATAAAATACAGTGTGTTATTAAATTACAGTATTAACGGGCGCACAAATTATATTACATTTAACATAATTAAGAGATTATATTTAAATATCATTACTATCCTTAATTACGTTTGCATCTTATTAACTGTGAACATGTTTCAGAGCCTATCAACTCTGCCCCGAAGAAGAGGAAGAGGAAGAAACGCGCGAGGCGGGTGAGGGTTCAGGGTCTGGTGGATCCGGCGAGGTAGCCGACAGCGGCGAGGAGGAGGAGCCTCCCGATGAGGAGCCACGCCCCTTGCATCTCGCCCCAGCGCCAGCACCCCCACCACCGCGAGACCCCCCTCGCTGGCCTCTGAATACAATCGCTTCTAGTCCGCCTCCAATTTATTTATTGTTTCGCGTTTTCCGCTTAGCCATAGTTTTATAGCGATGCGCGACTGCTAGACGTCACGTTGTCAACTGCATTCTTTAACTTTTTACTCCAACTGTATAAAAAAAAATAAGATTTTACACAAAAGCCATTTTAATTGTAAATTACATATTACTAATTTACATCTGTATTTCATAGCATAAGATATTCCCGTTTTTATATGAAAAGGCCGAACGTGCAGTACACGTTCGGCCTTTTCATATAAAAACGGCGAAAGTACTCGTAAAAGAAATAGCAAATATATATCGCGTTTCAAACCGTCAATTGTTTTAATGTCTACTACTCGCGTAAACTACAGGCGATACATAAGCCCGAAATGTCAATTGTCATTGAAGATTGCCAAAAAGAAAAAGCAAATGAGACGTGTTTATAGTAAGGCGGCTTTTAGAAAAATAAAGAAATTATTATAGGAAACCGGTTTTATCCCGTTTTACGTATTTGACGGGACGCTAACACGAGCGCGCATCGCTATTTTTTTTTCTGTGATGTTACGATACATGTAAAGTTCGTCTTCAAGGGCATTTATTGTTAAGTATTAATTATATTTGAGTTCGCAACGGCCCCGACGGGCTACTAATAAGTGTGCATAGCGTATCCATTAGTTTTACTATTAGACATCTATGTTTAACTGTAAGACTGTAGAAACAAACGCGATGGAGATTTTATTTTCAATTACTTAATGTTGCGTTCAACAACGCGCAAGATGCGAGATGTATATAGGACCGCTGGAAAGGCTAAACTATAAGAAAATAAGTGCCGTACTCTACAAAGTAACCTGTTATATATGGTTTTTATATTGCATGATAATTAGGGTTCTGATTAAAATCCTATCTCCTCGGTTAACGTAAGGTATAGTTAAAATGGATATAATTTATTTAAACTAACGCTTGTATAGATTCGAAGTGATCAGTGTATAGTCATTAGTGATTTTTAAATGTATTTATTTTTATTAGAGCGAATACTAAATATTTTAAATTCATCACTGCACTAAATTAAACAATCTTTATCCTCACTTACTTCTTTTACACAGTACAAATGGTATAGATAAGCTTTAGGGATTACGTGTGAATTTACTGAGCGTTGTGGGTGCTATTCTTATGTTTGTAACCTTATTGTACTAATTTGTTTCGCATTCGTTGTTATGTTAACATATATTCCCAATTGGATAATATATTGAAAATATAATTCACATTTTTTTCAAATCTAACATGGCCTTTTTGTTGTCGCTTTCACTTGAAAGTGTCTGTAATTTACGCGAGTACACATTTAAATAAGTCAGTTTAACGTTTTGAAACGCGATATATATATATATTTTATTTAATTTATTTTCACTCCGTCAACGCGGCGGCTGCCTCCGAAACGTCGCAGTTAAAATAGTTTTCAAATAAGTTTAACTAATATTTATTGCGTTTTGAACCGTTAGTGTTTTATTTGAATACATAACTGCCATATAACCATACAATTCAAGATACGTAAACTCATAAGTATTTCTAGACAGAGTTTTTACAGTTGTATAATTTGAATAATTTAGTTTGAAACTACGCACGATTCGCTCGGTTTCGAATAAAAAAATATTCAAAATATCGGTGTTGTATAGTTTATTTTTGCCGATTTGTTCAATAATACGATTATAGCCTTGAAGGACGATGTTGCAGCAGTATTAGTACAATTTGTGGCCTAAGACGAACTCTACAGGGCGATATTGATCTTGGCGTATCGGAAATGTAGATATAGATTTAAAACACTAGTCTAACAAAAATATGTCGCCACCGTCGTGGTTCTGCTTGTAATATATGTTATTTATTTTTATATCGCGTGACGGTTGTATATTATTTTTTCGCATTGTAAGTTATTCAGCTTAATTAAAAAATATGTTACAGACAGATTGTGAAGCCATTTGTTTTTGGCTGTTTGGCTATCGTAGCTAAGAAATGGTTCTCGACGTTCCGCTAACATCGACGGATTGACATTAGTAAGAACGTCGAAAAGTCGAAAGTTTTATTATTTTTGACATGGTGGCATTATATAAATAATACTTCTATTTATAATAATCACATTCGATGACACTGGCGGGAGAACCAATTGAGCTACCGTGTCGATTGGTTGGTGTCCTCGAATTTGTTCAATGCGAATTTTTAACCGTATCTCAGTTACGACAGTCGAACTGGTCGAAGAGCAAAATGGCCGCGAAAGGCTTAAACAATTTATAGACCGATTGCGTTTACTATTAATATAATTTAGGTTTTGCTATCGTTAGTTGGGAGTTGTTACGTTACTGGTTATATTCACTATTAATTCTTCAATTATTTCAGCTATTCTGCTATTTATCGCGCCCACTTTTTGTCCTGGCTTAGGCCATTTCAAATTCTATTAATGTTTTATCACTGTCTCTAGACTGGCCTTGGTTACAAACAATTGGCGTTTTTAAAACATTGCGTATTTCCCCTGATAGCATCACACTGAGAGCCAGAATTAGCAAACTGATGGCAAATCTGTTGAAATATTTTTTTTTGAGAACCCAACAATATAAATAAAACACAATACACGCTTCACTGATTATCACAATATTGTAATTATGTAAGTCCGGAAACACCCGCGTGTATCGCTAATTTATTACCAAAGATGGCTTAGTACTCCGACGCGTTTTGTATCTTTTGTATTTGTAAAGTTACGTTAACAAAATTAAAATAATTGTGATGGATTAGATTTAGCTAGGGGAGACGTTGGATGCGTACACGAGAACGATACTGCCACGAGTTCTTTTCTGTGTTAAGAGCGCGTTTTCATTTGTAAATACGACGATGACTACCGTCGCGATTGTGAAATTTTAATTATATTTCGTGTTCTGTAATGTTGAACGTTTTATGCCGACTGTAAAGCATTTTGGCAAATATTTTTCATGTATATGTTTCATGATGTATGTCGTCTGACGTATGGCATATTATATGCTTCAAAATGTACTATTTGTATTGAATAGTTTGTTATAAGATCAGTTGAGTTTTATATGACGTTTCTATGGCAAATTTATAGGTAATGGCACTCGACATCAGAGAATGAAGATGATGGTATTCATACAAGTATATTAAAATCAGAAAATAAATTTTGAAATTTATTATACGCTTTATTATTTTTAATGGATTTGATCCATTCGTACTAAGAATATATTGAACTCTTTTAATAAAACACTTTAACGGTTTAAAACGCGATAAATATTAGTTAAACTTATTTGAAAATTGCATTCGGCCGCTGCAAAGCACCCGAAACGTCAGGCCGTAGTTAAAAAAAAATTAAACATGTTTAACTAATATTTATCGCGTTTTAAACCGTTAAAGTGTTTTATTGAAATGTGTACTACTCGCGTACACTACACACAGTATTTTATATTGAAGTAGTCTTAAATTACCTTTGAAATTACCATTTTATAAGGCTTTTAAATCATACTTTTGTAGTCAGTCAATTGGAAAATGTTACAGTTTCGCATAAAAAGAGTCCGCTTGTACCCCGAAAAAAAAATAGAACTAGGCAAGCAAAGCTTCGAGGCTGAGGCAGACAGAAGAATCTGCTTAGGTTGGGCCGCATTCAGAAAACTTGAGAGGATACTCAGGTCATCTATCCAACAGAGTCTAAAAACAAAAGCGTTTAATCAGTGTATCCTACCTATCATGACATATGGAGCCGAGACTTGGAATCTTACTTGCGGATTGATCCACAAGCTAAAAGTAGCCCACGCTCCGTGAAGAGAGCCATGGTTAGGGATATCTCTTGCGGACAAAGTGCGTAACGAAGTCATCCGTCAAAGAACGAAAGTGACGGATATTGCTAGCAAAATGGGCAGGTTAAAATGGCAATGGGCTGGGCATGTCTACAGAAGAGTCTGGTCGTTGGAGCCGACGTATACTAGATTGGAGACCACAATTAGGCAAACGCAGTGTAGGACGACCTACAGCACGGTGGACAGTTGACTGAAGAAAGTGGCCGGCAGCAAATAGATAGATATCAAGTTTGAAGTTAGGGCCGAGTGGTATGCTTTGGGAGCGGCCTACGTCCAGCTGTGGTTCCAAACGGGTTGATAATGAAAAAAAATATACCCCGGTAATCCCTCCCCTAACCCCCTTGGGTTGGTCTATAGGTATTTTTTTTCACTATCAATATCAACACTCCACCATACCATGAGTAAGATAGTGCTTTGTTTTGGAAACATAAAATTTTTGCAAATTTTTTATAACTAATGACTTCTGACCCTCCTATTTGTTTCACATAGATAAGTAATTAATGGTCGCCTTATCGCGTGTAGTGCGTTATAAGTTTATTATCGGAAGAAGAACGGTCCAGTCTGATCTCTGGGTTCGTTAAGGAATGGACAAGTATATTAGTATTAAAGATTTGGAGGAAGCGGCTTTTGCGATCCTTCCAAAAGCCGCGAAGGATTATTATAAAAGTGGTGCAACAGATGAATTTACCTTGGGGGAGAATAAAAGGGCATTTCAAAGGTTAGTATTATAGTACGTGCAAATCTCCTCATACGTCCACGTTCCACTTTTCTGGACTTACTGAAAATCGGTTTCAGATCAAGTAAACCTGAAAAAGGCTGACTATGATCCGATACCAAATAGCAACACACAACATTTTTTTTCTGTTAAGATTAAATTATGTTATTTTTCTTGTTTATAATTTTTATTTGTCTTGTTTTAATTCTTCTTGCTAAAATTATGATTTTCTTATGTTTTATGCTAATTAAAAAATTGCTTTTAGACTGCGAATTCGACCAAAATGCCTCATGGGTATAACATATTTCGACCTCCAAACCACAGTATTGGGGGAAACAGTATCTATGCCGGTCGGGATTTCCCCTACCGCCATGCAAAGAATGGCTCACCCAGACGGTGAAACAGCTAATGTTAAAGGTTTGAAAGTCTTTATTTTGATAGGCTTAAGAAGACAATGCTTTAACATGTAAAAAATAATGATATAGTAATGTGATTGTAATTGTTATGTAATTATGAGTGAGTGATAAAATTTCTCGCTATATGTCTCTAGCTCTTAGACTATTGTTGCTTGTTATGTAATATCATATTGTGAAGTAATAATGATCAACTAAAGTAAATAAAACACTAATATCGGTTTAAAACGCAATTTTTATTTGTTAATTTCCGTGACAGCGGCTGCTTTACGGGGTGTAGTTAAAACTAAAATATTTTATATGCTTCGCGTATAAAGCCGTTAAAAAGGGTTTTATTTCATTGTTATTTTACCTTTATTTACAGCTGCACAAGCTGAAGGTGTAATTTATACTTTAAGTACAATATCGACGAGTTCTATAGAAGAAGTAGCAGAGGCTGCCCCAAAAGCAATAAAATGGTTTCAACTGTATATTTATAATGACAGGTACTTTTATTTACATAATTTATAATGCTTCTAACACGCAAATAAAGGTAACAAAGCAACTGTCTGAATATCGACTGAATCTTAATTATCAATTGTAGAAATAGAGAGATATATCCGTTAATTTATTCTCATCTACCAGACGTTTGAGGACGCGTCTTATAATATATTTCGCGTTATAAACTGTTAAAGTTGTAAATAGTATGGCTTTTACGGTTACCGTTCAGTATATCATTGTTTTTCGGGCATCTACTGATGAAGCCGTCCGCTAGTGATATCGAAACTTCGAGAACCTCTTGTCGCCCGAGGCGGCCGAACAGCCCAAAAACAATGATATGTTGCCCACTAGTGTCTTACGATCAATGTTTTTATATATTCTAGAGAGGTAACAAGAAGGCTTGTAATGAGAGCTGAAAAGGCCGGGTTTAAAGCGATCGCTCTAACCGTCGACACACCAATATTCGGCTTAAGACGAGCCGATGTAAGAAATAAATTCACACTACCACGTCATTTAAAGTAAGTCTTATCTTAAATACTGTCTATAGTTTACGCGATTAGTACACATTTAAATAAAACACTTTAACGGTTTAAAACGCGATATATTATTCAAACTTATTTGAAAATGAGTCTTCCCGTGACCGCGGCTGCTGCAAAGCATCCGAAACGTCGGGCCGAAGTTAAAAATCAATTTGAAATAAGTTTAACTAATATATCGCGTTTTAAACCGTTAAAGTGTTTTATTTAAAAGCCTTATCTTACAATTTATTTAATGCAATAATACAAATCTTTTCGTTCTAGTGGTAGAAATGTATCAACGGTTCGATTTCCACGTATATCAATTATCATGTTTGTAAATCATCTGATTTTAGGTAGGAAATGTCAAAATTCGGCCCAGAACATCACCACCATCCTTTGATCCTTCGTTGATGTTCAAAGCCAAAATAGGTAAACGTCGGACCTGAATTAGTTTGGTCCGGGACGTTATATTAATTCGTTTAAATGAAAAACCTACGTTTGTCTTTCCACCTTGTAAAAATAGCTTTTGTGTAGGTACAATAGTTTTTCACAGCCCTGGGGATCAACCCAGGGTTGTGGAATAAAGTAATAATAATAAATGTTTTATCATATTGGCTTATCTAAACTAAACGTTATTTCAAGAATAACACTTCCGACCACGGAGTTGTTAAGAAAATCGTTTATTATTTTATAACAATTTGTGTTCTTTGCAGATTGGCAAATTTCGATGGTCACTTATCAACGAAAATCCATAGCACGGGCGAAGGCAGCGGGTTAAATAATTATGTCAATAATTTATTCGACAAATCCCTGACTTGGGAGGAAGTGACATGGCTAAAAAGGTAAGTGCAGGTCGAACGTCTTGCTTAGCATTGTGTTAACACTCAAAGCCGGGGGGAGGCACGCAATTTTATTTAGCACAAGCCGAGTAGTTTATCCTTTTCCCAGTAATTGCTGAACTTTTATGTGTATTACTTGTACTGGACATAAAATATATTTTTATAATCGAAAAGATTTAATTTCATTGCAGCATCACCAAATTACCTATTGTTGCCAAAGGAATTCTACGCGGTGATGACGCCATAAAAGCAGTTAAAGCTGGATGCTCCGGTATCCTGGTGTCCAATCATGGAGCTAGGCAACTAGATGGTGTAGCCGCCACGGTAAGTGGTTTTTCGTGTTTTATACTTCAGAATCAAGAATTTCAAACACTACTAACCCTTATTACATGGTACTAACTACTTAGTTATTATATCAGTAAAAAATATTACATAGTCATGTGCGCTGGTTACCAAAGGAACTGCGAAATGCTGCTTTAGCTGGTTTTAAGCAATAATGCTGCAACAGGGTTTATCATTAAGAATAAATCAAATTTATTTATTTACTTTCAGATTGAAGCTCTACCCGAAGTTGTAGAGGCCGTTAAAAACTACAATGTTGAAGTTTACTTAGATGGTGGAGTATCTAATGGTAGCGATGTTTATAAAGCACTGGCTTTAGGCGCAAGAATGGTGGGTAGTTTGTAAATGTAAGTGTTTTCGTTATGTTCTTTAATTTATTTTGCCATTTTATTTGTAGGTGTTTGTCGGTAGACCCGCACTGTGGGGTCTAGCTGTCGGAGGAGAAGATGGAGTTAGAAGAATGCTTGGAATTTTTAGAAATGAATTAGAATATACGTTGCAAATCGCAGGTAAGGTATCTTTGTGATAACTTATTCGTAATTAAAATCGATCAGTGAAACGGACAGAGATTTGCATCTGCCCCTGTGGTAGCGGGGGCAGATAATGATAGGGGAGGACAAACAAGGGGACCATTGGGATTCACTCAAGTGAATTTGAAACTTGAAAGGTGATATAACATCTTACTTTTTTAAAATATGCGCTATCGATACCCTATCTTGTCTTTGGATCATTGGAAATCCAAAGACTAATAATTAATTTACGTGTTATCCTTGAAAAGTGACTACTTCTTCTATTTTGCAGGTACACCTACAGTAGCTGACATTACTCGTGATATGATCCGCCATGAATCGGAATACAGTAAACTTTGACATATTGACCTACCCACTTATCACCACAAAGAAGTCATACGATAATAAAAATGTAAAAGTCACGTACAAGATTTTTTATTTAGCAATAAGTTTTCTGTACAGGTTGTAGAGCAAATGTGGGGTCACGTAATTTTCATTCGGCCAAAACGTTCTAGATATTTTCTGAAAATGAAGGCAGAAAATGTTTATTATTGACCATTTATTGTAACCGATTAATGTCCCATAGCAGACATAGACAGTCTATCTTATAGGAATAAGTGTTATAGACCTTAGCCCCCTGAGATCCACCAGATTGCTTCAGTCTGATTTGCGAGTCGGAATTCTAAACAACTACTGCCATTAAATTAATTATCACTAATATGAACCGAGAGCGAGGTATTTCGAACTCTTATGATTAGCAGTCTAACTGTTAATAAAACAATTTTTATTTTTATTCGCTGAAAGATATAAATTATTTTAATAAATTGAAAAAACGTCCAACTCGGGCAGGTCTTGCACTGGCAGTCAGCGTTCCGTGCTGTTACTCTCGCTTTTAAAAGATAAGACATTTTTAGCTAAAATATATTTTGTTATGTTTTCAATTTTCCAAATATGTTTGAATATAATTTGTTTCATTTTGCCCTTACCTTAAAATCACATCCAAATAGGTTAATACCTTGTTTAAGTTTTTTAATAGTCTGTTTCAAACATTCATCGTTGGCCATTTTATCCTTCAGTTCAAGTGTATTATTGCAAGTGCTACACGAAGAAAATTCTTTGGCATTGCGTATTTCGTCACTGCCCACGTGTTGTCTCTTTCTCACGTAATTAGTGAAACTGTAACTACAAGAATCGTCGTATTGAATTGTTCTTTCGTTCGTTTTCTTACCGAACACCTTTTTAAAGCCCTGGACAACTGTTGCACAGGAACTGTTAAAGACATCTAGTAGCTTAGCGCTGAAAGACCGATTGAAATTTTTATTGGCTGGCACTCTTTTGTTAACTTTAGAGTTACTCTTTGCCGTCCGATTTTGGTAACTACTACTTTTCTTATCGACTCTGGTAATTGTGGTATCTCTCACAAATCTTTGTTTAGGTGTCGAACATTGGACTGGTTTGAAATCAGACAGATCATTATTATTTAGTGAGTCGTCATAATTATTGACATAGCTGTTTACGTATCTACTGGACACGTTTTTGGTATTATTATGTTTACTGATACGTGTACTGTCATTAAAATTGTGTCTCATTAGAAACGTGAAGGAGAGATCTATTGATTGATTTGATGGCTTTTTTTGTGTGAATCTTTGACTAAGACGGGAGCTCGAGGATCTTGGTGCAAACATTTGTGTCTTACGCCCAGTGTCATCTTGTTTTGATTTAAACTTATCATAACGATTGAAATTAGCAACTTCCCGCATGACGTTTTCGTAGAGCTCTTTTGTGTCATCGCTATTTGTATTATTAATAATTAAAATGCTTTTATTGTTATGAACGCTGTAATCTTTCTGGTGGTATCCGTATTTACCTAGAACTACATAATAGGTACATTTATCTTCTACCCTAATTGGTTATAAAGATTTTTTAACTGCGTATTATATTCTAACCTTTTTCTCGTGAATATAATATAATCATCGTCCATCGTGCAACCTGCAAAATAATTGTTTTCCCTCATATGATCGTAAAGCAGTAGAAATTGTTTGATTATAAAATATTTTAAAAATTCAGTCTTTTAATCATATTGCACAGAGCTTTTAGCTTTTTTTTTGTAATAATTAAAGCATTGTAACATAAAGTACCTGATTAGAGCATCCTGGCATTTGAGACAAAATATAAAGTTCATTAAAAACTTTTTGCGCTTGTAAGATGGCGTCAATACAATCGTTTGGTAGGTCTTCCAAAATCGTATTCAACAATTGTAACCCACATGAGTTTTGTAGAAGTCTCCTTAAATTTTACATATAATTTTATTACAGCTTTAAAAATATATAAATAAAGTATTGAATTTACAATATGTTACAGTTTAACACTAGAACATCTAATAATGTTATTTGTTTAAATTGGACTGTCCGAGTCCTACTCATTTTTTTTTAATCTAAAAAAGAATCCACGCGTACGCATTTTAAATACTTATTTCCCACCTGGTAAATATGCACATTCCATTGTTCGTATGAAAAAGTCTGTTATTTTTAATATTCCTTTGTATTAAGCTTTGTAGTACTAAAATGACGTCTTCATTTCCGTGTAAGCAATGTTTTACGGACTGCAAATAAAAAGTCCGTTTAAACCTTCGATTTTTAAAAAGTTTAATCATATTATTATTATCAACTCCTTGGAGGGTATTTTGATAATTTTGGCAATCGTTTGAAGAATTACAATGGGTTATTAATAAAAATTTGTTAGTAAAATAGTATTTTTGAGACACTTTATCGATACGCAGAGTACCTGCACTCACCAAAGGAACAAGATGCGAACAAAAAGTCTGATTGCCTAATGAACCGAAGCAGGCTTTTGCGATACACTGGCAAAGCGACGTCCACGTATCTTGTTGCTTTAATTAAGAATAACATATTATTCAGACATATGGGTGATTTTATGTGATATTTTTCTAGGTTCGGCATGGGGTAGGCTCAATTTTGTGTCTATTCTCATGGATTCTTATTTTAATTTAGATGTTCTGGCTTTCAACCGAAACTACAACTTTTCCAAGAGAATCGAACCCAGGAGCTTTTGTGGTTAGCCATTGTACAGCAGCTGTGCAGAACTATTCTGACGGCAACTTTTTAAAAGATGTGTTCTTATAACCTTAACATATTTAAATTAATAAAGTTCATGATTGTTCTTTGTCCCTCTATTAATAACAAAAACGAAAAGGGGCGATCCCGTAACGTTGTCAAAATACATAAACATTTTTTCACATTTATATGACCCCGGAATACTTATGAAACAGCGTAATTATAAAATGTTACATCACCATCATGTGGGTCATGAAAAGATTACAAATTGCTGACAGACAGCCTTTAGCTCTCATCGTATTTTGTGCGTAAATATGTAACGATTTCCTTCTTGTTGGTCCTTCATCGTTATCTATGTATAGTAAGGCTGATACAAAATTCAGTATTATGGATGTTTGGGGCGTCAGCCCTTGCCTTAAATCGTATGCTATTTTGTCATAAAGGGGTCCGTATTTGATTATTAAGTGGGAGTGTTCATTCTAAAAAAACAAACATAAGATCTTTTGAGCAGATATGAAGCTGCACGAAATGCTGAGGATTGATAATGGAACTTTTAAACTAGATTTTAGACAAAAACACAGCTCGCTGACGTGAGTACTGTTATTCGTAAGATTTTTAAATGTAAATGTTATATATTGTGTCGTAATTTACGAAATGTTAATATTTATCATTTTTTAAATGTTATGACATACTTGCTTAGGACTAGAATCCATCAATTTATAAAAGGTTTATTTTCAAAATAGCAAAAAATAATAATAATTGGGGTTAGCAAGAACGCACTTACGTTATTTAATAAATAGGTTCCCAATATGCAAAAACTTTTCACTTGAGTGTTATTTCTACAACAGTTATTATCAGTGACTGATTGTAATAATCGTTGTATGTTTTCTTGAGTCAGATTTCGTAGCATCTTCTACAATTACCTAATTCATGTGAGGATCACTTCATTACTCAATGGAACGTATAAGTATTTTTGCTACCTTAGGTTACATTGAAAAGAATAATCCATAATAAAGTTCAGGTTATGTACATAATACGTACATAACCAAATTTCAAAATATTATATTGAAATTTGGGTCTTGAATACGTACCGTACACCTTATTTATACGTACGATTTTCGCGCCTAAATAAATGCGCATTTGGTGTAGGACATCATGTTGCCATACATAAAATATATACCAAGCCAATGCTAAACTGTGGTTAGATGCATGGATATTCCCTACTCTATAAGTCTATGACATAATATACACTTACAATATCATCTGTGGTTCTATTTACTACTGCATTTGTTTTGATGTTAAATCATTGATGTTATGAGTATAAATCGGACTTTGAGAAACATTATCGACTATAACTTACAAGTCTTAAATAAATAATAATTTATAGTTGTCTTTAATTTGCGCAAAATGGATGTTGGCGAATTATTATCATTTAAGGTTATTATGGATTTTGATGTTTTACTTTTCGCTATATTACTAGGTTTATTCCTAACAAATCAATTTGTTTATAACAGCCTACACCAACTCCTAAACGCCCTAACGAAGATGAGTTAGACGACTCTGATGAAGAAAGTGTGCGTTCTAAGAAGGTACGCCGGCGAGGTGCGGGGACTAAGCCTGAGCAGTTAAGCAAGTCTCTACCTAAAGAGCCTACGATCACCGATAAAGAACGCGAAGATATTCTCAAATTTGTAGAAAATGTAGTTACAGAGGTAACAATTTTATTCAAGTATTTAAATTCTACATACTAAAGATAGAATATTTTTTTTATCTCTCAAAATATTCTAATAAGTTATTATAATTACAGGGAGAAGTTTTAGATGAAGCAGGTGTAAAAAAGTTAGTTTTGAATTTTGAGAAAAAGGCACTTAAGAATAGAGAAATGAGAATCAAATTTCCGGACCAGCCTGAAAAGTTTATGGAAAGTGAACTTGATTTATATGATGCTCTGCAGGAATTAAGTGCAGTCGCTACTGTACCAGATCAATATCCCCTCCTCGTAGAGGTTAAGTGTATTAATTCACTTTTGGAGTTATTATCTCATGATAATACAGATGTATCAACGAAGGTTGTAAACTTACTGCAGGTATATATTTTTATAGTTTTAAGTCAGGCATTATGATTATATTTTTGTCAATGTTCTTAACAAAATATTATTCATAGAGGAAAATATTTTTATAACAAATGTTTCTATACCCAAGGAACTGACAGATGTGGATATATTGCATGAGAGTGAAGAAGGAGCAGAAGAATTGATTAATGCTTTAGCTGATGCTGAGTGTCCTGCTCTGCTGTTGCATAATCTTGCTCGACTTGATGAACAAGTACCAGATGAGAGAGATGCAGTACACAACTCCTTAGGTAATAATTAAAATAGCTATTAGTTTCAAAGCTTTTTGACTTCACATTCCTTTGAACACAAGCACAAATCAAATATTCATAAAATTTCCTGTTATTTTGTAGGTATCATTGAAAATATAACAGAATTTCGACCAGAACTATGTGTTGAGGTGGCCAAACAAGGATTTATACAATGGATACTAAAAAGACTGAAAGTGAGTTTTGATTAGAGATTTTATTATTAAAATAAATAAATAATGTTTTTTATTAATCATTGATACTTTTTTTAGATGAAAATGCCATTTGATGCAAACAAATTGTACGCAACAGAGATTTTGTCAATTCTTCTCCAAAATACTCCAGAGAATAGAAAACTTTTGGGAGAACTTGATGGCATTGATGTTCTATTGCAACAGTTGGCTGTAAGTATAATTCATAAAAGTAGGAACAAAGAATTTACATTTCCTTACTGTTTAAATGAAAGGAATGTAGTATTGAGTTGAGATGTAATTTTTAGTTTTACAAACGACACGACCCCAGTGGTGCTGAAGAACAAGAAGCGATGGAGAACATGTTTGATTCCTTATGTTGCGCTCTCATGGAGCCCTCTAACAGAGACCGATTCTTACGTGGGGAAGGGCTTCAGTTGATGAATCTTATGTTGAGGTATATTAAATGTAGTTATTTTAGAGTTGGTTCTGCTAATTAACTTATGTTGCTTGGTTATATGACAAACTATACTATATTGTTAGTCAGTGGTCATGTTATATTAATATATAAGGGGAAATTAAGGAGGAAAGAGAAAAAAAATCAGTTGGGCAGGGCATTGAAGTATTATATGCTTACTTCTGTCCGGTATATAGATCTTTCAGTAAAACAAGCACTATCTCGCACATACCAATATATATATATCAATATCAATCAAACAATGTCAAATATTAATAGTTATCAATAATAATAAGCCTTTTAATATTAAAAAAAATAGGGAGAAGAAGATGTCAAGAAATGGATCATTGAAAGTATTAGATCATGCTCTGGCTGGCCCCGACGGTAAAGACAATTGTAATAAGTTTGTTGACATATTGGGGTTGAGAACAGTTTTCCCACTCTTCATGAAAACCCCGAAGCGCAAGAGGCTATTGACTGTGGACCAACACGAAGGTAAAAAGAAAAGTAAGACATTATTAAAACATTTATCAACATAACTTTAATGTGTACATTCTTTTCAGAACATGTTGTCTCAATCATAGCGTCGATGTTACGAAATTGTCAAGGGAGTCAGCGACAGAGGTTGTTAGCGAAATTCACAGAAAATGATCTAGAGAAAGTGGACAGACTCTTGGAGTTACATTTTAAATATATGGACAAAGTTGATAGAGTTGAAAAGGACATTGAGGTATGATATAAAGATATTTAATGAAATAATTCAATTGTACACTGTTTTGACGGCCTTAAACGCGATATATATTTGTATGATCGAGGAGGACAGACAGGCATGGAGTTCACTTGATAGTACATGATATACCCCAATGTGCTGTCGACCTATTTTTGCTGTAGATATTCAGAAATTCGCTGCTGGTAAAAATCGGTCATACCAGGTGTAGATAGAAATTAGTTAACTGACGAATTTGGAGATTATAGGTTAAAATTGTTTCATTGCGTAAAGATATAAAAATTAAATATAATTTTAATTTTTTAGCAAGAAGCAGAAGACTTGGATGACGACGCGCAATACTTGAAACGTCTATCGGGCGGTTTATTCACTTTACAGCTTATTGATAGAATTATATTAGAGGTATGTCTATTGAAATATCAAAATTGTATATGTACCTGAAAAATTGTATCATCAAGCATAAAGCAAGAAAAATCAGGTCTTAATAAATCTTACAAAGAGTGACTGTGTGGGCTTTGTAAAATGACCATGACTTATAGTGTATAACTAATAGTTGAGGTTATTTTTGTTTTACACAGGCACGAGCTTGCATTTCATCAATTTTTAGTACTAATTGCTATCGGATAAGGGACTGACTGAATATCATTTTAACCCTTAGTCTTAGAGATTGACCTTTTAGCAGAAAGTTAAAATTGTTTTTTTTTTATTCTCTTAATTATAAGTTTTGTACTATGTGTTAATAAACGGTTTATTTATATATTTAATAATTATTATCACTATACACAATAAATATTAAACTGATTCAAATGTACAGGTGTGTACTGCTGGACCACCATCGATAAAGCAACGTGTGCAGAGAGTGTTGTCACTAAGAGGAGGATCCCTGAAGATAATCAGACATGTGATGAGAGGTACTTACAAAGGATTTACTAATCTCTCTATAATCTATAGGTTGTAGTACAATGTTGTTAATTTTCTTTTTTTTTTGTAGAATATGCTGGAAACCTGGGTGACGATGGTAGTGAGGAGTGGAGGCAACAAGAACAACAACATATTCTACAATTGGTTGATAAATTCTAACCAAAAATTATTGTCAATGAAATTATAGTTCGCATTTTGTAAAAAGAACGCTGGTGTAGGAGACAAATATATTTTTAAAAGTCTATTTGTAGTTACGTTCACTTACCAAAACACAATGAGATACTTATATGTATGTAAAAAATATGGCTTATATTGGAACAGTCCATTAAGATGCATTCAATAATTCAATTTAGGTTAAAATCAAATAGATTAATATGCGCATACGCATACGCACACATCCCCCCTCTACTTCAGTCCAACGTTCTCTTTATATATCGCGACTCATACGATTTGAAGTATTATGAAAAAAAACGTCCAAACTTTTAATATAGTTTTATTTATATTAATAAACGTTTACATTGTTTTAACATAATTTAGGTAACGTTAATCAACATAACAATATAGAGCGCAACACTAATGTTAGATGCGCCAAAATAAAAATAATACCTATTGCGAGGGAATAAGAATGAGTTTAGTGTATTCGAAAATGATTTATACATTTGTCTGACACAATTTAACACGAATTGTATTTTTTGCTACTCTGAACAATATGGCACTGAAAGATTTTGTTTAAGAGAAATCACAAAGTCGCACTATTCTATATAAGGATTTAACAAATGTTTACTTAACTGCTTTTCAAGCAGCGTATATTAATAACAGTTAACTTACCACCACTTTTAATTCCGTTCTATGTTATATTATTTAAATACCTTATCAACTCATCGCAATTTATGTGTTATTAGAATCCACATACAGACCTAAAGAAGTAACATCAATTTTTTTCTCGGGGTTTTCACGTAGTATTGTTAAAGGCACCTATTGTGTACACAAACATATGTTTTCTAAATTGCACGATTTAAACCAATAACAATTCTATGTTTTCATTAAAAATCGATCACAACCACTTTATTCCACTATACAATCCCATCTTTACTCAATATTAATTCGTCAACAAATATAAAAACATGTAAATGCATTGTAGGATCCAAAAAGCCATATTTTTCTGAATTAAAAATTGGCAACGGAATGCAACAGAACGCGAAATTTGTTAATGTATTTTAAATTATTACAAGAAAATTGAAAATCCAACAGTCCATACAATAAATACGCAGCATTAACATTGGAGAGAAGGCACTACTTTTTAAGAGACGTATAATGTCTATGGGCAGTCTTTGAATGCGGTAGGAATGTCGTCATTTGTCTTCGACACGTTGCTAGTGCCGAGGAGCGTGGGCGCAGGTATAGTGCCCGTTTGGATTCCGTGCGCCATCTTTAGGAGATCGTAGTTGATCTTCTCGGTCACCACGGAGTCTTTCCTGTAAGCATAACAGAAATAGTAAATGAGGGTAATTTTATTGTTTGGGTGTGTATAGGTAAAATGGTAGTATTAAAAACCTTACTTGTAATCGGGATGGGATGTAACGAATTGCCTCATCCACGTGGCCATTGTAGAAATCTCGCCCGAGGCACGACGCTGTATGAGCTTTAGGTACTGTTGAACGGAACAGTGAGTATCCGCATCGACATCCATTCCCGATAAATATGACTCAATTAGCGGGATCAGCCCGGGGAATATTCCGTCCTGGAAAAGGTAACAAAACATTTACTTTTACATACAGAAGATGATATCAAAGAGTTAAAGATGAGACAAGTAATAGGATTCTTCGAACAAACCAGAATGTTTGAAGGGGACACCATATGAGGTGGATAACCAAAAGTCCTCCAAAAGGAGGAAGTGGGGAAATGGGTGCAATAAACAAAGAAAGGTAACTACTACACAGAATCTTTAATTTTACCATACCGACCTACAGACTAAGTCCACTCGTTTTTATATGGATTCATATCTCAAAAGAAGTCCGTAATAACTGATTTCTTACTTTTCCATTGACAATTTCGTCGATCGTCATCTCTGCGTACACGTCTACGTCGGGCGAGCGCACGTCCCGACGGAACCAGAACTTTTGTTGGGTGCACGCACCGCGTCTTTGTGCCCGCTGCATGTTCTCATCCACCTATAAATATTTGTAAGCTTTCTAGCACAACCAGCCAATGGACATAGTTTTTTATTAACATACTTTCTAAGCCGAAGCTATTTATACTATTACATAAAGTTGAAGAGTTTGTTTGTTTGAACGCGCTAATCACACAAACTACCGGTGGGAATTGAAAAACTCTTATTATGTTGGTTAATGCATTTATCGAGGAAGGCTTTAGGCTGTATAACATCACGCTGCGACAAATAGGAGGAGCAAACAAACGGGGAAACTAGCTTCAGTTGCGCACGCTGCGAAAACGGCTCAAAATACCCAAAATAATAAGCACGAACGAATGATTCCTCTTTAATTTATCTAAAAAGATGCCCGTGACTATACGTACTATGTCTATCTTTTAAGATTAACTTCCAGGAACAGCTTAAATCTACAAAGTTGAACAGGGGGTCTGCACACCAACGAAGTCGCTGACACAGCTAGTAGTAAACGAAGAAAACCAATCACAGTTCTTACCTTACTTATAGGCATGACAAAGTTGAGTCTATAGGAGAGTATAACACGGGTGAGAAGTACTACGAAACAAACGTAAGCCGCGTTCTCGAAGTCGGTGAGTTGGGCTTCGCAAGGTCGGAACTCCACTCGCCATCCGATGCGAGAGTTTGGCGGAGGAGGTTTGAATCGCATCGTCTGCCAGTTGGTCGATTGGATATTCTGGAATGATCATTTAATTATTGAATGATGTATTAAAATATCGTTATTTATTATCTGTAATGCGCAGTTAGCAATAAATCTTTTACATTTGGTACAACAATACTGGTCGATAATAATGATTTTTTTTTATTTTTACGATCCTTTAGAAATATCCTGATAACCTAGAAAACATGTTTTAGGGAATGGAAAAGAGAAACCATTACTGACACGTACAACAGCCCAAAACTTGTCAAAATTTATTATGTATGTGTCTCCTTCACACATACGGAGTCAGTTAAGGCAAAGATGATTAATAATATTGACTACTATTACTACTTGGATTTTTTAATAGTTCGGCCGTTGTTAATGAAAAATGGTTGTCGACTTTTCACCATTTTAGATGTTTGATGCAGCGCGTTTCTCGACTAAGTCGAAAACATTTATACAATTTCTAGAGGCTCAAACACTCAGCGACATTATCTTTAAATATTTACTTAAATAATCCCGACGCCATTTAGTTTTATTGTAAATTAAATGTCAATAGAAATGACTCAACTTGTGTGAAATGCGTGAAATTATTACAAATAAAAAGTGTCTGGCCTATTGTAGTATAATTTCTACAAAGTGCGTTTACTTAGATATAAAGAAAACAGTGTGATTATAAGATCACGGAATACCATTTGAGGCTGCTGAGAGCCAGAGTGGCCTAATAATAAAACATGATTTCCATTAAGGAGGAACATAAAAATTCGCAATTAACTTGGACTAAGATAAAACTATTATTTGATTTCGATTGCAGATTCGCATTTTTAGACAGTCAAGTCATAAAATTAGGCTACTCTGGTTCTTTTGAATGAAAACTTTTCATTAAAAATATAATGCAGGTAGTCACAAAAAAACATATCAATAACTTTATCATATTGCTCTTATCATGCCGCGTTTTGATGTTTCGTCTAGGGTACTGACCTCGAAGTGATCGGTATCATTCGCGTCGTCTTGGTTGACCTTCTCCGAAAAAAGCGACACGGAATCTCTTATGAAGAGATGAGCCACGTGCATAGCCAGCGGATGGTCGATACCGCCTTCCCGCAGGCGCCGGTAAATGCTCGGATCGTGAACGATCGGTATGTCGTTATATCTGAAAGAATTTAATTTTAAATTCAATGGTAAGTGATATACCTCAGCCTATAGCCTATAGCCTCGCTGTATCTAGCTAAGATACAGCGACAAATGTGAAAAAAATTGGAAAAATTAATCATCGATATGAAAAACCGTTCATGATACCCAAAAAATATGTATAAAGGAATTATTCCTCTACAAAAAGTCCGCGACGCTATGTCTATCGTTTAAGATTAACTTGCAAGAATAACGGGAAGGAACGCGACCGACATCGCGGGCAACAGCTAAGTTTATAAAGATAAAGAGGTTTTCAAAAACGAATTTGTATGCCCAAAATAACAATTCTCGCGGACGAAGTCGGTGGCTCAGCTAGTACATAATATTGTTAAACATGAAATAATAATGGGTGTATAGTTTGTAGTGAATTTAGTTGTAACACAGCCACTAGATGGCGCTGTTTGGTTTTTTATTGTTTTGAATCGCGGTGATAAAGTGTTTGTTGGAAAGTGTAAAACATCAAAATTTATATTATTAAAGCTCTCTGATTTCACTGTTAAATGGTATTGTTTTATTGTGCTAATAATAACAAGTATCCCTGGCATTTTTGGGATTTAAACATTGGTCCTTCGAAGGTGTTAAGACCTAGCGCAGTTGACAGTTAGCTTATCTCAAATCTGGGCACAGTGGTGGTGTAATTTATTTACCCGATCGTGTAGTCCATCTTGGGTTTTGCCGTGGGGGAGAGCACCCCCTGGGATTAACAACAACAGTCATCAATCGTGAGCGACTTCAATTTGAGATAATAACGTCAACATCAACAGAGTTATCAAGTGACATCTGCAAAGTGTTTTACGTGTGGTGTGAAATATAAAAAAAAACTGTGAGTACTGAATTTAACATATATATACAAGAAGCAAATATTGAAGATATAGTGTATTTCTGTCTATTTTATTATTGGTGAATTTGAGACTTCGAGTATTCATAGTGAAAGTGAAACTACGGGGAATCTCTGCTGCAAGACTTAGATTGCTTGATATTAAGACTTATAAGTTACATAAAGTTAAGACTTGTAAAAATTTGTTATTTTAAATAGTAACTTGTTAAATGTTTATGTCAATTACTTTTAAATAATTATAGATTATTGAACTAATTTAGTAGATGTTCTTTTAAATTGATTGCTATTATATATTGAGTCATTTTGTAACAGTTGTGGGTACCTACTGATATCTTTCATAATGGCAGATAATTACACTAAAGTTCAAGAGGACATATTTAATAAAATTGAGAGAAGTTTTTCTAATTTTAAAAAGTCCCCGAAGGAACGTATAAGCATAGGTTATTGTGAATCGCGATTAGAAACGTTAGAAAAAAGTTGGAATACTTTTTATAATAATCACCAGAAGATAGTTTTTGAATTAAAAAAAGATGTTCTCATACAATCGGATTATATGGTGAATGATGTTTTTAATACATGTGAAGAAAATTATTTAGACTATAAGACGTTGTTAAAGGATCTCAAGCCAGCTTTATAACAGACGCTGCTGCTCAACTACTAGGACTCAGAAAGTTTAAGGAGCCTAGCTACTTGTCAGGATTAGGAGGTGATCAGAGTTCTTTGCTAGTGTCAAAATACTCTGTAGTGTTAAATATTCAATCACGTTTTGATTCTGACTTTATTGTGTCAGTTAAGGCACATGTATTAAAAAAACTGACAACCTTTTTGCCATCTAAAAAAGTTTCTTTTCCCAAGGTGCAAGCATTTTCATCGATTCAATTGGCTGATCCTAATTTTAACACACCGAATAAAATAGACTTACTATTAGGTGCTGAAGTATATAGTCAAATTATTATGAAAGGTTTAATTAAGGATTTACCGGGATATCTTATAGCTCAACATACTAGATTCGGTTGGATTCTCTCTGGTAAGATAAAGGAAGATAAAATAGATAGAAATGAACTTAATAATAATTCAATGGTTAATCTACATCTTTCATATTGGGATGAAAATGAATTATTAAGAAGATTTTGGGAATTAGAGACTGAAAAACCAAAAAAAAGATTTTATACAGAGGAAGAAGAAAGGTGCGACAAGTTGTTTAAGGAAACAACTTCTCGTGATCAATTTGGTAGATTTATTGTAAAGCTACCATTTAAATCTGATACTCCATCATGTAAATTTGGTTCATCTAAAGAAATAGCTCACAAGCGATTTTTAATGTTAGAAAAACGCTTAACGAGGAATCCTAAGTTAAAAGTTGAGTATTCTAAAGTTATCAACGAATACCTTAGCTTAGGACACATGGAGGAAATCAGTTCACTAGAAATTAATAGGCCTGATGCTGTATATCTTCCACATCACGCAGTTATTAGGCAGGATAAAGAAACATCAAAACTGCGCGTGGTATTTGACGCTTCTTGTAAGGGTCTGAATGGAGTGTCCTTAAATGATGATTTGATGATAGGTCCAACGTTACAGCCAGAGTTACGCCACTTAGTCATGCGGTGGCGTTGTTATGAAATTGCTCTCGTCGGTGATATTGTTAAAATGTATCGACAAGTGAAGGTGACCGAAGGCGACACCGAGTATCAACGCATATTATGGCGTGAAGATCCAAGTGATATTTTACGGCACTTTCGTCTTTTACGACTTACGTTTGGAACGTCTTCTGCTCCATTTTTGGCTGTACGTACTTTGCATGAATTAGTTCACAAGGAAGGTAAATCCTTTCCATTGGCATCTGAAAGAGTCTTGAATGATTTTTATATGGATGATCTCATGTCCGGTTGTCATTCAGTTGCTGAAGGTGTTCAAATTTACAAGGAAATCACTGAATTACTTGGTAGAGGAGGATTTCCACTTCAGAAAGTTTTTAGTAATAGTAAAGAACTGCTTCGAGAAATAAAAGTAAACAGTGATGATTCTCTGAAAGCTATTGAAATAAAAAATGACGAAGTCATTAGAATACTTGGACTTACCTGGAATCGCGAAGAAGATAGTTTTCAGTGTGTAGTTAAACTTAATATTCCTGAAACAAAAATAACAAAGCGCAAGGTCATTGCCGAGATCGCTCGTTTATTTGATCCTGTTGGCTGGTTAGCGCCTGTTGTTACTAAGGCAAAAATATTTATCCAACAGTTATGGCTTTCTGGCATTCAATGGGACACAGAGTTGCCCAAACCTTTGTTACAAAATTGGTTGGACTTCAGAAAGGATTTAGAAGTGCTCTCGTCGTACAAAATCTCTCGTTGGATAGGATTAAGTCCAAATGATATCAATTTTGAATTACACGGATTTTCTGATGCTTCGAATGCTGCGTATGCCGCAGTTATCTATGCACGCATTGTAGATGCTAAAGAAAACGTAAATGTTGCATTACTTACCTCTAGAACTCGAGTAGCGCCAATAAAGCAAATATCTGTGCCTCGACTCGAGCTATGTGGCGCTCTTTTATTAGCAAGACTTTTAGATGAGGTAGCTGAAGTACTTAAAATTCCAAAACAGAATTTGCATGCATGGACAGATTCCTCAATTGTCTTGGCTTGGTTAAGAAGTCATCCAAGTCGATGGAAGACCTTTGTTGCGAATAGAGTATCTGAAATACTTTCACTTACTGATGCAGATCAATGGTCCCACGTTGTTTCTAAAGAAAATCCAGCTGACTGTGCTTCCAGAGGTATGTCAGGAACAGAATTTATCCAATTCACTCTCTGGAATCAAGGTCCTGATTGGCTGTACAAAAGGGATATAGATTATGATCAGACGATAGAAAAAGATACAAACCTTGAAGAAAGAACTCCAAACTGGAAAAAAGAAAATCTGAAAGAAAAAAAGGAAATAATTAGTAGTCATGTCACTGCAAATGAAAAAGAAAATGAAATCATTACCAGATTTTCATCACTTAAAAAACTTACTAGAGTCCTTTCGTACTGCCGTCGTGTGTTGAGCTGGAAAATATCTGAAAAAGAAAAAAGAATTGATAATTATTTAACAGTAAAAGAAATTAATGATACTCTTAACATATGTATAAAGTTATGTCAAGAAGAAGTTTTTAAAGTTGACATATTAACTTTACAAAACAATAAACCAGTAAATAAAAAAAGTAAACTTAGCTCGTTAAGTCCATTTTTGGACCAGAATAATTTCTTGAGAGTTGGAGGAAGACTGCAAAATTCTTATTTACCCGAAGAAACCAAGCATCCAATAATAATTCCTTGTGGCACTCATCTTACTGATCTTCTGATTAGAGATGCTCATGAGAAAACTTTTCACGGTGGTCCTCAACTAATACTTAATTATTTGAGAACCAAGTACTGGATCATCGGAGCTAAAAATGCTATTAGAAAAGTAACGAGAAACTGTGTAACTTGTATACGATATAAAGCGGAAGTGAACCAACAAATGATGGGACGGCTACCGACTGCAAGAGTAACTCCTCAACGTGCCTTTCTTAAGAGTGGAGTAGATTATGCTGGACCAATAAATGTGCGCACAACTAAAGGGCGTGGTCATAAATCCATGAAAGGTTATATTTCTTTATTTGTCTGCATGGCTACCCGTGCTATTCATTTAGAAGTTGTCAGTGATATGACTTCTGAAAGCTTTTTAGCGGCTTTCAAACGTTTTGTTGCTCGTAGAGGCCAGGTTGTGGAGTTGTGGAGCGATAATGGAACGACCTTTGTCGGTAGTGCACGCGAACTTAAAATGCTGCCTCACTTGGAAAGTACTCATGTTGCAACTGAGTTAGCTAATTGGTTGTCATCGAATGGCACAGCATGGCATTTCATCCCGCCCCATTCTCCAAATTTTGGTGGCTTGTGGGAAGCGGGAGTAAAGTCAACAAAGTATCACCTGAAAAGAGTAATTGGAGACAGGCATTTAACGTTTGAGGAACTTACAACAGTCCTGGCTCAGATTGAAGCATGTCTCAATTCAAGACCAATTCTGACACTCTCCAATAACCATGAGGATCCTGCGGCTTTGACACCTGGTCACTTTTTAGTTGGTGAACCATTAGTTCTGGTACCGGATGCGAACTATGAAGAGGTTAAAATTGACAGTCTGAAGCGTTGGCATTTAACTCAAAGAATTTTACAAGATTTTTGGCGTAGATGGTCAGATGAATATCTTCACCATTTACAACAAAGATTTAAATGGTGTCAACAAACACCGGAGCCAGAAGTTGGTAGCGTTGTCTTGGTGAAAGAAGACGATCTGCCACCTGCAAAGTGGCTTTTTGGTATTGTAGAAAAGAAACATCCTGGTTTAGATAATCTTACAAGAGTAGTCACTCTAAAATATAAAAATAATTACATTAAAAGACCGGTTTCTAAATTGATTGTTCTGCCAACCAAAGAATAAACAGTGAAGCTACTTGTCATTGTGTTTAAAAATTCTTTAAGTTTATTAAGTAATACAATAAGTTTAGTTTGTTAAGTATATTAGTTATTATTTTTCTGTATTCATTATTTTTATGGACTTCGTCCATGGTGGCCGGTATGTATAGTTTGTAGTGAATTTAGTTGTAACACAGCCACTAGATGGCGCTGTTTGGTTTTTTATTGTTTTGAATCGCGGTGATAAAGTGTTTGTTGGAAAGTGTAAAACATCAAAATTTATATTATTAAAGCTCTCTGATTTCACTGTTAAATGGTATTGTTTTATTGTGCTAATAATAACAAGTATCCCTGGCATTTTTGGGATTTAAACATTGAAATTGAAAAATGTTGAAAGTTTACATTAAGATTAGATAGAATTTTCTTTACTTCTTACCAGTATAAACAATTCCGTCATTTTATGTATAACAACCTTTAGGAAGCGAAAAACGTCACGGTCTAATACCCTTTATCGAAGTTAAACATTGACTCACATATTTCGTGTTTCAAACCGTTAAGTGTTCTCAATTAAACAACTAACAAACTAGCTTAAACTTTATCTATAGTTTATTTGTAAAAACGCGTATTATTTAGTTATCAAAAATGAAAACTAAATAAAAGGATTATACTATTCATTTCAATAAAAACTTTTAACGGATTTAAACTTGATACTTATCGGCTATTTATTTTCACTACGACCCTACGCTTGAGATACATTTTGCATCAGTCCTGGTCAAGGGTGGATTGGAGAATTGGCTAGTTTTTTAGCGCTCTTAGCCTATGAAAGTTTGTTATTTAGACGTGTGTACTTGGGTAAACTAGAGATGATACTTACTTCTCATGTTCCGGCGACAGATACGAGTCGATCGAGTCGTAGCGAGATTTCTGAATGCGGAATTTGTTATTTTTAAGCGGCTCGAGACCACGCTCCTCTCGCGTGCGACAATCCACCGACCCAGAGATTACATTCCAACGACAGTCCACATCCGTCAAGTAACCACGGTAAATCGGTGACGCGGCTGAAAGCGCCAACTGAAAAAAAAACTTGGTCTGTAGTTTACGCGAGTAGTACAAATATAAATAAAACTCTTTAACGGTTTAAAACGCGATATCTCTACTGCAAAGCATCCGCAACGTCAGGCCGTAGTTAAAGTAATGTTCAAACAAGTGTAGGTAATATATCGCGTTTTAAGTTGTAATATTATTTTTTATTCATAAGAATCTCGTTGTTCTAATGGGAGACACGTATAGCTTATCAATCAACGGTTCGCGAGTTCGATCTCCACCGATCCAACATGGCCTTATAAATTTATAATTTTTCTTAAACCGTAATGAATGAAGGTACATCATTTTTCATCATACATCATTTTGGTTTAGTCTTTGTACCGAATATCCAGAGCCTAATAGCTCGACAACGCGTCTTCTTTAGATGTAAAATGGGGTAACAAAGTATATTTTCTACCTATAATAATCGATACTGATATATAAAGCTTAAGAATAATGTTTGTTTGCGCGCTTATCTCAGGAACTACTGGTTCAAATTGAAAACTTATTTTTGTGTTGGTTAGAGCATTTATTGGGGAAGGCCCCGACAGTGTCTGTCTAAATTTGAAGAATAACTCGCAAGAACGACGGGACGCGGACGACGTCGTGGATAACACTCACAATTTATAAAGATGTGGAAGGGGTTTTCAAAAATAATTTTTTATGCCCAAAATAACTATTTCGCGCGGAAGATGTACGTTTTAATATAGGTTGGTAGGTAGGTAGGTTCAAGGTCGTCCATTATTGATTTAATAATAATTGCATAGCGCTTAACACGGTTCTATATTGCGTATCACATTAGAACAAGTTTAGTTATAAAAAAGGGTAACGTTTCGCCTAGTCATTGTGCGATGTAATTGTTAATATATATATATATATATATATATATATTTTTTTTTTTTTTTTTATTTATTTATATATATATATATATAATCTTGGTAGACCACGAATTCAAAACATAGCTATCTATAAGTAGGATATATGTAAAGAAACAGCATACTTCTGTAGTCTCTAACTGATAATCGTCAGATGGAATACAGTTGAATCCGTTTATTATGACTCCGCCTATATTGACAACTGTTTATTATGACGTCATTAAACTACGAAGTTTGGTTGTCATATAAAATTCTTTATAAAAAAGTCGGATGTAATGACTTCCCTTATAATGACATGTCGCTTATTATGACCCATTTTCAATAAATTGTGTCCGATTATAATGACCGGCATGATTATATACACCTCCGGGGACTCGGTGATATTCGTTGATTCCCGTTGACGTTCGGTTCGAAGAAGAAGTCGAGGTAGAACCATTCCCTTCCGTATAAGAGGCATTAAAAGTGCAGAATTGTTATCACGATTTGTTCATAGCAATTATTAAAATGATGATTTGACCATAGCGATGGTTTCTTTACACAATAATATCGGAGACTGTTTTAACAATAAAATGAAAAAACAAAAGCAGACAACTATTATAGATTACTTACAATAAAAAATATGTACATTTGTATGTGTATAATTTACTTATTACGTGCAATGTTTGTTTTCATTTAATTTGTATGTTTACATATGTAGTTACTAAGGTCCTCTATTAAATACTAAAATACATACATATTTACATAAAAAAAAGTTTTTTTTTTTTCACAAAACGCATTGTATAACGTATTATGACGTGTTTGTCAATCCCTTTCGATGTCATTATAAACGGATTCAACTGTATGAAGAATACTGTCTGTAGTTTACACATTTAAATAAATCACTTTAACGGTTTAAATCGCGATATATTTTAGTTAAATTTGTTTGAAAATTATTTTTAACTACGGCCCGACGTTTAGGCTGTTGTTTACGTTTTAAACGGTTAAAATGTTTTATTTAAATATGTGTGAAGAATGGTATTTCATTTTACGCAATCTCAAATCCCGTTGCCCCGAATAAGGTATACTTATTTTTTTTTATTTACAGACCTTAACACTGCGTTTCAATCATAGAGGCATTTATATAAATAGTAAATACAACGAGTTCCGGTAGAACATTACGTTACGTTTTTGAAATGTGCACAGTCATTCACGTCGAGTCATCGTCCTGAACATCGTGGATTAGATATAATCTATCCACTGTTTAGAACAGTCATTCTGACTGCGGAAGCCAAGTCAAGATTGAATTAGCATCGGCGTGATTTCAATAAATTTTAGTAAAACAGTTTTAACAGTTTAAAACTCGAAATATTTCCTGTTTTCGATCCGATTTTTCGTCCCTTGGGAAATCGAAGTCTTGATAGTTCAAGTCGCTTAGGATTAAACGTTTTATATCGCTGCTAGCGTTTAATTTAAATATATATAAATTATGTAATAATTTTATTTAGTGATAGACAATGTTATTATTACTAATAGCTTAGTTACCTCGTTGAAATACCCCAGCCACATAACATCTAAACAAGTTGTGCTGTCGACCTATATTGGATATTTGGAATCATAGAAAACAATGGCACTCCCTGTTAAGTAAAAAAGTATATCTTGATACTCATCACGACTCACAGAAAGATAACTATTGTTATCTTAGTCGGCAATTACAAACACATCCATACTCATAGAATATGACAGTAATATCTGACCTTGGGAATTGCTTTAATGATATAAACGCATTATAATGACTATGGTAGTATGAATAGAAAAAAACAAATGACGATCTCTAGAAGTTATCAATGAAGAAATGAATAAACAAAACCAAAGGAAAGTAGCGCACGCGCAACGGATAATATTTGAAAATATACTGCCCTATTAGGCTATAGAACTATATAAAGATGTAATTTCAAAATAAAAACACTTGAAACGAGAATTATATTTACAAGTTTAAGATGCTTTTCCGCAGTCTTGGCAACGTTAACGTTTTCCAAAGCAGTTCGCGTCTGAAGCACGTACTTACCACATTCATGACGGTTTAAAACGCGAAATATATTAGTTAAAGTATTTTTTTTATATTTCGCGTTTTAAACTGTTGAAGGGTCTAACTCTAAGCTATTCAACTTACTCCTATAAAGTTCGGATACAACTAAATGCGTGAGATTACTTACCATTATAGGGCATAGGGGCGCCAGTTGATCGTAAAGCGTTCGCGCTTCAGTTATGCAGCAGGCCTGAAATGTTAGCTGCAAGCAGCAACAGCCCATACCCATTCCCATCGCGTCCATATACACGCAGTCTGGTTTAGCTGCGCCCTTTTCTAGCTCGTGATAATTATCTACAGGTATCTTTGTGTTTTTGTCGCGGTATACTGAAAATTTAAACATGGAATTATGAACATGAAAGACATATTCGAAGACTAAAATAATTTCCAAATAAAAGGACCCGAAAACATACTCAGTTGTTTTATATAATGTTTATATATGTGTAAATATATACATATTCATCTTTTTATAAGAGGGCCTCCGCCAGCTTTCTTAGAACGAGGTACCCTTCAGCGCGAGTTTAAATTCTCTAGCATTTAACACCTAGGTTAGTGTCGCTTTCTAATGACAAACCTTGAAGCAGACCTTTACCCATTCATTTCGATTATTGATTTTGTCACTAGCCAGCATTTGTGTTACGACGCAATTTTTTATTGAACCTTAAATTACTAGTCACCAGCATGCAAACAATAAAAAATCTCTACTGGTAGCTATGTCCATGTAGTATCTAATGGTTATATATACCATGATTTGCCTTGACTAAAGGGACCTTTGATTGACCTTGATTAAAGGGAGCATGTATTGACTCAGCATTTTATGTGGACTATCCTTCATATGGCCAAACGCCTCTGTAACCAAATGGTTACAATTGCCTAGCATTGCGTTACGCGCGAGAGGTTCTGGGTTCGAATCCTAGGGAAACAAAATTTTTTTCGGTCGGGCAGGGCACAAAAATTTGATCGACTTGCCTGTTAAAAAGAACGGATCAGTGAAATGGACACAAAAATGTGTTCGCCCCATGCCCGACGAGGCGGAAACGGGATTTCACACATCGGGCATTTTTCGTATGGCATCCCAAAAGAAAATTACACTGTGCGTAGTTTACGCGAGTAGTACACATTTAAATAAAACACTTTAACGGTTTAAAACGCGATATATATTAGTTAAACTTATATAAAAATTATTATAACTAGATGCCTTGCAGCAGCCGTGGTCACGGGGAGACTAATTTTAAATATTTTCAAATAAGGTTAACTAATATATATCGCGCTTTAAACCGTTAAAGTGTTTTATTTAAATGAAAATTATACTAATAAATAGATATGTATGAACGAATATATAACTTCATAAACCTTTGAAGCTTACGACCAATGATGTGTTGTAAGATGGTATTAAATTACTGCATATAAAGATTATAGCTTATCACATTGCGTAATATTGACATAATATTGTTCGCATCAGAGATACATACTTGGTAAATTAATCTCCATTTTCTCTCCTCGTCTGCATCTTATGTTAGATGTCAAAGTCTTAAAACGTGGGTGTCCGGGATATATTGCCTCATCGGGAAAGAAATTTGACCAGGATACACCTTCATTAGGCGTTGCTTGATAAGGCGGAGATGTAAAGCCTGGACAACCTAGTCTGAAAATATGTTTCTGATAGAAAATTTTCTAGATGTCACCCAACTGTATGATTCTATTTCCATATAAATAAGTGAGAGTCTCAATAAATAGTGAATATTTGGATGTTAAATTTTTGTTAATATTTTTAATATAACATTTTTTGGTATAAATAAAAGAATCATATAAAAATATAAGAACGGTACAGAAAAAACAGCTTTTTTAAAATAAAATTTACCTTGGGAAGTTTGTTATACTCATAAGGACTTCACCATCTTTTAACAAAGTGCTTGCCTCGGCTCGTCTGAATTTCATATTAGCCTCCACTATATTGAAATGTGCTAAAAGTCCTCCATACGGTTTTCCTGGTGTACCTTCTATCATGTAAGCTCCATATTCCGGACGCCACAGTGATTTTACATCTGACAAATTAGAATAATATAAAACTCTTTCTAAGGTCACAAAAAAATGACTTAATCTTGCTTGAGTCATTACTTGAAGGCATATTTTTATTCATTTATTCAAGTGTTCGCATTAAAAAATAACTAAAAACCCGGGCTATCAAAACCAACATTGTGGTTTTTAGATAATAGAGATATTTTAGAGTATTATTATGATAGATAAGGAATATTTTGAAGTACGCTTTTTATTGAAACAAAATAATTAAATAAGCTAAGCCATTCATATCATGATTTGACTTAATCATGAGATGTATGGCTTACAAAATAAAAAGAATTAAAAGAAAATTAATAAGCTTAAGCTATTTCTTTATTACATATATGTATTGATATTTCTTTCATATCACTATGGCAGATTTTTTGTATGGTATGCATAACAACAGTCTTATTAAGCTTAATTAACTTTTTAATTTTATTAACCTTCCTTTGTTTGTATTTATCTCTAGTATGGATGAAGTAGTAAAAATGGTCATGAAGTGTTTAAATTTGTATGGACAGCATGACTTGCAAATATGTAAAACTACCTGTTAACATTACATAAATATGTTTTATTCAACAAAAAATTCAACAAATTTATTTGTAAAATACATCAGTTGAATTATTATATTTATTATTATTAAAAACATCATTCTAATGATATCCATGTACTACTACAATTATAGGTATATGCAATCATAAAAAAAATATTTCATCATTTAATTTATCTGTGAGATAAAATCTTTCTAAAGAGTGAAATTTAAGATTATATAGTACAAGTTGTCCATCAGATTATAAGTTACGTATATAAGGTTGATTATTTGGACTTAAAGAGATTTATAAACTCATATTGTTGAACTTAAACATTATGACTTGTTTCTAGCGAAGTATGAAGGACAGTTCATTGTTTTGCATGATTTATTATAAACATTTCTTTGAATTTACACCTTAATAACATTGAAAAAATTTTTGGGTTCACTCAATAATTTTTTTAGAGAAGTGGAAGGTAAAATATGTAGAAATCCAATACAGGAATAAAAAAATGGCATGATAGGAAATAGCTGTCTTTAACTTCCCTTACTTTAGAGTTCAGATAATGATAGAAAATATTAATGAGATATTTACTTTCAGGATCTTCTAGCTCTTTTTTTTGTAATTCGGGTAGTATATCAGCAGCTCTCAGACTAACTGTAGCCCGTTGATTTTTGTCATCAAACTTCACTATAATATATTCCACCTAAAAGGTTATGTGAGGGTTTAAATATTATACAGCTCAGATAATTTAATTAAGTAAACCCAAAACAGGTACTTACTTCGTCACCCCACTTAAGTACATCACCAGTACGGTCTCTCAGTTTTCTGTATAAGTTTATAAACTGTTCGATACCGTGTTGACGGACGTGTTCTGCAAGAGCTTTAGTTTCTTCCCAGGTCAATGGACTTCCTTCTGTTAGCAAACCCATTCTGAGTACTAGGATTTTACAGATATTGACTCGTGATGTGCACACACTTTTTGAATTAGAAAATATGTATTTTAAAATTAATCCAAAGTTCATTTATTGCCCACACTATGGTGAATTGATGTAAAGTTGTGAACTTCTTAAAACCCTGTCTTTACAACATAAATACCACTATAAAAAATTAACAATTCTAATAACGGTGTTTATTAAAGATAATTTTAATGATTAACAAACACTACTTTGAATATTTCAACAACTTGATAGACACCGACGAGTTGTCAATCTGTATACAGTACTAGTCGAGTTTCTACGCGTTTTGTCAAAATATTACTGTGGCTTGAGTTTTATATTGAAACGTATACGTACAAACTAATGTCAAGCGTACATTGTGTCAACTGTCACTTACCCGTAATCAATTGTCACTCAAATCTTAGTAGAGAATGTTGAATTTGGTGTTGGGTATAAACTAATTTATTGGTAAAATATTTTGATGCAGTTTGCAAATTGCTCTCCGTACAAGATATTTTAAGAATACTGAATATAACAAATATCATACAATACAATTGATATAATATTTCGTAACATACATTTAAAGAAACAGAATTATTTTAATGTGAAACTATGCTTTAACCATTGACCAAGTAATGTGAAACATAATATTGCTGTACTTTGAGGATTAAACATTTGTAAGTCCTCAACCATGGTGCCTGTATCCATAGAAGGCTGTGCCCAAGGCACAGAGGGTGGCGGCGCCCGTGGAGGTTCTATTTCACTTGGATTGTTGATAGATTTCATAGTTCAAAGGACTTATGATGAGCTTACCGTATTGGCAGAGTTGTAAGTTCCATTTAATTTTGTTTTTTAATGTCATTTTATATTAGGCCAAGTGAACTATGTCACACTTAATTGTCAAATTTTAATCTACATTATAATACATTCTCTGTTTCCTGAAGAGAACAATAAATAGGCAATAAAATCCTTTGCAGGTTGCCACGCAAAACAGACATGGAAAGAAAAATTGAAATCTACAAGTTTAGTGCTCGTACTCGGCAGCTCTTTGTTCGTTTACTGGCTCTAGTAAAATGGGCAAGTAGTGCTACAAAAGTTGACCGTTCAGCACATATAATGGCGTTTTTAGACAAGCAAGCTCTGCTATTTGTGGAAACTGCTGATGTCCTAGCTCGTGTAGCTAGAGAAACACTGGTGCATGCAAGGTAAGTTATTGTTAAATGTTAATCTTTTTCTACTCAAAACACTCATAGAAAGAAAGAAATCATAAGCACACCACTTTTAATACTTAGGTTACCAACATTTCACATGGCTGCAGCTGTAGAGGTGCTGACATTGGGTACATATAGTCGCTTACCAGCTGTAATCCGTGAAAGACTTGTACCACCACCGTCTCTCACTGCAGGGGAAAGAAGGTCTACTTTGAGAGCTCTAGCACATATCGTCAGACAGAGACTTACTACAGCTTCATTACCGAATGATGTTAGAAACCTTAAGGTATGTTGGAAGACTAAATATGTGGAAATGCTCACTTTTACAGGCATTTAATTTTATCAAATTAAAGTTTGTATGAGAACCCCATAAGATCCAAAGCCATGCATTTGTATATTTTTTCTCTTAAATAAGTATTTAATTTTAATATTTCACTCTTAGAAAGAAGACTCTTATATATTACATACCCAAATAATTTACTTTTTTTAAGGTTGAGAATGGAAGAGCAACATTCACAGTAGGTCAAGAATTTAGTGTTTCTCTAACAGTAATGGGAGATGGACCAAATGTGCCTTGGCGGTTATTGGATATTGCTATTCTTGTTCAAGACAGTGAAACTGGTGGTATGTAACTCTGAATGTTTTATTGTTCTTCCAACACATTTTGTATAGGTGAGGTTACATTGAGGATCTTTCTAAAGAACTGGTATTAATAATAATATATGTATCTTGTTGTGTGATATTTTTTGTGAACCGTCACATAATCCTCTAAGTAAGAAGGAACTAAAATACACCATTCTTTGCATTGCTCACTCACATTTGGTTCGAAAATAAGTTGTATATCCTCTTAGAAGGTCCACCACTAGTTTAAAGATTAACATTTAAACTATTCTTTACAGAAGGTAAACCCTTAGTACATAGTTCACAATTAACTTGGCTTCGCGGTGTGGCCCAAGCACGACTAGCTGCAGCTGGCTTAAATGGAGCCCTGACAGCTCTGCGATTCTTTTGTAGATCATTATCTCTTGAACTCTTGTACACTCAGACTTTACGATTGTGTCGAGATCGTCTAGCGCGACATTTACAAGTGGACAAATATATTCCTGGGCAAAAGTTACAAGTTTCTTATTGGAGGTAAATATCTTAATCTGTAACACTATAGTTTAGTTTTCACATCCTTACTTTCATACAGAATTATTTATTAGTTTTGAAAGCAAGTAATAAATTAGAATGCTAACTTTTTTAACACCAGAACGACTCAATATAACTAAAATGATACAACCATTGTACTGTCTATATGCAAGTGGTACCAAAAATAAAGTACTTTACTTTTGTTATATAGATTGTTTTACTTCTTTGTTGTTTTACCAGTCAAAATGAAGACACTCTTCTGATGGCCATTAGGTACTCTAATAAACAGTTTTTCTTATGCTTGTGGTTTTCTATAGGGAACTCGGATGTGAACTCGGTTACCGCTTGATAATTGGTGCAGAAGGTGAAAATTTATGCGTCTGGCACGTACCGGCACTGGCTGGAGGTGAACGTGTTGCAGCTGCTCTTACTCCGCACGCACCCTCCATGGAACGCTTACTAGCACACACCGTACACGTCCGTTCTAGACAACGATTGAATGACCTTAAGGTTCTGCTCAATGACTTGGGGGTAAGAGACTTAGTTACTTATATTAATATGATAGCCATGATTTGGACATACATATTTCCGAAAGACTCTAAATATTGTAAAAATCTATACAGAATAATATCAGGACGTTGAAAATACCTTAAAGCTTTCCGTACCTAATGAAAAAGACGTATTTTTTAATTACGACGTATTGCTGGTGCAAAGTATAGGTAGCCGGTTTTGCTAGTGCAAGATATGGGTCGTATGAATATCGAAATTCTGCCGGGATCGCAAACCTTTGCCCACAAGTGGGAAATCTGTGAAGTTCCATATCCATTTTGTTTTTAGTCTGTGGATTTGCGTATGTTCGAAGCATTTTAGTATTTTGTTAAGATGTTATACGGTTAGGGTTTATCACCTTTCATTAAGTGTAACACACACATCTCATAATAAAACATAACTATAAGATTATTGATAATAATTTAACTTTGAACGTTAAATAGGTAGAATGTACTGTGGGCGGCTGGCCGTGTGTGCTAGCATGTTCTGTGGTATCTCCGTGCTTACGCGCCGAGCAGCTTCTAGTATCTGTGGGCGCACACGGCGGGAAATTGCGGGCTCGCGTACCCGCCTACCCAGCCACGCCCAAAATGAACGAGCTCGCTGCTGTATTGGCCGCCGCTGATTTAAAAGCTCTACGAGGGCTGCTGACACAGCTCAGGTTTGTGGGTCATTTAGATACCATGTATGTCCGGCAACCTTGAAGATGGACATTGACAAGAACAATTGCATCTTATGTTATATGGCTGAAATATTATGTGACATTTTTTATTTGTAGAGCAGCAATAACTTAAACATTTTAAATAAATTTAACGTATAATTGTGTTATAGATTCTGGTTAGTGGCGCGACGTTGTGAGAAGACACTTCAGCATTTACCGGCTAGTGTCTGCGAACACTTGCCGTTCCTTCACGGCCCAGACCATCCGCTTACCAAACTATCGTCAGATCGGCTCTATGTAATCTTGCATCGTCACTCGGACCACATACTGGTATTTATATGATTTAGCTTAAAAACCAATATGTATAGTTCCTCCGAATACGTAAACTAAAAATAACAAGAATGTATATATTTATTGTTATTTCTCATATTCATTTGACATAAAAATTTGTTTTTGTTAACCTCCTTCTCATACTTATAAATTACAACGGTTACCAACGTCAAAAATGAATATACTTTTCCGTTTTTCTTATTTCCCGAACACAAATATTTTTTCAATTCGAACCTGTACTTTCGAGACTAGCGCGTTTAAACAAACAAAAAAAACTCTTCAACTTATATAACAAATAAAGCTGAAGAGCTTGTTTGTTAGATACACAATTTCAAGGTTATTATATTTATACATTTTCAATGCTATTTAGAAAAAATGCAGGCAGTCATCATGATGTTGTAAATGTAAGATTATGACGATTTATCAAAATGACAAAATTCCAACGTCATCCTAGCTAGATCCTTTTCGTGGTAGGTTTTAGTAAGAAGAATCCTTTAATCAATTAATATATTTTGTGGTGTGCTTATGATACTTAAATGTGTATATACTTACATTATAATTTTTCTACAGCATTAAATACTTATTGTTCTTAACAATAATGGAACCAAATTAAACAAATGTTATTGTTGATCTTTATTAAAACATGTTTTCCATCATATGTTATTAATGAACATTCTTTGACTACTTATATATTAAATATTGTTCACATGTTATTGCAAATAATGGCATTAAAAATCGAAAATTTTCATACGCAAGTGTTAAGGTTGAAATTTTATTGCGTAGGAGGTATTGATGTTATAAAAACCAGATGCTGCGGATGCCGGTTCGGAGCCCGTTCGTGCCGTAATATGTTTTCAATCTAAAACAGATTTTTAATTATGTACATTGTTATATTTTGAGGTGGTGGAAATGAAGGAGGTGGCTTCAGGCAGTACAGCAACTACGAGTACAAGCACGAACAGCGGCAGTGCATGCAGCGTAGCGCTTTCTTTCCATCTCGCCGGAGCTCGCCGTTGCACTCCCGAAGAGTGTGAAGATGAGGTGGGTTAAAAAAATGTTTCAAAGTTTTCTTATACGTTGCTGCTTATAATAAAAGATAGGTTATAATTTCCCACGCAGTACAAGTGTAAGTTCGACAGTTAACAATGCTTAAATATCTTAATACATTAAACCATATTTTTGTTATAATAACAATAACAACCACGGCTGTTAAAAAGCATCCAAAACCGTGGGCCATAGTTACATTAAAAAAAATAAGTTAACTCATATATTTCAGGTTAAACCGTTTTATTTAGATTTTCATAGTGTTAAAATTAATATCCACAGTCATCTGCGACGAGTGCTTCTCCGTCGGTCGCAAGAGCCTACTTGAAAATCCACTCCGTTGTTGAACTCGACACTTTTACCTTGACACATGGACCATTCACGCCGTTAGACACGCCAGGTAAACTTAATAACCAATATTTGGTGTTTAAAAAAATATAAAGAGAACAAGTAAATACTCTTCAAAGGATTTGATAATAGAAGGATGAACATGGGGATTGTATGTTTTTTAAAACCTTTTTATAAAAAAAAGTTAGGGGTGGACAGTCCACCTAGGAGACGTGGCCATCAATCATGGACAAAACGTGGACACACGGGCGCGAGCATGCGGTTCAAGGGCAACTAACCGACCGCTCGCGTCTGGTAATCTCCCGTGGGCTCTTGAAGGTTTAGTGGGTAGTGGCCAAGCTGGCTGACCCCCACACTCCCCCCGCCACTTAATGTGGCCAGGCGTCGGTAGAGATTCGATTCCTCCAAGTAAAAAAAAGGGTGGACAGCCCATAGGGGTAGTGATATTACTTGCTTAGGGGTTTGAAAGACAATCGCAAGACAATTCTCTTTCCACTGTATATGTAGTAAAAATCATTTGAAGAAGCAGCTTCAAAAGGGCATGGTTAATTGTAAGTATAAATATTTCGTAGAATAAGTGAATGCAAGTAGTCTTTTATATGCATTGTCATGACAGGTCAGGAGATAATAATGCCTCGTCATGATGATTTTAAATATTAATTATCACAATATAATATTGTCGAGTAGTACGCGAGTAGTAAAAAAATATTATTTTGTAATATTGATTATAACAATAAAATCCTACTGTCTGTAATTTACGGGAGTAGTACTCATTGTAATAAAACACGGTTTTAAACGCGCTATATATTAGGTAAACTTATTTGAAAGTTATTTTACCTATGCCCTAATGTTTCGGATGATTGCAGCAGCCGTGGTCACGGGGAGGCTGTTACGAATAAGTTTAACTAATATATATTGCGTTTTAAACCATTAAAGTGGTTTACTTAAATGTGTACTACTTTAAACAATATAATCCTTCTATGAATCAGGCATGCAACCGGGAAAACGGAAACTGGCGTCAAGCGGGAATCGGGCTGTGCGCGTGCGCCAACCGGCATATTTCTTGCCAGAACTCGCCCACGTCGTGGCCGCTGCTGATGAGAGGGTGCCATTCGTTAATCTTGCGCAAGAGGTTTGATTATGTGTACTATTAACTTGCACTCACAATGACAGTTTTCTGCAAACTTTTTGGCCGGGCTGAAGTTAGCGCGACCGCCATCTTGCGCATCATATTGTCAGTTGGAAGGAAAAAGTCGATTCGCCCTGTACCCGCGCACCCCTCTCGTCGCATAGTATATTAGCTAAACTTATTTGAACTTTAACTACAGGCGGAGCACGGCTTCTGCTATTTATATCGCGTTTTAAACAGTTTAAGGGTTTTTTAATCTAAATTAATTTTATGTTTTCCTTTCAGCTCTCAAACCGTGGTGTAACCCACGGTGGCGTTCAGCCAGAATGGAGTGGTTCTGCCCTCGGAATGCGTATAGTGTCTCTGCCTAAACCGGAAGGTGCGCCAGTACACGCGGTTGCTGCGTTACGGTCACGACTTTTAGCCGCAACTATACGCCTCACTACCAAGAACCATGCCCGCGTCTGGACTGCAGAGATTGTGTTTCACGGGTCACCCATTCGGACTCCAAATCCGAAGGAACAAGGTAGTATAACATTTTATCTATAGTCTTATATTTATCTTTTGTATCTTAAAAAAATAATCATTCTATTTATACTATTATAGATGCGTTTAAAACTTACCTATATTTTATATTATAAAATGCATGATGTTTCCTTAATGGAAATAGTCTATTTAAACAGACTTGAAAACAATGAAATGTTGGATAAGCTTTTGAAAATAATTATTGTACACCTATTGTTTCGACCGGCTCGTTGGTGTTATGGTAGCTAATTATCAACGGGTCGTGAGTACGATCATCACCGGGCTCAACATGTTTCTAATCAATTTTTACATTTTCTGAATCATGTTGGACTTCGTCTCGAAAGCTGGGTATTAAATAGGTGGTAGGAACATCTAAAACTTCATCCAGGTCGCGAACCACCGTACACAGATGAAGCTGTGTATTTGAGTCTGTGGATATCTGAATGTCCACAGTCCAAATCGACAGCTTATCTTGTTTAGATATGGCTGGGGTGTTACACCCACCATCAATACTCCTCTATTTAAAAAAATAACTTTACGTTTAATGTAGGTGAACGTCGCTGTGTATATCTTCAATATGAACTCGGAACCGACGCTGGTCGCACCGCTGACGCCTTCCTAGCTGATTGGGCAGCCATTGTCCACATACACACGTTGCTGCATGATTTCATGCTGAGACCTGCGCAAGGTAGACATTATCAATTGTCTTAGAAACTGATTTAAAAAAAAACTTTTATTAGAGTTTGACAATACATATTGTAATTACTTCATTAGAAATAATAATGTTACAATTGCGATTAATTTATGGTTCCGATATTAATAAGCCGTGATTAGTATAGGCTTATAATTTTATTAATTATGGGTATAGATTACCAAATTATGGATAACAGAGAACTTTTAGAAATAATTGTATTTAAGTCTTATTGTTTCTGTGTGTATACGATTTTTGTTGTGTTAGTATTTATTATTCTTGTAAGATATTTATTGCATGCCTTCTTCTGTTTTGTTGACTTTTGCGCTTTAATTGTTCCTTTGTTTATATCTCCTGTAAACAAAGGTTGCCTCGAAGAAATTGCCATAGGCGATAAGTCCTTGAATTAACTTTTTATGTAATTTAGTTATTTAGTAATTGTTTGTATTTGTTTGTGCAATAAAATGTCTTATAGTTACTATTACTAAGTTCGATTTTCGATAAAGTCCCTGTTAAATGCTTTTTACAGAACGCGAAACGTTGTGGCAGGGCGTAGGTATCAGATCGTACACGTATCGATCCCTGGTCCTGGGTTTCGGTCCAGGGCAGCGCGCGACCGCTGTGCTGCAATGGAATGCGCCGACGCAACGGTACACGGTGGCCACACCTGCGCACCAGCACGCAGCCAATGCGCATCATCTGATGCATCACCATCTCGAAAATTATATCAATTGGTATTTTATTTATATAACTGCTCGAATGTTTTTTTTAGGAATAACGATTATTATGACAAAATATAACGACGAAAAAATTCTTTCGTTACGCCATATTGTTATAAAAAAATATTTTATTTTTTATAAATGAAGAGGACATACAAGCATGGCTCATTTGACGGTAGGTAATATACCCCAGGCATATAACGTCTAAGCCAGATGCGTTGTCGATCTATTGTTGTCTTCAGATTCTAGAATACCAGAGACTGAAATCGATATGCGATTAAACTTGATGGCTTTTTCATCTGATGGTGGTTCGTGACCCAGACCCAATTTCGATATTCTTACCACCTATTTAATATTCGGATTTCGAGATAAGTCCAACATGTTTCAAGAAAATTGTAAATTGAATGACTAGAGCTTTAATATCTATAACAGGAACAAGGACTTGTTATCCCTTGGTGTCGTTCTACGGGAGACTTACGCACCACTACTCTCGCTAAGCCGGCTTCCCACTCTGCCCCAGCTGGGTTTGCATCATGTTCGGACGCTTATGCCAACGCCAACATTCACATTGCTGGCACATTCCTGGAGAAAGGTAACAAATAAGAGCTGTCGAAAATAGCGAGAGGTGTATTTTTTTAATAAGGTAGAAAGAAATTCGACGATGACGTATACACGATAGCTCAATTGGGTAAAGTAGCAGCTCAGAAATCTGTGGATGCCGGTTCAAGTCCCGCCCATGTTTTATTTATTTTTAGATTGAAATAAGAGATATTAATAATAATACATATTAGAACTATTATCTAATTCTTAACCTTTTATCATTTTGATATTATTTTTTCCATAGATCCGAATCATTTACGCCGGCGCATACTCACTAGAAGTCGGCATTCGAGGTGGTAACGTAGTGACGATACGAGATGGCGCTTATTCCAAATTCGACCGGAGTCCCGCTGTGGAGGAGTTTGCTCCGGCCCAAGGTTTAAAGGTAATTTATTTTTCTTTATTGATCAACTACAATATCATAAACATTTGGCGAAAAAACGTCAATATCAAAACAAAAATTATTAAAATGTTTAATTTAAAATAAGGGCGGACTTGCACCTACCACCGACATGGGTACAATTTTGAAACACGCTTATTTCATTTTTTTTTTGGCTCTAAGAAAATTGGACTGAAAATCATAAGTGATGATGATGTTTATATATTTGATGATCTTGTAGGCATTTTTATCGCGATACGTGGAAGATAACATCAGCGCAAGACTTCTTGCGGAAGAAGACAACCCTCTATCGCCGATGTCACCTATGCCACCAGGTACCAGTGAATTTATTAATTAGGACTGACAATAAATAAGTTCTAATCGTATGTAAAACATTAACTTCTTGGAAAGGGTTTTTATTTAAACGATGCTTGATTAAATAATGCTTAGAGTTTGGAGGAGGTTTATAAGTGTACCTACCTTACCTGTTTTTATAAATTATTTTTGACTTTGTATCCAGGTGGACTTCGATTCCAACCGCCGTTGACTCCGCCACAGCCACATACACCACATTCGGCGCCTGTTACACCACACCCAGCTTCGCCCGCACAACACCAGGTAAACTATGTACTGGTTAAATAAATGACACTCAGTGAAGATGCTATACCCTTTGTTTAGTTTGGTGTTATTAAGAAATTAGGTTATGAAGGCCCTATAACAAAGTGATTATATTTATATTTATCTTCCTAAAGCAGATGGGAGGCGGTTCGTTCAACTTGACGTCTCCGCCGGGTGGCGCTGGTGGTGCGGGTGTGGGTGCGTCCCCTGCCTCCCCTCTAGCCCCGTCGCCCCTCGCGCCGGCTGCTTCCCCACACCAACCTCCGACATCGCCTTTCACTACTTGGCCGGCTTCACCCTCGCTACCGAGGCCTTCTCCTGGACACCACCCATCGCCAAGACATCATATCGATCATAAAGGTTATTTAATCATTGTATTTTTTACTATCAACCAGCATTTCATATTAAAATTATAAATTTCTATAAAATTGATAAGGGTAGGTATGCCTAATTTAATTTTAGCACAGATGAAAAAGCCCGGGACGTTTAATCGTGGTTTGGTCTCACTTAATATACCCAAACGTTTCTACCGTTCTTAATGTCTAAAGCTAAAATAGATTGTCAACACATTTGGTTGAGATATTTTATTAGCTGGTTTACCTTCCATCAAATTAACTCGCTTGTTTGCCGTTAAGAACCTTACCTTACCTTTACATTTGTTAAGGACCCCAAGCAAGTTCGTCCAACACAGCTGGTGGGCGGAGTCGGCCGTGGGCTGGGGCTATGGCGACACCAATGGCTGTCAGCAAATTGGAGGCGCTATGCACGCCGTGTGAACCACCTCCCGGAGCGCCACCCGGGCCTGCGCTTGCACCGCTGCAACGGTTCCTGGCCTGTGTATATATGAAGCGTGCGTTACAGAGGGTTATTCAACAGGAAGAGTTTGTGAGTCTATTATATCTTGGTGTTCAAAAATATACATATTTACGTTTTAAAGAGTGTAACATTATTTATTACAAGCCGTAAATAATGTTCAATAGTGTTTTGTTTTATTTTTAAACCGATACAATTGACACTATGTTAATTTTTCAATATTTAAACAATTGCCATCTCAAGAATTCGCTCGTTGTAGCTTTAGATGCCTTTTAAACTTCTACTTTACACTTCTTGTGCGTAACGCAATGCTAGGCGACGCTTTCGAAAAAAAGCTATGAAGGCGTCTTTTTTTTGTAAGGAGGAAGGAATTACTTATAATAGCTTTTTTAACTTCCATGTACAATTTTAGCTGTCACTGGTATCCGTGGATGCAACGAGTGTGACTTTTTGCTGCGAGACGGCGTGCATGGTGGCGCGAGTCGCTCTGCACCCACAGCATATGCAGTCGCTACACTTGCACCTGACACCGCAGCCAGATAATAAGGATAACTGGACCGCAGAAGACTTGCAGGTTACCTCAATATGAATATTACATAGCACTTATTCGAATATATCTAACGTTTGTAATATATTATTTATTTAATGTCCTAGAAATGACCCACGCGATTCCATGTAACTCAGTCGATGACCCGCCACAGTTGTGTTACCATTGTTATTTGTCGTACTATTAATTATAATCTGTTATACTAAAAAGGTAGTTCGACCTTTTACATGGTCCTTCGAGTCGGATGTAAAAAAATTGATTTAATGCTTTGTACTAGTTTTTAGGGCTGGTTATAACACGGTTATATAAATATTATCTACAAATCGATGTAATACTATACTGGTCTTATAAACTATTTATTTAGATTTCATAAAGACGGCCTCATATTGTTGACTACAAAAATGTTCTTAGTCAATACCTTATATCACAATGCACTAAATTGACAGGTGATGGAGAAGTTCTTCGAGCAGCGAGTGGCTATAGCTCCATATCGTGCGACGGCTTTGCAAGGTTGGGGCCGAGTGTGGGGTGCGCCCCCCGCTGCCTTACCCTCTCTGGTGGCGTTGATGCGTGCTGAACTTGTACCCATCTCACCGGCGCTGTGGCAGTTGCAATGGGCCTTACGCATACCACCTCACGGACCACAGATAGTCCCAGCTGGACAACCGGCCGTGTTGCTAGCGAAACACAAAATATTATTCTTTGTAAGTACATCTATTAATATTAAAAAAAACGATACGTAAGCATACTGTCTATAGTTTACACGAGTAGTACACATTTAAATAAAACATTTTAAAGGTTTAAAAGGCGATATATTAGTTAAACTTATTTGAAAATTATTTTAAACTTCGGACCGACGTTTCGAATCCTTTGTAGCATCCGTGGTCACGAGGAGACCCGTCTCCTCGTTAAAGTGTTTTATTTAAAAGATACGTAAGCAATTTATCATGTTTTTATAGTATACAAGTCTCAAGGACTTTCACGCTTATGGCAATACATAAATACAATTTAGCCCAAAGATTTTAGACAGACAAAGTGGTGGTATTTTTATTTATTGATTAAAGAATCTACTCAAAATGTTCTCTACCATTTTTTGATCGTAAGTCAATAAGTAGGTTAGTTAGATTACTTCTTGATCGTGCTTGTATCTCAAGTTTTATAGTTTTTCAGCTAAATATACAAATAGTCCTATTTGAAAAAAAATGCATTTTCTCTTGATACAGATATGCTTGACCCGTGGCGACACTCAGCTGGTTCTGCCTTTGGTGTACGACGTTCAATCCAACGCGATGCAAATCGCCGAGCGGCGTGACACGCAGCAGCCCCACCTGAGCGCTGTCAACCTGCATCTCAAACGGTATGTTTGTACATAAAAACATTTAACAATAGATTTATATTCGTAGTTTTAGGAGGTCCACGTTACAACAGTGAAAACTCTGTGGTTGATAACAAAAGCAGGTTACGTGTGCCTTAAGAGATTTATTTCACACAAAAAAGTACCACTTAGGTATTATGGATGTTCGGCTGTAATTGTTTCCAATAGCACTATTTCTAAATTATCACTAAAAAAAACTTTGTAAGGTTTTAAAAAAATGGTCGCAAAAAAATAATTTCTTTTACAGAAGAAGAATAGTAAGTTGTTTTGTTATTTTAATCAAATTTTTAATCGCATGCACAGGTTTGCTGAGTTCCACCAACCTCACGGTGAGTGTATCTTATGGCCGGTGGTGCGTGACCTGATCATCAACTTCTCACTGCCGCAGGATGCCCCACCGCCCCCCGCTCCGCCGCCCTCCTAGCCCCTCGCATCGTGGCACCATGCGCACGCGCATTCTCTCTAGACTCAGATCGTGAGTCAAATTTTTCCGTGTCGGTGTTGTTTTCTGCGTCTTCTACTTGAAATTCATACACCAATACTTGGACTGTACTTGTGCTAAAGCATTGAAAAGGTGCTTGGTGTTACGACCTCCGTTCAATATGTGAAGTGTTTAAATATATTGTACACCAAACTATTGTTAGTTTATAGACAGGTTCCTCTTTCTGTTCTCGCACCTAATAATTTTTGTATTAAGTAAAACACGGTTCTTTGTAAAAATATAACACTTTGTACAGTGACTAAAATGTAAAAATATTGGAGGTACGTTATACAAACGGAAATATGTATAAATATTCTCATTAAGGTAAAACTGTAGTTATTTAATCGTTGTAATAAATATCTTATTTCTATTGTATTGTTTTTTTTTTATATGATATTTAGAATATGTAGAATTAAAAGTTTCTACCAAAAAGTATCAACACTGAATAGTAAACAACCTTTGACACGAGTCCTCATATTTGTTTAAAAATATATGACACATGTACAACAATATTTCCTAACGTTTAGATTCAAAAATAAATAGTTTTTAAATTATAAGTTGAACGACTATGGCAAGTAGAAATCCAAATTCTTTGGAGACGATACTTACTTACGACAACAGAGATGCTGTAAGGTTTATCTATTTAAACTATTAAATAAATATCTTTTGATCAGTGAAGTTTTTCCATGCATTTGTGTACCCATCGATTTACTAAACAAGTTTCTCCAAAATTCACATGTAAAATAATGCAAAATCAATTTGTCGATTACGTTTCTTTGGCATAGCTAAGCCAGTGGTCTACGGTGGTTTCAACCACTCATATTCCTGGAATGGATAACGCAGCGGGTGGAGGGCCACGAGGACCAGCCGGAAGACATCGTTTAAGATACGGCTCGCTGGCTCTAGGGGCTTTTCTGACTATGCACTGCAGAGTCACAGCGTCAGCTCTTACTGGTGGATTTTGTATGTTCTTTGCTACATTAGCTGTAATTTGTTAAATCATAGCTATGTGAAACTACGAAATCTAACTAAACTAAATGCGTATAAGCTATACTATATATATTTAGTATACTAAACATATTTTAAATAAGTCTTATGTCTGTTTATAACAAATCACAGCATTGATATTTTCGGTTTATTCAAGGCTTCAATAAACTCAAATAGCTGAGCAATTAAGAAGTTGACATCTCCTGATAATGCCGTCCACACGTGATGGCGAAACGTCGAACCTCTCGCAGACGTCCGCCGGACAGCCCGAAAAACAATGATATGCTGAACGATGGCCGTGAAAGCCTTACACAATTTATAAATTTTTAGAAAAATTTTCATTTATAAAATAAATTAAAATAGTGTACCACTACAAATATTTGTATAAACAAAATGTTTAAATTGGTCAAAATTAAAGACGGTTAAAAGGAATTGAAAAACTCTTATCGTATCAAAATTTCGATACTACCATGTAAATTAGTTGTTCAATTAATATTTGGTGAACTTATTATAGACACAGCAGCACTTCACAAGTTATAGCATTTTTACAAGTATGTAAAGTTATTCTTTTCTATTTTGGACTAACGTTTTTTGTTCCTCAGTTCTCTTCATTCTCTTCTTGGTGACGGCCACAGCTGGGTTGGCGAATCCTTTACGTCATTTTGAGGTATACCTCGGTCAGTGGAGTATCAGCGGACCAGGCCGTGCGTTTCGCATTCTGCCAATACTCGACGGTAAATATAATTAATGTTAGGGTGGCTATTATAATTAAATTGTTGGCTCGAAGTTAAAACTTTAACTCATGTTTGAAACAGTTAAAAGTGATCTATTTCAAATAATCACGTGTAAACTACTAACAATTTTGGATTTATTGTTCGATTGTCTAACGAATTAGTACATTGCCTCCACATTGAGATATAATATATTTTTATAGTGATAGTCAGCATCTATACTAATTTTTATTTATTTATTTATTTTATTATTTATTTACAAAATCTCGTTAACTAGAACATCATTTAAATTGCTACTTCCCATTCATACCCGATCTGTCGTTAAAATCCTATCCGCGTTGCCTCACTCAAGTATGCGCCGAGGAACCACCTCGACTTCGCTACATTTGCACTTTAGATCCCTCCGCGTTATGTACCTTTCCTCCAAAATTTTGACCCCGACCGGTCCTTCTCCTGACTATTATATCCCACCGCCCAAAACAAAAGTGTGGGATACAGGCGGGTAAAGGCGCCTCGCCAAGAGATTTTCTGTACTCTTTCCAACTGAGATTGTACTTCGTCTGATGGCCCAGTGGCAGCCAATCTTCTACTGGGCTCCGCCTTGACGGATCCCCACCCCGAAACAAACCTAGATTTCTTAGGCTTTCATACAAATTTTGCAATATGACTTGAATTAATCATTTTTGAAGTGTCCCCATCTTTCACTTCATAATCGGATTAGAGGTATCCCTCCACTGTAATCTACTGTCGGCCTTGAGTCAGAAAGTGTCGTTTGCATTTTGATGCGTTAAATTGTAAAAAATACACACCCCCCCCGACTATCTTTCTTTCTTCACATCTTTTTAGTTTTAATAGACATATATAGTTTCATTCGTCAGCAAAACAAGCGTGTGACCCAGACGTGACACGCCCTAAATTTTCCTGCCCCCGAAGTGTTGCTTAGAACTTGCCCCTTACTCCATTTGCTGCCTTTCGGACAAATACTTACAAAAAACTCAGAATCGGTGTTAATCCCACCCTCCAATTTTGTTAATAGACTCTGGTCCACCAATCAAAACTTTCGTAAAATTGCACTTCTACTTGGCCCCTATTGTCAAGTTCTGGTACTTCTGCCACCTAGGAGATTGCTCGTGGTCCACCTGGTCGAACCGTTTGTGCCCATAGGTATGTAACCTGTGCCAAAAATTCGCTGACTCTTCTCTTTGGCTGGCGCTGAGCTTAGGTCATACCCTTCGAGTCCCTCCTGGGATGGGATCACTCACAATTTTCCTCGGAAACGTTGCATATTTTAAATTTTAAATGCCGGCCGCCAGTACTTCCCGACAGTCTCTAATTTAAAGGGGGTACCATATCTGGCCCAATAATTTTTTAGATTTAAGTCGCCGCACGCATATCGTACCTCACTTAACTTCAGCTGAGGTATCTCTTCTGCGCTTCATTTCCAACACCACCCTTAATTGCTCTTGAAGACTGAGTTAGGTTTTAGGGCTATACACGGATTCAAAAAAGGACCAAATTCATTTACGCTTGCTCCTGTTAATTCTTCTCCGTTTTTTCGGAACCTATAGACTTGCGATCTTTCCTGCTACTATTCACGACTCCAGATGTTAGGACATCGATCAAATTAGCCTGTAGACGTCGCGGTAAGAATCAGTGCTAAGCTAATTCTTTTTTTACTTCCGCCCTACAATCACTAAACTCTTTGTATGCTTTTACAGACTTGCTCTTTTTGTACTGCTTATGCAGTAATCCTTCCGTTTTATTTATGAACGCGTTAAACCACTGGACGATTCAAGCGGACCCTCTCGGTTTCGGGTACACTTCATCAAATTTGAATATTTACGTTATAAAAATGTCTAACACATATTAAGATCAGAACCGTAAACAAAAACCAGTCTCTTCAAATATTTTTGAGTACAAAGCATTAAAATCTGCCTTATTAAAGTTCCAACCCGAAAAACACATGCGTAGGTTTCCACATCAGAACTCCTGACAGAGCACGGCGCACGACACACGGGGGTGATCCTCTTCATACCACGGCTTGGCCCGCGCACCTCTTTCGCGCTCTCGCTTATACCAATCCAACTTGCGATTATTTACATTACACACGTTATTGCTGGGTGTCCACAATAGCAAGAAATAATTGTTTAATATCTTTTTAAGGGACATATACAAATTAAAATCTCCTATACTAAAGTGTACCTATGTTTACACATTTCCTCATTACTTAAAAATACATATATTCATTTGTATCACTATTCGGTGGTCCTTGTCAAACTTTTTTCAAATAAACTACACAAAAGTTCAAATCGCATTCATGTCCAATTCGTCGTCGGTACTCGTTGCAGTTTCAAGTGCGGCGTGGCCACGAGACAGCGCCTCCCAGCTTACGCCCGTCGGAGCGATCGCAGCGTCACTGTTAACCCGTAGGGATAAGTTCCGCGTCTGCGATGGACTCCGTCTCCCGTTTCTGTTATCGCGAATAATCGGCCTCTGAACCCACACTTATATAGAAGTCTTGCAATTTTGTCCTCAGCCCTCTAACATTTTGATAAAAAACTTCAATCGGCTTACTCTTGACTTGATGTAAGGGGCGTCGTTGTGTCACGAAAGGGCGGATTGAGTCGCGTTTGAGACGTTCCAACAGGTTTCGTAGTACGTGCCTTCCAGATTTTTATTTTAGCGTTTATTGGCCACACTTCGGCGGACAACAATTCAAAGCAAATTGCCGGCCTTCAATCTTATAGGATTTGTAGTTACCGCGTGCTTTTAGTTCTTCGACCACACATACACTTCCTGGACATAGTTGTTGAAGGTAGCCCCCTAACTTCTTCCACCTGGACTCCATATTCCAAAGGTGAAGAAACCGACGGGGCTGAACAGCTTTCAGCGTGGTGACACTGGGACCAGGGCCGCACACAGTAGTAGGATGTTTCTTCCTTTGCACAGGTTGCAGTTCATCCGGCTTATAATTCGGCGAAACCGAGTTTTTACTACTTTTTTCCTTCTCCTTTTCTAGTGAGTGTAAAGAGAGAATAGGTGTAGTTTTCTTGTTATTTTTATTTTTATTCGCATTTTTTAATTTCGATTTTTTAGAGAGCAGTTGCACATTTTCTTTTGTAATAATTTTAGGATGTACAGGACAGTTATCCGGTTTTACTTTTTCAAAAATTGAAAATATAAAAGCATATATAAATATATAAAGCTGAAGAGTTTGTTTGTTTGAACTAGCTTATCTCAGGAACTACGAGTTCGAATTGATTTTTTGCGTTGGTTGGAGCATTTATCGAGGAAGGCTATATAATATATTGTCCTGTGACTAATACAAGCGAAGATACAACGTGAAATGGGAAAATTATAAATTAGAATTAATATTCAAACCAATAATGGGGTTTCCGAGGCGTACGCTGCAAAAACGGTTCAAGCTACCCAAAAAATATGTATGAAAGAAAGATTCCTCTTTAAATAATCTAAAAAATATACATATATATTCTGTATATAATAATAGGTAGCTTTGAACCTCATAAGTTTAAAAACTGCGTCAGACTCTCAGCTTTCATCTGAGCTCGGTATTAGTAAAAGTAGCGTATTATTTAGTCTTTTTTTTATGATTATGAAACGCTTGACACTACTCCCTAAGATAGAACACCCCTTGGAGCATCCGAAACACCCCCCACGTATGTTCTGCGGTTATTTATAGTTTTCTTAAACGCTAATTTAAAAAAGGCGATAAGACTTTTTCTAGATTTTTTTTTCACCGCTCAACAAGCATGAGTTGTACATTAATAATTAAAACATTTGTCTTCGTAACCTTAACGAAAGTTAAAAATATGATGGTTCGAAGTGAAAAAGTTACGAGCCGTGAATTGCGTCTTAAAATTTTAAATATTATAATTTATTTTTCAGGCATAGGTATAGCAATATGTATTAATACTCTGGTGAGGGCTATCAACTGCTGTACTATAGCAGCAATATCAGCCATTTACGTTGTTTATTCAGTATCCGATTCGCAGTTACCATTTACATATTGCAGGTGAGTTATGTGTGTAATCTCTTGTGGCAGTGTTAATCGCTTCGTTACGTCACGCGTTACGGCGCTAGGCATTTTATGATAGAGGAAGACAGACAAGCATGACGTTCCCTTGATGGTAGGTGAAATACCCCAGCCATTAAGTTGTTTAACCTATTTAAATAAAACACTTTTAACGGTTTGAAACGTAAACTTAACTACCTCACGCGCTATCTCTGACATTAGAGACAGTTTCTCTAGTTTTACGTTATTGAAAACCAATCAAAACATTTAGTTGTAATTAAAAATAAGCTGTCTAATATATCATGCGTTTCAAACCGTTAAGTTATTTAAATCGATACTATTACTATATAAAATTAAAACCCCAATACAAGAATCTCTCTGTCTCGACCGCCTCTGTAGCCAAATGGTTAAGCGTATTGCCTAGCATTGCGTTACGTGCGAGAGGTTCTGGGTTCGAATCCCAGGGAAACAAAAAATGTTTCGGTCGGGCAGGGCACAGAAGTCCGATCAACTACTTGCCTGTTAAAGATCGAATCAGTGAAACGGACACAGAAATGTGTTCGCCCCATGCCCCGCAAGGGGGAAACAGGATTTCACACACAATATAAGAATAAATATTTGTTTTTAATTTCATCACGTTTGTAGATAAGAATTCAATTGTTTTTTAACTTACAGGGATTTCGAGTTAAAGCCTTACGACCCTATTCTCAAGGATATTTCGAGTTTTACTCTAAGGGAGGTTAATATATTTCCTATATATATTCATTAAGGTTATGTTAACTTGGGTTGGGTATTAATATTTTCTTTTTCATTACAGTCGAGATTTTTACTAGCTACTGGAGACCTAAACGACGATTACTACGAGAAAAGTAATGAGGAACACACGAGTGCTTCGGACTATGATTGGAGAAACTTGTCCCTTTTTAGGTGCATATAACGTAGTACATATGTATTAACGGTAGAAATGGTGTTCGTTTTATTGATCGATATTTTCTGCAGCCAAGTCGTAAATCGGGTCCAGGTGGGTCCAGGGTTCGGGTATGTTTGTGCCCTACCCGAACCCTGGACTCACTCACTTTTCTTAACCATTTAGATACTGAGGAGGTCAACGATATCAGTTTATGACAGAAGCTGTTAATTTTATTTAAATTAATGATTTCTGCGGATGCTCACAAACAAAATATTATTAAAAGACAATATTAGTGGTATCTGATTTAAAGAAACAAACCAATTCATATTGTAATATTAAAACTGTGTGTATAATGAAAATATATTTAAATTGAAAAAAAAATGACACGGGTGGGACATGCCTACTACTAAACGGACACGTCTACTACTAAACGGTGTTACTGCTCTAACAATTGAACTACTGTGTTGTGGTTTAATTTAAACGGCACCCTGTAAATAACTCATTGCTTCATTACAGGTACAGATATCCAAAGGATATTGTTCGAAAGGAAACGTACCAGATACAAATGTGCAAGGAGGAATATCCCTCTGGATATCCAACGTTATTTAGTACTCCAGCATATAATTTCTTTTAGTAAGTATTATCTGCTTGACCGCCTGAGTGACCGCCGCTGTAGCCAAATGGTTGAACGTATTGCCTAGCATTGCGTTGAGCGCGAGAGGTCCGGGTTTCGAATCCCAGGGAAGCAAATAAAATATGTTTCGGTCGGACAGGTAACAGACGTCCGATCCACTACTTGTTCGTTAAAAGAACGGATCAATGAAACGGACACAGAAATGTGTCCGACATGCCCCACGAGGGGGAAACAAGCTTTCACTTCTATCTTAACATTAATTTAATTAATTAATCTGTTAAATATCTTTGACGTGAAAGCTATTTCGCGGCGCTGTGCACATTTGTAATGGTTAAAAATCATTTTCAAATTAAACCTTACCTAATATTATACATTTCCTAAATTTAAACCGCTTCCGATAACATACACAAGTATTATTTCGATATATAAATATAACGATGGTACTTAACCGGGAATCGAACTTATTTACAGAGGTCACACGTGTCCGATGCCAACGTGCTTCGTCGTAGTTTGCATTATCAGTTATAATATTAACATGTTCTAGTGTGGAGGTCGTGTCGTTTCGTTCAGAGTATAGTTTTGGACAGTTCAACTTACCTCTAGTTCTAAGTATTGTTGTAGTTTGGACCTTGTTATGGCTGCTATTGGTATGTGAACGCATTTCTCACGGAAGGGTAAGAAGATACATTATTCTATTATCTATACTTCTATTCTTATATATAAAGCTGAAGAGTTTGTTTGTTTGTTTGTTTGAACGCGCTAATCTCGGGAACTACCGGTTCGAATTGAAAAATTATTTTTGTTTTGGTTAGAGTACTTGTCTAGGAAGGCTAGGTTATAATATTGTGTAGGTAATACTGCGATAAATAGGAGCGAAGAACAAATAAAGACGGGACGCAACCGACGTCACGGGTAATAGCTTAAATTTATAAACGTGAAGAGGAGGTTTGCAAAAACTAATTTTTATGCCCAAAATAACTGTTCCAGACGGACGAAGTCGCTAAAACAGTTAGTGATTGATAATCTTTAGTCTATGTTATATTTGACAGCTCATATGGAACAATATGTATACTTGGCTTCTAGCTGTTCCCTGGATATGGTCGTTGTTACTACTTGTAACTGCTTTTGTGCATCTTGCTTCTATGCCTAAATCGTTGCGTATCTATCGTATTGGCGTGAAGGAAATAATCGCAGTGAGTACACGAAGGTTTTACGAGTAAGTTACAAACCGTAAAAGTCTATAATGGCAACTTTGTTAACAATTGTCACAAAATGTAGTTTTGTTTTAAATGCTTTGCGGCAGAGAAGGATAGGCAAGCATGTGTAGGTAGTGTACCCCAGCAATAGAACATGTAAACAAATGCGACGTCGACCTATTTAGGCTATGGATATTCGGAAATCAATATGTTTCAAAAAATTTATATAAAATGACTAGTAGTATATATATACTGTCAGCTTTGGAGTCGAATAAACGTGTTCCCTGGGCTCCCACGAAAGCACCGCAGCGGGCTGGTCGTGTGTTTAGTGGTTCTGGTCGGCTATTGTCTCCAAGTAGGATGTAGTAAGATTTACCACACTCCCCATGTCACTATTGCCCGACGTGGGCGTGTATTGGGCATCCAATGATTAAAAAAGTAGTATATACATAGATTTAGTTTATTTGCAAGATTAGCAGGTGACAAGAGAATCGTTGTTAAAAATAAAATGCCTTTTAAACTAGGGCATTGCAGATGCATTGGAAATCGCTCTGTACATACATTCTGCGAGCGCCGGAACCGAACTAATTCACGGAAAAGGACTCAATCATTACGGTACATGTCGTATTTATCCATTCGTAATAAATAAGAAATACCTAGACGAGCTAATAAACATTTAGTTAAAGATGTGAAGATGAGTTAGTGGACCCTCTAAGCACCAGGCCCTGGTGCACTGCATCATCTGGCCCTACTAGACTCGTGAACAACTAAGAGATAGAGACTGGAACTCTTTAGCAGTTCTATAGGAATAGAATCCACTAACCTCATCTTTGAAAAGAGATGAGCGTAAAAGAAAAGAAGTGTTTTTTTAACGTTTTGAAATGAACAGTTCCTGTTCCTATAATTTTGGAGGCTTATAATAGTTCAAGGTATGCGGAAAGAGGGGTTATGGAATCGTGTTGTTCCGGGACCCTTGTTCACTAAGCTCCACTACTGACTACTCGAAAATTATATTCGATCTTCTAACATTCTTAAATACCTATACAATACGTGCTGACCTGGAAAATGTTCTTTTGCCATATTTCTTTAGAATCTAGAACCATCTTCATTAACGAGCAGCGCACGCAACTGAATCACTCAAAGATTTTCCCCATTTTCCACATTTCCTACTGCTTATTCGCTCCTATTGGTCGTCTGATGTTTTATAGCGATGTTAGACGGTCTAACCAACACAAAAAGTATTTCGCAATAGGAGCCAATGGTTCCTGAGTTTAGCGCGTTCAAACGAACTCTTCCGCTTTATAACATAACTCCTGATTTTTGCAGCATCAGGACACATTGACCCTCATTTGAACGGTGAGAATGTATGGCACAGTGGTTTACTTCTGCTCCTCACTGGGTTAAATTCAGGAGGCGCCGCTGTATGTGCTCTCGTCGACTACATACAGCCGAATACCAAAGCTGTATATAATATGTATGAGAGTTAGTAACTTCTTATCAATAAGCTACTAAATAAGAATAAGCTTTGTCAGCGACTTTGTCCGCGTAGAATGTTTATTTAGGGTTAAATAGTTTTGATGAGTTCATTCTTTATATATTTTTTTGGTTTTGAAATTCTTTACAAGGATACAAAGTTGAATAATTTTCCCCCTTTTTTTTCATATTTCCCGCGGTTTCTTCACTCCTAATGGTCATATCGCGATGCGTTATAGCATATAGCCTTCCTCGAAAAACGCTCTAACCAACACAAAATATTATTTTAATTCGAACGAGTAGTTCCCGAGATTACCGCGTTCAAACAAACAAACTCAGTCTTCAGCTTTATATATTAGGTTAGATTGCATTATTGATCGCGTCCGCAGCATTGGTTACAACTCTAGGATTTAAAATTGGACGGATTATGCTGCACACAAATGTATAAGTTTTATCACCTTCCAGGTACCTTGTGGATTATACCGATGTATTCAAAATGCGTTTTAATTAGTAACTACTCGCACTTTATGTAAGTTCACTTATCGATTTTTTGGTAAAGAGAACAGACAAGCATGCATGGCCTATTGTAGTGTTGAATAATCGAAGCCCGATTACTTGGCGTATATTTATTTGTGTCTGCAATTAACTTTCCCTGTAGCAATGGCGAACATTAGGATTTGAAGCCAAGTTACATTCATGGACTTAATAATTTCTACTGTATGTAATAATGTTTTAGCACTTATTTATTGGACAGTCGTCAATACGAGTATATATAGATTATATATAAGACAAGATCCAATTTTAATAAAACTGTTATTCTTCCAGGTCGGTTCTTATATTCAGCGGTCTCGTAATATCGTACATGGTCGTTGCGTATATGTGTTTGAAAACCGCTCTGCACACTATTTTTGAATACAAAGTGAAATTAGTGTGAGTATTAAATATGTGAAATCAACTTTCCCGAGGGACATGGGGGAAACAACTTTCTGGTTTCCGTTTTACTAAGTACTTGAACAGATATAAGTATCTATCTATTGTTTCCCCGGTATTCAAACACTAGACCTCTCGCGTTTGACGCAGTCTGTATGGCCATAATAAATAACCATTTAGCTTTGAAAAAACACACAAATAAGATAATTATGTACATTATAGGTTTGCAGAGCAGATAGTCGTAGCTGGAATTATCTTGTGTTGCATGGGATTTAGCTTGTTATATGCAACTACAGTAAGTTGTTTAATACTTTTTAATGTCAATATCAATTGGTCATGAGGAGACACAATCGTGTGTCCGTTTCAATAAATTACGTGTATCGTTTGTGTAATGGTAGCAACGGCTAATAATTATTCGATCCCCACCGGGTCTGGAAACCATAGACTTCGTCTGGAAATCTGGATATTAAATGAGTTATCGAAATTCCGACCGGGTCACGAATTACCGTCCACAGATGGAAAATACGGGAAATTTAATCACGTTTCTGTTTGTGAATTTTCGAATATCCAAAGCCAAAAGTCGACAGCACATCGTGTTTGGAAGTTATATGCCAGGGATATTTACTTACCATTAATTAGAACCCAATGCTTATCTCATTCTCTATCTCCCTCTATCATTAAAAATTTAATTATTTTTTTTACTGTTGATCAGACTCCTAACTTTTGTAATTTTGCAAATTGCTTAGCAACTTTTTCTGTAAACACGTCTCCGTTTTCTTCTAGGGAGGAATTGCATTGTTAGAAAGTGTGGATTCGATCATGACGGGAATATCAATGCCGTTTATTAGCCTTTTTGGAGTTGATCGCGATGCTGTACGTGTACCGTAGTCACGATTTTGTGTCGGATATGAATATTGCAACGGAGGAGAACGTTTGCTCGAATAGAATAGATGCACAATGGAATGTCATACCATTTCTTACGTTTGTGAGTATGAGTATTAACACTGTCTGTAATTTAATAACTTAAATTTTATCTACCGTCCGGTTTCGGATCCCTTACAGTAACCGTGGTCACGGGAAGACTAAAGACGGAGGGTGTCTTCGATGTCAAAATAAAAGCTGCTACGCTAGCACCATATAATAATTTGTAAATAAGTTATACATTTCGAGTTTTACACCGTTAAGTGTTTTATTTAATCAGAATTTTTTTCTAATTTGCTACCAACATACTTTTGGCCAATGTGGTGAAGCCCGAATTCCAGCAGTAGTTATTGCTAAGCTGTTCCAACAGTCATACATATTTTAAAATACATAGAATGTTTTTAGGCTGTTGTTATAATGAAAGCCACTGCACTTAGCTCGGCGGAAATGCCCAAACTGTTCATGTACCTTGCGCTGGCGCCGTTAGTAGGCATACTTTTGTGTGTACCTATCCGTGCTTGTGTCAATGCCGTCAAATTTTTCCGATCGCGAAGACGTTCTCGACTTTAAAGTGACAGGAAATAAAATGTTGTGGTCGTTGAAAAAAGGTTGAATAAAGCAATGTTTACAAATAAACCTTTATTTTTTCAATCATTAAACATAATTACCTATAAGATCTTTGTACATTGATGCAATAATATTTTGCGACATTGTTGTATGAGTTGCCTTTGAGCTTTCACGGACTTTGTAAATTACATTCGAGTACAATTATTCGCATATTATATTATTGAATACGCTATATACAATTATTGGCCGACATATGTATTCCACCTACACGATAAGCGTAACGAAGTGCGCTAACTAAAATTGGTTTAGGGGCCATCCGGTAATTACGTCACACGATTCGTGACGTCATTGTTGTTCAAAATGGCGGATCTTTGTTAATTCGTGTGACGTAAGTTACTATGGCCCTAAACAAGGCCTCATTAGGAACGCTAAATTGTAAAAGTAGGTTACATACATTGCTACTCTAACCTACAATGCCTATTTCTCGATTAAATTAAAATATCACAATATTATATACAAGTAACTCCCATTAGAGGACGATTCGTTATATAGGAGGGGGCCATCCATAGATCGTCACACGCCATGGTGGGTGAAAGAAATTAACAATGTACCAGGAGTAAAAGAATCACTAATTTTATGACGTCACATTTAATAAATATATCCTAAAGATACTGTAATAAGTATGTGTATAATTTTAAAATGTGACGTCACTGTAAAGGGGTGAGTCTCACAAAAATGATCGGCTGTGACAAAGAAGTAAAAAAATAATAATCGTGTGGCGTCATTTATGGATGGTCCCTATCGAGTAGAGTAAAATTTGTTTTTACATCGGTAGTTAGATATGTTTTAAATGATCGCTCACAACGATGCCCAAGTTTGACTTATAACTTCCCCGACTTAGTATTAACCGCAGATATTTAAAAAAAAAATCATAGGGTATAACATGGTAGCTAAGTAGGTATTGCAAGGGTGTTATTACAATTTTTACAATCAAAAAAGAAATATCTTTTAAAGTAAGAATAAATAAAATCAATATACCCTCCTTTGATACAAAAATATTAAAGTGTAGTACAAAATTAATCAATGCTACATTACTTTTACTTTGGGAGGTAAAAATAATGTCACATTGTTAATGATGATATTAAAATATATTGAATATGTAAGATCAATTATACAATTTTGTTCAGACAAATCTGAATTTAAAAAATAGACAAATCACTGGAAATATATTACAATAAAATATGCAATCTCATTACAAATCCTTAACGCTTAACATATGTAATTAATACTTTTAAAAAGATTCACTGAACCTGAAGTAATAAATTCATAACCTGCTCTATTCGAAGGCACACCTTTACCCAAAAAACCGGCCTCGCCGTTTTCACCCACAACAATAATTATTATCTAACCACAAATCGCTGAATTCGCTAATAGCTGCGCTTATTTTGGTGTTAGATTATTTACAAGGCGAATTCAGACGCAGATAACAGTAATCGTATGCTTTGAGACTATATCAGTATCGGAATTGAACAATTGTAAAATAGTCTATAACTTAGTAGGAATTAATTCATTAGGTAAATCTTAATATATATTCGATTCCATGTAGACTACAAATTTGGTGAGTGAAATTACTATTACTTCATGTTAAGACCGAGTATTCACTGCCGTAGTTGCACTGACCACTTGAATGCAGTAGAAAAAGTATGTATATACATATAGCAGTATAAAATGTTACGATGATATGATTCCTGCGCATACGCATTGTCTAGTCATGTGATTGGCCACGTGTGCGCGTATGCGTACGTCAGAAGCGACGCAAGGCGGCTGCGGCGCCCGCTGTCGCTTTTCGAGTGGGCTGTACTGACAGCGGCGCTACGAGAACCTCGCTACCTTCTCCCCCTGCGCCGCTACCCCCCATCTCCTGTAAACACGTTTCGTTATGAGTAAAATACGATTTATACATCCCCGACAAAAAAGAAGTATCGGTGATATTTTTGGGTTAAAGAGGTAGGAATCGAGAGTTCACTTTGCACTCTGCTAAAATTAGTTTAAAATCTAACGCAGAATGACTAACGAGTAAGTTCTAAAATAAAAACCGTTATAGTCGTATATAGCCTTTTAGGAACGGCTTTTTTATAATAGAAGTGGACTGACGAGCAAAGGGCATTCACTTGATGGTAGGAAAATGAATGCTATGAAATACCCCAGCCATATAACAATAAAGAGATGATAACAAGACATGCTGTCGAACTATTTTATTCGAAAATCTACAGATTGAAACAGACGCGTATAAAATTCATGGCTTTTTCATCTATAGGCGGTGTTTCGTGGTCCGGACGGAAGTTCGATATTTTTACAACCTATCTAAAACCAAATAGCCCGTCAAAAACGACTTAACCGTCTTCCACCAGTGCACAGGCTAGCGTCATCCTAAGACGCCATTTATTAGTATTTGCTAGAATAGAATAGGTAAAACAATTCGCGTTTTAAACAGTTACAAACATGTACTACTTTCGTAAACTACAGACTACTTAATTAATTATAATACTCACGTTAATATTATTGCAACTGGCCAGCCTCATTTGCGCTAGTTGCTGTGAAGCGGGCGTCAGGCTCGAGGTCGAGCCGAAGGGAGATATTATTGAAGACATCGCGCGCTTTAGCTTCGACGGCGTCTTGTTGAACGATAACGCTCGCTCCACCTGCAATTACAAAGGATGTTTGTACGTTAATGATTATTAAGAACATATTAACTAACGTTACCCCAAACCTTATTAAGTATTCTCTTGCATAATACGCGTTTCTTTTAATATTTATGGTACTATGTGTACGTATAATATTCATACGCGAATACCACTAAAGCGTAATATAATAGCATATAGTTTAATTATTACGAACGTAAGTCAAAATCGGATTATAAGGTTAAAAACCATTTTTGTACTTAAACAATTTAAAGTACTAATTTCTTTTTTTGATTAAAATCGATATTTAAATACGAAAATTGTTAGTACGAGGCGGATAGATGGTTCGAAAACTTAAAACAATCCCCCTGTTGTTCATAATTTAGAAATCGATAAATATAAAACACTTTTAACGGTTTAAAACTCATAATAAACACCTTAAAAGTTTACTACTTGGGTAAACTACAGACAATACAAATTAATTACATTGGACAAAATATAGGTTACCTAATATTAATATTTCCTTGAAGTTTTTCTCGGAATCTAATAATAATAATATATTATTTATATAACGTCCAATCATTATATGTAACCGACTATATGCCATTATAATCCTATTTGAATTACGTATCACGGTAATATCAAATCTTGTCTGAGACCGAATTACATATTCAACCACCCTGCGCTAAAAATATTAAATTAGATCTTGCATAGCCAAAGTACATGATTTTCAATGAGGGAAATAAGAGACGAATGTGTGCGGAATCGTTAGTCACTAAAACGTTATGAATGATCTTAGCTCACATACTTAGGGTATAGCACGCTCACAAAACATGTTATGTAAACAGTTGGAAGAGAACGGCTTCACAAACAAAATAATCTCGACGATTTGTATTGATTTGCGATGATACTTTGCATAGAAGGGAATAGTAGCAAAGCCAGTTCCAAAGCGTGCCACCAAATTGTCAACCAATAATGTGTGTCCCAAAATGTCGAAATTTTAACGGTCTTATTAAAAAATCGTGAATACCTACATTTGTATAATCGAATTAAATAACTTAAACATCTTCTAACGAAAAGTTTCAACTTCTATTTATATACAAAAAGAAAGTTTTTTTTTTCTAACCAGAAGAAAGTGACGGTAGTCAAACTTGATCTACAATAAGTAATATCTTATTTTCCAATGATAGCAAAATCAAGATCAAAATAAAAATAATTGAAAAGTAATAAAAAATGTTTTAAGATTTATATAAGCGCTCTCGGGCATATACGTTGAAGTTATAACATTTTGATAAACTACCCTCAACAGAAAAAAAATAATAAGACCATCAAAATTGGAGGATAACAGTATAGTGATGTAAGAGAAGGGCAAAGCGACGTGTCGAATGCGATTAGTGTTGAGGTGGCGCGAGGCGTCAGACCTGTGGTAGTAAGTGAGCGCGCAATACCCAAGTGTCAAGGAGTGCTGCAGAGGGTGCCGCGCGCAGCCACCCGCCCAGCCCAGCCAACGCCTCCAGCTACAACACAACGGCCTCTTATACTGCGTCTAATATAGGGAAAAGTTTGACGGTTCACGCCTAACGATTGTAGTATTTTCTCAAACTGTCAAGTACAAAATTATCTTTACTTCACTGACGCCGCCTAAAAGGTCAACCTATCTATGCTTTGGGTTTATGAAATCGATACAGACGAGCATTGCCGAAACGGAACTATCAACCTTCTTGGCTTTTTCATGACCGTAGACCGTGATTGACGAGGACGGAATTTTGGACATTTACCACCCATTTAATATTCAGATTTCCTGACGAATCCAAAGTACAACATGTTTCCGAAAAAATATATAATTGCTAAAAATTGAACATGGCCCGTTGAGATTAAGCCACACATTGCTACCGATCTCCTTGTCAAACTTATCAGCCTATATTAGACAAGGTATACCACCTGCACTTCACTCGATGTATCTCTCACATATAACTATTCCATACTTATGTACTCACCTACACGCTACGTTCCCAATGTGTAATCTATTTCTGATTTTTAATATACATAATTCATGCTTTAGTAATAACAGTATGAAACATGGACAAATATAAGTATGTTCAAAAATTATTATATTAAACATTTTATTTAAATATCAGACTTTTAGTTAAATAATAATACGAAATTGAATTATGCTTATATACACCTTAATGCGTTATTTCAATATAGTTAATTCGACGAAGTGATTTAATATAGATTAGTCTCTCACTGAGAAGGAAATAACACCAAAACTAAAGCTAATCCAGTTTTTCCCATATTAACTCGCTTCGGTGAATCAACAAAAACGTCGCTTAATCTATACTAATATTAGAGCTTATAAGTAACCATTATATTTTTTGGGAACCAGTTTTCCTGAAATTAGCATTTTAAGAATTATTATGCTTACAGACCTAAGAAAGTAGTCAATAGAATTGAATTCAGTAATGGAAGCCAGTACAATAGCATTACAAAGCTAGTGTACATTTGCTTTAAAGTATTTTTTTTGCAAAATTCTTATAATAAATTATGTTAGAAATGTGATAATAATAATAAAGGTACCTTTATTCTAGTGCGCGCTGCAAACTTGGATACCTTGGAGAGAGTGCTGAGCGCTAGATCACTGGTGTCTATGTCCAACTGGTGGGACTCAAGGCACGCCAAAAACTTGTCCTAGGATTGTTAATTGATAGATAGCGTATAACTTATAATGCAATATGTTTTTAGCACTATTAAAATTAAAGATGGAATAAGTAATAAAAGTTGGAAAGGAAACCGGGAGGTTTGAAGGGGCACTGTAAGCGATGGATGCCCCAAAGTCCTCCGCAGAGGGAAATGGGGGAAATGGGTGAAATGTTAAGCAGAATAATAAAAATAATAATGTATATCTTCAATATGGTTTCATTTGACAATTTTGAGTAGATAAGAATCCCACCTCACCAAGTTTCTAGTATAGATGCTTGTCTTGAACATTACTTAGTTATATTTTTATTCTAGAGCTAATACTTATTGAGTCTGTCTGTCTCAAAAGTCTGTATATACCTATATATAATGAGTAATAATAATTGTACCAGGAAAAAATCATGTTCATTGGAGGGAATTTCAATATTACTTTAATACTTTTAACCTAAATTTTCATAAATTGTCTATATTGCTACGAAGTGATGGTTGACAGACAAACAGACAACGGAGTCTTAAGCCCCCTCTACAGTTTCGCATACAGAGCATAAATAATTTTGTTCAACTCACAGCATCAGCTTTGCAGACGGTGTTGGCCATCTGCCTGCACAATTGGCGGAGAAAGTGTCCCTTATCCACAGACTCGTCTGTTATCATGAATGAGTATAACTTCTCCTTTAATTCCTGATTGCTGCGGCACATCAGAGCAAAAACGTTGTGACAATCTGTAGCGAACAAAAATTAAGGTTACAAACTATAACATAGTTTTTTAACACCAGTGATCAAAATAATAAAATAAAAACTAGAAACTATAGAATTATTAATATTAGAACGCCCTGTCGTTGGCAGAATCCATTTAGATCGGCAAAGATTTTTTTTTTAACAGGAAGCATTATTGCTTCTAAGCACATTCAAGTTAAGGACTAAAATACATTTCAAATACTTTGAAGAAATACATATTAGGTCTTTGCTGCTAATATATTAAAAAAATTACCTTCCGCCTCCCTTATGTCGACGACCCGCTTGACAGTGCTGAGCGGCATGAGAGATATGTGTCTGTACGGCTTGCTTGAACCTATTCGCATCGTGCCCGTACCGTTCGTTGGACTTTTACTGTTGAAAGCCTGCAAGGAGTTAAAATAATAATATATCCAAGCTCTTGGCTAGCTGCGATATACTATTTTGATATACACAAACTGGGTTTATTATATCATATTAACAATGATTTAGATTCAATATATTCCAGTAAACATTTCTAATATATTTGTAACTAGCTGTGCCCGCGACTTCGTCCGCGTGGATACTTTGGGTAGAATTTTGAATTTTTTAGGCAATTCAAGGCAGCCAATCTGTGTGGTATGTGTACTTTGTTTCAGGCACGAATGATGTGAATCACTCCTACTCTAACTCCCACTCTCACTCTTCCTTCTACACTACTCCTACTCTCACTCACATTCCCAAAAACCCAAAGAGAAAGTTTCATTGTCCTAGCCTCAAAAATCATGAATTTCCATACTAACTTTCATTTCCCTTTTCAACTGCAAACCTATGTCCTTTCTCAGGCTCTAGAATACCTGTGTACCAAATTTCATTTGAATCGGTTCAGTAGTTTCGGCTTTAAAGCCGGACAGACCGACAGACACAGTTACTTTTGTATTTATAATATAGATATTGTTTGCAATATAGCAGTTAGATTTTTTTTTAATTCAACTTAGCTATTATACAAGTTGAATTAAAAAAAAACAACCTTGAAATAAAATACTTTAACGCTTTAAAACGTAAAATATATGAGTTAAAATTATTTTAACTACAACCCAACGACTGCTGCAAATCCGTCCGCGTTTTAAACTTTTGGAGTGTTTTATTTAAATGCGCACTTATCGCGTTAACTACAGACAATGCTAAAAATTGTAAGGTACTAAGCAAGTACTAATTACATAATAATAAAAGAACCAAACCTTTGATCTCTTCTTGCAAACTTCCATCGTATCCGTGAAAAGAAATAGTACAAGATGATCACCTCTCCCCGAAAGCTCTTTCGACAACTCCACGACCTCGCATCGAGCCACGAACGAACGGTGAGACGATACCAAATGAGCCTGAAACCAGATTTGGACATTTTATGCGTGTAGTACAAAATCAATCAAATACTTCTTCAGAAATATATCAATAAGAATTAGGAATTAATTATTTTCTATTTACGCTAACAAGCTTCTGGATAAACACTCATCAATGATATTAAGAGAATTCTTTAATAAATAAATTATACTGTGCATTTATTCATAAAATTTTGCACTAAAACAATACTCAAATTTCTTTTTAAAGTGGACGGTGTTAAATAGTTGTTGACTAGTAACATTATAGGTAGTCTATATTTAGTATTCTTACAAAATTTTAACACAAACATTTTGATAAAATAATCTATTGTTATAAACTGATAGTCGATAGTGAAAGAGATCTATCGATCAAGTGTAGCTGCAATTGATACGGTTAGCAAGAAAACCGCAAAGGTAGTGTATGACTTTGTGTGTGGTTTTCCAGCCACCTTCCAGTCACGTGACGTCACACCAACGCGTTGCTTAGCCCCACCTCTTGTTCGGATATTTCCAATACTATAATATAAAACTATTTACCGGGCACTGGTCGATATCGTTGTATATGTCGAACATCTGCAGCTGCCCCTCGGTCTTCCTCTTGTCCTCATTGATGTGCGACATCACCTCGCGTAGGCCGGCCAGCGCCGACACCAGGGCTACGTGGTCTGGGTTGCTCTTATGCGTGTGTTTTAATATATCTGGAAATAATATAAGATGAGGAAGTTTTATATAGTTGATCTTCATCTCAATGCTAGTCGACGGCTTATACTTAGTTAAGTCAAGAAATGTTACTATAATATTACAGATACCATTATTTTTTAGAATGAAAGTAAATTTAAATTACGAATTTGGTTTTAAATAATAAGTAACTTTAACATATATCTTAATATTCTAAGATCAATATATATTTTATAACTGAATCATAGTTCGGCCAAACTTACCATCTAATAATAAACTTATGCTGGGTAATCGTTGCACTGGTCTTATAAGGAGTTCCTGTAAACTTTGCCGGCCACACTCAGGTTTGGTTTGGCAAATTTTCAGGAATGCATGAAATCTAAAAGAATATATATTCTTAATAAATATTATACAAAAAAAGTGTTTGTCCAAAAACGAAATAAGTGCCCCTGCTGTTGCTTAACTGCTTATATGGCTGAGGTATTTCACTTTGCATCAAGTGAAAAGCCTAAAAAACTACAAAAAAGCGCAAAATTATTACCACAAGCCGGCACAGTACTTGGAAGCAGGGCAGTGCTTCTTCAGCCCACCTCTTACTTCAGATAGGCCACAATGATTAGAACATTTTTGTGATTATGCAAGTGCATTAAAAATTTAAGGATCTGTCAATACCTGGGATTCTCTCGGTCGCACTGTTGAAGCATCTCCTTGGTGTTTTCAAAGAAATTCACGAAAGGTGGATATGCCTTCACCATGTCTGGCGTATACCGGAGCACCAGTCGACCGATGCTGACCTCTTCGCTCCAGTGCGCCTGCGCCCACTTTAGCTCTTCCAGCATTCGTCTGTTTCAATACATTATATATAAGTCGTTGTTTAGAATGAAGAAAAAAAAAGAAAACACAAAAAAGACTCAGTTATATGTATGTATTAGCTGCTTAATGTTTTAACCTTATATTTTTAAAGATTCAATAAAGTTTGTAAGAAACTTAGTCACAATGTGTAGTTTGACATAAGTATTAATTTTATGTTTATTATTTCAACAATTGAACTTACTGATGTAATTCATAAATTGGCGGTAGATTTCCAAAAATAATTTTCAGTTCTGTATTGTTGAGTAGCGCTTGATTTTTGCCATTATTGTCATCTTCTTCTGCCATTTCCTCTAGTGGTTGTTTGAACATCTGTAAGATTAAATTAACCTCTTTAGCAGGTAGTCGAGAAAACTATTTGACAATATTGTTTACTTATTCCTATATTTAACAAGCCCTTTGATTTCATTCTAGTTTAAATTAAGTAACAATTATTCAAGTGTCAGTGATGATTCTTATCACCCTCCAAAACGTACTGGAGTAAAGTGCTAGGTCTAATTCTCTTTCGCCTGTAAGGGAGGAGCCGAATGCCCTAATTTTAAATATTTACAGAAACAATAAAAAAATAAAAACTTACTGTAACTATCGTATGAAGAATTCCCACATAATTTGACTCAGTCTGCAATAATTCCATAAACACTTGTTGACGTGGTGACATCAATTTTCTTACGACATTATCAGGAACTTCTGACTCTGTTGAATGGAGAAATACTTTCATATACCTCTTTTAAGAAAAATACACACTATACTATGCATCAAATATATATTATAACTTTAAACATATATAATAATTTCAAAACAGTAAAATTACCTTCCAGTAATTGTTTGCCGTCTGGTGAGGGAGTACAATCCAGCAAATTCCCTGATAAGCTAAGAAGTACCGCATCACCAACAGAAGATCGCCGTTTATGTAAAGCGGCATCTCCGCCCCGCAACTTGCGCTTGCGCATCCGCTGAAGGTGCGCTGGTGTACTGCCTGCTGCACCTACATTGCTTCGTTCGCCGACCGCGCCATTGCTCTCTTCCTGACACGTGCCTGCACCACCCACAGACGATCGCCGCGATACTTCATCTAGGTACTATTAGAAGGGACGAAATTTTAACTTTGAAATAGGATATTTTAAATTACGTGACATACATAAATAGAGTTTCCAACTTACATCTTTAAACAAGTAGTCTCTTTCGTCCTGCGCTTCCTCATTCTGGACGGATGCCCAAAACCATTCCGCCTTAACGATATGGACGCGTTGAGAGCAATCGGGCACTATTACTGTATTGTGCTCGTCTACGACCTGCAAATTACATTTCCGGTTGAAAATCAACGAATAGGTATAGAGTAAAAATATTTTTTTTATAATTATATGCGATCTTTGAAGCAACTACATAGATTAATCGACATGCATAAACCGTTCTTGATTTTTACCATTATAGAGCGTTTTTACGGCACAATTATCTGCTATATCCATCGAACAGTAAAGCTCAGTCTAATTTAGTAGGTTTGTATTGAATTAAATGAGTGTTAGTACCGGCAACAAGAATCCATGGCATTGCGATATGGCGCGAGCGTCGCGGATGGGAGGCGTCGATGCGGGCGACGTCACGGTGCGAACCCGCAGGGCGTCAGAGACGGACTGGGAGGGGGACGGTGGGGCGGGAATGCTCTCAGAGCACACCGGGATATGACTAGCGCTCTTCGCTCTTAACTCTCCGCTACCACAGATGGAATGCCTGTGGTTCCTCAACCAGACTCTATGCGGCGTCTTAAATATTGCCGATTCATCCAGCTCGTCTAAATTTCGTATTTCAACTGTCGGCGTTCTCATATCTGTGCTGTCGACAGTATCGACTTGGACCGGTGATATGTCTAAATGCATTTCATTCAATTCTCTCTTAGGTGTAGAAACATTTTTGAGATCGGTGGGTAAATGTGAAGCGTCGACTTCCACAGTGTTTCTTTCAGCTCGCTTTTCGTATTTCTTTTTCCTTTCGCTTCTAAAAGACGACGTGAATGATTTCACACTTCTTCGGAGTTTCGATTTTACGGTTTTTGAACTCTTAATGGACGCGAAGGACATGTCGAAAAAGCCCGACTGTTTACTGAGATTCATAGAACAAATGGACGTATTGTCATCTTCCCGAATAGGAGACGATGTGGATGCAATATATTCGCCAGCCGGATCCGTCGGTTTTACCTGATCTGGACTCACGGACTCTACAGTGATATCTCCAGGTACTTTGGTAACAGAATCTTTCTTTGTGCGTTTAAATATAGTTGGTCTATTCTTAAATTTGAAAGAATCTTTGATTTTCAGTCTTTTAATAGATTTCCAGGTAGATTCTTCCGTTTTATCTGGTGATAAATTAGTCGCATCAATCGGACTGACTTGGATGTTAGAGTCGGTGGAGTTACGACTTCTTTTTTTGCCAGAAGATATAGTCGTAGTTGATTGTTGCAAGTCTTTGCATTCCCCTGGAGTGGGTAATAAGAAGCCAGCTTCATTTTTATAATCTAAATCGCACAAGCTTTTCGTTAGAGACGAATTAAGAGATCCGGATTCCGTTATGCAGTCTACAATGTTGAATATATTCATAGACTTGTTTTTAAACACTTCCCTTTTGTCTTTGGCATGCGTTCTGTCGCTACCGTGCAAATATGAGGTGCGTTTATTTTCTTTATCGCTAGCTTTGTACTTTCGCGTTTCTATATTGTACTCGTTCCGATTGTTTCCTTCTACGCCTATGTGCAAATCATCAACAATCGACTTTTCGATTTTACTAATACTGTTATTGTCTTGACTTTTATTTGCGCAAATACTGCCTTTACTATTTCTAAATCGTTCTCTAGCGTCCAGCAGATGTTTCTCCCTCTCATCGTCTATTGCGTTTGTTTCGTTTTGTTTATTTGGACTAGACCGACAGCCGGAGAGCCGCGCTGACAATCGGCGGTATAGAGAGCTCTTTGGAGTGGTCTGAGGTCTCGTGGGAGTGGAGCGGATAGGTTTAACAGATGTATTAGGAGTATTCGAACGAGGTGATAGGACAAGCGAACGACCGAAAGTCTCCCCATTGGCCATTACCTGAAACATGTGTGAAACACACCACGCAAATGATGTAATGAAGCCATTCCAAACCTGTCATGCTGAGTAATTTAGAAGTAAAGGTGAAGCAACTAGAAGAATATTCGAAATAAAGTCGCAGTTACACTAAAGGTGAACCGGAAGCAAGTATGAGTACACAGAGCGATGTGCGGTGTAAATGAAATGACTGTGGCACATCAATTACGTATGTGATATATGAATATAAATAATATTTGGTGTTTAACCTTAGGTGCGGTTTTGCTGAAGCAGTGAAACATAAAAATACAATGGGTCGACTTTAAGCCGTGCGGGTAGGATTCGGTCTACGGTGTCAATGCTTGGGCAAAACCTAATTTTTATATATCTAGTAATACTAAAAACCTTAATTATCTCCTTCTAGATACGTTTGAACAAACAAAAGTTTAACCGAAGCAGGGTATTTGGTAAAATGTGTGAAACCAGTTCATACTACCTAATACAAGGAAATAACTAGCTATGGCACTACGTACATGCTAATTGTAGCAATAATATGTGAACTTAAAGGCAAACTTTAATTTTTTATAACGTTGAAGGCTGATGTTTCAATTGTAAGAAATAAATATTACGATGATGAGACAGGCACGTATTATTTTTTTCTTAAATCTATTTAATTGAGAATGTTTTTAGATTGAAATTGTGTGTAAAAAAATACTGTCATGTGTGTGACTGTGGGTTCAAGTGCCATCCGTATCATACACTTTTAATCCAAAATATTCAGATCTACCATCGTAGGAGTCCGAAGGACGTTTTGAACTAAAAAATATCCTTACAGATAACATACATATATTCCCAAGTGGGACATACTAAATAAGAAACAATTGAACGATGCTAATTGAAATATCAGCCAATGTGTAACATGAATTAACAGAAGTGAATACTCACGACATGGGTACAGTCAGGGTCGTCGAGTTGACAGGAGGCGCCGCCGTTGCTGGCGAGAACCTCGGCCATATGCTGCGTTTCGTCATCGGGGAACCCCATAAAGCAAACCCTGGCGCCAGTAAATACTTTTAACTTGTGCTCTTTCTGAAACGAAAAGCATAAATTATTACAACTTCAAGTGATTCTTTAGTTTTCCTTCTTTTCCTTTATATCCATATATTATTGACATTCCATCACTCTCTAACAAAACTTAACCAATATTAAATACTGTCTATAGTTTACGCAAGTAGTGCAAAGTGTTTTATTTAATGGGTACCACGTATAAATCAAGTTGGTTGCTGGGCAAAGTAATAAAGGACAAACAAAGCACTTTCGTATTTTAATATTGAATAGAGGGGAAGCTGGAACTGGGAATAATTTTATTTTAAACAGAGTAAGACAGCCAATCCGGGAGTTCACTTGACGGAAGATAAAATTCCCCACTTATATAACATTTAAACAAGATCCTTTCTTCTTGACGAGAACTTCACGACTTTTTCACGTGTCGTTCGTCCACCACCCCGACGGAATTTCGATATTTCCAACACCGGTTTAATATTCGAATTTTCAGGACAAAGAAATTTCGCTTTTAACATGTTCATATTTTAGAAAAAATATAAATTCATTAGAAGCATGTTGGACCTGGAGGAAAAATCATCAGAGTCGATCATATAACTAGGCTAGTAATACTCACTATCATAGCATCGTCTGTAGCCAGACATGCTGGGTCGTCTCGTCTCTCCCAACAGGCATCCACCCAAGACCTCGCCAACACTGGAAGACCGAAGCCCGATGCGTATCTGTACTTGTCTCCCGTCGCTGCCGCCGCGATCAAATGAGTGACCTTACTAGACATATCTTTGCGGATGGAACCCCCCATGTAGTGGATTAGTGTTATCAGGTACGTCTGTTGACAAGAATAGTATTTAGTATATATTTTGTTAATAATGCTTGAATATCTAGCAGAGCAGAGAAAGTAATTCATTTAATGTTCTGTAAATAAAATATTAATAAACCCGTGGTCACGGGTGTCTCCCCGTGACAACGGCTTCTGCAAAGCATCCGAAACATCGGGCCGTAGTTATTAAATTCCAAATAAGTTTAACTAATAGATATAGCGTTTTAAAGCGTTAAAGTGTTGTGTTGAAATAAAAGATTATCTCTAACGGGCGTAGTCAAATAAAATCAATTAATATTTTAAACCAGGAAAGCGTTAGGGTTTAAAGTAATTAAATAAGTGTAAGGAAATAATCAAAGAGCATTTCTTGCATTTGTCACAGGGTACATTTAAGGTACTACATATATTTAAGTTATACATTATGTTAGTGAATGATCCGTGGTAAATGAAAAATAAATAAATAAAAAGTAACACTTACCAGTTCATCTTTCTTTCGAAAGCCAGAGAAACATATTACGGCCCCTCGCATCGCCAGGGAATAAAGTGGACGCGTGTTGGCCGGCGGGGGCTCATTGCGCTCTGCCAGCTGCAGCACTGCTGTCGGACCCAGCACCCTGTACAAAATTTAACGGTTCAAGATTTCCAAGAAATATGTAAAAAATAATAATTTCTCTTTAAATGTTCTAAAAAAAGTCAGATATGAATAAGTATGTAGTGTGTGTGTTGTAATTTTTTAAAATTAATCTTAATAACGACGGGACGCGAGAGACGTCGTGGTTTATAATGAAGTTTTGCCAAAACATATTTGGATGACCACAACAACTACTCTACGCGGACGAAGTCGCTGACACAGCTAGTTATTATATATAGTAAAAAAACCTGGTACGAATACTAGAACATACGCACAATAAATTATTCCCTACAAAACGAAAGTGTCTTTAAAGATTGCTTACTGGACATAATATATCTCGCGTAGGTACTTCAATGGCTTCCGTCCGTCCCCATCGGGCTTAATGACTCGGAAGGATGCAACGCAAACGAAAATAGACAGTCATACTTTTTTTACGCTGTCTCTACTATTTTTGAAAACATCAGCTTAACACATTGAAAGTCTAGATAATCTCATTTGTTTTCTTAAAAATTACACATATTTCATGCGCTAACGAATCTTCTCGTTACTTTTATTGTATTTTACATTTAAACAAACATTATAATGAGTTTTAAATCTAAAATATATGTCATTTTTTGGATGCTTTGTAGTTGTGGACGGGTACGATGGGCACCCCGTGACCGGCGTATAGAACCGTTAAAAGCGTTTTATATTAATATGTATTACTCGCGTAAACGACAGCCAATACATTTTTTTTTATCTATACTAAAATGATAAGGCTGAAAAGTTTGTTTGCTTGAAAGCGCTAATCTCAGGAACTACTGATTCTAATCAAAAAATTATTTTCGTGTTGTTTGAAGCATTTATCAGGGTAGCCTTAAATCACACTTCGACCGATGGAGCGAAGGAACATTTTAAATTTTAGAAAAAAGAATGTCATTCTTCCTCTTTGAGCGTTTCCGTCGCGCGCGCTGCGAATACGGTTCAAGATACTCAAAAATTACTTATAAAAGAATTTATCTTCTTTAAATAATCTAAAAAAATGTCCGCGACAGTATAGTTTTATCTTTTTCAGATTATTCATATCGCAAAAGAACCCACTAGAGATAGAGATGAGATGAGATAGAGAGATGTTGTATTTTAAAAAAGAACGCATAATTAATGTATTTATTATTAAAATGTAACGTTAAAAACGTTTCAAAAACTTAAATACTTGCTCTCTATAAATGATATGTACATAAGCGGCCATGTAATTATGTGTAGGTATGTACAATTCTTCTAGTCAACTCGACCTCCAGAAATTATATAGAACTAAAGCAACAAATCCCACACATATAGGCGTTTATATATACATACATGAAAATAGTTCTGTTTTTAAATTTAGTAGAAAACTTATGAATGCACTATGACGTGTTAACGACGCGGTTCCTGTGACGTACGATATTTACGGTTCGACCACGGCAGGCATGGACCGATTGAAATAGTTCTGACGAATAATATTCCAAGGAATGTAGTCCTATATATACGTGATTCGTAAGTATACGTTATACAGAATTGGGTTAGCAATAAATACGATTGTAGATATATATTATTCATACGTTCTTTAACCGAAGGATTGTAAAGGTATAGTCGACAACCGGCTTCATAGAGATAAAGTGATCATTAAAATTGAATATTAATATTCAAAAGATAAATAATTTTATTGCACCAATATCAGTAAGGTTATCCGAATGCAAACGTATGTATGTGACGTTATTTTGTTTGTGCTTCTCAGTATTTTTCAAATAAATATTTCATCATTAATTTGTACAATAATAAAGAAATAATCATTACGTTTCATAGTTTAAAAGCGGTTCCGGGGTTTTCTGGAGGAATTCTTGCTGCGACTCATCCTCTTCAGGTGTTGGGGGTAAACGCGTCGGACCCATGACTTTCGATTCACACTTTAGTTCTGATTACACTTATAGAGACAAATCCACTGGCTTTTTGTAACATCGCTTCTGAATTAGCGACAACAGATTGTTTCGTCACAGTAAAATCACTATTTAACGCACGTAAATTGGAACAAAGACACGGCACGCACGTTATGCGTTTCAGGATAGATTGAAAAACAGCCGCGAGGAATGTTCGCCCGAAATAGCGAGAAGCGTCGCGCGGCCAGCAAGGGCGACCCTCGCGCGACGACACGGACGCACCCGCGGTTCCGTCGCACCGCGCCTACACCTATTCTACCTTTATTTACGCTCGTTCCGCGAAACACAAAGGTTGCAAACACTTTTATTGGCGGAAGGCTCCCCAAACTTCGACAGCCCTGACATAATACCTCAGGGTGACTTTGTCGCGTTATAAGTTCGCGTGCCTCTCAGTCATTATGGGCCATAAACAATAACAATAATTGCTATCGATAAAATAGTTTGAGGTTAATAGACTTGCTAACTATATTTTTTAACAACGTTACCTTGAATGAATTTGAAAATGTCATTTATACTTCTTATTAGAATTGATTTCGCATTTAATGCAAAAAATAATAAACGAAGACGTTAGAATTGCAGACAAAAATTGGGTTAAATCTTTCCAATAAGTATTTCCAGTATTCCTTTGTATATTGAATATTTTCTCCGAAACAATTTCCTTATAAGCATATTAATAAGATAAATCTCCCAAACAAATCGAGATGAATCACAGACATCCCAGAAGAGTGATAAGCTCAAAATCAGTTTTCATAAAGCAAACATTACTGAGCTGGCGGCGCGGACGCAGCGGTGCGGCGACCGTTTAAAACAATAAACAATTTATCACACCAATTGGTATTAATTTTGAAACAATGAAATGTTTCCTCATATAGTACCCGATCATACAAATGTTCTTTTGTCAACTATGCAAAAAAATCACTGAAATGTTAGTTGAGTTGTAGCAATGCAGTGTAAACATGGGTTTAATTTCTGCTTATTCAATTATTTTTGTGGATATACGTCCATAGCATACTATAAGTGGAGGGGAATCACCAATCCATACATAGAAAATGGTGGAGTGTAAATTTTTATTTCCATTTATAGATTTCAAGTACCAAGAAAAAAATGGTGTATGTAACCGGCATTTTATTTAAATGTTATGCTGGCTTGGTTTACTCGATTATGAGTAAACCGCATGATTTTCCTACTGCCTGTGTCATTAATACCAGCTTGTTCCTTGAAAACTAGGTCCATAATTATAACATGGTCTTTCTTTACAAATTGTAGCTTAATATTTAATATTATGTAAATTTTCAATTTTACCTGTACTTGGCTTTGTGAGCAGCATCAAAGAGGTTGCCTTCAAAAGGAGTAGTAACAAGATATGCTGGAATTGAGCATTGCGTTGGAGTCTCTGGTAATGCTTCTGAATTTGTGACAGTAACAACGGAACCTAAGCGTTCGCAGGCGGCACATACTCGTTCGCACTCCAGACATAGTTCGCTCACATATACAACGTCCGCAGAAGAACCTAAAAGGCCAAAAAAAATTAAATTCCATTTTAACTTTGTTACTATTTTCATTTAATTAAAATAATAGCAAGTAATGACATATATTATTAATGAAGTCAATTTATAAGGTACAAAAATCAACTAGCTTAAATAGTATATGTATATGAAATGTTGTCAGTATATTATACCATTAACAAATTTTGGAGAAATTCAATGTAAAATATTGCACAAGACAGATTTATCTAATTACATAATATTATGGGTCGCATTAAAGTTTTGTTTATCTATTCCATGTTTAAAAATGAAATTTTTCAAAAATTAAATAATGCAGATATACCTCTAGTTAAAATACGTCATTACTAACTTTTATTTTATATTTTTTAGCATATTAAGAGTACAGAATGATTATGCAAGGCTGATATAGATAAGTAATGTGCATATTCAAGACAAGATTGATTTGACATTGGCAAACAATGTTTTATAAACTAACATATGAGCTGATGCTTTCTAGATTCCTGAACTTGATATTATATAATATGTATTTAAGGGAGGCTAATAAGAATAATATGGTACCTGCATCTTATAACATCTATTGTGATTAAAATTACAACTTTAGTAGGTAATCTAGAATAGCAAAAATTTTTTTTTTAATTTAAATAAAAGCAATTAAAATCAAAAAGCTTCCATACTCAATAAGAAGTACTATTCAATGATTATGACAACTGAGCCTTATTTATAATACTTGCAGATTTATTGTCATAAATTTTATTGATTAAGACTTAGCACCAAATTGTGTCGTAAATGTAATATAATTCTATTAAATATTACATGACTATACAACTACTCCATGTATTAATTCTATTTATTACAATTAATTCACTACCTCTAGGTAGAACAGCAGCATGTATGTGCACACAGTATATGATACAATAGTATTTCTACATGTGAGAAATGGTTTTACCCTGCTCAGCATATATTTAAGCAAAAGTTATTTTTGATTTTATTAAAGTTGAAAATATTATTCATTGTTTCATTTGGTTGCAAAGAAATATTGTATGTATACAGTCAGTAACAAAATTTCTTAGGTTTTAAGTCAGGTTTTAAAGTACATCATTACATGAGACCTACTGGATATTTGACGGGACAATCAAGAGGCAATTTATTCTTAAACAATATAACGCAACATTTTTAAAATGATTCTTGTATAATACGTACATAACAATTAGTCAATAAGTATGTGTGTATATGTGTTTTGGTTGGTTTTTAAACCTTAGCTGCTTAATATGTATGTAAACAATATAAACTATACCTCCACACATGGCCTACATTATACAATACACATCAATTGATAGAAAAATTAAAAACATTACCATCAATTTCTTCAACTTTGTCAGTTGTTGTAATGCTTCCTGTTTGTGACATTCCCCTAGACATTTCGTCCATCTTGCGTAGCTTTAGATCGTTAAATCGTCAATTCAATACAAATTAACACTAATTTAACACATTATGATGCACAAAAACACAACACTTAGCGGAAAATTTTATCGTTTTCAATTATAAACAAAACTATCCAACTGTGTAACATTTTTAAATTCACCTAATAATATATATAACCGCTTAACTAAAAATCTAGCAGCCGCCGCCAGTTAAAAATTATGACATATGGATACAACGTTGCCATAATTCTGAATATTATTCAAAACAAAGCACAGCGTTAAAACCTTGATAGATTTGTTACCACAGACTTATTAAAAATTTATTATCGACATATTTTTTACCTATGTTATTTTTGTCTGTGCCAATAATGCTAATATCTTGCGAGTTGACTTAGATATATATGATCTAAGCGAGTCTGTAACCGTGATTTTCACATTCCATCTGCCACACAAATACAGATTAGTTTATATTTTTATTGTTTGACTGTTTGATTAGTCTGTAAACGGTAATTTGTTAAATAAAATTTAACACGCGAAGTGTTAATAAAGTGAAACAATATGTCGCCGTTTACTATTTTAACGTGGCTTATATGCTTTAACTATTACGGTTATTATCATAGACTAATTAGAAGACGTTATAATTTTATACTTAACTTCCCATGACCAAGGAATTTCCTGACAATATGACATAATATTAGACGTCAAAATATAATGTACTCTACAAACAATTTATTCTTCTTATTATCTATGCTAGTATGAACTTATGCCAATTTTGAACATTACTAAAATTATTTTAGGTTTTCCTGATTAGAGGACAAGATTTAATTTAATTATAAGGATTGAGATACCTTGCTTACCAATCGCCCGCGTATTTAATTTGTTTTTACTATTGATGGGCGCTCCTATTAATATTAAAGATTGTAGAGTATTTTTAAAGACCGCTTAATACTTACGAATATATAACAGAAACGTCTTGATAAGATAAAGGCATTGTTATATTAGCATACTGATAAACAATGGGATAAGACAATAAGTGAAGGCAATGTGTTATAATTTTTAATCGTTATTATTTCATACCTTGCAATTGTATTTTAGTAATGGACCATTTTGGACTTTCGGATATATTAAGTGAACCTGACAAATATACTCCAGATACACTGGATTTGTTATCAGACGATGAAGCCCGAGAATATTGGTTAAATACATGCGAAAAACTAGTAGATAAATATGTAAATTTTGCCCTTTCTAATAAAGATGATCCTACTATTGAAATAAGAGCACTGAAATTTAAAACTTGTTATGTGGAAGCTTTAAAAGAAATAAGAGTGAACCCCCTGTAAGTCTAGCATATCACTAGCATTGTACTTAACATTTTGTTTTTATATTTTTTTAAAAGTGGTATAATGAGGATTCTATTTATTATAGTGCACATGGAGAATTAACAATACGCTTATTACTAGATATTAATGAGACTTGTCTTCGGGCTCAGGGGTTTTTTGATTTATGGAAACGGCAAAAAAAGTACGAAAATGAAGCTGCACTTGCACAGCTTGCTTCAAGACTTGCTGAAATAGATGCCATGCCGGATGATAGACAAAAGTGGCTTGCATTATGTAGTGGTATACTTGCAGGTAATTATTGAGGGTGGGTTAAGTGTTTGTATTGTACTGTGTTATTTCTTAAGGCATTGTTTCTAGGTAACATGTTTGACTGGGGTGCTCAAGCTGTTACGTCTATATTAGGTTGTGGACTTACAGAAGCCTTACAGAAAATACAAAAAAGGCCCTGGTTGTATGATGGACTTGACAAGTGGCTGGACAAGCTGCAGGTACACTAATGTAAATCATTCCGGTGGTGTTTGTAAATAAAAAAGTTATATAAATAAATAAATAGCTGTGGAAAATGTGTCTAATCTTTTTGAAATATTTTCAGACAACAGTTCACCACTGTGCCGCAGTTTTTGTAGATAACAGTGGTGTTGATGTGGTGTTGGGTGTATTACCTTTTGTCAGAGGTCTTTTGTTAAGGGGCACATCAGTAATTTTATGTGCCAATGAGTGGCCTGCTCTAAACGATATAACTAACTCTGAGCTGGAAAATGTCCTTCAGAGTGCTTCGCTTGTATGCCCAATCATTGCGGCAGCAAGAGCTACAGGCAACTTAGTTGTAAGATCTAGTGGACAAAGGGGGCCATGCCTTGATCTGAGAACAATTAGTGTAGGTGAGTAATGTGGAGTTCATTTACCTAGTTCCTACGACAGAATGTTATGTTATCTAGACATTTAAATTTCTATTACAGATCTTGTCACTGAAATGAAAATTAGAGGAGTTGATCTTATCATACTTGAAGGAATGGGCAGAGCACTCCACACTAATCTTAACGCTCGTTTAGCAGTGGACTCTTTGAAAATAGCTGTAGTGAAAAATGCATGGCTAGCTCAACGTCTTGGTGGTCCATTGTTTTCAGTAATATTTAAATATGAAGACAAGCCCTTCCAAGTGTTGCCATAAAATATTATCATTATAAGTATGTTCTTTGACAGTATTGAGATATTGCAAGCAAAACTGGAGATTCTAATTGTGGTGTACAGGAATCTCGAGGCGATGGATGAATGTTGTTTCATTCCTGTGTTAATACAACAGAATTTTTATGAAATATATTGTTACCCTTTAATGCTGTTATTTTTTTAAAGAGATATGTATATATCAATCTCTTTTTCACAACATTATCTTTTATACACAGTAGATAAGGCAGGTAATAAACTTTCAGGAAACAAAAATCCATCAATAAAACAGATTCAAACTGTCCACTGTGCTGTTTATAGGGAAAATGGGATTTACTTTCAATAGTATGATTAAAAATAACACAACACTATTTCATCTATATTTTATTAAGTAGTAAAATGACCCAATTAGTGTAAGGATAACACCTAGAAAAACCTAACAGTTCATCATAAATTCATGGATTCAAGATATTAACAACATACCCACATTAATGTTAATTATTACCTGCAAGTTTATAATCACAGAAGTATAAAAAATGTGCCTAGTTGCTAAATTAACACTTCATTAAATAATAAATTTAACTACAACGGTTTGGGATCCCACTATTGTTACTGAGCCTCATGTCTGGACCATCATGAAGCAGCAATACATATCATGTAGTTTGTCTTACTCTTAATGTGCTCTCGGCTTTTACTTAGCTTAAGATCTGTTAAGCCAAGCGATAACCTTGAATATCAAATAGGCAACACTAACTGCGTAAGCAATTTTTTCCCTTTGTTGCCTTTGAAGCGATTCAGCTTCAATCGCCATAACGCGCCGGTTAAGTTTCACAATTTGACGACGCAGGTGAACCAATTCTTCAGCCGCTGAGAGTCCTTCCCCATTACTTATTGGTGGAGTGGGATCTCTATAACAATATTTGAATAAAGCCTTATTAATAGATTGTGTGTCCTCTGAAAGCATGTACACAATTGGTCCCTGTTATTATGACTTATTTAGTTCCAGTAGCTAATAAACCTTGTCTCAGATCTATGCCCAACAGTAGGATACTATTAGGTTGAAACAATGAAAGAACAGGTCGTAAAGTAAACACAAAGTAGTAAAAATATACAATTCTTATGTTAAAAGAAATTACCTTAGAACCAAACGGGATTCTGTCATAGTCGACTCGTTAAGATTATCGGCAGCATTAGACATCGTTGAATGAAAACCTTCCACTTTAGTACGTGCTGTTCTAACATTCCGAGGGGGTGAAGTAGCTGAGCCTGGCGGGAAATCATCAGCTGATGGGAAGTAATGCTGGTCAAGTGTAATAACTCGCGGTGGTGTGCTAACGCGGATCATTCCTGGATCAGTTGGAAGAACGGCATTGTCTAATTGGATTTCTCTGGGCGGAGCTTTAGTTCCTGCAAGAAATTTAAACAAAAGCATTATACTTTGTTACAAATATTTAAATGTAAATTACGTTAATATGATGCCGTTTCCTGTTAACATAGTTTAAAAATAGAAATAGATGCATACAGGAAATAATATATTACCATAATTTGTCTAAAGATAGTATATTACATTTCTCTAAAGATTTTCAATAGTTATGTTGCTCAGAAACCATACACTCAGATAGTTTAGCTAAGTTTTTAACCATAGAACAACATTATTTTTTCTTAATGACTCTAAAGTAATGTTTAAGGTAAATACTGTCTATAGTTTACCATAGTACACATTTAAATAAAACACTTTAACGGTTTAAAACGCGATATATTAGTTAAACTTATTTGAAAATGATTTTTAACTTGGCCGATTTCGATGCTTTGCAGACAGTCTCCCCGTGACCACGGCTCTGCAAAGCATCCAAATCGGGAAGTAAAAATCATTTTCAAATAAGTTTAATAATATATCGCGTTTTAAACCGTTAAAGTGTTTTATTTAAATGTTTAAGGTAAGTTAAAATCCTAAGTATGTTGTCTAGACATCTATATAGCAGATTATATGTTTTATATAATAAAGAGCTGTACCAACATACCTATGTGCTGATCTTGGCCAACAACAAGTATCCTTTCAGGTACTTTCATGTCAAATTTTTCATTAGCATAATCCCACCCTGGTATAAATCCATTAGGTGGATTTTCATCATCAACAATATCTCCTGTTGCCTAAAATCAAGAAGAAATAAAAGCTTTGTCCAACTTTGTTTTGTGTTAATGTTTTTTATCTATTGACCCTGTGAGATTAAATTGCTAATAACTATCTACATTACTGCTATGCTATATGTATTAGTAACAATGATGCTTTAAATGTATGATTGAATGCAGTAAAATGATAGATCCAAAAAGCTGCATTGGATTTATAAGAGAGAGTATATTAATACCACCGCAAAGTTTACCTTAATTCTTTGTGGAACAGTCATATTATGACTTATAAGCCGGGCATAGGCTTCATCTGAAGTATACTGCATGATTGTGAATTTCTTGTAAACCTAAAACCATAAGGAAAGTTAGGTTTCTTAAAATTATTAGACTCCAAATATTAATTTTTATAGACTACCCCCAAATATCACTTTTTATATAACATATAGCAATAAATCAAATAGTAATCAAATGTAAGTGTTTTTTATTTCTAGTATCGTATTGCAAAAATCAATTAAATCTGAAACTTAACCATAATTATTGAAGGACGAATTCCATTATCTACGTTAAATAGAAACAAAATTGGAACAACAAAAGAAAACGCCTAGTTATCAATATTCACTATTAACAACATACCCAGAAGGTGAACCAAATGTAAATTCTATCTTATTCCATAAATGTATTATTTCTTATCGAAAATAATTTAATATTTCTAAATTCTAATTTCTATGTACGTGCTAAGTACATAATATGAAAAGGGTACATTATAATATTGTCAAGTGTCAACTGTCAACTATCAAGTATATACAACAGATGTAGTAAGAAAAAGTTATTGTGTCAAGTTAAACCTTTTATCAATTTAACTACTGACATTTGATATTATTTATTTATTCGTGGTAAGCGGCGATTGGCGGTTAACAAGAAAAAAAATAGGTATTAAATAGTATTGATGTGTAATGCAGTCGGCAATTTGTAAAATATAGAAATTGTGTTCATTTAGATTATTTTAGGTGTTAAGTTGAACAAAAAAACATGTGCAACATTCAGTGAAACAACACCATAATTGTAGATAGTAGTTAATATTGTTTAATTAAATATTCGCAAAACATAACAATGAGAGCGTTGGTTTTTAATATTTCATGGATTCTGTTAATTGTGTTCATATTTGGTGCTGTTGCGGCAAGCACTGATAGTAAAATTCGAGATTCAGAAAGAAAAAGTAAAGGTGTTACTACTTTTGTCACTGCAAAATGGGAAGCAACCCCTATAGTTTTGGAGTTGGCTGAATATTTATCTGGGGAGAGCAGCGATATATTTTGGTCATTTGTTGATGGTATAAACTCATTGAAATCTAGTCTACATACATTAGGTAAGTAAACAATACATTTCTAGATTAAAATTTCACTCTCTGTAGTTGATCTTCTTATATTTAGATATTTGGCTTTTGAATGTTCCTTAAAACTTCCTTCAGCCTATTCTAATATAGATACCTAAGTGTTTAAACTAGTAGAAAATACTCATTTATATTTGCTTACCTTTACAGGAACAGATAAACAAGTTTATGATGCCTGTTTGGGTGTAGCAAGTTCTTTATTAGCACCAGCCCAGTTGAGAATGGCAAAGCTAGCTCTGTCTATGCACCTACATTCTCCAACTGTCCGTATGTTTGATGAAATTGCCACCCAATATGGTGCAAAAGAAGTGCCATGTGATGTTTTTGTTGCGATTGCTTCACAAAAAGTTTGTGATAATGATGTTTTAAGAGATCTTCTTAAATCTGTAAATCAGTATGGTTCTGTAAGTGTTTTATACTGGGTGCAACCTGATTCTTTATCTATTTGCATTCATAATTTTAGATACTTAATATATCTACCCTTATCTGTTTTAGAATGACCACAGATTGGAGACATATCTCTTAGATCACACATATCCAAGTAGTGATAACAGATCAATTACAGCTATACTATATGGTGAACTTGGCATGCCTGATTTTGCTATAAAGCATAAAATATTATCTCCCTACGCTGATAAAGGCGCCATCAATTATGTCGTCCGATGGAATGTTAAGGTACAGTTTATAAAAAAAAATATGTTTATTTGGGTATATATAGAAAAATAACACTTTTATTGTTTGATTGTGGTTTTTAAGTATTGTTAAATTGTCATTTTACTTATAGCCCAGAGGCAAGCCAAAATTACGTCTATCAGGTTATGGAGTAGAGTTACAATTAAAAAGTACAGAATATAAGAGTCAAGATGATACTACTCCAAAGGAAGCAGAGGCAGACTCATCTACACTGTCTGAAGAAGAGGATGAAAATGATCCGCAAAACCAAATTGATGGTTTTAACTTTGGGAGATTAAAGTAATTTTTTACTAATAAAACATCAAATTATCTCTTCAAATTAAAGATTCAATAACTGTAAACTGTAGTAGTAATAAAAAAAAATGCTATTTAACTCATTGTTTCCTCAAAGCAGTGTCAAACAAGTCTGAACTTGGATTATAGTTATTAAATACTAGCTGGTATGCTTGTGACTTCGTCTGTGTAGAATAGTTATTTTGGGTATCAATTTTTATGTACCTATTACTCATAACCTAGTCTGCATCCCGTCATTCTTGTGACTTAATCTTAAAAGATAGACATATACTGTCGCGGACTTTTTTTTAGATCATTTAAAGAGGAATCATTCTTTCGTACGCCTCGGAAACCCACAATGATGAATAATTTTTTCCAATTTTTCTCACATTTCCCGTTGTATCTTTGCTCCCATTAGTCACACGACGATGTTTTATAGCCTATAGCTTTACTCGATAAATGCTCTAACCAACACAGAATTTATCAATGCGAACCCGTAGTTCCTGAGATTAGCGCGTTCAAACAAAGTCTTCAGCTTTATGTATTAGTATAGATATGTTTTGCACAATGTAATAAAAGTGTTAATTTTAGTGCTTCTAATCTACTTCTGCTTCTAACAGGAACCTTTTCCCAGCACTCCGCACCCCTTTAGAACGATTCAGGCGACATTTGTCTGAAACAAGTGAAGAATTGGAACCACTGAAAGTCTGGCAAATGCAGGCCTTAAGTATGCAAGCCGCTGCTGCAGTCATAGATGCCCACGACTCGGGTGGTGATGAGTCGTTGAAAGTTCTCACTTCTATTGCTCAAAATTTTCCAATGCAGGTGTGTGTAAAAATGTCAACAGAAGTGATCTTATGTGAAGTTAGAGAGACATCAACAAATATAAATAATCTATAACATATTTAAATAACACACTTTAACGGTTTAAAACGCGATATGTTAGTTAAACTTAGGTGAAAATTATTTTTAACTTCAGCTCGACGTTTCGGATGCTTTGCAGCAGCCGTGGTCACGGGGAGACTTCTTGTTTTATTTTAATTGTAATTGTGTACTACTCGACGTAGACAGTATTTAATGTGCGTTTTTTTTTAATGCAAGGTCTTTTTTTTATTTGCAGACAAAATCTTTAATCCACGTGAATGTACCGCGCTCTCTACGTGACGAAGTACTTTATAATCAGGATATTTGGGCGTCATCTTTGGGGCTGCGTCCCGCAGAGCCCCTTCTTTTAGTTTCTGGGGCGCAATATGACGCCGAGGAGGTTGACATTATGGCACTGCTTAATGCTCTTAAAGAAGATATTGGACCTATGAACACATTACATGCACTTGGTGAATTTTATTTCTGTTTATCTACCTGTTTATTAATTATTTGGTAATTAAAATACACTTGACGGTTTGAAACCCGACATATATGAGTTAACTTATTTTTTTTATTTACGGGAGATTTTGAATTTTTTGAAGCGTAGTCGCGGGGGAACAATATTTTACGTTTTAAACCGTGAAGTCTTTTTCGTAAATCTATACAATTTGCGAAACTATAAAAGATACTTGATGTATTTGTATAACTTAAGGATCTAGAATTATTTATTTATTTTATGGGTAAATGTTTATACTTAGTCTACCAGCAATTCTAAATAAGTACGTTTTACTGGACGCTTATTACTTAGTTTTTAATATATTTTTGTAATTTTCCTTCAGGTTTGTCAAAGAAATTAATAAACACACTGATGTCTTTGGAGATGGGTGAATCGTTCACATGGGAGGAATATGGTCTTGACATTAGAGATTCTTCAATAACTTGGCTCAATGATCTCGAAACAGACGAGAGGTACAGGCGATGGCCATCTTCATTTATGGAGTTATTGAGGCCCACCTATCCTGGCATGTTGAGGAATCTTCGAAGGAATATATATAACTATGTAAGTTTAGTAGATGATTGCCCCGACATAATAGATACGAAGAATAATATTCAATACATTAGGCAATAAAGCTGTACTTGAACAAATTGCATGTCCCTTAGTTGGGGCAAGGGGGCGTTTACTGTGGTCCTTCGTAGTTTCGCTCGTAGATTTATCTCGCTCCATGTCCTTCTCACTTTCTTCGGCCCTTTATCAACTGTATGACGCCACAATTATTTCGAGCGGCTACGTGTATAGAAGCCCTAAAAGTCTACCTTACGATTAAATGATAAAAGTTGCATTAAGCAAAGTACAAATAGATATTGTTATTTATTAAAGTAAAAGAATAAAAATCCAATAAAGCTTATAGAGAAATATATCTGAGTTAGTCTCAAATGCTAAGAACCAAAATTGTATATGTCTAAACAAAATATTTCAGGTCATAATTATAGATCCAACATCGCCCGCTTCAGCCCCACCTTTGAAACTTGGTGAGACTTTATTGAAACACTCAACCCCAGTTCGTGTTGGGGTCGTCCTGGCTCCAAATAATACACCACTTGGTGTGGCTGTGAGAAGTGCTTTCAACTACATAGCGCAAGATAGAAACTCTAATAAAGAAGCCTTCTTCTTTTTAACTCAGGTAATAACTGTTTTTTTATTAATGCGTTAATAACGCGAAAGTCTCTCCAGATTAGATAAGAGTAATGGATAAGAGAAACTTCTCAATTGCCAAAATTATTCTTATGTTAATATTAAATGTGTATTTACGTATTATAAGATAAATATTTTTTTCAAAAACAGACGAGTACATAATGCGTATGTTTTTATTATTTGTCGCCAGTTATATTGTTAATTGATAATAAACCGCACTTTTTCAGCTTCTAAGTTCACTAGATGAGGAATCACTCAGTATAGAGCTTCTCAAAAAACAGCTAAAGAAATTCGCAAGTTCGGGAACTAATGTAGATGAGGTCATATCTGAAGATTCGGAATACAACTTTGGACACCAGCTCGCTGAAGAATTTGTATCAAAACTTGGGGCAGAAAATTATCCTCAGGTACTGTTTTTACTAATACTTTGATTGTTTAATCAATATATGTTTTTTTTTTAATAAATGCTTACTTTTTAATTTCCCTAAAAAAAAATACGTTTTTAATGATACATTGGTAGGTGATTTATCACAAATGCTTGACTAGTAATGATAAAGGCGTCATATTTTCATTAGACTTAGACAAACTCTCGGGGAAATTAAGGGAAGAAAACATTTAGAATGGTATCTTCTTCTTGCTATATAGTTGTATATAATCCTTTCTATGTATCACTTAGCATATAAAACTTTGTATTTAGTTACTTAGATTTCATTGTTTTAAAAATTGTACTGCTTGAAAAGACTAGGCGCCCACGACACAGGAATTTCTAGTACGGGGGCTGATACACCCTAAATCGAAATTTAATAATTTAAAAAAACAGTGTTAGTTACTAGACTTTTCCTAAACAGCGAAGTATATCATACCCCAAAGTAAAAAGGCAAATCAATGTTTGCCTGGCAATCTAGTTCAATATAAAATTATAGTTAAATACTGTCTATAGTTTACGCGAGTAGTACACATTTAAATAAAACACTTTAACGGTTTATCGCGTTTTAAACCGTTAAAGTGTTTTATTTAAAATTATAGTTACTATTTATTTTGAGGTTTCGTGAACAAATAATAAGGATACTTTATTCTTTATAAACAATGTTCCATTAGGTGTTGGTAAATGGGGTGCCACTTTGGGACGACGGACCAGTCTCCTTGACTTCATCGGTGGACAGCTTGGAGGAGGCGTTAGTGACAGCTCTGTCGCGGCACACGAGCCGGCTGCAACGCGCCGTTTTTCGTGGCGACCTCGCAGACACAGATGACGCTGTAGACTACATTATGAAGCAGCCACATATTATGCCAAGGTATTTATTATAAAAGTATGAGAAGTAATTACGATATTATAAAATACGTGAGTGTTGAGGTTGAAATTCATTGCGCGAGAGGTACAGCAATGGAATTTCCATGATGATGTCTGTGACAACCCAAAGCTATTTAAATAAAATACTTTAACGGTTTAAAACGCGATATATTAGTTAAACTTATTTATAAATCATTGTTAATTACGGCCTTGCGTTTCGGATGCTTTGCATCTGAAACGCAAGGCCGTAAGGCCACCTCCCCCCGTGACCACGGCTCATAAAGAAGCTCAGAAAAATCATTTTCAAATGAGTTTAACTAATATATCGCGTTTTAAACCGTTAAAGTATTTTATTTAAATGTGTACTACTCGCGTAAATATAGACAGTATTTAACCCAAAGCTAAATAAGTCGACCGCACATCTTATACAGATGTTATATCGCTAGGATATTTCACATGCCATTCAGTGAACCTTATGCATATCCTCCTCTTTTATAAAAAAACTCAATCGGTTGGAAACAGCAACAATGATCGCTTTGTATACCAGTTCAAGGCCCACACGTCTTATCAGACCTTTCCAATTTAAATAGATTTTTGTTTACATATTGTAACCTTGTTCTTTTCAGACTAAACCGGCGTATTTTGGGATCAGACCCATCTCAATATTTAGATCTATCTGGAATTCCATCTTCAGCCGAATTATTTGTGGAAGACAAAATACATAAATTGTTACATTTAACAGGTACATTTGAAATATTATTCTGATCTAACTTATTTTAACTTTATGAAACTGAAATCCCGTCTTATATAGGTTTATTCTGTCTTATATATTATGGGAATAGCACATCTCTCATCTTTGTTTCACATCGATCGTTTTCTTTGATTGTTTCATTAGACATGTGTGTGCTATCTGATCTATTATTTTTTCCCGGAATTCAAACTCAAACACTGCTCCCTTGTTGACGTACAGCAGCCGCTAACTTAGTTGTTACTTATAAATGTATTATTAAATAAAAGCATTGTCTGTAGTTCACGCGGGTATACTTTTAAATAAAACACTTAACGGTTTAAAACGCGAAATTTTTTAGTTAACTTATTTACAATTTATTTTCACCACAGCCTGAAATTTGGCCTGCACCATTGTTTCATGGTAGTTGGTACATTGTCAGTTATTTTTTTTAAGGTCGTGACGCTCTAGCAACTGCATTACCCTTACTGAAATATTTTGCGAAGTCCGGCAAAGCAGAGAAAATAACTCAAACTGTTTGGGTTATTGGCGATTTGAACGATGTCAAATCACGACAGCTTTTGAGGAATGCTTTATATTTCATGGTATGATATGAACTTTGTGTGTTAACAATTTAATTGGATTTTTATTTCGATTTATATATTAGTGTTAAACTAATAATAAATTAAATATAACTAAATAAAATAAAACTGAAAAATAGATCGACATTAAATTTAGTTATTTGCATACTTGTACATACAGTTTTATATTTAAAACTTTTAGGCGTACTTTTAATTAGTTGATAGTCTGAAATTGTATTCAATTTACTTAATACCAATATAATATTACGAATGAATATATATATAAACATTTTTTTATACGAAAAAATTGCTGCTCTACTAATAACTGTAGAAAATACATGTGAAAATAATGTTAAAAGTATTTTTTTTTTCAGCGAGAATCCGGTGGAGTTCGCGTTGCGTTCATACCAAACGTCGATGGTGAAGCGAATATTGACCAATCACTGAATAAAGTGGTGTTAGCTGCTCTAACTACGCTTGAACCGGCGAAGGCTACTAAATATGTACTCCAACTACTTGATAACGAGGGCTGCCATGAGAGACAAGACTGTGATATATTAGTAAGCATTCTTCAAAGATTTTTCTTTTAACTTTTCAAACAAGAATTGAGACTTTCGACATTCAAATGTAGGTTTAAAGAAACCAGTTCAAAAATAGGCTGATATCAGCCCCAGTGGTGGGATGAATATGATAATGCCTTTTGCACTAAACTTACTTCTCTGTGACTTAATGCGTTCTTTACTGTTAAGCGCGAGAGGTCCTGGATTCGAATCTCGAGGACACAAACGATGTTTCGATCGGACAGGGCACAGAAGTTTGATTAAATACTTTAATGATAGTAATAAAGGAACCGGTCTGTGAAACACCCAGACATTTGTTCGCCCCATGCCCCACGGGGGAACCGGATTTTTACTTTTAATTGTATTAAGTGTGAGAACATCTGTAACTGAAACATAAAAGTTTTGATTAGTCACAACCATCCATACATTGATCAGTGAAACAAACACATAAATATGTCTGCCCCATGGGGAAAATAAGATTTCTCACACGTTAAAATTTGTTGATAGAGATTTAGTAAATATTTTTGTTTGTCAGCCAGAGTTAGTTAGTTCACTTAACAAGCACGACTGGATTCTAAAAGCGGCGCGAATCTTGTGCGCGCGCAGTTTGAAACTTCGGGCCAGCGCACGCGCACTCGTCTATAATGCAAGATACATCGGACCATTAGCCGACAATGAAAACTTCTTATTGGAAGACTTTGCACTACTTGAAAGGTATTATGCCTGCTTTTATTAAAATAATACAATAAAAAAATACTAATTACGCATTATTTATAATTTTTTGGGTCTCAGAACGTTCGTCTTTCAATATTTAATTTTTTATTAGGTACAGCAATCAAGTGTACGGCGAGAAATTAGCTGAGGTGTTCAAGAAAAAGAAAAATACAATGTCCAATAATATCGACGATGATGATGATGGTGAGTAGTCGTCAATAGCTCTACTTTTCTCTAAAAACACTTAATCGTTGCTCTAGTAGGGAGACCGATAGATGGCCGGCCATCTATCGTTCCGTTTCTCATCAGATCTTCTGAAAAGTATGGGCTTAGCATTCAATTATTAACGATGAGAATAAATAATTATACATTTTTATTTTTAAGGGGGCGAAGGAGGGGGGGGGGGGACTATGTAACAGAAATAATTCACCTTTTAATATAAATCGAACCGTTGCACGCAAGTCTGACAATCCCTTGGTAAATTTTATTAAAAAACATTATTCTTCTTCTAGATGAAGGTATCGTAGAAATAGATACAGAGAATTACCTCAAAGTAATATCCGTGTTGGCGTCGCGTAGTCCGCGCGTAAGGACCCCGCTTCCAATCGGATTAAAGACGGAACATTCGCTGGTCGAACTACCGCCGCTGTACCCGGATGAAGCTGCTATTGAGGTAAGCTATTTTCCTTTCGCGGTTCGTGATACGGTTGGAATTACGATATTCCTACAACCCATCTAATATCCAGATTTGCAGATGAAATCCAACAAATTTTAGAATAATTTGTGTATAAACATGTTGGACCTGGTGGGGACCGGAACCTACATATCCTTGATTGGAATCAATCAGCCTATATGTAATAATTATTAGCCATACAGTGTTACATTGCAGCCCGCCAAAATTTAACAAATCAATCCAGGTTATGCACCTGAATATTACAATATAAGCAAATATTTTTTTCCTAAATAAGAATAATTCCATTATAGATAGTAGCCGTGGTGGACCCGGCCTCGACTGCGGCGCAACGGCTCGCCCCCCTACTGCTCGTGCTGCGGCGTGTGGTCAATTGTCGTATAAAATTATTCCTCAACCCACAAGACAAGAACTCTGATATGCCACTTAAAAGGTTAGATTTTTATATGCAGTGATAGAAAGCCAAAAGCAATTTCTTACCATCTTACTACGCCAGGCTATGTATTTATCTCGGATTTATAGAAAAATACAAAATACGGATTTATTAAGAAGATTTTGTAATACAAACACAGTTGACACCAAATGGGGTTTTTACCCTATTTTATTTTACTATCATGGCTTACTCTATACCTCTATTCTATTTCATGCGAGTTGTATTCTTGTTACTAATTAAGACTTATTTTGAATCTATACTAATATTAGAAAGCTGAACAGTTTGTTAGTACGCTAATCTTTTTTAAGACTAACTTACAAGAACCGTTTTTATGGGAATAAAATTTCCTCGAAGTACTTTATATGGCAAAAGACCGTTTGCTGCTTAACTCCAGCTAGTGTTTTATAAATATCGCTTTTGCAAACTTTTAAATTTGTTTTTTAGTTTCTACCGCTACGTTCTGGAGGCGGAACTTCAGTTTACCTCCTCTGGTGCAAGTACAGGGGGTGCCATTGCTCGCTTCAACCGGCTACCCCATGCTCCTCTTCTATCTATGGAGATGCGGACCCCACCCAACTGGCTTGTGGAGTGTGTCAAGTCTGTGTACGATCTCGACAACATTCGCTTGGCTGATGTTGACTCTGTTGTTCACAGGTAAACCAATATTTATGATGATGGAGGACTGATAAGTATAGGGTACACAGATGGATCTGTGTACCCTATACTGTTACTGTATAAGTGTACATCTAAATAAGACTTTTTCCGAATATCCAAAGCTAAAATAGGTCGACAGCATATCTTGTTTAGACTATCATGTGAACCCCATACTTGCCTGTCTTCCTCTATCACAAAAAATTGGCTTTTGATAATCAGGAATCCACAGACTGTAACCGAAATATGTTTGAAGCCTTTTGTCTTTAACACAGTGCTAGACGCTTCTTTACATTAGCTGTGACCGCGGTCATAAAGATGACGATAATGACTTGCAAATATGTATGTATTATGTTTTAAATAAACAATTTTAACGGCTTAAAACGCGATATATATTCGTTAAACTTATTTGAAAATTATTTTAACTACGGTCCGACGTTGTGGTCACGGGGAGTGTTGTCTCTTAATGGCCACGGCTATATATGTATCGCGCTTTAAACCGTTATTTATATGTTTACTACTACAGAGAGTATTTAATATAATGTTTATTAATTTATGTAATATTATTTTCAGTGAATTCGAATTGGAATATCTATTGCTGGAAGGTCACGCGTGGGACACTACTTTGGGCACGCCACCTCGAGGGTTGCAACTGATATTAGGAACCCGAGACAACCCTGAGATTATGGACACCATCGTCATGGCTAACCTTGGATACTTCCAACTGAAAGCGAATCCTGGCGCCTGGATACTGAGGCTTAGACCTGGTCGTTCTGAAGAAATTTACGAAATTGTTGGGTAAGAACATTGCACTGAAACAAGTTAATATATCGTCGTCTCTTTCTAACGATTCCTTAAGAAGAAAAAGGACACATACGCTTTAGGGCGTTAACTAAACTTATACAAAGTAAATTGTTTTTCTTGTTAATTAATTTTAACAAACGATAAAACGATACGATACGATAACTTCATAAGTCCCTTATTTTAAATTAAAAAAAAACGTTTTTAGATAAAAAAAAATACGGCAGGAATTCAACCGGCATCCATAGCGTTCCGTGCTGTTGATCTAACCAATTCAGCTACCGTGTTCAACTCGTTGTCGTTGCATTATTTTAACCCGCATTTGCAATGTAATTTCAACCTTAACACATGCGTATTAGGTCACAAACTTTATTGATTTGGTCTTTACAGACACGAAAACACGGACACGCCAGCTGGAAGCTCGGACATCCAGGTATTGATGAGCTCATTCCGCAGTCACGTGATAAAGCTGCGTGTCAGCAAGAAACCGGATAAGCAGCACTTAGACCTACTCGCTGATAATGATGAGAAGAACTCTGGTGGAATTTGGAACTCTATTGCCAGGTTATTGCTTTTTTTTAAGATAAAGGAGGTCAAACAAGATGGAGTTCGCTTGATGGGCGACGAAATACCACAGCCCTCGATGAAATAGCGAAATATGACATCTACCCAAGATGCGCTGTCGATCAAAATAGGCTTTGGATTTTCGGAAATACAACAGACTGAAACGGAAAGGCGATCAAACTTCACGGCCTTTCTCATCGGTTCGTGACCCGGACGGAATTTTAATATGCTTATGACTTTTAATATCCAGATTTCCAGACGAAGACCAACATTTTCAGAAAAATTATAAATAGTAAAATTAGAAAAATGTGGACCAAGTGGTGACGGAACCCACGACCCGTTGATTGTTACCATGAGCCCTTATAATAATTGTACTTTAATGGAATCTTTTATAGTAGTTTTTGATGAACATACAATAATCTGATCAAGGTGGAACTGCAGACTAGGGCATTGGGGGATTTTATTTTTGCTGATAATTCCCCCTGCATCATCGATTCTTCCAATCACTCTAAGATACTTTTGTAATTTTTGATTTTTTTTTAAATAAACGATACACCTGTTTTGATTGCGTGGTTCGTCATTGTTATTTTTTACGTATTGTTATATTCTTTAGTTCATTCGCTGGAGGAGAAGATCAAGACGCTCAAGACGAAACGATAAATGTATTTTCCGTCGCATCCGGACATCTTTACGAGCGGTTCCTCCGTATCATGATGGTGTCAGTTCTTAAACACACCAAGTCACCAGTCAAATTTTGGTTCCTGAAGAATTACCTCAGTCCGTCGCTTAAGGTAATGTCATCTTTGAGTTCTTAAATGATTATTTATGAATGGAAAACATTTTTAATAATACTCGTTCATTTGTAGCCATTTTATTGGTTTAAAACGCGAAATGTAGTTAACTCATTCACAATAGTTTTAACTAGGGCCCGACGTTTTGAATGTTTTGCAGCGGCTGGTGCACTGAGCCTGGACGACTACTCTTCATCATCCGAACTGTTAACTAACATTTCGCGTTTTAATCCGTTGAACAGTGTTTTATTTAAATGTGTACTACTCACGTAATCTACAGTATTTGGACATATACAGTATACACACTGCCACTGAAATTACATTATTGTATATTTTCCGTCAACAGGACATACTGCCATACATGGCTGAAGAATATGGGTTTTCATACGAACTGGTGCAATATGTCTGGCCGCGGTGGCTGCAAAGACAGCGTGACCGCCAGCGTACGATATGGGGCTACAAGATTCTATTCCTCGACGTTCTGTTTCCTTTGCACGTCAAGAAAATCATCTTCGTCGATGCTGATCAAGTAAGCCCTTGAATTATATTTTGACTGGCATAATGGTAGTAATGTATGACTAATAATTAACAGGCCGTGGGTTCGATCTCTCCGGATTAAACATTTTCTAATATCTAATCAGTATATAGTTATTCGAAACCATGTAGCCACAAAGTTAACTGATTTAAATATGATATATTTTAGAAGTATAGGCTGATTTAATGATAAAACTGGGCGTTTTGAACAATTTAAAGTGGTTTATTTAATTTTTCATTTTAGTTATTCTTACTATGATACTTAATTGCCTTGCAGATTGTACGAGCTGATCTCAAAGAGCTGGTTAATTTAGATTTGGGTGGTGCCCCCTACGGCTATACACCATTCTGTGACAGCAGGCGAGAGATGGAGGGATTTAGGTAACTGAAAAATCTGGACATTTTTTGGATGGCAGGAAGGGGTCATCCATAAAGTACGTCACACGAATTTCATGATTTTTTGAGGCACCCCCCCCCCCCCGGCCTTGTCACAAGTGGTCACATTTCTGAGACCCCCTCCCTAGTGCGACGTCACACTTCGAAAAATTATTAAATTAAAACAGCAGTTCCGAAATTAGTTTTATTTCCGTTTAAATGAAGTAAGTACTTTTTTTGGCATGAACTCTTCGACCAAACAAACCGTATCATCCTAAAGATAGAGTTAATTAATATTTCAAATTACGCGATTAGTACCTCTAGATACATTAGATTTTAAAATGTGATATCACGAAACTTAGGAGCCCTCCCACCCCTTGTCACACTTTGTCGACCCCTCCTCACCCCTTTACGTGTGACGTACTTTATGGATGACCCCGAATATCGTTATTTTGTCCAGGCCATAGACCAACAAAAGTAATTTATTCTGTATAAATTCGCGTTTCGGTTTCAGTCTTTATTAAAAGTAGCCAATTAGATACAGAAGCTACGTTTGTGCAGATTCTGGAAGCAAGGGTACTGGCGGAACCACCTGCAGGGTCGAAGCTATCACATCAGCGCCCTCTACGTGGTTGATCTCAAACGTTTCCGGCGTATAGCCGCCGGTGATCGTCTTCGCGGGCAATACCAGGCTCTCAGTCAAGATCCCAACAGTCTCTCTAACTTGGGTACTATTTTTTTTATTTACTAGCTGTCCCAGCGACCTTCGTATTTTACATATAACTAATACTTGAACTCTGTGTAATGGTGTTAAGGTTCAAAAACCTTTAAATTGCAGTACAAAGAAGTATTGCATTTAGATGTTTGAAGGTATTTTTGTTTATTAATTATAGATGTAAGATGTATTTTATGTTGTTTTTTGTGTGTTCATTTCTATGTCTGTTTCAATGTTTTTATAGGCAACTCGTTAATTGCAGTAGAAGTTAAGTTGAGTTCTGTGCCCTGTTCGACCGAAACTATCGATGTTCTTCCGAGATTCGAAGTCAGGAGACAGGGCGAAAACATGGCTTATGGGTTGGTGACTTTTTTGTTCTGTTTTCATAGACCAGGACCTGCCGAACAACATGATTCATCAGGTTGCGATAAAATCCTTGCCCCAAGAGTGGCTCTGGTGCGAGACGTGGTGCGATGACAAATCCAAGGGTTACGCCAAGACAATTGATCTTGTAAGTTTACTTTGTAACATATTACTACATTAAATACTGTCTATAGTTTACGCGAGTAGTACACGTTTAAATAAAACACTTTAACTTTTTGCGGGGAGACTCCCCGTGACCACGGCTGCTGCAAAGCATCCGAAACGTCGGGCCGAAGTCAAAAAGCATTTTTCAAATAGATTTACCTAATACATCGCGTTTTAAACCGTTAAAGTGTTTTATTTAAATATTACTATATTTCAATTTGATTTAACAAGCGTTCAGCCTTAATACAACAGCTTGTTGTAAAAAAATTCTATTGATTTTAATATTGCTCTTCTTTAAAAAAAACTACTAGCATTTTCATTACTGTGACATTTAGGGACACCCTCCATCTTCATTTGAGTCGTCGGGCCGTAGTTAATATAAATTCTGTATAAGGTAATTAATACATTTCGCGTACTGAACCGTTAAAATGTATTACTCGCGTAAACTGTTACTTAACCAACTGACAATTAATGGAAAAGACTAAAACGAGAGAAAGGCGATCTTTTGATTACAATTCCACGATAAACGACGACACATCGGTACGAACATAGATTTTTTTGTAGCAGATTCAATATGTCTCTTTATGTTTAAGTGCAACAACCCAATGACGAAGGAGGCGAAATTATCTGCTGCTATGAGGATCGTCCCCGAGTGGAGTGAATACGACGCAGAGATCAAAGGCTTGCAGGCGCGAGTGCGCCGCGGCCTTTACCAACGGAACGATTCTGATCAGGTATATAAATGTTTATAAGTTTCTATTAATCCTTAAATAAATATTGACTTATAGACTATTTCAATGTATCCGGACATACTTCTGTGTCCTTTTATTAATTGTTTCTTTAGTTGTATGTAGTTGACAAAACTTCTGTTTCCTGCTCGACCACAGGACCCTTTCTGGTTTACGCAGGTAACGAAGGCGACATGAGCCAATTAGACAGTCAATTGTTTTTTCATAATAATATTATTTTACAACATTGTTGAAAATAATTTGAAATCCATCTTTAATTACAGGAGATCGATCAGAACCAGGCGGAAGAAGTGCCTCCAAGTGATACTAGTAAGTATTTCTTAATATTACGAAGATTTTAAATCTAGTAATATACTGCTATACGGCTATATCTACGAAACTCATAATTAGCAGACACCGTTAATATTTTATTTATTCAGATCTTTTTGAATTCACGAATTTTCTCATACTTAATACAGCTTATATTATATCCTTAGAAATAAGTTATTATCCTGTCTCTATAACTTTTGTGTTTCTCGTTTCCCAACTTTGGGGCATTGAGCGAACACATTACTGTGTCCGTTTCACTGATTGGTTTTATTTACAGGTAAATATTTAAAACTTCTTTCCTGTTCAACCGAAATTTTTAATCGTTTCTCCAGGATTCGAACCCAGGACCGCTTGCGTATAACATTGCGTTAATCGCTGGGCAACAATTTTACCAATTAGCTACAGAGGCGGTCATATATCTCTTTAATTTTCAGTGTTTTTTTATTCAGTTGTTAATTTTAAAGGTTTTAAATAAAGGACTTGTAGATTATACGTTCTATATGCTAAAGTGCAGTGTTATAATTAATCTACAATATTTCGTGTTTTAAACCGTTGTAAATGTTTTATTTAATCTATACTTCACGCGAGTGTACATACATTCTCTAACATATCTTAATTTTTCAGATGCAGACCACAAACACACGGAGTTATGATGCATTACAGCGCCAGTAGGGTTTTGTTATTCCAATTAATTGTTAGTGATATAAGTGGAAAAGAAGTGCAATACTTCGCGTCCTGTAAAAATAACTATTAGGCTGTGGGCTCATATAAAGCAGTAGGTCGTTTGCAAACTACGCGCTTTTATACATTTTTGGGTATTTCGAACCGTCTTTGCACGGTACGCAACGGTAATCTGCAAGGAAAATAAATTTTCCCTGATTTTCTGACTTTCCTATTGTTCTTTTCTCTTAATGGTCGCAGTCTGATGATTTATAGCCCATAACTTTCCTGAGATTAGCGCGTTCAAACAAATTTTATAAGTTCAGTATACATGATTCGGTCTTTCGGGTCATTGAACACTCTTTATCTAGCTGGGTTGACCTGTAAGCCCAGAAACCAGTGTCGTAGCAGTGGGAATTATTAGACCCGAAGACCCGGGTTAACACGTGATGTAAGCGACTTACTGTGTATATAAGAGACCGCAGCCTTAGTGAATTTGTAGATAAGACCTACCCTCTACTGCAATACGGTTTATTATTTAATGCCATCGTTGTTAAAATAAGGACCAAATTGTTTTCACCACTTTTTTTTATGCTACTATTTTTAAGAAAATGTGATTGTTTAGATCGTAAGTCATCTCTACTGCTCGGTAACTGTTGTCTAGTATATTTTAGCATGTGCTGGAAAATTAACGGTTTAAAACGTGCTCTACTGTAGTAAATTAATTTTAAACTACTATCCGTCGTTTTGCATGCTCTACAGGTAATTAGGCCCGAAACGACGGGTAAAAAATGAATTAGTATTGTTCTGGTTTTAAACCGTTAACATTGTTTTAGTTTAATGTTTACTATTTTGTGTAAACATTCTTGGAAGAAGTTTATTTTGCAAGTGATTACCAGTGTTTCGTATTTTTCAAGTTTACATTCTGCGACAATCCATTAAGAGTGCCTCACTCAGCGTGATTAAAAGGTTAAAAAGATACTTTCGTGTTTTTTTTTAGTTCGTTTCATAAAGAAGCGGGTAGAAAGAAATTCCGCCTGGATCACAAAAACAGTCCACAGGTCGAGAAGCAGAGTTTCTGTATCTATCTGTGCATTTTAAAATTATATATAGCTTTCTCCTTTCAACAAGAAATCCTTCCTCCCCCCCCTCCATGCTTGTCTACCCTCCTCTGGCATATAAAAATGAATTTTCACATAACCTAACTTCTTTGAATGTTCCTCCTAATTTATCATTTACGTTTAGTAGGATGAGAAATAAAAAAGGTATGCTAAGTACGAGTTTATTTACAATCCTGTAACATGGTGTTTGTGTCAATACTACACTTCAAATGTCTACTGTACGTCTATCCAATACACAACTATTTACAACATACCGAGATTCGTGCAATTAATTTCCGCACCTAAAACTACGTACATTTATTGTCGTATAGAATATTACTATTAATAAATAGAATCGCTAATTCTAAGTACAACATTAATAGTTACAATCATGGGCGTACATCTTCCGGTACATAAAACGGTTTTAATCGTGAAATATATTAGTATTTTTTTACTTACGGTCCGACGTTAGATGCTTTGCAGCCGTGGCCGCAGGTAACCACGTCGGGGTATAATTAAAGAAAGTTAAATAATATATTACGCGTTTTAAACCATTGAAAGATAGTCAAGTGTCCAGGGAGAGACTGCACTTGATCTAATCTCTCCATGCCTGTCCCTGGGTACGCCCACGGTTACGATAAAATAAATTAAACTCTACAAGCTACGTTATATCTATTGAAAATTGTACATCGAATCTTAAACATGACTAGTGCAATAGATCGTACGCGACATAATCATTAAATATCTTTGGTGAATATGCACTTCAGAATATCATAGGAAGGTATAGATATAGAATTTTAAGTTTGGAATGGAGTCATGGAAGTTTACTTAGAAGTTCCTTTCTCATTCATATTTGGTTGTTTTTTTTTATATTATATGATGATTTGACTTTCAAACAATAGCAACAACAAATTTATATAAAATAGCGGATGAAAGCCTTGGTACCTCTTTATGGACCATACCACATCTAGTGCTTGGAAGTTGGAAGGGCTGTTGAACTTAGTCTCTTATAATTGTCAGTGCTGAAGCGGCGTAGTGATTATAAACTTCCAAATCATATCTCCTATAAGCTAAGACATATAGAATACGTAAGTTTGCGTAAATTACAATATGAATTGGAAAAGTCAAACAATTGCAAAAGATAGAGTTAAACAATTGAAACCTTCTATGACAAAGTTTTAAACCCAACGGTGCGACGCTCTACCAGAAAAGTTACCATGTCGAATACGTCATCATAAATTTTTTCAATGATTCAGATGCACTCAATACTATTTTATTGTGGCTTAGAATAAACTCCAAGCAGTTTAACCCTTAAACTATGCCGAGCTGTGGTAGGTGAAGAAAACTACGATGGGTACGTTCGAATAGAAGAGAAGAGAGTACCATGGCAGCTTCCAGATAGCAGCCTTGATGGTCGATGGAGACCTGATCTTAGGACTTTAAAGGTCAGAAACTGGAGATGCCTAGCCCAAGTTAGGACGGTTTGCAGGTATATGCTTGACCAGGTCAAAGCCCAAGACGCTGAAGTGCGAGATAGTTAAAGCGTTCAGTTACAATAGTGCTCTTCGCTCGTGACCCGACACAGTTGGCAGTCGACTCGACAACACCAGTGGTATCGGCAGTGGCAGCGCTCTAGTCTATTGTGACGCAACGCGCGACGACCACGACCACAGCAAAGTCTGCCGCAGCCGCCCGAAGCACTACCGAGGCTTACGTTACACTTCCTGTAAATCATATTTTATGAAAAACCGTAAAATTAGGTAAGAACCTGTAATCAAACTTCAAAACAAACAATAAAAAAATACTGTTTAATTAAATGTGTTCTAGCGTAAATTGAAGCCACAAAATTAGTTTATAGTCGAAGGGCTTAACCCTCAGATTTTTCAAATTCTGGTGATGTAAAAGGATTTTGAAATTTACACCATTTTAAATATGTACTTGCCTTATATAACTATACTTAATTTTAGTGGTATGATAATTAATTAAAACTGAATGCCTATCATAATAAAGATTCTTTTGTAGCTCTTTTAACTGTATTTAACATTAATAAGCTGTTAAAAGTATATTATAAAATGCCTAATTTGTGTTGAAAATAAATATATATTGAATTAATAAGATTTAAGTATTTAATTATTTGTGCCCGTAAAAGATACGAAAGTATTTTTTAAGATTCGTAAAAGATGCATGCAACAAAGTGTATGGTTTTACGGCTAGTTAAAAATTAAAACTACGTATATTGTAGTCTATACTAACCGTCCGTGTGTCCCCAGTGAGCCAGCAGCAGTATCTGGCTCGCAGTAATCTGGGCTCGGTGTGACGTATCTCAGTCTGGGCTTGGCCCGGGCAGCTCGTCGTCTGGCCCGCAAAGGCCCCGCGCGTGCTGCCTCCCGAGCAAGTTCTGCGGCCGCGCGGTGTATCGGTGCTAGAGATCGCCAGCACGTTCGAACCGAACACGAGCCTGACACACCGTGGCAAGTGCACTTCGTTCGCATACTATTCGATACAGCCTATACAAAACATAATATAGACCTGATATAGATAATAAATTTATAATCAAACATATACATATTGTGTCTGTCACATACATGCAAAAATATGACGTACAATATACGCTAAGTATAAATGTACTGTAGTTTACACATTCCAAATTTGCAATAGCCGAATAATTCGAAACGAAGAGCCATACTTAAAATAAATTGTAATAACTTAACTCATATATTTGGCGTTTTAAACCGTTAAAAAGGTCATATTAAATGAGAACGGACGTACCAAAAACAGTCTTCTAAAATTGCTCTACCAATTGAACTACCGTGTCCTGGGCGATCTATCTATCTATATAGGCGATAATCTATTTAAAATTCGTGGATGTTGAATTTTAAATAGATATAATAGATTAATTGTGAACAGATTATGTATTAAGAAGTAAGAAATAGTATAAAGCTTTGTGTATTTCGTATTTAGGACCTAACAACGTTGTAACATAATAATTAATTAAACGCTATAAATGTACGTACTTTCCGGCCGAATCGGTTGTTCATCAAATTTGCAGAAGCTATAAGCGGCCGCAAGCGTTCGAGCCGAGTTTGCAAATCCACTTGAGGGTCGAAGCGAGGGTCGTCTGCAGCCATACGATATTCTATGTTGCGATGTTTGAAGCCTCTGTCGTCGTATTCGTACCTAAAAAGGTAATAATTTTCATAAATTGGAGGAAAATTTATTTCATAACTAGATTGCCTCTCGTAATCTCATACAGTTTGGCAAGTAAAAATAATTATAAGTTACTTATTAAAAACAATTAGTTCTATATTTATAACTTTTCAAAACATGTTGGACTTGTGGAAATCTGGATTTTAAACGGGTGGAAGTCCATGGCTTTCCAATTATCCAAAGCAAAATTGTTTTACTTTAGTAGTTTATTGTTTAGATGTTTATCGGCTGGGTTGTTTCCCCATCCATCTATATCCATCTGCTCTACATAGCTACATGACACCAACGATCTCAATACTAATTATAGTAGTATTAAATGTGTATCCATAGTTTTATTTTATTAAATAAAGGATGCATTAATTATTAATAAAATCATGATGAAATCCCACCGTTCTCTGAAGCGTTTCCGTGTGGGTCTGCCCCTTCTTGGCGATCTCGGCAAACGTTTACGACCTCGCCTGCCTTTCCTCTTCGGTGTCGCTGTCGTAAGATTTGGTTGAGCAGGCTGGTCGTCCACCAAGATAACGACTGGCGGCGGTGTTGCTTCTATTGTGGTCGTTGTTACTTCTGTTGTCGTCGGGTCTGGTTCCAATTCGTCGACGTTTCCGTCCCGGATGTCAATTTCATGTGCGTCCAAGAATTGTCTTGCAAATCTAGAATCAAGTTAGAATACAGAATACACAAATTGTGTTAAATTTTAATTTTATTTAATTAGGCTACTTTAGTCTTAAAAAAATATTATATTTTGATTCTTTACTTGGTTTCATAATCTTTTTTTCATTGTCTAATCAAAATTTAAAAAAAAACAGCGACTTGAACCGGCATTGACAGCATTCCGCGCTGCTATTTACACCAGTTGTTAGTGATAAGATAAAATTACATTGCACTAGAGTTAAACGTATTAATTGTGTTGAAGAAATTTGACTATGACGTTTAGGCCACGGTAGCTCAATTGGTTATAGCAGCATCACGAAACGTTATGGACGCAGTTCAAGTCCTGCTTGTCTCGTATTCGTTTTTTAAATCCAAATAGATTTTTAATTTATGTGCAAAATCATGTAAAAAAATATTACAATTTCAAATTTATAAAAGCTTAAAATATCGTCAGATTGCTTATATAATTTATTTTATTAAAAGAAGTAAGCAATGAGTATACCTTTCGGCCCACTGGAAGTTATCACCGCATCCTCCCCATTTGAAACGCGCGTGGGGTTCAGGAGGTGCAGCCTGACGCGGTGGACGCGGTGGTGCCCGGGGTGGTGCTGCGCAGGAGCACGCAGCGAGCGCACCGGATGCGCACGCTCGCGCCACGCTCCAAGACAACGCTGCCGCTGACATAGCGTATACGTAGGCTTGCTCCCTTGTACCTGGAAAATAAGTAGAACTTAAGAGAGTATGCAATATAAACGTATCTTTTAAATTTATTTATTTATTACAGTTAATAAAAAAAAATACGGATTTCAAAGTGCTAAAAAAAGACAAAACATCTTCGGTCAATTGTAATACGTACTTTGATTTAGGGCAATAGTGACTACGCACAATTTTCTTTTAAATAAGACAAATTGAAATATCTACATCTCAACAAAATAATATTCATACACGACTGCGCAAACACAAATAAAAGAGGTAACATCCGAATCGAATTGCGAACCTACTTCTTTTGAAGTCGGTTAAAAACAGATACCACTTTTACTAAACGGGAATATAGAATATCTGTGGACGACCATTATATAACCATATCAACTAATCACTCGTGTATTTTTAATCAAGTTTTGTGACTCATACTAGTCTATTTCTAAGGATATTTAATAAATGTAGTGTATTAATATTATTGAATACTAACGCATACATTCAATTCTTTGTTTGTAGTAGGCAATCATTAACAGGCCCACAGCATATCATACAGTTGGATACTAAGTTATATTTTAGAGAAACATTTGTTAGAAAAACATATTGTTACGTATATATTGATCTTGCCTACATAATGCAAAAAAAGCATAACCTCTTATTAATATAACTATGAATAAGACAATCAAATGATGAAATCAGCGATAAGATCAGCACGTCCAGCCATACAATGTCCGTAATCGAGCTTATCGTTAAAACATCAGAACGCGTGAATGCACCTTGTGTCTACTCACTCCCTAGGCCTTCGCCCCACTCGCTTGATTCATGCGTGTAATTAAATCTTTTATCCGTATAACTACACCGCGATCCCGTTGACGGTTTCGCCCGGTCTACAGATATCCTTTTCAATTTAACAAGACAGAGTAAGGGAATCAATGTCAATAGAGATTTCCTTAGTGATTTATTGCTGTAATTTCAGATTAAAAGATCTGTTTTTTCGTATTGTCAGATTACGCGAATGGTTAATATTGAATAAAACACTATTGACGGTTAATTGCCTGGAAATATATTCATTTATTTGTGTAAATTATGACCTCACGTTTCGGATGCATTACGGACGCTGTGATCAAGGAGAATATGTAATAATCATTTCGCGTTTTAAACCGTTAATAGCTTTTTATTTAGTTCGTAGATTTTTCTCTACATTAAGAGGAGTATTATAACTGTATGTTACTTTTCTTTAGTGTCGTACCGAGTATGAAATCACAGGGGAACCATTTTGGTAAAACGGGCCGTTGGTTCGATCCCCATCGGGTCCGACATGTTTCATTTATAATTTTTCTGAAACATATTGGATTTCCTCTGCACATATGGACACGGGCGATAGGAATATTGAAATTCCGTCAGGGCCAAGGTCTACAGGTGAAAAGCTGTGAAGTTTAATGGCATTTCGATTTCAGTCTGTGAATCTCCGATTATCTTAAGCAAAACTATGTCTACAGTGCATTTGATTTAGATGTTAAATGGCTGGGTTTATTTTACCTTCCATCGAGTGAAGCCTACGCTTTCCTGTCGTCCTCTATCATAAAAAAAATTGTTTCTACGTTCAGAAATGAGAAACTCTCTTAATGAAAAATGCAAAAAATATTAAAAATTATACATCCAAATTTAGCGTGCAAGTCGTTGAAAGTACCTAATTAGTGTTACTGAAAAGTTTAGAGCCGCTCCGCCGGCCGCAGAAGCTCTAAAAGTTTTAATTAAAATGTATTAGGTTGAGGACGTCTGAAAGATTCATAGCTTTTACCGGGCGCAAGCCGACGCTTTTTTCGTAAAACATTTTCAACATCAAAAGATAAAATTATTATACCTGTAATGTTGTTCGTAATATTTAATTCTATCATAACAACTTGTTACCTGGTCAAGCCTGTAACCTTAGTGATTGTATATTTATGAATAATTTTCTTATTTTTCTGATCCACCGTCAGGAAAATCTAAAAATCTCGTCGAAATTCCGTAGATGGAGGCCCCGTAGTTTTAATCCGCTTGTTGGTTTCATTGGACTTTCCAAATCCAAAGCCAAAATAGTCTACATGTGGCAATACACATTTCCTTATTCAGAATTAAGTTCATGCTTATCTTTTGTCGTCAAAACATGAACAAAATAATTAAATAAAACACTTTAACGGTTTAAAACGGGAAATATATTAATTAAACAGCCGCTCCTAGACCACGGCTGCTGCAAGGCATCCGAAACATCGGCCATAATTAAAAACGATTTGTAAATAAGTTTGAGTAGTGTATTTAGTATATTTAGTAGCGTTTTAAACCGTTTTAAGGTTTTATATGAGTGTATACTATTCGCGAAATCTACAGACAGTATCTAATGAAACATATTTTTGATTAAAAACGGTATCTGTTGCCAACGATACAATATCGCAGAATAAACTGAAAACGTGAAAGCTTTTTCTCGCTGTTTTCGTTTCTGAAGCTTAGTTCTTGTTTTAGCATGGAAGATGCATTGATAGCGAATGTTTTACAGATCAATGCCTAAGATTACAGATACGTAGCTACATTTTCCGTTCGAAAAACACGACTAACAAGCGAGGGGGTCACTGGATGGAAGGTGAAATATTTCAGCCCTGTAACTTCATTTTATGATGCGCTGTCGGCCTCTTTTGGCTTTGTACAGTCACACGGACTTACACCGCAGGCGATGGGAATCGATCTGTAGTTAAATAACATACCGACCAATAGACTAACAAACTCCTAAAGTAATTGTTATTAACAAAATTGAAATGTAATCAGTAAAACACAATAGTAGTAAATTTGATTCGATTTACAGCGTTGCCAACCAGATGTTTCTTCTAGAAGATCGATAAAAATGACACGATATGCAATTATTTAATCCACCTAATATACATCATACGTTTAAACAATTTTCACTCGTAAGTCTTTGTTATAAAGTTCAAATTATCAGTACGGCTATCGTATAAGCGTACCTCGTATTATTGCTGACTGTACGCAGGGCCGCGGGTGATGTCGCCTTATACAGGACAGAAATTTACGATGAATGGATTTTGGCTGCGGATCGTATTGGGTCACGCGAGCAATAGTGAATTATCGGTACGACGGAAAATTACCTAGAAAATTATTTACGTACCATCAAGATTTCATGCTTGTCTGTCTTCCTGTTTTCAAAAAAACGAAATAACTTTTTATAGTTTACATTAATTTGGTATAATTATGTGTAGATGTATTTCTTAAGTGTTCTTCTACGAGGCTTTTAAAGTTTAAACGCCTAATCAAAGTTATCCGAATATCCAAAGTCAAAAATAGGTCAACAGCGATAATGTTTAGGAATTATATAGGGCTGGAGTGTTTCACCATCAAACCCCATGGTGGTCTTTCTTACTCTATCATGAAAAAAAGTTGTAATAATATCGCCGTAGCATTCTCGACATCACAAGTATTTAATTATCCGCCGTTAACGACAATGTATTACATCCGTTTTCTATTGTTCAGTATTTAAAAATTAATTACCCGAAGAGCGATAAATAAAGGCACAGACTAAATAGAATGAATGCGGAACGGAAACGCGACAGAATAGAGAAAGGGCGGTCGGTGTCGTTACGCTAGCCGCACTCGCACAATGTCCATCGTTGGTTTAAGACTCTGTAAACTTGCCTTATCTATATCATGATTGTCGGAAGTTCACGTCGACGTGCAGCGGAATCGTTAAGGCTGTGGTCTCATTTAAACGGAAATGGTCGCGAACATGGGTTGTATCGCTTAAAATCTCAGTAACTACTGCTTCCACATCTATACAAATACAAATACAAATATTCTTTATTGTCACAAAACAAAACAACAACAAAAAAATATATAAAAATTTATGGAAATTAAGGACAAACGGCGACTTTATAGCTAAATAGCTATCTCTTCCAAGCAACCATGATGGAAATGAAAATTCAGTAATAAAAAATCTCTCATCATCATCTATTCTTGGTCCTACTTTGGTCTGCGTAAACAGTGGAAAATGTGGAATACACGGGAAAAAATATTTATCATCACGTAGAACAGCTTTTGCTTCTAATTCCCCTATTTTAGGCTTAGTAAACTCCTAAGTAACTTAAGTGATAAAATGTATATTTTCCGTATTTCACCCAAAAACCTACGCAAAGTCATTGCATACTTTCTGTTGTTATTGTAGTAGTTAATCATAATATCATAAATTTAAATTAATTTGGAATTTGAGTTGTATTTTTTGGTGTATTATATCTATATCATAGAACCTATTCTTCCTAATGTTTTCCTATTTGTACAATTTAGTTCACTTTGTCTTTGCTTAACTTTACATGTAGTGTCTGTTTGTAATTGTTTTACACAATTTTGTTTTTTTTTCAAGTTTAAGTTACATATGTCAATTTTGATAAAATGTTGACAGTCCTTAATCTAATATATAAATATATCATTGAAGGCTTCCCTTGCGTACGCAGCGAAGACGATTCAAGAAAAAAAAATATGCGGCAGTATAAGTCTTTATTTTAAGAGTCACTCGCAAGAACCGTTTTTATGGTAATCAAATTTGTTCAAAATTAATTTTGCCAATTATTTGTTAGAGCTGTAACAACATTAATCAAGCGAACAACAAACCAACAGAGATATATATTACTGTCCCTTTCTTTCTTTTTACATTCACTAATACGATTTTATATTGTATCGCGAGGTATAGTTTAAATTTGATGCAAGCTGTGATAGGTAGAGTAAATATCATAACGGCTTAAAGCTATACGGGATCTACAGCGTTTATAGGAGACCACGACCCTAAGAAACTTCTAAAAGTCCAACAAAGACCGGACTTTCTTAATTCAACTTAGAATCTAGCTCTTTATTCCTATTTTCCCTTCGCTAGTAATTAGGAATTGAATCGAACTAGAGTTCCATAGAAAACAATCCATTGTGTAATTTCAAACTTTTCCTTTATACTGATGTAATTAATAGACTACAGAATGGATCGATTCGTCACGGACATCCTGATCCTAAAAATTAATGATCTTACAATAATTTAGACAGGGTAGAGGAAATAAGATAGACAAGCAGAGTTCCCTCGATGGTATATGAATAACCCCAGCCTATAGTATCTAAATAAGACGCTCTACAGACCTGTTTTGACTTTGGACATATTCCTACCACCCATTTAATATCCAGATTTCTAGACGAAGTCCAACATGTTTCAGAAAAATTATAAGTTGAAGGCCGTACATTGCTAACAGTAGGTAGGTACACCAACAAACCCTTCGAAATAAATTATGGCTAATAAATACGATGTACCTGTAAGTAAATCTGGTGAATACTTCGGAGCTAGTTCTATAGAGGAGCAGTTCCAGCGCTCTCCCGAATGCGCTGCTAGACAAGCTGAACGCGCCAGTCTTGCAGCTGCTGCTACGTGCGGCATCGCGGTAGGTTGTCGTCTGCAAACACGGACCTGTTCCGACCACAGGCTTCCATTCTGTTTAGCTTCCCAGCAGTCGCTCTCAGTCCAATTACCAACGTTGTCGTGCAAGGCTCTGTGGAAAATTATTATATTTTATAATACTAACACTTGAAAGAAGGTTTCTACTTAGGATATCGCGCACAACTTACGTTGAATGCTCGTAGTATGTGTATATATGAGTCAATAAAGTTTCTTTAGACTGTAATTGTTTAATTTTACATGTACGTTATATTGTGTGAAAAATATAAAGGGAACGCAATTAAACATTTTATATGATTGTCTTGGATAGGTATCGGAAATAATTAAAAGGTCAAATTTAACGTGCATTTTATTTCGAGTGGCATTAACATTTTTCCTCTTAAACAATTTTTTTAACTATTTAACCCGTCTGGATTCTTCTTCTGACGTTTGCGACATATCGTTCTTCCTAGCAGACTGTGGACGAAGACCTCGTTGAAAGGCTTCGCACATTTCAAATAGATAGTTTGGAAGAAAATCGTTCCCTTCGCCTTCTCTACGTCGAAGTAAGCTGTATGCCTCTCGTAGCGTCGGCTTTGGAGTCAAACGCATTTCTAGCTCAACAGCTGAAGGAAAATGAGCAGCTAATGAATAAATAATTTCCAGGTCTGAAGGCGGTGGACTCAAATGCTTGTAATTCGAGACTTTACACAAAAAGTACTCGGACATGCTCATAGTATCGTTTTCATCGTATTTCCCCAACTTCATATCGTAAAGCACAGTCTTTTGTCTTTCGGGACCCCAAAATTCTCGTTCGAAGGCGGAGTAAAATGCATTAGTATCTTTGAAGTCAGTTCTGAAGCAACGTATCCACATAAGAGGTAAGCCGCTCAGGCAAGACGTTATAAACGGCAGCTGCTTCTCTTCAGGCATGTTTAACTCCGATATATAATATTTGACGTTTTCCAAAAAGTCCATAGGGTGAGTATCACCGCTGTCGTCAAAATGCGGTCGTTTGTTTAATGAAGCAATTATGAGGGTATTCAAATTCTCAGTGGACACGGGCATTACTTGTCTTTCTGAATCTTGACTCTTAACATTATCGATTTCAACTATTTTAGATCGCTTATCGTAGCGTGATTTATCGTTTTCCGATTTTCCTAAATTGGGCAGTGACATATGACTTCGCAATCGAGAAGACGGCATGTTCTCTAGAATGTCTTCTTGGCTCTGGGAGAATCGTACTCCGAGGCCCAGTGTTGCCGGCTTGTAAATATTACCGAATAATGCGGAATCGACGCTTTGCTTTCGCCCCATGTCTTTGGATACCGAGCTCGATATCTTATCGACCATTTCCGAAAGGCTCGTTACCGACGACTTGATTTGACGTAAATCAACAAATAAGCTCATACTGTTTTAGAATATTCATCAACTTCTATATAGCTCCATTATTAGATCTGAAATGAAATATCATATTTACTAAATACGAATAAACGTATACGATATTGAACAAAACATATTTGATTGTTTTTTTTAATTTATTAGTTAATTGATTCTTTTAGAAGCACCCTAAATCTGAAAATCAACTAAGGAATAAATTTCGTGTTTAAAATCGTTAAAAGTATTTTAAGTAACGTAGATACGGCAAAATTAGAGTTGAAATGTTCCAAATATGATAATACTTGTGCCGTAGCACAGTGCGTACAAGTGAGGAAAGCTTACGTGCGGCTGCGGCGGGCGGGCAAGTGGTACTACCCGCGCCTTCCCTTAGCGAGGAAAGTCGTGGTTGCAACTTTTTTTATAGACTTCCGTATTAGGCACGATAACTAGGTTATTGTCGGAATATTAAATTTCATCGACTCGTGACTCGTACTCGCCAAGGACAGTACTGATGACTTATGTTCAACGGAATATGCTTGACTTTTCAGAAACTTAATTATAATGTATATTTCGCAGAAATACTGGTTTTTTCTTGATTGCAATTTATATGAGGAAATTCTTCAGCATTCAAACTGACTTTGATGATAGCCTTAAACTGATGATATTGAGAGGCAATACAACATGTAGTATAAAGTTATTTAAGACTAGCTGTGCTTGCAAAGGCGAATTCAGGAGGGGGTCATGGGGCCCTGACCCCTGAAGTGGTTCCAGGCCTTAGGTGGACCACTAATTGAACATATTAATTTCATTTACAAATTATTATGTGTTAAATTCTTTAAGTGTACAATTTTAAAAAAAGTGAAAGCCCGTTTCCCCTCGTTATTTTAACGGGCAAGTACTTGATCAGACTTCTGTGCTCTACCTGACCGATACAGATTTTTTTGTTTCCTTGGGATTCAAACCCAGTACCTATCGCGCTCATCGCAATGCTACGCAACGCAAACCACTTGGCTACAGAGGCAGTCTCAAGTGTACAATTATGAATCAATATTTTGAAGTTCACTACGTTTACTAGAAGTTGAAATTTGTCGTCTACAGCCCCCGCTGTGTTGTTTAAACCCTCGTTCATTAAAAGCGGCTTAGTTATTTCAGCTATAGAACACAAATGGCTACAATGTTAAAATTCCTATAGGCTTCGCTGGAAACGTATGTAAGAGGTGAATGTTATAAAGCAGTAATTGTATCAAGAAAGCCCTCGGCTGTGAAAAAGCTATGCACGCGATTTCATCAGTGACGTGGTACGCCGGATGACGTCACTCCGAGGTTTCAACTTCACTATATGTGCTAGGCTAAGCTTAAATTAGACTTTCGCACATAATTCAATTGTTAAACGTGTTGCATTATGATGGGCCGAAAATTGGTTTTATGATATTGCAGGACAGTGAAACATGCTTACACCATATAACATGTAAATAAGACGCGCTGTCTATTTATTCTGGCTTTGGATATTCGGAAATCAGAGTAACTGATATCATTCATTAAGATGAGATTTGCAAAAACAAATTTTGACGCTCGAAATAGCAGTCGCTGGCTCAGCTAGTAAAATAAAAGTTAAAAGAGATTAAAGCGCGCCTCACAATCCTTTTAAATACTTGTAACGGTTGAAAACGTGTTTTTAAAATGTATTAGTTATCTTACTTACAATATATTTTAACTACCCCACGCTTCGGATGCTTCGCTACAGTCGGTGTCACGGGAGGACTAAAAAAATATAGTGTAAATGCATTAACTAGTTTACTTCGTAATTTAAAAATCGAAAATAAATTGAAAAAATTTTCGACTCGGCTATGACTTTCTTCTCGACCGCTTCAGCGGGCGCAGGTATTCCTGTTCGCGCAATTGCGCCTGCAGGAGGTGGCGGGTATCGTGGCTCGTTGCTACGAGCCCGTCGGTAGGTGTGCTGCAATGGCAGCGTCTGGCCGGTGGTGACGTCGGTGGCTTATCTCCGCACCGACGTCCTGGGTGCTGCACGCTTCGGGTGAGGGGGATGTTGATGCACACTCATTCAACACCCCGACGATCCTGTCAGCGGCAGCAGCGCTCGGGGACCGGGCGGCTTCATCTCCGCACACGTTCCTGTGCTTCTTCTTCTTCAATGCTGCGTCGGGAGAGCGGCACGGCACGGCGCACAGCAACCGGGGCACGGGCGGGTCCCTAGTGGGCAACCGGGACGGGCCCTGAGAGGGGGCGGTCAACCGGCGCACAGCCACCGGGGGCAGCGCGCAACCCGCGCGCGGGCTACACACCGCGCGGCACGCATGCGGCTTCCTTCAGCGGCCGGGGAGGGTGACGGCCGAAATGCAACTCCCGGCATATGGAGCACGGAAGCGGTGGCCGCCACCTGTGGGTCTTCGTTGGGTGTTGTTGTCACTTGAAGGGGTTGCAGCAGGGCGCGAGCGGCAAAGTCCCCGACAACGACAATAGGGGACGAGCACGCTCGCGTTACACTAACCGCAGACTCGCCTTCGCTGCGACGCGTCGTGAAGGGATCCTCTCCTCCGCGTCCTCCTTCGGGAATGGGCGTCACAACTGGGTACAGGGCGACGTATCTCGATGAAACAATGAAGCTTGAGGCTGAAGCTCGAAGCTGGCGACATCTTCTTCCGTTGGGGCGGGCGGCGCGCGACCGGCGCCGGCACGGTCCCGCCGGGTGAACCCCCGGTACCCCGGGAGGCCCACGAAACTAGCCAGCGGATGGTCGCCGCGAAGACGCGCCCGTAGGGTTAGCCGCGCCCCGGCGTCGTGTCCGGTGATGGGAAAGGTTATATCGCGGCCGCAGCCTCAGACCGCGGCCCGCCGATATACCCGCGCAGCATGGTGTGCGCTCGTTTGTCCTGGCGTCGATAATGTGGTGAAGAAACGGTGCTTCGGATTGCGCGGCACGCGCTCAGCCGAAGTACGGTGGGCCTACAGGCACTGCCCTAAGCCGTCGAACTCGTTCCGGACCCCTAGCCAGCCCGCAAGCGACCCAGCTCGAGGCGATCGGTTCGAGGACGACGGCGGTAGCTACTGGATGTAGCTTTCCATACTTCGGCCAAGCGGATCTTTTATCCAAAAAAGACGGCTTAGCACGACGGTGGGCACGTGTGCACGGCTCAGGTAGCCGTCCCTTTTCGACTCGGGCAGGACTTAAACCGGCATCGTCAGCTTTCCGTGCTGTTGCTCTACCAATTGAGCTACCGAGTCCTACACCTCATCTTCGAATTTTTTCAACTTATTGATACATGCACCTCTCGCGCAGTGTAATTTCGTTAGTTAGAGTACTTCGTGTTTTAAACCGTTTATAGTGTTGTGTTTAGACGATCATTATAAGTTATACGCTTTAGTGCAGTGAATGTTGCCCGTTTTAAGTGCAGTAAATGTTGCCCGTTTCCCCCTCGTCCTCCGACCGAAACTTTTTTTTTGTTTCCCTGGGATTCAAACCCAGGTCCTCTCGCACTCAACTCAAAGCAAGGCAAGGCGGTCTTTTATAATACGTTAAGTAAATTCCGCCGTTTCGTTACACTGTCGCCCTCCATATCAGCTTTATGGTTAACTCAAGCGAAAACTAATTGTTCTTTGTCGCTTCGCTCTACGCCGATTATCTCATTCGACACGCATCGCACGTGCGCACACAATAAAATAAAATAATTCCCATATCTATCTTGATCTAGTAGACAAAGAGCTCGGGGGAAAAGGGGGCGACTCTATCATAACTGGTTGTGGAGACCATTTTGCGCAACAGCTTTGTGTTTCGCCCATGCTCGTTACATTTATATAGGTTACATTTTTGTTAAGGCGAATTCGATACGACCATATGGGGTCTATTGTGAACCGCGTAACATGAGCTGAAGTTAACCAATTCCTCTTGCATGCCCCCATTTTAAAGAGTTGGTTAAAAATGCTAAAGAAATTGTTAGTTTGTTACACCAGCTAATCTCGGGAACTTAGCTAGACTGACTAATATGAGCGAAGAAATAGTGGTAAATGTGGATAAACGAGGAAAATTAATACTAATCTTTGACAGCTTCCGTTGCGTGCGTTAAAGAAACGCTAAAATACATATTAAATTAACGCGGACGACGTTGCGGGAACAGCTAGTTATATAAAATAGATCTGCGTCAGTTAAAGTAAAAAGGATAGAATATAAATCATTATTTCCTTGTAACATCAAAAAGGTTAAAGGAACAAAAAAAGTATGTGAGATTTGATGTAACCAGCATAAAATTAATTAAATTTTTTTATATGACATATTTGTAAGTAGTGGGTTTGTACCTGAATAAAGAATTATTATTATTATTATAAAGCGACGTGGTATGCTGCGTTCTGTTTCAGCGTGTGTCATTGATTTTTAAAAGTTCCAAAATTAACTAAATATCGTATTGAAAATGCTTGTGTTATTGTTTATTATATAACGGAATGACAACCAAGCTCTGTCATTTAAGTGGATTCGTAATTATAATTTAATTAGTTAATAATATTTCACTCTTACACTGTTTTTAATGCCCAACTTTTCTAGATCTGCACCTGGAAAATACATTGTGACCGTGACCACGTTGCAAACCATCCGAAAGGTCAGGCTGTAGTTGAAATAATTGTATCTAATAAATTTTGTGTTTTAAACCGTTAAAGTAATTTATATAAACGTGTACCACTCGCGTAAGCTAAAGACAGTATTTACATATATATTGTTTATAGAACTGTATGTTTGAAAACGTTAATATTTTTTGGACATGATGACACTATATCATTTAAAAATCTAAAATAAATAAAAGAAATTTTCGTACTCGGTAGTTGATTGGTAGAGCAACAGCACGGAACGCTAACGATGCCGGTTCACGTCCTGCCCGAGTCGAATTATAAAACTGTATGTTGCAAAAACTTAAAAAATGAAACACAATATTCTTTGTTATATAAAACACAATAATTAAACTCACGGCCCGTTCCTTTGGTTACCATATAAGCGCGTTAAATATAACAATTTGATAAAC